GTGATGATGTAACTGTAAATGAGATACACATAATTACAGCCAAGGCCTGCATAAATTATGCAGGACATGAGTCTCCACTGTTTGTCTTGTTTGATGACCCGCGGGTAACCCGCGGGTCACCCTCGGAGGGTCAAGACCTGACCTGGACCCTCACTGCGGGTAAGAGAGCCAGACCCTCAACCCTCAAAATGAGGGTATTAGGGTGACCCTCCGAGGGTTACCCGCGGGTGAGGGCGAGGTCTAGGTGGAGGCGGCACCTATGGGGTTGTCTGGTCTCTGACAGCGAAAGCGCACCCAGCAGTCCCAGTCTCAGGGTTCAACCTGACGATTAACACGACGGACAACAAAGACATGTCAACAGAGACCTTTGACCACATCGTGGAGCTGTACAATCAGTTCGTGCCGAGTCTAGTCGATGCGGGAATCATGAGCCTCTTGTTCTTGTTTAACAGCTCGTTCGCTCTCACCCCCGTAACGGCGCCCAACATCCCCGTGGCCAAGCTGGTGCAAATGATGAAGCCGTTAACCAACGCCCTAGACAAGGAAGGCGTGCACTACACCTCCAGCGCGCAGCAATTCGACACCTACCTGGACTTGTACCGCAACATGATGCCCGTCTTCAAAGTAGCCGTCGACCAGTTCGGCGGGTACCTCATCCCTCGATCTGTGGTTGAAGACAAGAAGCAGCCCGGCAGCAACAAGGCCCTAACAAAGGCCTTCCGACACATGCTTAACGACGGCGGGTCAATAGCCCTCGTGGGGCTGAACGTATCGCGCGAGACTTCAGGCCCGGACAGCCCGAACGCCGTGCTTCCCGCCTGGCGAGACACGATCTACCACGCTCTGCTCCAGAAACCGTGGGATAATAACCCCGCTGCGCTGCCCAGGATGCTCAAGGACCAGCGCACGATGACGGACGAGTACGTCGCGCCTCTGCAGAGACTTGCGCCGGAGTCGGGGGCGTATCTCAACGAGGCGGATTTCAGGCAGAAGGATTTTAAAAAGGTTTTCTTCGGGGCGAACTATGACAAGTTGAAGACGATCAAGGGTGTTTATGATCCGTATGATCTGTTTTATGTTCTTAAGGGTGTTGGATCGGATGAGTGGACTCAGTTGCACGACGGGAGGTTATGCAAGGCTTAAACGAGGTATATACTCCGTATATAACTATGCAGGGCTTAGAATACAAGTATACAAGTATATTGCTATATAACTTGAAAATAAAGTAACGATTTCATGGGCCAGCCATGATACAGTTGATAACGGTAGATAAATCCATTTCTTCAAGCCTAAGAGGTTGATACTCCTAGGACGCTCAATAGGCAGACCCAAAGCACGGTCCCAGACCAACTGAGCCAACGGACCCAACGCACGACTGACACCAAAGGTAACAGTGTAGTACAGCGGCTGTGGAGCCCATAGCGATGGAAGAGCACACCAGAGGCAGAATCAACGTTAGGATGAGGGTTCTTCGTCTTGCCATGCTCTGTGAGCACACCAAGGCAATCTCAGAGTTCTTCTTGACAAGCTGGAAGACAGGGTTAGCCAGCACACCAGGCCGGGTGTCAGCAAAGTCCATGAGGGCTTCAAAGCGCGGGTCAGGCTTGCGCAGCATGCCGTACCCATAGGCGGGAACCACACGGCCGGACTCGCAGAACCAGGTACTGATACAGCTTCAGGATCTTGGAGTCCAAAATCCTAGATCTTGAGGTGGGCCCAAGTCGTCAAGGAGTATCTCTCCACTCTGGGGTATTTGAATCCTTCACAGTTCCATGGGTCAAAGCCATAAACACTGCTCATGATAGCGATCCAATCGTGATCGAGGAGGCTGTTGAGGATATTTTTGGTTATGTGTGCTTATATCTGTATGTTGGAGATTACTTCATCCCCTTGCCAGACGATGTTGTTCCTTATCATATTGTTGGAGAACAGCAATATGAGCAAGACGATATCCTTACATTGAAGGGCAATTACTTTGAAAACTCGGCATCAGTCAATGTCACGGACTCGGTCTCCTAAAACGGCCGCCGGAGTAGGCATTTTCGGCCGCCTGCTAACCGTCACATCACTAAATGGAGTTTTAATATCTCGACGGTGACACATATAATATGCAATGCAATTGATTTCGAGATGCTGATTAGATTATATTTATATAACTTGACCGTACTTTGTATTATATATCGTCACGGCAATTCACTCCGTCATATAGTCCAGTCGCTCGAGCACTACGAGAATTCCCAAGCAGTGTCACCCTCGTAGGGAACAGCTTCGAGGGAGACGCGCGTGCAAGCATTGTTCTCCGTGTAGCCACTGTTGACGATCGAGCCAGTCGTAGCATTGGTGTACTCGAGAACAAGATGCCACTGAGTGTCCTCCTGGTCCACGCTGCAGAGGTGGAAGGTCAAGAACGGGTTGATGAAGTTGTTGGTCGAGAACACCTCGAGATCCGTCAAGGACCCTTCGGGGATGTTCGCGCTATGCGGAACGGTGTAGGTGAGCAGGCCGGTGGGGGAGACGTAGACTAAAACGGTTAGCTTGGATCGGCCGGATCGACCGGATATGGAGACATACCCTGCTGGCCACCGGGAACTCCGGTGTTGAGGAACAATTGGCCATCGCGTCCGACAAACGAAGTGGTGTTGACTGTCTTGCATCCGGGGATGTTCTCAGGGCAGAAGGATGCGGTGTCCTTGCCGTGCCAGAATTGGCTGCCGTTAGCGTTGATGGGTCCGCTCAGAGGGCTGTTGGACCAGCGGAGGTTCAGAGTGAAGGGCGCATCGTCGGATTGGCGCTGTTTGAGAGGAATGGCCGAAGCCAGCGAGAAAAGGGACAGAGCAGCCAAGAATTTCATTGCGACTTGCTATTTGATTGTAATTGAATTGCTGGGTTGAACGGGATTGAAGGTGAAATCCGGTCGACTTATATATGTATAGTCAAGTACCGGCAGCTAACGGTAGCGTCGGATCAGGCCGATGATGCAGGGAAAACGGGTGATATTCTCCGCGGGTTGAGGGGCCATGAGGTCATTTTATGCTGAAAATAGGGTCATACCCATGGTCTATCGAAACCAATCGAGACCATACTGCACTTGTACTTTGTTCTCCAGTAAAGAAACGAGGAGAAGTGAGAGGACGCCGAAAGAAGGCCGCGCTATTCCCGATGGGGAATTGACATGGCGATACCTCGAGGGACAGAGCAAACTCTTCAACCATGTTCTCCCGGTCTAGCACAGCAATCATGCAGCAAGAACAGCAGGTTCGACCTATACAACCGGACACTAATGTGCCGGAATACTACCGGACCGCGGTTTTGGTTCCCGAGAATACTCCAGTGCACTGACTGAGTTCACGAGAACAGCGAACTCCGCGGGATATACGCCTGGGCCAGGCGAGCCTCCGATATACTCCCGAGGACGTGTCGGTCGTGACCGGAGCCTCCGAGCACGGAGACTGATATTTGTGTGGTGCAGTTCTGCTCCGGAGTACAACTGCGAGAGATCCAAGTCGGCGGAGTGGTGAGTTACGGAGTACATGATGTTCAGGATCAAGCTTGGTCGCTAGAATAGTCCGTACCCAGTCAGGGATTCTAGAATTGGGAAGACAGCACACTTGTCGATCGCCTTGGCAAAGCATGGACCGGTCGGGTCTGGAGCCATACAGAGTACTCCGTACACTGTTTGCTATCGTTTCCGGTCGTTGTACAGGGTACGGTGTACCGTGTCCAAACCGGTAGTGGTGAAGATGTCCTGCTCTGTACTGTGCTGTACTGTGCAAGTTGTGCACATTATGCTGGATGTGTCAGGTGACGTCAGGTGATATGACGACCATGGATTAACTCAGCCACGCGTCTGTGGCAACTCGCGGCCAATCAAGAGGTTTTCCTCCCCCTGGACCCGCAGCACTAGCCCCTTTGAATGTGGGGAAAACCGGTTGGCGCGATTGAAAGGCTTGTTTGATTGGCTGACAGCCACACTGTCCAATGAGCGACTAGCAGCTAGTCCAAATCAAGATCTGCTCTTTTCCCAATTGGGAACCGGGACAGGATTGTCTTTCGGCCGCTTCATCTCACTCTTTTACTCTTTTACTCTCTGTACCTGAACCTTCTCTACCCTCTCTTTAACCTCGCTCTTCGATATCACTCTGTCGGAGATGGTCGCCAGTCTCTGCTACCACTACTGCCACCGGTGACCTTGTTTGAATCAGGCCATGCCATCCCGTCTGACTCTCTCTCACCACTGCGTTCCCGGAGGGCATGCCGTATAAGCATGTCCGGGGGTTTGGTGAAGAAGCTGTTGGATCCGCTGCAATGGTCCAGTACGTTTGACTTGTCTTTGATAACGATCAGGTCTGATTGTGTTTAGGTCAACTCCCCCGCGGATCAATGCGCCGTCATGGCTATCACCGTTCGCAAGGATGGCGTCCGATTTCCCTCCGTCCCTTCTACCTCCTGTTCGTCGCCGTTTTGATGTTCGCCATGCTCCTGGCTATCGAGATCCTGCGCCGATATAGTGAGTGGAACGGGGGGTTGATCTACTTCAAGGATACCGCCAACGTGTCGCATGTTCAGTCGTTCGCATACAACTACGTCCCCATAATCGTTGCCCTCGTGCTCGTCACCTTTTGGAGCTTCGTCGAATTCGATGTCCTGCGTCTCGAGCCGTACTTCCAGCTGTCCCGTCCCGAAGGCGCCCCGGCCACCGTTCTGTTCATCAACTACAACTTTGGCCAGTCGGTTATCACCCCCATCACATCCGCGCGGAGGGGTCATTGGGTGGTTCTATGTGTCTCCGTCTTTACCATGCTGATGCGCATGTCACTCCCGGCACTGCAGAGTACACTGTTCGAATTGCGCGAGGTCACCCTTTTGTCCGATGAAACCATGCACGGCTGGCCGGACTTGGTCGATCTACAAACCCAGGCCACTTGGATGGCTTCCCAGGCCACCAACAACTTCGACTCGGTTGTCTCTTCCAACGATGATCTGCAGCGCTCGCGATCCACCAAGTACGCCGTCGCCCCCGTCGAGATCCCAGGAGTCGATCAGCGAGAGAGCACCGTATGGACCATGAATCAAACCATTTACTGGACCGAACCGATTTGCCAAGATGTCGTCGTGGATGAGAAGGTGTCGGTGATTGTGGACGGCTCGGAGGACGACCCTACAGTCTCGTGGAATGTCACAGGAATGCCGCTGGAGAAGGGCGGCGAAACGATACTCAACTGCAAGCTGGACCTCAATTATAGCAGCATTCTCTTTCCCATGACCGACAAGCTCCAAGTCCGCTACTGGGAGCCGGTGTCAGCTAACACGAGTCTCTCTTCGAACGTAGCAACCAAAAAGGCCTTCACAGCCAGGGGCTGCAGCCCCTTCGATCTCTACGGCGTCCTTCTGAGCGTCAATGCCTCGTCTGACGCTGTATCCACTTCGACCCAGTACACGTCCTCTGCCAGCATCTTTGCCTGTGACATCAAATACAACAAGGCAGAGGCTGAAGTCTCGATGCATGCCAACAGTTCCATCACGAGCATCTCGATTCACAATGGCACGACGAGGGAATTGACGCCTCAGCAGTTCAACGTCCCGGACTTTCAGGATCTATTGTCGCAACGCGCCCCGTATACGAGTGACCTGCTCTATATCCGAGTCAATGAGACCTCTGGCGATACCACCGTAACCGAACTCCCCGTTATCAGCCAGCAGCTGGGTGATATGGAGCCCGTCCTCATCCTGGATACATCGAGCGTCATGTCCCCGGAGGAGTTTGAGTCCAAAGTGGTGAGAGGTGTCAAGCAGACTTTCGTCCTCACCATGGGCCGTCTCTTTGATCCCGACGAGAAGCCTGCTATAATCCACGCCACCCGACTAAGTAACCAAGTTGCCATTGCCACCGTCGGGTTCGCGGCGTTCTGGTCTGAGATCGTTCTGGCAGCTGGCACGGTAATCAGTCTTTTGTTGGTCTACATCTACCATCGCCGACCGAACATCATGCAAAGCGATCCTGGCCCGATCAGCGCCATGTGCAGCATGGTAGCCGATGTGTTTAGTCCTTCTAACATCCTCACCGATTCGCGGCTCGACTTGCATCAGTTTTCCACGCGTCAGTTACGACGGATACTTCGGAATTCGCGCATTCACTGGCAAGATGGACCGACGGGCAAGCGTCTAGAGATTCGCCCTTCCGAGGATGATGGTGAGTTTTCCCTGCTTGGATTGTGAGGTCTTGGTTACTGACAGAACCAGCGTCACTGGTTGAGAACCTAGGCGAAAACCTGCAAGCTCGGGTCGACCCGATGCCGCATTTCCTCCTCATTCCCGTCTTCATCCTTGAATTCCTTCTGCTAACGGCTGTGATCGCCGGCATGGCGTTGATCATTGGTTTACTCGCTCGAAATGGTAAATTCCGGCACTTGACACAATCCGATTCCAGCTTGCTCCAAGTTGTTCTCTCGGTCTTGCCCTCCATTGTCGCCTCTGCCGTTGGGTCCCTTTGCACATCGATTCACCGGAACCTCAGCATCCTCGAACCGTGGGTCCATCTCCAAAGGGGAATGGCCGCAGCACGGACCTCATTGTCGATGAACTACTCCGGACAGAATCCTTGGGCTGTCCTTTACAAAGCCTCCAGAGACCGCCATCTGTTACTGGGCCTGGTTTCCGTTGCCTGTGTGGTCAACACCGTACTCACTGTGGTGGCCGGTGGACTGTTCACCCAGAAATTGGCCACCTCTTACTTACCAACTGACACTCTGCTTACGAACTATAGCGAGACTACCTTCTGGCGCACCGACTTCGCAGCTGATTTCACCGAGTATGACCTCATCCAATCCAGCATCACCAGCGGTGTCCCAATGGTGGCCTGGACCAGCACGAACCACTCGTTTGTCCCGATCAAGATCAAAGACCCCGATCCGAATGCTGTGTATAGCGCGCATACTTTGGGGGTTGGTGCGGATTTGGATTGCCAAAAGTTGGAAATCTCAGAAAGTCTGGTGGACGATCATCAGGAGGGCCGCGTGTATTGGGAATATAGTCCTTTTGATGCCCCAGAAAGACGATGTAAGGTTGATATGACCTCATTGAAGAACACCACCTCCGGCATATCGCTGTCGATTCACTTCCTCTCGCCAGTGGCCGTCGACGAAACGGATTTGTGTCAGACGTCGACCGTGGTGGTCCTCGGTCGGTGGAACTACAAGCCCGGGGACCCTGTTACCGACCAGAATACCGTTGCGTTGCACTGCGAACCCCGCATGGAGATGGAGGAATATTCGATTTTCTTCGACCAGAAAGGCCAGATCGAAGAGTACCATCCAATCAATTCGACTGCCATCAACAGCGGTGAAATGTACGACAATGCTACTGCCAGCGTGGGCCAGTTCAACAAAGTCTTTGCCGCCATCCCCCAAAGCTACATGGGCAACGAATCGGTTGGAAACAGTTCCTATGTTGCATCATACGATTGGGCCGGTTTTCTGGTGGCACGTCTTTACCAACAACGGGAAACCAACATCACTGAACTCAATGCGGCAGATCTCATTGCGGTATCGCGAACGGTGTACCAGTGGGTGTATAGCACCTATTTCTCGATCTGGAGAGAAATCTACCTTCAACCACTGCAGGACCCATATCCAGCCAAGAATTCCACCGCAATCTATAGCATGTGGGCCATGGATCCATCCGTCCCATCGCTTGCCATCGCGCTGGTAATCATCGCGTTTGACACGCTGGTCGTCCTCGTTGTCTTTGGTACACGTCGCGGCCGGTTCAAAGGCCCACGTATCCCCCGGTCAATCGGCGCCGTTATCCCGTGGCTGGCCCACAGCCGGATGCTCAACGACTTCCCAGGCACATACACCTGGACCAACACCGACCGCCGCGCACACCTCGAGCGCCTAGACAAACGCTACGCATTCCGCACATTCCTCAGCCCAGACGGTCGATGGCGTTTTGCCGTCGACGAGGAACAAGACGTTCCCCCACCGCCACCACAACCAGAAGGTGAATGGGACCCATCAAAAGCGGGAGATATCCAGCTCCGCGAGCTGGGCCGGGAGCCGCCAGGCCGGCATCCACCGAGCCCCGAGACTGAGACTCCCAATGAACATGGGCATATATAATGACTGATGTGTAATGATTTTCGATTCTGTGTATTATACTTATTGTTGATATTTCGGGTATTTGGATCGGATGGTCGGCGTACAGGGCAGGCCCTAACATTGTATAGACAAATACATATTACTTGACTTTTCCCAAATCCCCCCTAGGAAAGTAGGTTACCGCCCCATCCACCCCCCATCAACCGTAACAACCTCCCCAGTAACATATGCGCTCGCCCGACTTGCCAGAAAAACCGTCACCCCTTTGAAATCTTCAGGCTCACCCCACCGCCCCATCGGAATCCGCGCCAAAATACTCTCCGCACGCTGCTCATCCCTCAACAACGCCTCATTCATGTCTGTAGCTACATAGCCCGGCGCAATGGCATTAACATTAACGCCGCGCGCAGACCACTCGTTTGATAGTGCCTTTGTCAATTGCGCAACGCCGCCTTTTGCGGCTGCGTAGGCGGGGACTGTGAGACCGCCTTGGAAGGAGACGAGACTGGCGACGTTGATTATGGTTCCACGGTGGCTACTGTTACGCCCAGAGAGCGGTTGGCGAGTGAGCATGTACGCGCCTATATCCCGGCAGAGCGTGAAGATAGTGGAGAGGTTTACTTGGAGGACCTGTACGTGTCAACCAACGTACTTTACTAAACGCAGATGCTGGGGAAGGGAAGGGCCACCTCATCCCAATCCTCATCCGGAAAGATATGAGCTGGATGCCGACGCTGTATCCCTGCGCAGTTCAAGAGGATGGAGATATCGTGTCCGTCGTTGAGAACTTTTTTCACGAGGATTGAGACATCTTCGCGGTTTGACAGGTCCGCAGTGTAAATGGATGCTTTGCGGCCGAGGGATTCGATGTGTGATTTTGTTTCGAGGTTTGTTTCGTTGCGCTAGTTCATTGGTTAACTACTTTAGTACGAAAATGGTGTGTCTGGGTATACCTGTACTAAAATGATATCGGCACCCGCTTCAGCAAGGGCTATAGCCATCTGCTGGCCGATGCCACGGGTGCCGCCTGTGACGAAGGCTGTTCGGCCGCTTAGTTTGAAGAGGTCCATGTTGCTGAGTGTTTGTACAGATGTATGGGAGTGTAAGCAGGTGTATGTATGCTAGATGATATGTGTCGGAGTATGGTCCGAGATGCCCCCACGTCTCCGCATTGGGCGGGGTTATGCGTTTCTGAGTCTGGAGTATAGACAGGGAATGCCGGTAGACTGTAGGGTCGAACGGAGAAACTCCAGGCCTGGATTAACCCGTATTCACGGAGGTCTTGCTGATGTACATGGCTCTCGGTTATGTCAACCATATGCTCAACATGTGCAGAAGTGATAGTTCAAGTAATATATGTCCATTCTCATCCATGTACGCTAGTCCTAGTAAATATACCGAAAGTTGAGATTCTCCTTGTCTGTCAAATCACTAAATGCCGTCTCATCGAGGTCCCTCCGTCCCTGCTCAGCCTGCACCCGATCCCGTCTCCGATTCTCCAACGCCAACGCAACCCTCAGCATAAGCACCAGAGCAATCTCGATAAAATTCGCCACGATCATCGACCAGATCCCCAGCGGGTAGCGCGGCGCCTGGCTGTCTTTGTAAAAGAATGGCCCTGCGATGTTACCCGCACAAACACCCAGGAAGATCATAGCATTCGTGACGACCTTCTTCGTATGCCCGGCGATATTCGCAGTGAGTATTGAGAGAATGAGTACAAATGAAGCGTTGTAGGATCCCGTGAGATAGTAACAGATCAACCGGCCAACTTTGTTGGATTCAGGGATGTATGCGAGGCCGAATGAACCGGCGACGTTGGGGAGAAGGAAGAGGATGGTCACGTAGCAGCGGTTATTCGGTGGGAGGCGGTCGTTGAGGAAGACGGCGAGGAGGATTAGGATGGCTATGAGCGTGCCGTAGGGAATTTGCATGAGGGTTGTGACCACTGCTTCATTAGTATCGGATCATATGTGGAGATGATGGAAAACGCACGAGTGGAAAAGCCAAAGCCTTGAATGATCAGAGTTCCGAAGTTTGAGATACCACCGTTGGGTATATTCCCTGACAGTCCTAGTAGAAGAAATGTCCACACCTTCCAGTCTGTCAATGCTTCCCAGACCTGGGCCCATTTGAGATGCTTGTTCTCGACTCCGGTCTGGTTATCTCGTAGCCGCTCGATAGCAACCCACTTCTCTCGGTTGGAAAGGTACCGCGTTGTGACGGGTGAATCAGGCAGGAAGATAGTAATCACAATACCCCAGATAGAACAGAGCGCACCGATGATAAGAAATTCATATTTCCATGAAGCGAGTGCACCTTTGATCTGCCCGATGCCATAACCCAGTAAGCCACCGATGGCAATGCCAGCACCGTTTGCCGTATACCACAGACCAATTCGAATAGGCTGCTGACGACGAGTGTACCACATGCTCGTGATCAGCATAAAAGCCGGGTCACTGCATGCTTCTGCGGCTCCGGAGATGACACGAAGGACGGCGAGTTGGACGAAGTTTTTTGCAACGGCTGCATTGTCAGCCATTGACTAACCTGCTTGGACTTGGTACACACCTTGGAGCATTAGAAAGACTCCCCAGAGAATAATATTTACACCCAGATATTTGCCCACTGGGAACTTCTGGAGGAGGAAGTTTGTCGGTACACTCCAGACCAGAAAGCCAAAGTAGAATACACTGGATAGCCAGGAATACTGCTCGCCTGAGAGACCTAGATCCTCGTTGATGCCGAATATAGCCGCATAGGAGAGGGTGGTTTTGTCAATCTTCAATTAGCTTGTAGCCATAATAGAGCGTAGAGAATACTCACATAGTAGAACGCATAGCAAATTGATAAGAAGGGCAAAATCATCCAGTCTATTTTGCGTACCAGTCGCTTGTCCTCTGCTGGATCGATCGGTTCATTTTGACCATCTCCATGGGCGAACAGCGCAAGTGCCGTGTCGCCATTGTGAGTCTTCTCGGGGATAGTATGCTGAGAGTCCTCGACGTGTGCCGTCGACAATTTGTTTTCTTGTTCCATGGCAGGAGAATGTACCGGTTGTTCTGCCATTTTTAACGCATCAATTGGCTTGGGTTCTTTGCAGACTCGACAGCATCAACCTTCACCCAGACATCCATAGACCTTGAGACGAATTCGGATGGCGCACCTCCGTCTGACATTCTGGGGCAGGCGTGGGGGATATTCGTCCCCGCACTCCCCGTGGGGATAGTATTGATACCCGAGTCATTAGAGAGTGATGTTAATGTTCTTTACGGACATACTCTTGTGCTGTGGCAATATCAGACCAATCGATGTGGTGCCATGTGCTGGGCCGGAGGACTTCCGATGTAGCTTTCATATCATCCTAGCCTTTCGTTATTGCTTCTATAAATTGTTAATGTCCATTGTAGCATACTATCATTTTGGTAATCATAGCAAATATATCCATATCTATGGTCGAGGAAGGTTGCTTACGATAGTGGCCGCTAAGTATCGTCTACTGTCATGCTGTCCCGTTGGCCTTCGGACCCTTCCACTGTAATACAGTACGCCCTTATCGTTCCTATTTCGTCTCATTGCATGAGGTTGCATGACCTGCATGGCTTATCGGAGAAAATATGGCTTGCCTTTGGTTGGATGTTTCTCGAGTGTTACTGAGTGCCGCAACGATACATATTGGCACTCTTCGTACAAGTGGCGATGGCTACAACAAGCAGAACAGCGCCAAGCCAGAAGGTAAAACAACTAAGACAAATAAAGTAGGAAAGGGAGAAAGGACTCGTAACACTAGTGGTCTCGATTCTCAACTCTCTATGCTGTACATGGTGATTTTATACTTTCAGGTACCTTTCAGCTATCGTCCGTCATTCGATGATTCTTCTGGCAATTTCTTCCCAAGTGGGGTCTCATCCAGTATATTTTTTCTAAGTGCGAAAGAACCTCCCAAGATGTGACAAGATAGGTTCGGCATTTTCACGTGATGTACCAATCTAGGAAGGTTTCAGTCCAGAAAGCTGTCAAGTCCATGACCTCATTCGAAGGATATATCAACCGTGGAGAACCTGATTGTTCAGGTCCGATTAACCAAATTTTCGACAGCCCAACATAGACAAATTCATTGGATCACGGCCTCCGGCTATCGTGATGGTTCCACTGCTGCTATTTCGGCGGACGTGTTCGCCGGGGAGGAATCTCGGCAGAGCTTGTTATTTGACACTTCCATCTTCTCGACACGCTTGGTACATGAGGCCAAGCCGATTTCTCACAATCGCTTACCTACAATCGAGTGTGAATAAGACATCCTTGCCATCTGGAGGGTAGCTGATTGGGCCACCGAGACTAACGTCGTATAGATAATAATAGCTGAGCAAACAAGCAAACAAAATGACGGGCCTTATATCGCCCAGCGAGCCCGTCATCCGGCATCCGGTCGAACATATCTCTAAGGATATTTCCAAGGACGAGGCATTTTCCGTCGAGATGGGCAACGCTGAATCGAAATCGCACCACTTCGATGATCTGCCGGAGACGAGTTCATTCCGGATAGTCAAACTTCTGCCCGGCAAACGCAGAGATCCGATATCCTGCGAGACGGAAATCGCAGACTTGCACGGTCCTCCTAAATTCGAAGCCATTTCTTACATCTGGGGCGACTCGACTGCTAATATAACTGTAACTTGTGACAAGGTAAAGCTTAAGATCAGTGCAAACCTCCAGAGAGCTCTGGTTCATCTCCGGTTGGAAAACGAACCGCGGTATTTATGGGCTCATGAATTATGGTGAGCGAGAACGTGTAACCGATATCATCATCTTCAGCTAACGAATATAGTGTCGACCGAAAGAACACCGCGGAACGAAGCCATCAAGCCCGTCTCGTGCACGCCATTTACAGAGCATCCCAGAAAACGCTTATTTGGATTGGATCGGACACCGCCGGGCATTTGGCTGAAATTGCCGTCAAATCAATAATCCAAATCTCAGACTTTCTCTGCCACTCTCTCCAACGTTACCTCCCGGAAATCAGCGTGACTAGCAATGTCTACCGAGATATCATATACGAAAACCGCAAGAAACTTCCCTCTCCCAATGATTGCGAATTCAGCACCGAGACAATATGGCACTCTCTGATTTGGTTTTACTCGCACGCATACTTTACGGGTGTATCGATTTTCGAGGAGATAAATGCGAACAAACGTCGATCCGTCCAATGCGGTCATGAAACTGTGGAATGGGAACGGGTAGAGCTGGTTGCGGGCTACATGATTCTGGACGGAGCATTCTCAAAACGCTTTGGGTTCGATAAAACGCACTGCTGGTGGGCAACGATATTGACGACGGGGCAAATTCGGCAGCCGAGGAACTGGCTAACCACGCTGTATCTCGCATCGAACTTCAAAAGTGCAGATCCGCGGGACAAGGTATATGGTCTGCGCGGTCTTCTAAAACACTCCATCGTGACTCCTGTATTGGAACCTGACTACAGCAAGCCATTGCTAGATGTCTATCGGGAGGCCGTCGAAGCATCATTCCTTAAATTCCACAACCTCGATGCTTTGCTATACGTTGCGGCGAATGAAAGTCCAACATGGATCCCACAGTGGGATAAACCCATGCTGTTCCGAAATCCGTTCAGATTTAGCAGCCCCGTACCATGGAGGCCGGCCGGAGATAGAGAGCCGGCATGGATTATCGACCCCGCTACCAATATCTTGACCGTCTCTGGCTCTATATACCGCTCGATTAAACATGTCGAGCCATATAACCAGGCCTTCTTTGGTAAGGTGATGATCGAGTCCCCGGAAGGACGTCACACCTTGAAACGAAAGTGGGAAACCATTTTGCACACCGCGAGAGCCAGTCAATCGTCGAAAGAACCACTAAAGCGCGAACTTGTTACCGCCCTCGCTATGAGTTTCTTGTTTAGCCTTGATGAGAACAACCGCGTCGCCGATGCCAACAAAGCAACGCGGACTTTCGTTGCTTATCTCATGAAGATAATCGACGATGAGATCCTCAATAATTACATACCGCGTGATTTACAGGACGAATCCGCTCACGCAGACGGTGACACGTTTGGAAAGCCCATCTGGGATTTCGAATATCCCGACTCCAGTTTCTTCGTTACCGAAGATGGCCATGTTGGGTGTTGCATAACGACGACTGTGCCGGGTGATATCGTTGCCATTATACCTGGATGCACATATCCTTTGGTCCTCCGGCCTGAGGGTCAGTACTATCATATCAGGGGTTATGTATATGTACATGGAATAATGATGGGAGAGATTCATTACTTGAAGCGGCAGGATTTTATGATTCATTGACTCGTTGCATTAGCATTTTATTCTATAATACATCAAACAAGAAATGGACAAACGTGCAATCTATCAACCACTCTAGCATTTATCCTTTTCACTTTTCTTCGCCTCCTTCCTCCTTTGCCTCAACTTGACCCATGAGTACCAAGTCAACAATACTACAATGGTCAAAGGAATAGCAATCGCAAAATAGAGCCATAAGTACTGATTACCGACGTGCCGAACGTCTTTGGCGTCCCAGTTGAAGACTCCCATGCTGAAAATAGACTGCCATTCTCTTAGTACCCTTCAAAACATTTTGGAAGAATTGACACTACTAACCGCAATTGAGGTCCCCGGCAGGAATATTAGTGTCATAATCGACATCGTTTTCATGGACGAGCTGTCTTTCTGAGATTCCTCTGCGGTTTTCGCAGAGCTTTGAGCAATCTAGTGCGCATATGCTTAATTAACCCCGTTCTTGTCGACTCGGATGAATCTCCTACCATCATGTGGAATCTGCTGTCAATCTACAACACGGGTTAGCAAAGACACTCCCGGGCTTCTCGTGGAAGACATACCATCTGGCGCTGGGAATCTATCTTCGACGGTATAATCTGCAAGTCATACTCCAACGACCCGCAAAGCTGGGCATCCATCCGAACCCTCTGCCTGAGAATCTCGGAATATTGCGGGGACACTTCTTCCTTAGCATATTGCCTTTCAATAGCGTCGAAATACTGTGAAAGTGTCGTAGCGACCTCAAGTGTACACACCCATTTCCTCCGTAATCGCAATTGCACTTTTCCAAGCTCGAAGATGCTCTTCCTTATCGAGTCCAGCTCAGACAGTTCGATTGCTCCTATAAGCTGTTCTTCTTCATTTACCACGTTGCGGGTAAGATTCTCCAGTTCTTCGACGAGCAGTTCCACCCGCCATCGGAACAAGCTCACGGGAAGGATCATGAAGTCTGCTGGCATTCGGGTGTAATCATTCGGGAAGGGGTCTTTGGCTAGTAAGCTCTCGAGGTCGATTCCATTGGATGACAGGAGGATACAGGCCCAGTCGGTTTGGGGTTGGCATCTTGCATTTGGTCTCACGGATGGTAGGCATGTTAATATCATCGTGACCAAGCCATTTCTGTCTTTTGGTAATTGTAAAAAAAGGCCTGGAGGAAGATATATGAGCTCGTACCACTCCGAGCGTTATGCGGAAATATCATACTTCTTCGGTCAGCCGTCCACAAGAGAGAAGTGCCTGCATTCCCACTCCCCAGCAGACGAATAAATTCCGCCGGAATCCATCCTTTTCGAAGCGCAGTTTGCAATACTGGATCTTTGATTGCTACCCGCTCTTGAGGTTCGAGATCAACGACTCTACCCAGGTTAGCCGGAATCGATTCGATGATGCTACTGCTACGTGTACTTACAGACACCGGAGGCAATCCCCGTCCCAATTGATACGCAGGTCTCGCTTCAAACGTCAGTCGAGTATCTTTGCCACGGTCGGTCGCAATTATACCTTGCAGTCCTTTTGAATAAAATGCTCGGCTTCATCGGAATCTAGATCCTGCAACTGGAGGGGCGTATGTACTTTCCACCCTCCTTTCTGGATCTGTCAGCAATTTCTCCAAAATAAGGTACAGTCTTAATACCTCAATAGCTCTTGTGCTTAACTCTAATCCCTGGTACATTATTATAGCTAGGATATGCTTGGTTGATTGTCATCCAGGTTGACGGGAATGACAAGGAGATTTTATATTCTGTGGTAATATGCTCTCATATCCATAATCATTCGATTTAAATCTGGCTCCCTCAAATCACCAGGCTCACACGAGTGGCACTGCGCCATAAACGCTAAGTATTCGATGTACATTCTTTCTTTCCGCTTTAAGCTACCAATGCATACCAGCACACGTCGAACGTACAAAGTACCAATAGCAGGATTCGAATATTGCATGCAACTCCATACAGCACAGTAGAACTGTCCTAGTCGCCAGTCGACCCATTGCGGTGGTATTGAATGAGAGCGAATGGAGGGTGCTCTAAGCGCCGACTGTTGTGAACGGGGCGGGGCATTCATAAGCCACAATGGAACTGATCGTGCCTAAAATGTCTAAGAATTGAAAGTCATCAATACTGTAGAGGCTGTATGATTGCTGCTCATACTGGCATATTCTAGAATCACACGATTAGCTCGACATTAATGAATCAATTAAGTTATAGAGCTATTGTACAACCAACCACGGGACTCCATTCGCTACTAATGCGTCATACGTTTCGACTTTAGAAGAAAAAGAAAAATGCCAAATACTGTTTTCTAGAGTAGTTCAGGTTACCTGGCATCTCCGGGAATCCATGCATTCTTTAAACTCATCGTAATCCATGTGCAGCCTGATTTGCGACGGCGGAGGGAGAGCCATCCGATCAAAGGTTGGCCTTTCATCGAATTTACACATCTTCAAGAAGGAGCGTAAAGATTTCACCCCATTGCGCAGCGGAACTAGAAGTAATCCGTTAAGAACGTTGTCCTCGATGGGGAAGTGGTGACCATATGTTTGGCACGACGCTAACTCATCCAGCATGTTTCGCAAAATCACAGCTCGTCGTACTGGAAACACAGTGTCAAACGCATCACATTGTCCCGGCCCGCGTATATTCACCGTACCATGAATACAAGCAATGAATTTTGTATAGTTCGCCGTCGGCTTTCCGGATATCGCCAGGGATTGCAATCGCCTTTCAAACTCATCGAATGTCGCCGCATGACTTGATTCAAGAAAGAATATGGCCCGGCCTATATGCTTTGGGCTGCGGCCTACGTCGAGAAAAGTGCCAGAAGACATACAAGACGACATATGGGCAAGCCAGCCAAGAGGTTTATCTAATAAGTCGTTGTCGAACCCTTCAAAACACGCAATCGTCAAATATCCCTCAAGTGTTGAATTGCAGATAGAATTGAATGCGTTTACCAAGACATTAGGTTGTTCAAATTCGCCCAGGTTGAAGTGCAAACGCCTAATTTTATGAGGACGAGATGCTGTGACCGCGACTTCCATTGCCGACGAACTCTTGCCACATCTACCTGGGCCAAAAAGCGCGATATTGAGTGGGCGTGTAGATTCTTTGGTGATGTAGGACTCGATTATTTTATGGATTGATCGAAAGTCCTCCATTTCTCTTCGATCATAAACAAAAAGGTTGTTGAACGTCGCCAAGGGTACTTGACGGAGACCAGCAGACGGCCCTTCCCGTACAATGTCACGAGCAATTTCAAATGCGTCGCTTTCTGGGAGGCTATGTAATATACTCCAGTCTGGATTAGTCCCACCGTAGATGTCTTCTGACGGAATCGTGATGGACAGGAGGCCTTTGGGTCCAATATCCTCCATCACCAACTGAACCGGATGAATAGGACATGCCTTTGTGCTTTGGCTATGGATCCCTTCGGCCACCAAAAGTCTAGCAGCTTGAAGGCCTGGGATCATGCTTCCGTCCAGTCCCGGGTGTGGCTGTTGAGCCAAATGGGATGTCATCCCTGCAATAAACGCCTCCGTAATGCCTGGCACCCACCTCCCTCTGATATAATCTTCCTCAGTTCGGGATGGATCAAAGACCAAGGTTTGCTTATGGTCCCCTCCCCCCTGGCGATAGATCGCTCCGTCGCACCCAAAGAGAACGACAAGATGGGCACAAGTCGCAAGGGTGGCTAGCTTGCCGTTGGGGTTCATATTCAACACAAAATCCTCGCAAGTCCTTTCCCAAGATAAGCCCTTGGACAACTCGACACCTTCAGCACGCAGGTCATCAGCAGAGATGACCACAGCAAGTTTAGTTGGATCTTTCTTTCTGGTATCGCGCCTAACAGGCCCGAGGCGAGCCACGTCCCAAAGCTTCCCTGCGCCTAGTGGACTGGTCATGTGGTAGACGACGAAATCGGGTTGAGCTCGCAGAAAAAAGTCGATCGCATCATCATTGTCAATAACACCGTCTTCTATATCCTCCAGTACCAACACTGTAGTTCCAGATGTATTGTTGGTGTCCGTAGGCGAGTGCCACCCCCCTTCTCTCTCCAGTGTGGTGATATTCTCCACACTATACGAGACCGACGATGTACTCCTAGAGTGCAAACGACTGTCATAGATACTCAACTGAAGGAGATGCCGAGCGGAAGAATCTGTCGTAGACCCCATAACATGCTGCTTAACGGAAGGACAACATATTTCCAATTGAGGCTGCACTACTCGTAAAAGGTCTGAAATCAATTGTATCCCTCCCCATAACCGCTCCATGCGCTGCCTCGGCTTGTCGATTTGAAGATTGCGTTGTCCGGGTGTTGATTTCTGTGGATAGAGCACCATATCGTAGGGAGCATCTCCGGCAAGAATGACTCTGGAAGACATGTCGAAAACGCAGCAAGGGGTATAGATTTACCGATATTCTGAGAAATATAACTGCGAAAAGGTTGTTTTTGCTGAGATGGAGGATTAGGCCTTCATGCCGTAGGCGCTCTGCATCGTACTTTGACCCACCAGATACTCGTTAGCCAGAGTGGATCTGTGGCAGTGAAGCGCGTTGTCCAACTCATCTTGTTCATGTGGCTCATCATTGTCGTTTGTATGAAATTGTAGATTTGAACAAGCATGCGAATTGACGAGGTTGGATAGTTGTAAAAAGGAATGATATTCGACGACCGATGAGAACGGAACCGTGGATCTTTGGCCGATTAGTGCCATTTCTGATACATATTTTCCCATGCCAGTGTGTTCGTGACAATGCTCTTATTTTTAGCAGCCATATCTGCTGTACTCTGATTGTTTAGCTACACCTTTACTCGTGATCCTCGATCCTTGTCGTGTAACAGCTGTCCTAATGCGTGTCATTATCCGGGCCATCGGGGATGCGCCGTAGCGGACATTTCTCCGCATTTCATTCTATGAGACCGAATACTTATAGTAGGCAGTATACCATGATGCGGCACTCCAATATCGAATTCTGGAAGAGGCATTTCTATTAGGGCGATTGCAGATCATGTTGACCTGCGAGGAAGTCGAAAAGCATAACAGCCGAGAATCCTGCTGGATTGCCATTCATGGTTCTGTCTACAATGTAACAGGTATTTCTCATTTGCAATTTTTACTTCAACTATTGACATATACAGACTTCATAGATTCCCATCCCGGAGGCCCCGAGGTCCTTCTACGATGTGCCGGCAAAGATGCCACCGACGACTTTGATGCGGTCCATGATATCCGGTTATTGAACCAATCCCTCTCACCTTCTGCTTGCCTCGGACGTATCGACTCGGGTAGACTGGCCAAGTCTGCGGACCAGGGGGCCAACGCATCTCCTTCTGACGAAAACATACCTCCGCCCCTAGCCCACATCATCAACCTGCACGATTTCGAAGAAATTGCTAAGCAGCATCTCTCGCCTAATGCCTGGGCATACTACTCTTCCGGTGCCGACGATGAATTAACTAAGCGAGAAAATGCGCAGTCTTACCAACAAGTCCTCCTGCGTCCGCGCATCTTGCGCAACATCCCCGCTGTCGACACTACAACCACACTCCTGGGGCATCAGGTCTCTCTCCCGGTGTACATATCAGCTGTGGGACTTGCGAAACTGGCACATCCTGAAGGAGAATGCGCCCTCGCCAGAGCTGCAGGCAAAGAAGGACTGGCACAAGTTCTAGCCAACGGGTCGAGTATCCCCATCGAAAATGTGAGGGAGGCCCGGGTCAATGATGACCAGCCTCTTTTCTGCCAATTATATGTGAACCGGGATATTAGTAGGTCCGAGGAACATATTCGACGAGCTGAAAAGGCCGGAGCGAGTGCTATCTGGCTCACTGTTGACTCTCCGGTCGTTGGCAAGCGGGAGATGGATGAAAGGGTGAACTTGGCCGTTCAGGTATGCCTACACCAAGATTATCCTCTATTTACTAATGTTGTAGGCCCGCGATAATCAAACCAGCGGTGCAGGCGTCGCTAAGACCAGGGCCAGCACTATCTCTCCCTTCATCGACTGGGGCATCCTAACTTGGATGCGCAACCTTACAAAACTCCCGATAGTAATCAAAGGCATCCAGACCGTCGAGGATGCGATTATGGCCTACGAAAACGGCGTGCAAGGAATCGTCCTCTCCAACCACGGAGGCAGATCCCAAGATACCGCGCAACCACCTCTCCTGACGCTACTTGAAATCCGGCGGCACGCGCCGTTCCTACTGCGGAGTCGCATGCAAATCTTCATCGATGGGGGGATTCGTCGGGGAACGGACGTGCTCAAGGCGCTCGCATTGGGTGCTACGGCAGTTGGACTTGGTCGGCCGTTTCTGTATAGTTTAGCGTCGGGATATGGCGAGGAGGGAGTTCGACGGGCGGTTACTATCCTGAGGCAGGAGATCGAGGCCAATATGGTGTTTCTAGGCGTCACAAATCTCTCTGAATTGGGTGAACATTTACTGAACACAGCACGACTGGAGAGGGATGTAGCTAGATCTGTCAAGCTGTAGCAATATCGATCCATACCCTTGTCGATACAAGGGATATACAACCCCGGATATGCAATACCCCACGCTCGGACTTGTGCCGACATCTCCGCATGTAAATATAAGGAAGACATCGACATTCCGAATGTAGCATTAGGCATCATGAGTGACAAAATTGACGTTCTTCTTTACGGCCTGGGGGCGTGAGTATCCCAGTCGAAGAGGTTGTGTAAATACTAACCTAAAGACAGCATTGGCTCTTTCTACGCTTTCATCCTGCAGCGAAATGCAAATGTTCGGTTGACTGTGGTAGCTCGGTCGAATTATGACGCAGTGAAAAACGATGTATGCTGAACAATTCTCTTGCGAATTCAATCCACGCTGATGAGATAGGGCATCCTCATCAATAGCGCAAACCATGGACAGCATCGCTTCCAGCCATGCACAGGTATGTGTACAGCTAGTAGGAGATGGACATTGTTAACGGCATAACAGTGGTGAAATCGCCATCCGAACTTACCGGACCATTTGACTACATCGTTCTCGCGCACAAAGCCATCGACCAAGATGCTGTTGCATCGCAACTACAATCCGTCAAAGCATCGACACTAGTCATCATTCAGAATGGCGTGGGCAATGAAGAACCATTCCGGAGAACCCATCCGGATAGTTCAATAGTTACCTGCGTGGTAAGCATCCCATCCCATCAAGCGGATGGCAGGTAGTTGACGCTGGCAGACCTGGGTCGGTGCAACCCAAATCCAACCCGGCCAGATCGAACACACCCAATCCGAAGACCTCCAAATCGGCTTATATCCCAACAGCACGGTCGACAGCAACCTTGAGGAATCCCGTCTCTCAACACTCGCGTCCCTTCTCGAAACAGGCCGTACGCGATTCCAACTCCTCTCCCCGGCCGATATCCAACGCCAACGATGGGAAAAGCTCGTTTGGAATGCAGCCTGGAACTCCGCCACTGCTTTGGCGATGGTGGACACGCAGACATGGCTGCATTCTTCTTCTGAGGCTATGAGTTCCACGCGCAGATTAATGCGGGAGGTGATCGATGTCGGTCGTGCGTGCGGTGTGAAGCTGGAGTATAAATTGATTGACAATTTGGTCGACAAGATTCTCGCTATGCCCGGGATTGGGAGTAGTATGCAGACGGATTGCAGGAACGGACGACCGTTGGAGATTGATGTTATCCTGGGAGTGCCTGTGAAACAGGCGAGAGAGTTGGGGATAGAGATGCCGACGCTTGAGGTGGTTTATGCATTGGTCAAGGCTATTGATACACGATTGCGCGCCAATATATAAACTTCTCTCCCAAAATTGGGACGAAATTTGTTGTCAAAATGGAATGTGGATTGCAAATTCTTCTGTTATACAGCTCAAAAAATAAGTCACCAACTACAATAGGACACATTATATATGCCCACGTCTGAACTGCTGGTGACCACGTTTGAACACCTTCGTAGACCCCTTCAACGGCGGCGCCGGAGGCGTCAGATCCTTCCCAGAATCCGGCGGTCCCGTAAAGGCGCCATTGTTACACGAGTCATTCATATCATGGCACTTATTCTCCCAGATATGGCAATTCTGACCCCCTGTCGGATACGCTGTCTCCCAGCATTCATCATTTTGTTCCCAGCATTTATCGACAGCCTGTATTGCGTTAGCTTCCCGTGTGATATGGATGGACAACAAATACATACAGCCCAGCAACCTTGTTGGTCGTTGTATGACGGGACTTCAAAGGCGCACCAATTATCGCGCTCGAGTATGCACCCGTCTGGTTTGAGGCCAATTTGCTGAACCATGGGAGCGCGTTTGTCCGCAGATCGCTTGGACTGCTCTGATTGATAGACCGGAGGGCCGTACATTGGGTACGGCGGCAGTGGGTCCTGGTAGATGTTGTAGGTCATACCCGGGGTATCCAAGTCATACGTGCCTTCACCAATAGACACAGTGGGCGGACTGGCCGTGCCTGAAGATTGCACAAAGACTTGGGCACATCCGACATAGAACTGTGGATCAGGGGGGGTTTCCTGCGCTGAGTGCAGGGCCAGCAATTCAGGCCGCACAAGGTAATACCCAGCCTGGATATCATCCGGAATGACAACAGACAAGTGGCCATCATTGTCGATTATCCTCTCCGTACACCATTCACCTGCAGACGCATCGTAATCAGATTGCCAGATTTTGAACCATCCATCACCCGCCGCGTTGTTGTCGGCCGTCGCATCGTCCACCCTCTTCATGTACACAGCACAAGGTCCTTTGTGGCTCCGGTCCAAGACCCCCGGCTGCGAGCCATCGGCGTATTCGCGGAACTCGAATGTCAGCGTCGACGACGATCTCGCAGGGCACACACGCGCGACGCCTTTCTCACCATCGATTCCTGTCCACGTCAGTCAACCATTCCACCAGAAAGTCTAACATTCGTCTCGCGTACCGCACGCAACATCCCCACTGGTCAACGGCTCAATAGGAAACGTCGCAGTCTTAGCATCCCGATTCATTCGGACGCAAACTCCGTCACCCTGGTTTTGTCCATCGACGTATAGCGTCGTAAATGCAGTATGTGCTGCGGCCAAGCCGATCAAAGGCAGAACTGCGAGGATATGCATATTGTTTGCTGCGTCGAGTACGGAATACGCATTCGACGGGGTTGGCTACCGCTGTTTATACGGTGGGAATCATTGCTCCTGGAATATATTTAGGGGAGCCATGATGCATCCTGCAAGGCACGTATACTATGTCTAATTGATCTGTCTCTCGTTTCGGGCATCTGGATTGTTCGCAAACAAAAGGGTGGGAGGCGCATGGGATGTATCACATCGATGAACTATGCTTCCCAGATGAACCCCAGGGCAGTGGCGATTTCGACTTGGCCAGAGTACAGAGTACAGGGTTGACTACCACTACATACCAGTACGCTTATGGAAATGCTTCCGAGCGTGGTGTGCACGCGATGATCCGTAGTGACAAGCACAGGCCATGCTAGCCGGTCAATTGGAGAAGCATAGTATCCGGACTGTGTACTCCGCATATCCAACTCCATATAGACCAAAATTGAGACAGCCGGCGTGTCTTCGGTGAAATCCCAGAACGGTATCCAGACCATTACCCCATTCGGTCGTTCTCGAAGGCCACGACGCAGCGTAGAATCGTATTCTTGCAGCGATCGACAAAATACGCACTAAGAAAGGGCACAACGGCCCGGAAAAATAAGCAAGCACATCATAAATTAAACTCAGCGGCACAAACAAGCAATGCAGCAAAGTTTTGCTAATTCCAGGGTCCAAGTTGGGGATACAATAGGGCAGCACCCATACCGGAAAGGACACGACGGAATACGCACACCCCCATAATGGTGACGAATACGCGACCCTCACTAAGCATCGGGTGAGGAGATTTAAGGTTATGTTTTATCTAAGGTGCGTACAAGTGCCGGATCGTATTCCGTATTCTGTCAACCGCGTGCTCCACTGAGATATACGGAATACGGCGTATACGGAGGCTTTACCGAGTACGGTTGACACATGGGCCGAGCAAGTATACGGTTCACTGTATACCATGGAATATTGTCGAGAACGGGTTTCACTGCGTATACTTATAGAGCCGGTTCTGCTTCTTGTGGTTTTCTGGAATCAATTGTTCAGAACAAAAACACATAATGCCTTCCGTATCCTCTGTCTCCCTTGCCGTCGCCATTCTGGTGGCCGGCTACCTCAGCGCCCTCTGCACGACGCCGCCAAATCCCAGCCCGGATAAAGCAAAGCGCTATAAATCCGACCGCGCTGGAATCATGGCCGGTACTTTCCCATGGGTCGTCAAGCATGTACAAATCGTCGTCTTCGCCTACCACGCCCTCGTTACCCTCCTCTATACTCCCGAGAACAATGCGCAACTGCATTCAATCTGCCCACACCCCGAGAACCTCCCTCCTGCCCTCTTCACCTGGAATGAGCGCATGTACAAGATTCTATTCGTCATCTTCCTAGGTGCTTTCATCCGCCTCTCCGCATACGGGGGTCTCGGCCGCAACTTCACCTTCCACCTCTCAAACCCAGACCATCTCGTCACAGACGGGGTGTACAAATACCTGCAACACCCGAGCTATACCGGCGCAGCACTCGTAACCTTCGGGATGGCCGGACTGTTAACGCGATGGGACACAGCAGCCGGCGCATGCTGGATGCAGCCGTCGACGCTGGCAATGTTGAACGGATATGGATGGTTGTTCACCGCTGCTTGGGGGATTTTCTTGTTTAGTGTGTTGGGAGTTCGTGTGAGGGATGAGGAAACCATGTTGCGGGGGCAGTTTGGAAAGGAGTGGGAGGAGTGGCATGCGAAGACTAAGAGGTTTATTCCTTTTGTCGTCTAATCTTGTCGTTTGACCCTCGAGCCATGAACCCGGCTAAGCAACCACGTGGTCAACCAAATACGAATATGGGGCTAAACAATAACCCTTTCTCTCCTCTCCTTCCCGACGAGCCTCCTCGGTTCTCTTTCCCTGCAAACCAAAATCGACTTGGCAGAGCCACGGACCACAATGAGTGGAGCCCAAGTCATCAACGTCGATCCCTACGGACCGAGTACAGAATTCGTGAGCGTGCATCGCCGTCGGTTGATTACCCAAATCCTCAAGGCGATACGCAGGGATAAAGTATCCGAGGGCCATGGCCGCGGAAAGTTCCAGTTCCCTTCGGCCACCTGGTTCTCTCTGTGGCTCTCCGACATGGATTGCTTGGAGGAGGTTGCAACCGCGTTTGACCAGAACCCAAGAAGGGTCTCAGGTCTTTACACAATGACGGGGTCATTCGGCCGGTGGCCTTGTGTAGGTTGCTTCCTCTCCTACACTGCACATTTGACTGACCTGAGACAGGGTTTCCGAATTTGCCGGCTGCCCCCGAGTCTTCGCCGAAACGCCACAGGCTTGAAGATACACCTGATTACAACTGCAAGATTACCATGCACAGAGATGTGCGTGTTAGCCAACTGCAACAACCATGAGAGGATGATAATCGATACAGTGCATGAACAGCCTCTGTAAACTGACAAATCACATACCCTCTGGAGGCGGCTCAGATATGTCCGTTGTCGCTCGCAAAGCAAAACCAAGATTACTCGGAACGATTCATTAATTTCACCCGCTTTTTCTGTCTTCCAGTCGACGGAGAAAGTCGGCAAGTGGTTGCACTCTATCAAAAAGAACGCGGAAACTGTCGCTAACTCTGTCGCCCTAACACTCTCCACACACAACTTTTGGGAGAAGGCATTATTTGTTTTGGGGCCCATTTTCGTGGATAACGAGAAAGCCGAGATGGGGCTGAAATTCTACTGGTTGCAGGTCGTCTCCCCTTTAGAGGATGACTATTGCGGATATAATTGAGCGTGAAGTGAGAGAGCTACAATCCTCGGTAGCGTTGCTGGTATACGATTGTATGGAAAGATTTCTGGTAGTCTCTAATATTTAACGCGATTACTCGCTGGTACAAGCATGGAATCGGTCCTTTCTTGGTAGACGGTCTCTTCCATCAACACTGGCTGTATTACGTTTTTCTAATCTCTTCAAAAGATCTATATCCTTCTATATATCTCTTGATCTTGTTACGATGATATTTCACGAGGTCCGGTAAAATGCTTCCGCCCATGTATAATCCAGTGACCTACCGAGATAATAACAATGATGGCGAAGGCAACAATACAATAATCTACCTAATTAGCACAATTCCACAACAGGAGAACGGCACTCACTCATGCTACTCCCAGTGACCGGCCGTCCAGGCGGAAACAAAAATAGCACCGTCGTCAGGGCGATATACGACAAGCCAAGCTACATTCCATTCATCAGCACGGCACTTTGTACAACATGACAGATAACTCGACAACTCACGATATCCGCCAGCCACCCCATACCAGACGATAACTTCCACGCTCGCGGGGGGAGAAGATTCCGGCCGCGGAGACAGTTGACGGCGATGGGCATTGCGTAGGATAAGTCTAGGGCGACGACAGATGACGAAACGATGGCGTTGAATGCGCTGACCATAATTAATATTGTTGACATGCGAATGCGCGGGGGAGCATACCTTGAGGACCCCAAGAAGATTAATCCGAAGATAATCACGACAGCTGTTGTCAGAATAAGTCCATTCAATGGCAATCCCATTCGAGGGTGGACTTGGGCAAGCCATCGCGATGCCGGCAATCCACCATCCCTAACTTATTAGCTACAGTAGTGACCGGGCGAAGGAAACAAACCTGGAAAACGCATAAATCATCCGACTACTCGTCGTCATAACACTTGTTGTCGCAAATGCAAGACAAACGAGCGGCAGCATCAACAAGCAAATAGCCCCAGCAGTATTATTCGTTGCGTGTATAAGAATCTGCAACAAAGGCCCGGCCTTTGAGCTGGTAATTGCGTTGATATCACCGGCCACGAACAGTAATACTATGAGAAATATGGCACCGGTGAAGGTGCCAATACCAACGCAGTATACCATCACTTTTGGTCCTTCGCTGCGGGGATTGGGGATTTCTTCGATCATGTGGGCCACGGAGTCCTGTGCTGTAAGTATAGTTCAGAGACAAAAGGAAAGAGACATACAAATGCAGTCACTCCGAGTCCTCCTTGTAATAACTGTCTACGTTAGAGTTGCTTCCATATCGGATTGGATACATACTCCGAGTAACCAGGCGATTCCATCCGGCCCTGTTCATCAGCATCGCAACTAGTAGTTCTCGTATACTGTACTTACATCCTGTTTTATTTACAAAATCGCAGAACACGAAGCTTTCTTGATCAGACCAGCATGGTCATCAACGGAATGGTCACTTACTATGCCGAGTTATAGTCTGGAGAAGCGCAGGCAAGGACCGTGATAGATACAACGGCGAAACCACCGATCGACCAGATGACTGAACATTTAGTATTATTCAACCCAGGGCAAGGGGCAAGCATACAAGCACCGCGATAAACTGTTGGTAATATGGAATTCCCAAATGCATTAATCACAAACGCTCCAAGTGTAAAGCCGATATACACGAGGAATTGTTGCCAGCGTTGACTCTCAAAGCTCTAATTCATCAGCACCACCCTGCGAAGGTTGCAAAGGGCTTACTGGATGCAGGGAAGCTATGATTCCCATGATCAACTCGCTAGAGAGAAGTGAGTTTGTTGCAACGAGAGCGACCTGTTCATTAGCTAGCCATCACTACTTCGAGCAACGTGACTCACCCATCCGGCGACATTGATCCAGCCCGTGATCCAAGACAGGATTGGGATCCATTTCGGCCACGACACTAGACCGTTAGACGTCGCCCAGATCCATTGTTCGTTAACATACCGACTACCTGGTTAGCTTGATCGTTTCAATGCCAAGAGAAGAGGATATCTACCTGCGACCCAATGATATTGCCCACCCGCCCTAGTCAGTTAGCGGTATTCATGAGCAGAGACATGTGCAACCTACGAAGGGTAGGCAGAAAGAAACTCGGCCAGCGACGCGGCAATGCACAGGTTACATATGCCAGCTGTGACGAGGCCTGTGCCTGCATTAGCATTGTCCAAGTAGATAGATGCTGACATACCCCAGACAACACTCGTGCTTCCCCCGGATGTCAGACTGATTGATAAACTGGCCGAGAGAGCTGTCCACGACTGCTTATGTTAACGGTAAATGAATCCGAAGCGATACAGAAACGCACGTTTAGCACTGCAAAGGCCAAGCCAAGCATCGACCTGGTTGGTTTAGTACCACAACAAGCGAAGCGATATCAATGTATATATCGGTAGCCTACCAAGTGGAAAAGTTGCGCCGTAGTTCGGGACTGCGCTCGGAATTGCTGTCGGTGTCCTTCATACTGAACCTATTGAAACGATCAATCATGGAGCATGATAAGATACTTAATCCAGTTCAACTGGGTAGCACCGCATATATATTATTGCAAGATTGCATCTGATATCAGACCGATAAGAAGCGGAGACATACCAAAGTACGCGAATCGGTGAGATCCGAGGTTTCCCCTCTGTCTATCACCAGCCTTAACTCAGCTGGTTAGGTACAAGCGAGATACTGATAGCTACTCTGTATGCGAAGCAATATTGTCTTCCCCGCGTGGATAGTTATCGCCATCATCCCTAATCCATATGATCCAAGGCGATGCAAAACGCTCCTTGCAGTTCCACAATGTGACGCTGTACAGGGAACAGCGCATTCCCCTCCCTCCCTCGGATCGTCCATTCATTCTTCAGCTGCCTTGGCTCTTGCATCGTCATGTGGATGGACCAAAGGCGGTGCAGGAACCATTGATAGTCTATTGATCTGTATGCTTGCTTTTTCTCCGGTGATCGTCGGTGGGTAGTGTCGGTGGTAAGAACTATTTAATCAAGCGTGGCATCCCCCATTTCCAGCACTCGGTAATCATACTTCTGTAATAATCCAACTCGGCATCTCGGCTGATTCTCAGAATGCGCGCTCTTTCGATATCGGCTCTTCTGGCCGGGTGGGCTATCCACGGCTGTTCCGGGCACATACCACGACCCCGGGCGGACGGTGAGACCTGTACCAAAGCCACAGTGGCCGTTCTGTAAGTCTATCCCCGGGTAGTAAAGACAAAACTAACCGGAGTAGCGGAGGGGGGATGGCGGGTATCACGGCGGCGGTATGTCTCAACACCCAGTAGAAGGGGCAATTGCTCATACAATACAGCAAGCGTTGCATAATGCCTCGATCGACGATTATGTGATTCTCGAGTATCGCGATCGAATTGGTGGACGAGTGTGGAATACGGATTTTGGTGAGGACAAAGAGGGGAATCCGTATAGTCTTGAATTTGGTGCAAATTGGGTATGTCTCGTGCTGGTGTGACGGTGCATCGACTGACTCGGATAGCTCCAAGGTGTTGGTTCTGAGACTACTGGTAAGACAGATCGTCCCGAGTTGAGAACGCTGGCTGACGACAGTAGAAAATCCCGTGTGGGCTCTGGTGAGCATCCCGAACAAGCGTTTTGCGCTGGTCTCTAACCCGATAGGCCAAAAAATACAACCTCAAAAACCACTATTCAAATTACAGCTCCATCCTCACCTACAACGAGACCGGCTACACCGATTACAGTCATCTGCTAGATGTCTACAGCGAGGTCTCCACAAAGGCCGGTGAAAATGCCGGCCGTATCTTGACCGAGAACCTGCAGGATCAAACCGCTCGCACTGGCCTTGCTGTTGCTGGTTGGAGACCACGAAAGGATGATATGGCAGCCCAGGCTGTTGAATGGTGGAGCTGGGGTATGATTATGAAAGCCATGAGAGGAATGCGTCGCTAACGTGGCTAGACTGGGAGGATTCATTCTCCCCCGAAACCAGCTCGTTCGTTTTTGGCGTCGCTGGCGAAAACCTCACCTTTAACCAGTTTGGAGAGAATAACAACTTGGTAATTGACCCCCGTGGATATCGCCAGATCATCACCGGGGAAGCATCATCGTTCCTCCAGCCCGACGACCACCGACTCCATCTCAACACCCAGGTGTCGGAAATTGAGTACAGCCCGCATGGCGTGACCATCCACAACAAGGATGGCACCTGCGTGTCTGCCGCGTACGCAATCTGCACGTTCTCTCTGGGCGTGTTGCAGAACGACGCCGTCAAGTTCACCCCCGCTCTCCCGCCGTGGAAACAAACCGCCATCCACAAGTTCAACATGGGCACGTACACCAAGATCTTCATGCAGTTCAACGAGACCTTCTGGCCCGAAGACACGCAGTACTTCCTGTACGCCTCGCCCACCACCCGTGGCTACTATCCTGTATTCCAATCTCTCTCGACCGAAGGCTTCCTCCCGGGCTCGAACATCATCTTTGTCACTGTCGTTTCCGAACAAGCCTACCGCGTCGAGCAACAATCCGACGAGGAGACCAAGGAAGAAGTTCTCGAAGTCCTGCGCGAAATGTTCCCGGACAAGGATATTCCTGATCCAATTGACTTCGGATACCCCCGCTGGACGAAAGAGGAATGGTCCTTCGGTAGTTACTCCAACTGGCCGGCAGGCACAACGCTAGAGATGCACCAGAACTTGCGCGCCAATGCGGACCGTCTGTGGTTCGCAGGCGAGGCAACCAGCGCGGCATACTTTGGTTTCCTGCATGGTGCGTGGTTTGAAGGCAAAGAGGCTGGTGAGCAGGTAGCGGCTGTGCTGCAGGGTCGCTGTGCAGAGGTGGAGGGAGTCAACGAAGATTGCACCGGACGGGTGCACTATAGCCCGCTACATGGTACAACTCCGGAAGATGCGTACAGTGCTGAGAATGGGTGGCTGGTGGATAGTGTGACCGTGACGGCGTAATTGCATTTCGCATTTAATAGCGTAGCATAGACAGCTGGTATTGTCACTAGATTGTCGCTAATTCATGATATCTAAGAACCATAAGCCATAATTCATTTAATCAACGCCAAACCCCGCCTGTAAAGAGATCATTGAACTTCGTAAGCCTCCAACGCCCGTTCGACATCCTGCAAGCTATCCTTGTGTCCGTATGCATCCATCAATTGCTTGTTCCGTTTGAGCCGCTCCTCTTCTCTAATCCGAGTCTCGATTCGGGCATTCATCGCTGATGGAGAGTAGTAATTTGAGACTCCGAATCCTGCAGAAGCTGTTAGTGGTTGTCGTTTGCATGGAGGATCATGTCTCAAGTGACGAACCGATACTGATCAGAGCCATCACAGGGAGATACCTAATATATGATCAGTTACGGTGGTCTTATACAGTGCAGACAAGAAAGACATACCACCGTCCAATAGGACCTGGGCGTGGTTGAGAGGGGATATGATTAGGGATGGCGGAGTTCATCTGTATAGTTTGTGTTCTTGTGTATGGAGCTGCAGGGCTTGTTAACACAGCCAACTAGAGAGAAATAGGCTGTTAAATATGTAGAAAAGTCGAAAGCATGTCGGAATGTAGCCTAAATCAACTGATGATAATGATGTCGTTATGGCCTGACGCCGATCATATGATCTCCTTCCTGTTTCAGCATTGCGATCGAATACATCAAACATCGCTAGTCCCATCACCCGGGCCCTATCTTTCCTGTCTTCATTTCTTCTCTCTTTCTTGTTGCTATTTTGTCAACCATCTCTATGTTTTTTTCTATGTGCGATGATGGTCTCGTCCACGCTTCTTCCTCATGTATATCCTACTTATAACACGTCTACCGCGACGACTGGTTGAATCAAGCTTGAATGGGTGGAATCATAAGGTAAATGCTAGTAAAAGCATTGAATATCCTTGAAATATGAGGGTGCTGGCCAGCTAGACGGTGCCATTTTGTCAGCCGAGACAATGACGTTGGGTAAGAACGTGCCTAGGGCGCCTAGCGAACCGCAAGTCTCGAAGACATAGTGGTGTTTAAAGGTGCGTGGTTATGAGCATTAAGTTCACAAAGTGACTGGGCCGTCATATTGAGGCCAGGACCTCAATTTTCAAGTCAACGAGGACGGGGTGTAGAGAGGGAAATGGGGATTCGCGATTTGCACCGCGCTGTGTGACAGGCACTGCCGTCAAGCTCGTCCAAAGATGACAGATTTTGTCTTGGGAACTCCTCCAGTCTCCATCTAGACCCAAACTGGCCCCAGCCGTTGTTCCATCGGTCCCCTTGGGGCAGTGATTCCTCATTGTGGACCGTCATCAAGTTAATGTGAGGGGTGCCGGTGTTGATCACCTCACCCACATCAAGGCGTGATAGTGATTGCTGGAGATCAGGGACGTTGGAGTCTGTGGCCCACGATTTCGGTAATGCGGAAGTTTTCATCTTGACCTATCGACGGTCAGTAGCCCGCACATTGGCCCATAGGATTCTGTTGGGTAAAAATATTTCCTGATTCGCGCATCTAACCTTCACCAGGGACGTGATTGTTGTGGGTGTCTTGTAGTTCGAGACACTCTGGACTGTCATCTCAGTGTAGAGAAAGTGAAGTTCCTGGGGGCCGAGAAGGATTGAGGAAGAGGTCTAGGCGCAGAACTGAAGGACTGCAGGTTATAAGAGACCTGGGGTGTTCTACTGTTGGATGGGCTTGATTATAGTGTATGCGCCTGAGTTGACTGTTTGTGGAGTGGATTCAGCTCGTTGTCATAGTCCGACTACACGTGAAACAACGTAACAGTATCCCTATATATACCAATTACCTGTTTGAAGTAAAAAACAATGGCATGGTCACTCTCGAAACGTCCCGGGCCGGTAATTACCGACAGGACTGAAGCCATCCTTTTGCGTTAGTCGAGTTCCATGGAATATGGATTGACGGATGCCTTGTCCCACGGACAAGTGATATAATGGGATACTCCGACACCGAGACGATCCGGTATGCCGCGGTGCTAGTATACCATCTGAATATCATTTAAGACCCGAAATATGTTCCGGGAAAAGAGCCCAAATGGACTACTGAGAACCTAGTTGAGATAGCGACAGCCCGATATCGAACTAAAACCGAAACCAATCTCCGAACTCCATGCAGCATCAAGAGCTATGACAGAACCACAGGCTTGTTGTTCCAAGTCCAAGCTCGTCATTTCACGTATGGCTGAAAGACAGATTAGCAATAGTTATGAATTGGACTTATCAACTTGATGACAATACACCATAACTGATATGTCGCTCCGGAGCCCAATGGCAGGGAGTTCTCCGGCCAGCATCGGTAGTGTTGTGGTCTCTTTTGTCCATTGCCACCGCTATGTATGTGATATTAATCTGTTTGCAGGATTATCATTGCAGAAACAGGTTGAATACTACAGACGAACCAATAAATATCAAGCTATCCGCACTGGTAGATGACCAACTTGTTATCGTACGTATGAGAAGAGATCGGAATTTGCTATTCCCCGTTATCATGCGCACAGAGGATGCACATAACGTGGAATTAAGCGGGAGGGGAGGTCAGCTAGTCTGGCCATGGGTAAGTCATGCAGCCGGGGGATTGGAGGAACGAGAGTTCTGGTCATGTTATTACGGGTCAAACAGGTCAGACCGATCTGAGTAGATGGCCATGGAGATGCTAAAGCGAGTGTCTGTGGTGAAGTTTTTGAGGACAGCGTAAGCCGTCTTGTGAGGAATTTTTGATGCAGGGTTTATTGATATTCTCCCCAAATGATGTATTTCTTTTTTGAGATTGTTAGGAGATTACAATCGAGTTCAGCTCTGCTGCGGGACATGTACAGTACTTTGAAGTGTGTAGTTGTAGGTATACGTTATGATGTGGATATCTTATTGTTCTTTATCGGATGTATCTAGGGGGCAGGTATGTAAAAATATGTTTAATGCCCCAAGTTTTGGGGAGCGGCCAACGCAGGTCCTTCGGGGGTGACATATGCCTGTCTAATGTTAGTAACAATTATGAGATATTCAGTGACCAACATACCTTGCTCATTCCACCGTCAACAACAAAGTCTGTTCCGTTGACGAAGCTGCTCTCGTCACTAGCCAGGAAGACGACGGCGTGGGCCTGCTCGATGGCCTCACCAAAACGGCCGGTGGGGAAGTGAACCTCACGACGGAAACGCTTGGCCTGGTCGTCACCGAGCCAGTCTTGGAGAAGGGGGGTGCTATTGGGGTCAGCAATGAGCAAGCTAGGTTGTTACGCTAGAGACATACTTCAAAGGAGCAGGGCACAGGGCATTGAAGCGGAATCCCTCACGAGCGTGCACAATAGCCAACTCACGAGTCATCGCCAACACAGCGCCCTTGCTAGCAGTGTATGCCAACTGCGGCGTGGCAGCACCAACCAAAGCAACCACACTCGCCGTGTTGATGATACTACCCCTCGTCTTCTTGTTCCTCCGCATACTCTGCACAGCATGCTTGCTACCGAACCACACACCCTTAACATTAATGTTGTGCGTCAAATCCCAGATCTTCTCCGGGGTATCAATAGCATCAGCATCGTCTGCGTGCATAATGCCGGCGTTGTTGAAGATAACGTCCGTTCCACCCCAGCTATCCTGCGAGTCGACCATGCGCTGCACGTCGGATTCCTTGGAGACGTCGCACTTGATTGTTTCGACGCGGGGAGCTGTGGGAACGACTTCCTTCAGCTTGGCCTGGGCTTTCTCGAGTGCGGGTTCGGAGATGTCGGCCATGAGAACGTTGGCGCCTTCGCGGGCGAAGAGGATGGAGGTTTCGAGACCAATGCCACTGTCCGAGTCAATATGGTAAATATTGAGTTGATTGTAAGGATACGCACCCCGCGGCACCGGTGATGATGGCATTCTTGCCTTGGAGACGTCCACGAGGAGCAGCCATTGTGTTCTATCGGAGGTCAGTAATGCGGGGTAGTCGGAGGCTAGGAAGTAGCAATTTGAAGATGCAGAGTCTGGTAAGAGGAACAAGTATGTACTCTGTTGAAGAATTAGGTCTTGGATATAGTGATCGAGTAGTGTATATGCTCAATGGCAGGGGGAGAGAGAAGGTTAACAGCTCAGTTGGAAACGCGGGGCACGTGGAGTAGATTAGATAAGCCAGATACGGAGCATATCCTGATGTAGTATTATGTACAACCATTGCAGAAGCAATTGCATACAGATCGATAGTTAGCGATTATCTGATTTGTCACTATCTCCGAGAATCCAATTGATTCGTATATAGCTCCGTATATGGCCTAATCTGGGGAAGTCCTGACTCCTGAGGCACCGTCGCTATCACCGGGGGTTGACCGCTGATAAGCGGCCCCGATGATCTCCCCTCCCGTTTCACCTCCCTCCCCCCTCGTCGCCAATTCTGTGAATTGCTGCTAGCTCTCTAATTGTGAATAACCTGGACTCAATTGACAGATCGATATATAGCACAATTAGCCACAACCATGTCTGAAGTCACAGTGGACAATGTCGCCGAAATCCTCCTGAACGACTCCGCCGTGAAGGTGGCTGGTGTCGACGTCGACGGCCAGCTGCGCGGCAAGCTGATGGCTAAGAAAAAGTTCCTCTCCGTTGTCACTGAGGGATTCGGGTTCTGTTCCGTGATCTTTGGCTGGGATATGCACGACCAGACATACTTCAAGGAGCTGGGGATTAGCAACAGCGAGAACGGTTATCGGGATATTGTTGCGGTGCCGGATCTGAGCAGCTTCCGGAGGATTCCTTGGGAGAACAATGTGCCGTTCTTTCTGGTTAGCTTCTATGACCCGGACACGCGCGCGCCGCTGTTCGCTTGTCCTAGGGGCTTGTTGAGTACAGCTGCCAGCAAGGCTGAGAAGGCCGGGTATCAAGCTATGGCGGGTGGTAAGTTCCAAGCAACCGGATTATGAAGAGCTAGGCTGATCTGTATAGCGGAGTACGAATTCTACCAGTTCCGGGCCCCAGGGAACCATCCCACTCCCGAGCGCAATGCGTCGTCGACAGCCACCTTCCTCAAGGAGAACCCCGTCGAAGCGCTTCCCCCATTGACCGAAGGCATGTTTGGGTATAGTATAACGCGGCCGATTCACAACCAGGATTACTATTACGGTGTTTTCAACGCGTGCGAGAGCTTCAGATGTGAGATCGAGGGATGGCATACTGAGAGTGGACCTGGTGTTTATGAGGCTGTAAGTGGTCCTTAAGTGGGTTGGGAATGTCGTTGCTTATACTTCTAGGCACTGCAATTTGGAGAAGCGAAAGAGATGGCAGACAAAGCTGGTTTGTTCAAGTATGTTGTTAAGGCGATCGGCACCAAGCATGGCATCACCCCCGCCTTCATGGCCAAACCTCGTCAAGGTTTGCCTGGAAATAGCGGCCACATTCATATCTCGTTGATGAAGGACGGAAAAAATGCTTTCTTCCGCGACACACCCGACCCGTCGCCGCCGTACGCAGACGTGGCGCATCTATCGGACCTGGGGCGACACTTCCTGGCTGGAGTTCTCACCGGACTTCCGGACATTATGCCACTGTTCGCCCCCACGGTAAACTCCTACAAGCGTCTGGTTGAAAATTTCTGGGCTCCGGTGACAGTGTCCTGGGGTTTGGAACACCGAGCAGCGTCCGTTCGAGTCATCACACCGCCCACGGCTAGTCCCAAGGCTACTCGGTTAGAGGTGCGGGTACCCGGGGCGGATTGCAACCCACATCTTGCCCTGGCGGCGATTGTCGCATTGGGATGGAAGGGTGTGGAGAAGAAGCTGGAGATCCCGGTCCCACCATTGTCCAAGGGCGAAGATATGGGTGGTGCTAGCGACCAAGGTGTTCGACTAGCTAAATCGCTCAAGGAGGCTACCGTTCGGTTTATGGAGAAGGACAGTATGGCGCGCGAGGTGTTTGGGGATGCATTTGTTGAGCATTTCGGAGGGACTCGGGAGCATGAAGTACGCTTATGGGAGGAGGCTGTTACTGATTGGTACGTTCCCTTGCTCGTTTCCGTGTTTACAAGACCTGAAAGCTAACTGTCGCAGGGAGGTGAGACGTTATATCGAAACGGTTTAGTCGTAAGGACCGCGAGGATATGTATATAGTCGGAACGAATAATGAGCTCGTGATTCAATGTCCATGTTCTAGACCATACCACTGTAGCCAGACAGCTCCGGCTGTACATATTACTTGCTTGTGAGATCACATGTCTACCGGCCGATATCGATGTACTCCGGAATACTCTATGCCCATATCCCCATATCCCCCCGAACGAATGCCCTCCGGAATCGGGAGGATTCGGTCCACAAGGGAAAAACAGTAGACTTTCCGTACCGAAAATCACCGAGCAAAGCCCTTGCTTTATGGTGATGTTGTAGAGTCATACTGACGTTTGAGCCGCGGCTATCGGATATGCGGGGATCGGTAGTCACAATAGCTAATATAGCTCTCTATCTGTGAAGACACATCGAATTAGACATGGAATGTGTGTGTAGATAGATATCAATTGCACTGCTACAGCTATTCTATTTGTCTTACTGCCTCGTACAGCATTGTAGAACCCGATGTTTGTACTCCTACACCGGAGGAGGGGAGCGATAAGAGTCATGGGCGTATTACCGGTGTTACCCTGTCGGCCGATATTTCAGCGATCTACCAATGAGCGGATATAGAGCACGCGGGCGGTCGGTAATGATACTGTCTCCGCGGAAAAGTCACGTGTTTTACCATGCCTTATCAGTCAACTTCCGCTCATCCAGGACGAAAACGGAAGGACCAGGTATGGATAGTAGTGGTAGGGTGGCCATGGGCCGCGGCTCATGGGTCTGACGTAGTCCTTGCTCGGTTATCGTGGCTATATAGTAGATAAACATCCCTCGTCCATTCACCTCTGGGTTACGCTAACTGCATTTCTCTTTTTTTCATACTACACAACTATCAACATGGTTAACGTCGACGCTCAGCTCAAGGACGTCGCCGTCCTCGGAGCTCTTAACGATGACACCCGCAAGATCCTCACCAAGGATGCTTGCGCTTTCCTCGCCATCCTCCACCGGACCTTTAACCCGACCCGCAAGGCCCTCCTGCAGCGCCGTATCGACCGACAGGCCGAGATCGACAAGGGCAACCTGCTCGATTTCCTCCCGCAGACCAAGCACATCCGAGAGAATGACGCCTGGAAGGGCGCCCCCCCGGCCCCCGGACTTGTTGACCGTCGCGTCGAAATTACCGGTCCCACCGACCGCAAGATGGTCGTGAACGCGCTCAACTCGGACGTGTGGACCTACATGGCCGACTTCGAAGACTCGAGTGCGCCCACCTGGGACAACATGATCAACGGCCAGGTCAACCTGTACGACGCCATCCGTCGCCAGGTGGACTTCAAGCAGGGCAACAAGGAGTACAAGCTGCGGACTGACCGGACGCTGCCCACACTGATTGCCCGTGCTCGTGGCTGGCACCTCGATGAGAAGCACTTCACCGTTGACGGCGAGCCCATCTCCGGATCGCTGTTCGACTTTGGTCTCTACTTCTTCCACAACGCCAAGGAGCTTGTTGCCCGTGGGTACGGTCCGTACTTCTACCTGCCCAAGATGGAATCGCACCTTGAGGCTCGTCTCTGGAACGATGCGTTCAACCTTGCTCAGGACTACGTTGGTATTCCCCGGGGTACCATCCGCGGTACTGTGTTGATTGAGACTATCACTGCTGCTTTTGAGATGGATGAGATCATTTACGAGCTCCGCGACCACAGCTCCGGTCTTAACTGTGGTCGTTGGGACTACATTTTCTCGTTCATCAAGCGTCACCGCCAGAACCCCAACTTTGTCCTGCCTGACCGTTCGGATGTTACTATGACTGTTCCTTTCATGGACGCCTACGTTAAGCTCTTGATTAAGACCTGCCACCGTCGTGGTGTTCACGCTATGGTAAGCTTCCTATATCCTGCTGTGATTGATCAATGCTAACTTTGCAGGGTGGTATGGCTGCTCAAATCCCCGTCAAAGACAACCCCGCTGCCAACGACAAGGCCATGGAGGGCGTCCGTGCCGACAAGCTCCGTGAAGTCCGTGCTGGTCACGACGGTACCTGGGTTGCTCACCCCGCTCTGGCTGCTATTGCCTCGGAAGTCTTCAACAAGCACATGCCCACTCCTAACCAACTCTTCGTCCGTCGTGAGGACGTCAACATTGGCGCTAACGACCTCCTGAACACCAACGTCCCCGGTAAGATCACCGAGGATGGCATCCGCAAGAACCTGAACATCGGTCTGTCCTACATGGAAGGCTGGCTCCGCGGCGTCGGCTGTGTCCCGATCAACTATCTGATGGAAGATGCCGCCACCGCCGAAGTCTCCCGCTCGCAGCTCTGGCAATGGTCGCGCCACAACGCTTCCACCGCGGAAGGCAAGAAGATCGACAAGGCCTACGCTCTGCGCCTTCTGCAGGAGCAGGCCGACAGCCTTGCCGCCAGCGGCCCGCGGGGCAACAAGTTCCAGCTTGCTGCTCGGTACTTTGCTACACAGGTTACCGGTGAGGAGTATGCTGAGTTCTTGACGAGTCTGTTGTACAATGAGATCTCGTCTGCTGGTAGCGCTGCGAAGCTTTGAGGTGTGAGGATGGTTTACGAGATATGATTCCCCTGTATGTTAGGCTTAATTATTGTTCAATTTGTGATTTCATCGTAATTTGTAGCATGACTTGTACGAGTATGCATTTATTCGTTAAGAGTATACTCTGTAGGCCAATGTCGACCTCGACACCAACGAGCGATCCTCAGCGTCTGATCTACCAGCACCACCAACGCCCACGTTCGAGCCCTGTACACCTCATCCGTACTATCGACGATATTCAGCGAGTCAACTTGTCCAGCTAGGAATAGTTCATAATTTTTGATAGGTACGAGAAGCAGGGAACATGATAACATTCAAACCCAAAAGGTTGTGGCCTGCCATTGGGGCGCCGACGAAGTTTATTAGGACACCACGTTCATTATTGGGGAATACAGGAATCGGGATGGAGAGAGGATGAATATGGCGGAGTGGGAGCGTTGGAAGGGGGCATTTTGGGAGAAGAGGAGAGAGATTGTTCAGGAGATGCAGGGAGACTGTTAAGGAGAGTACCAGATGTGAGGGTTATCGAAAAGGACAGCGGAAGAAGGGACCAAAACACGTCCACGAGCAAGTGAGTCATGCTTAGTGAGTAGCCATGTGAATCAGCTACTCATTCGCCCTTATGTGCAGGTTCGACGACCACATCCATAGCTACCATATCTGGGAATTTCATGGAACCTCTCACGCCAACATACCTGAAAAAAACTGACACAAGAAAGGACTCGGTAAAGTGAAAGGTCTGCCATGCCCTGTATATGAATGTCTTGAAATACAGCAAATAGTCGAAGATGGCATTCAATGAATTGGATATAGCAATGAATGTTGAATAACAGTTCACCGGTTTTTCTCCTTCGAGAAGATACTTTCTCGCTACATGTAGACCATACTAGGTTATGCGATTAATTTTTGGGTCTTCAAAAAGGCAGCTCAGTTTAGTCATGCACCTTGCTAATATGACTATACACTTTAGCTTCAGTGAGTAGCCTCGTACGTGTGTATTGTAGAGCAGAGTTGCTCGTTGGTGAGAACATGTACTGGAGATATAGGGTTAGGGCTTTTCAGAAACAAGAACTTGTGAAATTCGCCTCTCCTACGCCACTTAACAGGCTCCATCTTCCTCTCTGTCGGCAGTTCCCCGCTCTCGATTTTTCTTTGTCTGATTTCATTTTGAAGCGCCATCTTCATCATGCGCCCAGTACCGCATATCCAAGAAGGACTGCTTATGTGGCTGTTATCCGTGATGCGAAACTGAGGTGTGACGGACTCCGAGGCAAGATCAGCTGGATCGTGTTTCTCACTTGGGTTATTGTGGAAGTAGGATGCGGCATCTACAACGATACGTCCATCAATCTTCACATGATTGTGGTCAGCAGTGATTAGGTGTTTTGGCAAAACATATGCTTACATTACGTTCAACCTCATTTTTGCCAACTGTGTACTGAATCAATCCTGAGTACGCTATGTGGTGAAATCCGTGAAGGTCCCAGAATCCACGGCCCCGGGCAATGGCCCTAGCCTCCACCTCTTCCTTCAAAAGATGGAATGACGCCGGGAACGCGTTCAGTTCGGTGATGGCTCGTGTGCCAGCGTAGTTGCAGATAGCAAGCATCCCGTTCGCGTATCCAAAGCGCTCAACGAGACGATAATATTCGCACAGTATAGGTCTATATGGACCAATTTGCTAAATACATTTCTATGATGCTTCACCACATTGATAAGCTCATTTCGCCACTGCAACAGCACACCGGACCTCAAAACAATCTTTTCTGGTCCGGCCGAGTGTTTCGATTAACATATTGCTAGTCTCCTCCATCCGCTTATACAGGGCGTTGTCTCCCGCACAGTGGCCATCCTGCCATTCAAAGCTCGCACCGTTCCAAAAATACATGGGCCCCTGCATGTCCTCAAGCTCCCACCGCTGCTGCTGAACCCCCGTGTCGTTATTATCAGGCTGTAGCTCTGGCAGCGGGTTGATGACAATGAACAGTCTATTAAAACGCTCATACCAATCAAAGAAAGCGGGCAGTGGGTCTGGATCTCGGTTTTTCTCTAGAAGGGCCCTTGGTATTGCAATGCGGGTAAAGTATATCCCAGGACAATTAAGAGCTCGGTAAAGAAGATCCGGTTGGAATGTTCGATCATAAGGTTCGCTAATGAAGTCGTCCCATTTTTCCAGCGGGACATATAAGGTGTCCAGCAATGGATGAAATGGGCGCACGAAGATAAGTTCATCCTTGCGGGAGAATAACTTAAGGCCCTGCCCACGAACCCAGGCTGAGGAAATACTGTGGGATTCGCGGCTGACAAAGTAGCCCGGAACATCGATTTTGACAGGGTCTAACAACTCATGGCGGAACTCAAAAGCCAGATTAAGCTCGTCGTTGTCAGGGTCGTAGCCCTGTTCACCCTCTACAACGCGTCGAGGACACCAGCACCCTTTTTTGTAGAAGTACAGTAGTTGTCCAATTTTGTCCGGCAAGGCGTCCTGCCATATCTGGTTGCGGAGCTCTGCGGGGAGTCTTGAGAAGAGCGGAAATTCAGCTTGTGTTTTCATGGCGGCCAGGTGTCTGACATGCAAATGCGTAATGTAATATAATAAGATAGAAGAGAGCTCAGAGGAAGAGGCCAGATAGTATAAAGAATGTTGTTGAAAATAACAGAGTCAGTACTATAGTGACCGAGGCTGACTTTTGATCTGCAGGAATTGGTGGCTGTGCCACTCAGCTCTAATGAGGGCTTGTATTCGGCTGTGTTAGTATTTTACAATGCTTGCTGGATATTAGGGAGTGAACTACATAATGTAAATGCTTCACTGCGTGAAGTTTGAATGAAAAACTTCTCATGTGATCAAGGCAAGAAATTCACTTTAAACCTGTCTGATGGCTACTTAGTCAAAAAATCTCGCTGTGAAATCATCACTCTAGTCAGTGGCACCTATGCTATATCCTAGCTGGTTAGTATGATGTTCAAACTAGCGATGATTCAATCATTGACATAACATACACTACATGACAAGCGAGATCTTCTTTGCACCAGTCAACTTTGTGCATGGTCCATAAGGACACTACATTAATCCTGTTCTATCTCAAATCATGCCAGACAGTGTCATGTGTACGCGTGCAAATTCCCCAACAGTCAAAGGGTTGACAATAGTCAACAAACAGCATATCACTGAATACCATCTGTCACAAATGAGCACACTGCTGAATATAGAAATTGAAGCGCTAATATTGTGTCAAGACAAGTGGGCTTGCTTTTTGAATTGGCCCTGGATAACCACAAGCTCATGCCTACAAGAGGATCATGGTGTAAAAGTGGAAAGTTTCACTTGTGAAAAAATGAAAGTCTGTTTGGCGCTGGCTATCTCCGCGACCTGTACTTTCATTATTTCAAGTAGGGATTGAATGTGTGGGAGGTCATTGCTGACCCAAAGCTGTGTTCTGACTCCATAACGATCACAAGAAGCGATATTAGGGCACCTCCTGTTGTTTCATGGCACACAAGTATCTGACACATCGTGCATTCCACAAATCTCGAAGACCATTTGGCATTCAGCTCTGCTGCGATCTCAATTGGGGTTATTTCCTTTACAAGATCTCACATCTGGAGATACGATGAAGAAATGACCGGTGTTCACAATCGAAAAGCATCCTTCGGTTTCGACGTTCACCTAGGCCACCATGCCAAACCGTAACTTGACAGACAGACAGCTTCCATGTTGTCCCAGGCAACAAGAACCTCCTCGGAATAGCCGTGGGGCTGAGAGCTGACAGCCACAATGCCACGATATGAACGAGGTCGAAGAGTAGGAAGGCGTTTGACGAAGATAGGGGTGAAGGAAAATAGGACGAGAGAAGATCAAAAGTAGTCCATGCCGGAAGATTGACATTTTGCATTATTAGCCGTATGTGGTATTTGCATACTTGCGTTTGACAACCAAACCTAGTAAAGTCTATGCTGTCAACCGTGGTTCGTAAAATATAGGCTCGTTGCTACATTATTGCGGCTCCTGGTGGTACGTTCTGAGGACACAGGGATAAAGGAAAGCAAGAATGTCATTCTAAGTATATTAAAATGAAATGTTACAGTGCCGAAAAACGATGCTCATAATCCGAATACGTCGCTGCCATGTCGGGTCGACCGTCATGACAACCCCCCATCGCTTCCGCTACAATCCCAAGCTCGCGAGCTACCCCTTAACCAACGTAACCGATCTCCTTGGCTTGCATTTGTCAGGGTCCTCCCAATACCAAGCCGCGGGACAGACCGCTTCGGCCGCCTGGCCAGCCCAAGTCTACGAGGGCAGTTGTACGAGCTCATGCAACACGAATCCTTGGCCCGCGGCAAGCGAAGCCCACTCACTGGATTACAGGAGAGCCAAGTTGGGGAAGAGCCCTAAGATGGTCCTGGAGGTTCTCAAAATTGGTCGTGGTGCCTGGAGCCGGTTCGACATGATTCCGAGGCTTGGCTTTTTTTCTCGGGTAAGTTTTTAAGACACTGCATAAGCTATATCTGGATGCGGATGCGATGTGTAAGCGTTACTTGTGGAAATCATTCAAGTATAATCATTAATTCGTGACTATTATCTATTGTTATATACAGTTGGGGAAACCCCGTATGGTACAATGCAGCAGCTAACTTGGCAAGTCGGTCCACTCCGGTACCCTCATGGGCAAGTACTTGTAGCTGTAGTCCAGCAAGTCGTCCTTTCGACGCCGCCATCAACTCCCAGGGCTAGCGACGAAGCACCGGTACAAGGTGCTGGATGCAAGCCGACTGACAATGTTCCGACATAGTCAAAGTGCCACGAAGTAACCCTGCCCGAACAGGCCAGCTCTCTAAATATAGCGAGATATTGGGGCATCGCAAGACCAGCGAAGCGACAACATGTGCCGCGCCGGCAATGTGGACAGAACAGACCACGTTGCAGTGGCCAGCGTATGGCCCCGAAGACCCAATGGAGCATGTTTGTAACCGACCACCGCATTGCCTATCCCCGCATTATTTAGGTAATGAAAACGAGGCCGGATGTGGAGTTGCCGAAAAGGGTTATATGAGGGATTATCTCGCTGTCCGGGGAAATCGTTTCAGAGTTTGGAGAAAAAGACACGGATCGGCATGCGACATGAATCGAACGCCTGCCGCTGTGCGTACAAACATCGTTTATTCCGGTTTGGCGCAGGTGAAAACACCCCGGACTGTTCCGGCTTTGTAGTTGTTCATCTGGATCTCGTTAGCAGCTGTCTGAGAAAGACGGGTAGGATGAGGCTCACAATATCAGTGACACTGGCATAGGTACCAGCCACCAGCACCACAATACCAATCAAGAACACACAGATGTTGACCGCTCCCAGAGCCAGGTTGCGGGGCTCGGTCCACTTGCCCTCCTTGAGGAGAAGGAACCACATCAGGGCGGGGAAGTAGAAGGTGAAGCCGGAGATGAAGAGGGACGAGGAGATGGACAGAAGGTCGTCGAAGAAGGGAATGACCTCCGCAATGACAAATGCGACGATGGTGGCGATGGTGATGACGACCAACCAGGTAATCCAGCCCATCGGGCTGTTGATAAACCGGATGGGCGAGTTCTTGTAGATGCGACCGTGAACCAAGCGACCCAGGACGACGGTGTTGATGGAGCCACTGATGAAGATGACGGGCAGGGCGACGCCGAACGCGATGCGGCTGATCAGGCTTCCTGCAGAAAGCAGCGCGGGACTCTCGACGCCGGAACCGACAAAGGCGTAGACCAAGGCACCGGTCAGGGTGTAGATGACGATTTCCACAATTCCCAGGGCCCAGATAGACTTGATGTATTCCTTGGGGGTATGCATCTCGTCCATGAAGGAGAACTGGCACATGGCGAAACTGTAGGCGAAGATGATGTTGGTCAAGGCGACAAAGGCATCCGCAAAAGTAGTACCCGGCTTAGGCCAGGCAGACCAATCAACAGCCGCCAGCCCGCCGGGGGCGTTGGTGGACTCGACACCGGTCGCGATGATGGTTATGCCAATGGCGAGGATAATGGAGGCAAAGTCGACGTATCCGAGAATAGCGACTTCTGCGAAGCTGGGAGGAACGGCGACCAACAGCAGAATAACAGCGGAGACTACGGCGAAGACGACGGAGCAGACATCGCTCTGCGTGATGTTCTGGAAAGCAATAGTACCGGTGAGGGTGTGGGAGCCCGTGAGGAACAGCAGCTGCAGGACCAACATGAAAGTGACAAGCTCATAGCCAAAACGACCCATCATAAGCTTCCCCGCGTCGGCATAGTTGGCAACCAACGGAAACTTCAGCTTCACCTGACCGACCAGGTAACTGGTGTATATGGCAACAAAGCCGATGCCCACGGTACAGATGATGCCCGCGACCATGCCCAAGGTTGCGAAAGTGGAAGGAATCGACAAACTTCCGAGGGCAATGGCCTCGACGATGAGGACAATGGTGAGACGCTTCCAACCCAGACGATTGAATTTTTGCACACCGTGCTCGTAGATATGCTGTTCACGCTCACTGATCTCACCGATCATATCGCCATCGTAGACGGGCGGCGGGTTCACCTCGCCCTGCTTCTCGCCGTAAGGCTCCATGGCCTTGTGGGTGGAGTGGTCGGAGATGTCTTCGGAGGAGCCCATGATCGAAAGCGGATGTAGGGAAGGGAAAATGAGGGCCGGGAATGCAAGAGGAAAGGATTCTGAGTTGCGGGGAGACAGGAAAGCGAGGGAAGAGACGGGGTAATAAAGATTTAGAACAGCCGGCGCAAATGCGGCACATTTGCCCGTCGCGTGTCTCAGTATCTGTCATTGTATGATGTGGTTCGCCACGCCAGGAACGAATTTATCTCCAGACGGTATCATTGGCTACATCTAGGGCTGAGAGTTCTTGTTAGTAACAAGGTTGACTGGCTGTTATCTTGACTTGGGCGTGGAGAAAACTGCATTGGGTTAGACACCCCCGGTGCCATCGGCCATTGTCCGTAACGTTATCTCTTTCAGCCGATGAATAATGATTAATGCTACAATGCACCCACTCTCCCCAGATATTGGACTATTAACTCAACTTAAGCTACGTGCCGGCCGCTTAGTTGGAGTAGTCTGTCTTGTTGGGGTAGGGGGTGACCACCGGCGGATCCCGGCTGCCGTATGTTTCTTGAACATGTCTTTTATCTCGTACGCGTAGTGAGCACTTCGGAGTAAAGCTATTCTGGTTTATCTATTCGGAAATTTAAACTCGGTCGTTTTTCTGGTCGTATCATGCCTTGACCGGTCGGAGATAAACACTATTCAGCTGTCAAGAAACTCAGTTCGAGACATTTTCTAACACGATTGATCCTCAAGCCAGCTGTATTATCTCCAAACCCACACGAATTCAGGCCCTGAATCATGGCCTAACTTCTCCAAGGCAACAACATCATGCATGCCAAGTATCAGCTTGCGCTCCGAATGATGCTTGTCTCGTTCGCTGAACAATTCTTCGGCTGCAGAGCCTGTACATAATGAAAATACAAACAGCCTGTCGTTGTTGGCTTCTCCAACCCTCCATTTCCCCTGCCTGACGTTAATGAGATCATCGATCATCATGTCCATATCCGCGGACCACGGAGAGTGTGCGGACACCGTTGCAGGTCGGGCACAACGGCGGTGACTCGCTTGTTGAAATTGTCGCCGATGCCATGTCTTGTCAAAGTTTGTTGGGGTTTGTCACCGGTCTCCCCGGAAAATGCTAAGACTCGTTTGCATCAATGTAACGCCGGAAATGTTTCATTTACGGGAAATGCATATGATCTGCATTGCAAGTGACCGGATTAAGGTCGCGGCACGTTTGCCTCGTTTTTCAAGCACGGGGAGATGACCCGCCTTTATGAACTCATTGGAGACAACCCCGGAACCACATATGTCTGCCACTGTCATCCAAACATTTATCGATTTAGCCGGGAAGTTCCTGTGCACCCAATAGCCTTTTCTTATATCGAAGCCCGTGTTGTCAGTATTGGTTCATAGAAGCCTCCCGGGATCTCCGGCGCCTGAGCTTGTGGCTCAACATGCCGCTTTGATTCGGATATTGCTGGAAATGGTTCTAACTTCATCGGCTTGCCTCTGTCTCGCTGAATGACTTACGGACTCGCCGGGGATATCTTTTTCGACATTCGTTCGTAGTTTGAGTTTCGTCGCGATACATCGATAGAAGTGGGATCCCTGGTTGGGAATGGCTCCCCTCAAAAGGAATGCATTTTCCCTTCGTTGAAAGTGTCGGTTCCTATATTCCTGTAATATATAATGTTTAGGCTTTCGTTAGACCTTTGCAATGTTATTTCTGTGTTTGCCATGCTTACAGTAGAAGTTTCTACGCACCGTCTCACTATATATATCGGTTCCCGAGCATGATGTCTTACTGGCCCAACGGTAGGCCTTCCGGCTCGGGTAGCTGCTCTATGAGTATGGTTTGCGAGAAACTCAGGCTGATGACCGATGGGGATATGTGAAGGCATCTATCCGTTTGTATCAGAAACTTACCGATTGGATCGCACGTGAGTGCTTAGTCAAGGTATAAGACAGTGCCCGAATCTGTCTAGGGACTCCAATGCCCGTAGGTTCCTATCTGGTGATATAGCCAAGGACTTGCCGATTTCACCTCTAGTGTCTTCACGATGCGCACCTAAGTCGGACTCCATATCTTGACAGTATCGTCCCATGCTTATGGAGCCAAAAGCTTGCCGTCTAGTGGAAAGGCCACTTCATTGATGTCGAAAACTGTCCCTTAGTGTCTGTAAACCAGCTTCTCAAATTTGCCTACATTAGGCCCCTGGGAGAGGTACTTTGGGATAGCGTCCTGGGTGGCATTTCTTACAACACTGGTTTTTGGTGCGCATAAAAGAGCCGAAGAATAAACTTCAAGCGGCGCTTTTTCGATAACTGATACTTTTTCAGAGCGAAGCGATCGGAATAGCGTAGAAATTGGGATATGGCAAATCTTTCGAATTCTGCGGCCTGAACTATAATCAGCATAATAGCAAACCAGTTCTTTCATTTTGTTGGCGACTTACCTTACCCCTTTCACGCTAAGCTCTGTGGTTAAATCAACGGCCTCAAAATGTCCGGTTGAAGTCAGCACGCCCATTACTTACAGCCACCTAAGAATGCTTCGATGAAGAGAGTCGTATATCTTGTGCATCTTGCATGGCTTTGAGACACCGGGTCCGGTACTGACCCGTGTATCGGAGACGCATAAGACGCTCGTTTCGTAACGCTGCGTCCTTGCTCTCAAGATGACCTGACTCCAGGAACGTTGTAACTATTGAGATGCAGTAGTCCAGCAGTAGTTGAAGTATTTGACGAGGGCCCCCACAAATATTGAGACATCACGTCTCCGGAGGAAAAGAAGTAAAGCACCAGGGCGAATATGACAGGTACAAGACTAGGCATAGCAACGGTCAAATGGTTTAGGAATTCAACAGTGACTTGTCGTGGGTACTTGTCGCACTTGTTTTCCAGCAAATCCAGGAGCATTCGATTGTACCTGATATCTTGTCCAGCCGAAAAGAGCTTGTCTAGAACAGACTGTCCTCGTCAACTATTTTGCGCTTTGTCTTTGCATCGTTCAACAATAATACTGTCAAGGCAATCTATAGAAATGTTCCGCTGGCTCGCTCAGTCAGAATGGTACAAAAAAAAGTCCCCTTCTAGCTCGTGGTGATTTTTGACAAGCTGTCATATGCCGTCATCTATCCTACGACCATTTTTTTCTATATCAAGATTAATCGCAAAGTCTGCCTGCACATAAAAATCTAAATACTAACTGAGGATAACCGTTTTGAAGCTATTCTGGCCATTTTGGGGAGACGTTCGCGTCTCTTTCATACCTGGTCTACCAACTCTCTTTTAGAATTATTATCGCATTCATCCAAGCTATCCAACCCAAGGTAGAAATTGTGAAACGCAATTCTGTTTCGAATCATGTCATCTAAAAATACCCAGAGGCTTCCAAAATTGGATTGACTGAACATATCTGACTCGAGACCTAAAAATCTGTTGAGGACGACTTTCCACGGGTACTCTAATTCTTCAACGCCAGCATTTTATTCAAAAGGCTCAGAACCATTGCAAGACCGGTGCTTAATCTGATGTTTCTCGTGTCACACTGGCATTTCAACACTGGAGGTTCTCAGTGTTCTCTAAGGCTCTGAATGAACTTGTCGACAAGAACAAGAAACTCGGAAAGATGAGTCTTGCCCTTGCTAGGACACCCACATATCCAGAAGCTGTTCTCCCCATTGTGCTTCCAGGGCTCGAACATGTGATCTTTCAGCAGTCCATTTGCAGGCATCAGGAGCCCTTTTTTTGCCTTGCGACTTCTGTCACGTAGTTTCAAAATTGGAGCTGCCTTGATTTCTCTCGTCTGATCGGTATTCATAGACGTCATTGAGAATAAACCCGTGCAAGGTAAGCATGTTGCAAATAGACATAATGGAACGTGTTGGAGATGTGGTAACAACAAACAGCCATTGGCACAGGATATCTCAATAACGCTGATCTGAAGTGCTGGGCGTATATGCTACGAAAGGCCAAAAGACTTGGATCACTGTTGATAGCATGAATGGACTTACAAGTGCTACAAACCAATGGCCCAGTTGGTAGAGATGAATGTAAATCTGTCGACTTCCTCAAAATCGAAAATAACATGACCCGTCCAGTCACCTCCCAGGTAAACTCCCCTGTCTCTGGGATAGACTTTGCCTCTCTTCTTGTGTATCATTCCATGGAATTTGTGTTGGTGTTCATTCTGATACACTTCCCTTTCAACTTTTTTTGGACTGGCGAAGGCTACAAACTGAAGACTTTGACGATGAGCATGCTATTTTTTTTTTTTTTTTAAAAAAAAAAAAAGCACCGTTGTCCTCGGTTTCGAGGAAGAGATACGGTCTGTGTTCTGTTATCTTGAAAATTATATCCGCCGTCTCCCTATCTTCTCACTGCGTTATGTTCATCTGGCTCATTGAAAGACTTTTGCTTCAGGCGCCTTGTTCCAGCTCTCCAGTGATGGCTTCGTGAGCTGTGGACCACAATGCGTGTTCGTTTTAGGAGATTTAACCAGGGGATTCTCTGGGCGTTGAACATCGATATAATTGAGCAAAAGCGTTCTTATTCATTGAAAAACTACAATCGTATATTCTATGATATTTTCTATGTGTTCCCACAGTTCCTTGCAATGTCATGGTATGCCGAAGAACTGTCGGGAGTGAAAGAGAGCGAGACAGTCAAAACCCTTTATTGACACCTTCCCATTCGGGCCAGTCCCTTTTTGCCCGTAACAAGACACCAGGCCATGAAGCTGGTGGTGCTTTCTGAGGCTGCTTCAGTGCCTGGTCAACGACAACATCCCCTAGAATCTTTTCAATACCAAGTCGTGGAAATAACTCTTCAGCAGCATTTCGAAAATCCTGGCTTTCCTGATCCAACTGAGTACCAAAGTCGATAAGAACTGCCTGACGGACAAGACGGGCAAGAACACTAATACGCTCCGCAATACCTGGGCTAGTATGCAGGGCAATTGCCTGCCAGATCTCGTGTACATCTAACTCGGCGACTTTGTGTTCGCGAAGATAGTCTGCGGCTGCATCAGCGCCTTCGACTTCGAACCGCTGAGGACCATCGAATTGGGTGGCGCAGCCGATGTCATGGAAAATGCAGGCTACGAAGAGAAAACTCCGTTTTTCGTGAGCCCAATGTGACTGAGATGCTTTAGCAAACCATTCTGCAATTCGAAAGACACGGACACTGTGGTTGAGAATGGCGGGGGGTAGACACGATAGCGCGAGGTTGTAGGCGCCCCGGGAGAGAGTATCCGACGGTAGGCATTCTGGATATTTGTTGGAACCAGTTGATTGATCAGAAATGGCTGCAAGTGGTGGACACATGGTGAATAAGGACTCAGATGAGTAAAAGAAACATGGTTGCAGTCGAAAGAGTAAGGCAGAAATGTAAACTAATCAAACAAGCAAACAATGCAAACCCAATAATTATCGCGGTAAATATATATTGTACTGAGACCTGTACGCGCATCTGGTTCACAGGAACAGTTTCTATACACTGCAGGTTAGTTAAATGCTTATAACACCATTTATTCCCCCCCTAACAAGGTCAAGATATCTCAAATATGTTTCATGGACTGAGATGTGGTAGCTGTGAAATTGTTGGCATGGATGAACTCAATGATTTTGATGACCTGCCGCACCCGGATACATTGTTCTGCCAGCTGTGGCAAGATGATACCCTGTGGAAGAGCTGTGAAACATAAGGTGACAACCTATCTCTAGATGCAGCTAAATCTCCTATGCCGGGTTTAGCTATACAAAATGGGCAATGTGAGTTTCCGCAGAAATTCACTTCAGAAGGTAATGCATACACACACAACGGCTGCCAGGAAGATAGTATCAATGGAACATCTTCATCACCTGGCAAAAACTTCATCAGTACCTATGCACAGCAGTCCTTCAAGTATTGACGGGGCCACCTTTGAGCATGCTTCCCTAGAAGGGATCGCCACTGTTTTCAACGAAAACCTTTGTGGTTTTATTTCAAATGTTTCGACCCAGAATGATGGAGAAACTGTCTGGAAAGCCGCTGTAACTACGACTTTTCTGCTTTGGGGAGGGCTGGTTAATTGTCTAATGAGCCTAGATGTCTCTTTAATGGTAGTTTATTATTTTGCGATGGCATTGTTTAATGCAAGAATCAATCCAGCTGATCCACTTCGACATATCACCTTCGATAACGGACCTACCCTGATTCTGCCGAACTCTGAATTAACCATGAAAGGCGTCAAGGATGAGACTATTGGGAAGGCCTTTGGCACTGAAGTATATGAGGCGATCAGGGATAGCATGTGCAGAGGATGAAAGTAGAGCAAGCGAAGCCGTTAACAGAATGTGTATCAATGATTGTCACGAGGCATGGAGCAATTGTTAATCTATCTCTAGACCTGTATCGTGGTATTGAAATCAGCGGTGAGCTGTACAGCTAAATCCTATGGCATTCTCATTCCTCCTTGACCTTACCTTGAGTGATGTACAGTTTAATTCCGTTTCCTACCACTCCTTGGCCATTAGGAACACCTTCAAGATACATAACACGTTCATCTCCTTCATCACCCGTTTCATATACAGTAACATTGCATCCCTTCCAGAAGGCCGTTTGGTTTTTGCCGATAATCACCGTAACACGGTTTTGGCGTACATCCTCAAAATCCACAGTACCGTCAAGAGGCCTCGGTTCAAAAATTAGATAGTGTATTTGGTAGAGCTCATTGAAGTGCTTTTTATAAAGATAATTCGAATCCAAGGAAGTGAAAGGTTGGAAAGGTTACTCTTGTAACTTGAAATCTTCCATCTTTCATCCCGGGAAGGAAGCCCGCGAGAACATTACTCACCCTCTATACTGCAATGGAATAAACCAGCTTTCTCATTGTGGCCGATGCAGACGGTTGAGTCATAGCCATTTCGATTGGCTTTGATTTCAGAAGCTTGATGAAGTGATGTTCGACAATGACACAACCAAAAGTAAATTTCGAATAGTATCACCTGTCCATTTCACTATGTTCAATTCATCCAGTACAATGTCCAACAATACGAACACAGCAAGTTGGTTTTAAAAACAATATGAAAGGAGACAAACCCTTTCATTGAAGGGAAAATGTACCACAGTTCAATAATCATTTCCTCTTAGCCACTCATCTAAAAGGAGCTCCTTCGCGGTTGGTCTTTTCTCAGGGAGCCAACGCAAAGTCTTCCATAGGAACTGGAGGAAAATCGCCTTATCATTAGACTCAAGCCGGGAGCCACGAATTTCCAGCGACTGCTCTGGAATTTCTATGGAGGCCTTCCAAATACCTACGACAGATTAACAAAACTTGCGAGCAAATATAAATATTCTTACCATTCCTGTCCCAAAGCTTAAGGCTCGCTTCACTTCGTCCAAAAAAATCAACAGGGGTGGTCCCAGAAGAGAAATCATTTCCGCAAACCGCTGAGCGTAGTCTGTCTCATTCTCATGATTTCGACTCTTGAAAAGATGTCCTTGCTCGAACAATGTCCATGCCTGCAATGGAAATGGTTAATAAATGTCAGAACACCCGGTCTGTGCGCTTACCGTCTGGCCCAAGGCCCATATATCAACCTTATTATCCCAATTCATCCCAGCATCGCTTCTGGTTCCCTATATACATTTGGCATTATGAGGCCGGTTTGTTTTTCTTTAGCAAATCGCGCCTCTCCAAAATCGGCAAGATTCGGTTCACTGCTAGTCAAAGGCATCGCACGCGTGGCATAAATTGTGCGATCACATAGCTGCTTTTGAGGGGCGGGCTTGGAAATCTCATCTTCCATTTCCGTAAGGATTGATTCGTCAACAATGCCTAAAAGGATATTGTTTGGCTGCACATCTAAAATTTGATTAGGAAGACCATAGGAGCTGGTAATTAAGGTATTCCTTACCCGTCTGGGTAACTTTGGCTTCATGGAGGTGATCTAGTGCAATATGGACAAATCCGAGGGTAGGTCGAAGGAGATTCTCTGGCAAAGCATCGCCCTCAAGACAATGCATACTATCACGGATTTCGATACCAGCAGGCTGATACAGGAGACATGGATGCATTCCATATGGCCCAATAACTTCAAATGAGTTAGTGACAAGCCGAACATACATTTCACCACCATGAACGTCAATATTAGCTTTCAAGTAATTCGAAGTCTCAACTTCTGGGAGGTGTCGCCTAGTTCGAACGTGCACTTTCAGGACTGAATAGCGCTCCTCACTTCTGCAACATCAGCTCATATTCCGATAAAGTATTTATATGCACTTACCGTAGGTCTTGACATAGCCGTACAGTTGACGATGAGCCGAAGCCAAGCTTAGTTACAACCTGATATCGAGAATTGAAAACTTCACCAATGTGAACTGGATAGTAGCGCTCCTTCAAATAATCCGGAAGAGTTTCTTCTTCGAATTCTTTAGAGGGATCTAAGATATCGAATCCTGAGGTAGGAAAAACGCGTGGTTGGGACATTTGAATAGAGGCCGCTGTCCTGCGCTGGGAAGGCCATAAGGAACTTAGTTTTGAGTGGCTTCGACGTTGCAAGGGTAAAGTCAAATGCCTGATTGTACGGATATATGGGAAAAGCAACCTCATCGTTGCTTAGTATAGAAGAGCTACGACCCCTGAGTATTTACTTACCAGAACCGCGTTCCTGAGCTAGGTTACTTCTAGACGCCTTGCCAGGCAGTGTACTGCCAACTACAGTACCAAGCTGGCGGCGACAGAGAGCTTCAAGGACCTGGTATTATAATCAAAGCTACTACAATGTTCAATTCATTTAAGCGGTTTCACTTTGCTCTAGAGCGGGAAGGAAGATGACAATGGTGTACATGTTGAATAATTCGTTCGTAGAAATGAACAGAGTAAAGATCTTGAAAGTCAAAACGGGTCGATCTGCAGAACTAACGCCGCAACAGGCTGAGCGCTCCTCCAACCAAGTGTAAGCTACCAGTGAAGAAAGCCTGTATGCCGCCTTTTTGGTTGCTTATCTGTTCTGCAAGCTTTATGGCACCCTGAATAGTGGGCTCCGTTGAAATTGCGGTGTCAGGATGCATTTTCTTCCACAGGGAAGAATATATTGTGCAAAGGTCAGGGAAGGGTGTTTCTGGCACTTTGAGTGTTTTGTCTGACGCAACAACAATTAGCTTGATATCCAGTCACAGCTGATATCTGGTTTTTTTTTTTTTTTGTTACCTATTCTCGTATATCCATCCTCCCTCTCCTGGTACGTAGTGAAGATGACATGATCAGGTTTTGCATCATGCTTCACGAGAGCACGCGCTAAAGACTCCAGAAGAGCCACTCCATCACGCTCTTCGGAGAAGTGACTGAAGATAAGAAGACGATGTCTACGACTATTTAGCAACCAGGAGTAAACATGGAAAGTGTGTACTAACTGTGGCACATGTGCAGCATGGACGTTCTTGGCAAACCACTGGGCGGCTTGTTCAAGACTCAGTTCATTATGCGCACCATCCAAAAACCACTGTGAGTTTCCTTGTTCTATTATCTCAAATCTCCCAATCCACGAGAAATTGTCAATGCCCCTAGATATGTCGTCGGCGTCCAACGCATGACCTTTAAGTTGCAGAAACTTCGTAGCCAACTCGAGAGCCAAAGAGCAATTCAATCGCTGCACTGGAACGCTGAGCACCCTACTGTTGGTAGGCAGAATGTTGGAAGAAGAAACGAATGTCAATCCGGTGTTCTTTTCGGCCGCACGCTTCCGTAGGACTTCACTAGGTCCAGCCTCTTGTGTGACAGTGAATGCAGGTGCCCCAGGTTTGAAAATGCCCGCTTTATGCCATGCGATATCCTCGACCGTAGGGCCTAATTGTGCAACGTGGTCCAATCCCAGAGACGTGATAGCAGTCGCAATAGGCCTCCGTATAACGTTCGTGGCGTCAAACTCTCCACCATGGTGTGTTTCGAATATCGCCGCATCAACATTTTCCCTAATGAAGGTGTGGAAAGCCAGCAAAGCTAGAAACTGCAAATAGCGGGGTTGCCTCGAGGCTTCTGCGCATCCTCCTGAGCCTAGCGGTATAAGGGCTTCCCAAACTTCGAAAAAGTATTGTGTAAAGAGATCTTCCGTTATTGGTTTGTCATTGATCTGTATTCTCTCTCGAATGCATTGCAAATCAGGAGAGGTGTATAGCCCGATCCGTGCTGGGAATCCTGTTCTCAACGCATGCGTGCGAAGAAAGGACCGGGTGAAAGCGCAGGTACTTCCCTTTCCCTTCGTCCCGGCAATATGAATTATATTCAATTTGTCTACATCGCTTTCCTAGAATTAGTAAGCACGACTGCGGCGATGCAAACTAGATGTGACTGAGCATCCATACAGAGTGGCCCAGCGCTTGTAACCATTCCTTCATGCCGACTAGACTAGATATCCCCTTTACAGTTGGAACACCGCTGGGGGTCACAGATTCTTGTGTCGTGGAGGGTGTCGCAGGGGTTTTTGGTCGAACTTTCCGTCTTCGCGTCTCAAGGAGCTTCAATGCGTTCTGTTATTTTGTTAGCTCGGACGCATCAAAGTTTTGAGAGGAAAGACCTCATAGCTACGCCGCATTTTTGCAGTATTTTGCAATAGAATAAGTCCGAGCAGCTAATCGTTAAAGGAGGGGACGAGCAAGTTAGGTAAGACGTCAGTTCTGCGGACATTAGAATTTAGGGCGATTGTAGTAACTTGGTGTTTCTGCTTATATAATTAATGACTAATGAATGGTTCTTGCCACGTCGCTAGCGGAGATTGTGCTGAGCATTGGACACTGATGTCTCCTATCGGCAGTACTGATTGGCCATGGTTCTGCAGGATGGGGAGCTGATTAGTGCTTTTGGTAGTCATTGACATTTCCTGCCCGCCAGAAAAACTCTTGACCACGTCGTGTCCCGCGCTACCCGCGGAAAGTAGATTTTATCAGGCGTCCTCAAACAGTTGGCAGGTGCAGGGCTTGTAACACTGCCCACAGGAAAGATTCAACCTATTTCCCGCCCACGGGCAGGACGAAACGATGGCGGACATTTCGCGTGAAATGCCAATGTCAACTTCCAGATAGCTGCAGCTTTCTGGAGTTTCCTCTCTTCTCCCACCCAAAATTTTCAACATTCGTCTCGCGCTCTTTTCTCCCAAATCCAGAAACCATCTTAGGCGCTATTGTGAATTATGTATAATTGTGTCGGCGGTTGTTACATATTCAGATCATATGCTGCTACCTCAGTCTATTTAGATGACTACAAGACACTATTGTTTCACCGATGAAAAGCATTAAATGCAAATTCATGCCCTAGCCACAGCCTAGTTCATCTAATCTTTCTGCAATTTTTCCAAGATGAAATCGTGCCACCGGGAGTTGAACAAGGGAATCCAGTAAACTCGAGATTCTGACACCGTATTTGCTTTTGCCTCTTGACAAGTCCTGACACTCTCCTTCATGGCCCATCATCCACAGGGCATGAGCGATTGAGCATCGCACGAGACCGGCGTTCAAGCCCCCGTTGAGCTTAATGCTATCCAAGGCTGACAATGCTTCCTGCCAGCGAGATTGCCCGTGTAAAGCTCTCGCAAGAGACACCTAGATACGGGAAATGTTGACCTGGCAGTGTAATCTGGAGCGCCAGATGATAAAAACGCCTGTCGGAGGTCCGCCAGAAGAGACCCTGCTTCTGCGTACATCTTCCGCTGCAAAGAGCTTTCTGCAAGTGACATTCGTAGTCTGCCTGACATCCGCATGACTGCACTTTCTCTGTATGCAAGCCAAGCATTGATGTACGGTTCATTGTACTGTTTCAATAGCTGTTTGGTACGGCAGATAGTTTCGCTCTTCCATTGCGCGTCTGAGGATCGCGAAGAGGCTAGAAGTGTTGACGCCAGTTCATGGCGAAACGAAGCTTGTTACCCTTTCTCAAGACACATAGCGTCATATTCACAAAGCACTCGGCTTAATTGTGACATCATTAATCTCCCAATTTCTCCATTTCTGTAAATCCTATCAGCTTTTGGTATCAGTCAGACAAGACACGAAACATACCGAGGCTCAATGTATTTATTCCTTGGAAACGCATGGCAAATCAATAAAAGCATGTGCCATCGCCACTTGCTCACTTCGATGGGTGACAGACGCTGTGTAACACAGTACTGAACCAGTGGATGAATAGAGATATTTCTAAGCCCGTCCGATTCCTTACTGTAAGAAATGAACGAAAACGAAAGAAGCCCTTCAATGGCCATGTCAAATTCAAGGTCGCCTTGTGTGATATTGGTCAGACAGATTTCGACGCCTTCATCTTCTGGACGGAGCTCTACCACTTCGCCGTTGGGGACTTGAACCTCGATGCAAGACCGACTCAGGAATGCATAACGACACCAGAAACGAAAAAAGGAGAAGAAGATTCCTTGCATCGGATGAATCTTGCTCCAATTGCTTGAAGTTAATTTCCCATGCCGTAGATAGCATATGGTATGTGCCTCCAAGAAGCAGTTAGAACCGAAGTAGGTCATTCATGAAAAGCCTGCGATAGTCCTGAAGAGTTTTCTGTCTTGAGCGCACAAATGTCGCCGCTTGTACCAAAGCGAGAGGAAGTAATCCAAGAAGACTCGCAATTTTGCTTGCTTCTTCTTTTTCAATCTGGTTAGGGCAACGAATCCCAGGCCTCTCGAGCAGTAATGGCGTTGCATCGTCGGTCGTCAGGGGATCCAATACATGGCCTTCCTCCGCTAAGCTCTCAATGACAGCTTGGTCGCGACTGGTTATGATGATGTGACCCCAATTTACAGCAGGAAAATATCTGTGAATCGGCACCAAGTTTATATTGTCAGCCTTATTAAAGACTAGGAGCCACTGAGAATTCTCTGGCCTCGATAGCCAGGTTTTGACAGAACAAACTTTGTCCTTTCCCCCTTCCGAGCTGGAGGTCATGCAAGCGACCGAAATCCACTACCAAAGATGCCATTGAAGCTGCATTTAAGAAAGCCACGCCGGTTCTATATGTCGTAAAGCTTTGCACAACAAAATGCAGAGTCGTCTGTGTTCTTCCAGATCCGCCTAAGAAGGAATTTTGGCTACTGATCTTTAGTAAAATGATCCGGTCAACCAATACCCAAACCACACAATGCAAAGCTTCTTCTCCTTCGATCTTTGCCCTGGTCCTCGGCAAAGTATGCCTTCGTGCTTCCCAAGACGTTATCCCTACCACGAAACGACGAGCATGGTGAAATGGGAATGTCATATGGTATCGCAGCTTCTATTCCTTGATCAGAATAGGATGGCGGCTCTTGGATCCTTGTTCATTATCATACCTGTCTTTGGACTAGATTCTGCCTGCCGGGTGGATTCATGGCCTAGTCGCCCAAGAGGCCTTTTAAGTCTGCATAGTATAGGACGGAAAGTGCGGTTTTGAAGAGACTTGAATCTGACAATATTGCGGTGGTCGGAGTACTGGGGGATGGTGATATCTTGAGAAACGTGAAGTGCTGCAGATCTTCTTTTGAAAACCTGATTGGGCAGGCATCAATTCATGAAAGGTATGTGAAGAAAGGCGCGGTTACCAGCTTCTTCATAAAGGGGCCGATGGACGTAAACTCCAGCTCATAGAATGATACAAGACGCATTTTATTTCGTCTTTTAATAAAGCCTTCAGTGATTTCCAAGAGCACTTCAGAGTCCTTCTGGAGAGTCCCTAAGAGAACACGCGGCGGTCTAATTGGAGACCATGCAGAGACAATGTTCGCCAACAGTAACCCCATGCCCGCAAGGCTGCTTCCATTGTGAGGGGTACCTTGCATGGGTGAGAATATACAGTAAACCGTTTCAGGGCTATTAAACTTACCAAGAAGCAAGATCCCACGTACTAATTGTTGTACTTGTTCTTGCTCTTCAGAACAGCCTACCAGCAATGCCTACATTTAGTTTTGCTGATTAGGTCCCGAGGCAATTATTATTATTATTATTTAATGAAGTTTATTGTCTATACCGAGCCCTAGAGCCATGACAGACCATGATTTATGGACTCAAGGCTGACAGCTATTTTATCGTCTTTTGTCCCTATAAGTTCCTGAGGCGTTAGCCCCCTTCTGCAATCTCCTGATCCTTTTCCTCGCCCCAGACCGCCTGTATGCGCAGGGCTTTCGAGCATAGTGCTCTCCTTGTGTTTCAAGCAAGATAGGTGTGGCCTAGGCTGACTCTCAGCTAGGATACCCTCCCTGCTACTCTTCCCCTGTTCTTCTGATTGCTTCCTCCAGTGCTTCCAGTCCCTATTCATCATCTCTTCGGGCCCTTTCCGCTGTTTGCTGTAGGTATGCTCGAGGTAGAGCTGTGCTGGTACTAGCTAGGAATTGTAGCAGCGCCCTGGTAGCTCTGGGCTCTCCCAGAAGTCGCCCTTGTGGGTGCTCTTCTGCGATAGTGGGTCCCATAACTCCATATCGCTCCAAATCCCTGTAGAGCTTGTTTCGTTGGCTCGCCATTTCCGGCATTCAAAGAGAAGATGGTCTATTGTCTCCCTTGGTAGGCCACAATCTCTGCAGGTTGCATCCTCTTGGGTCTGGATTTGATGTAGATATGCTCCAATGGCTGCATGTCCTGACTTCAGTTGAAAGTACCGGCGTGCTAGGTGCTTGGGAGGCACTGCGGCTGTTGGGTCGAGCCGCCAGTTCTTCCATGGCCTGTAGGTCCCGAGGCAATGTATGCGACCTTTTTTGCGACTATCCCACCTAGGCTGTGACAAATGAAAACAATTGGGCGGGCTTTCTCCTATAGGCATGAATAAGCGGGAGAAACGAAAGAGATAGAACCTATTTACTTCGTGGTTGTCCTCAAATTAACCAATTCGGCAGGTAATTTGCAGGATATGCTGCGTAAGTCTTGCTGAGCGGTGGAATTTTTGAGGCGAGCATTGTATCCAAAAGTCATTATCCGGATATTGGGTATTGCCTCGGGCAGTAAGTCTTCCAACCAAAGGAACTCCTTTCTCTCCAACGGAAGTATGGATCGTAGGATCGTGGAGAACAGTAAGTCCTTGCCTGTTTTCACTAGTCATTTTGCGATTCGAAGATCCTACTTTCTAATAATCTGCGGGCATCCAGCCAGTATAAGATTGAAAAACACGAAATAGATACAGGTGTTTAATTTAAGCGAGTTTGCAGTAGCGGCCACGGCGCGGATTTGTCATGAAACAGTACCAATTGTAGGACTAAGGAAGCGCCGGTGATGGCTCATGCGCCGCGCTATAACGATACGCGTAGTTCACCAATGATAGCATTTCTGTCGATGCAGGTTGACTGGAAGAAGAATCGGGCAAAGCATGGCCCGTCGGTCCGCCGTGGACGTGGGGCTTGGATTATCCGTTTGTCACCGCAGTCAAGACGTTTCTACGTAGTTAGCCAAGCCGATAGACCACCGGTCTAATCAACTACTCTAGCACACTAAAAGTCACCTACAACCACATGTGGTGCAGGGCGGTCAAGCGGCGGCTCGCTATCCAAAAGTTATGGGTGGAAAGGCGGCCGTTTCTGGCCTCGAAAGCGGTCATTTTCAGCGTCAATTCCACAGGTCCTCAGATTCTAGTCGTAAACAGCAATTTATACGTCCTGTATTGCCTGACCACCCATGACATGTCTCTCCACACACTCCCCGGATATACCGGCTGTCGGCAGGCCCCGGCGAGGTCTGTGCCATGAAATTGTGCCTTTAATCCGTATACATGAAAGGACCGGGGGGGTCCCTGTAGGATGTCAGACAAGGACATGATATCGAATTTATCCTTGGCCTGGCTCAAATAGCACGGACGCATGCGCATGGGCATGCACAAGGGACATTGTCAGCTTTAAGGTATGGCAACATGGCATGTAAACACTCCTGCTCCCCTCTCTCCTGAGCGGAATAAAATATACGCCACAACTTGCCGGTGCAATCAAACTCCCCCAGATCGGCCCCGCCTCTACATCTCGGCAAACAGAATCTGGGGTAAGTTTTCTCCTCGCCTCATTGACCTATCCGGGGCAAGATGAGATCCTGATTGACATGGTATCCACCACCAGCATACCCTAACCAGTTAAACACTGCGGAATTTATCCGAGCGAGGCCCAAATGCCGACCCCGTGACCCGGATGTTTATCGTATATGCGATGCTCGAATAACAGTTAACATATTCTCATCCCGTTGCTCTGGGCCCTTTTCTTGAGATCGAGCGGCATTTGATAGATCCAAGCTTGGCCTTGATGTCGGGTAATGAACATGATGCATTACCAATCGGCATGCTTAAAAAGTCCGGGGTACTTCAATCTCTCAGCTGATTTCTCATCTGTCATAAATGGGATCATCCTCCTCTTCACTTCTTGTTCAAATCCCACGAGGTGACTGACTGCAACATGGCATTCGGGAATTTGCGTGTATACGTGCTGGCTACGGTGGCATACACTGGCTCCTTTTTATTTGGTAAGTCCTTCCAGGACTTAATTACTTTAGGTTGCGATACTGACAGGCTAGGCTATGATACTGGTGTGATGGGTAGTGTCTTGGAGCTGCCGAGCTTCAAGAGTGATTTTGGTCTTTCCGCCTCAGGAGGGTTTTCAAGCAGCGAGAGTGCGCAGGTCTCGTCCAATGTTGTTTCTCTTCTGACGGCCGGATGTTTCTTCGGTGCCATTCTGGGCGCCTTCGTCAACGAAAAATACGGTCGTCGATACTCCATCATGGGCTTCGATTTGATATTCCTTATCGGTGCCGCCGTGCAAAGCGCTGCAAACGGCTCGCTCTCCTATATCTACGGCGGACGTGTGATTGCAGGATTCGGAATCGGTGGCATGTCCTCCATCACCCCCGTCTTTGTTTCTGAGAATTGTCCCCCGAAAATCCGTGGCCGTATCGCCGGTCTGTTCCAGGAATTCCTCGTCATCGGTGTCACAGTGGCCTACTGGCTTTGCTACGGGGTTGGCGAAAACATCGCCCCTACGACTAAACAATGGCGGATCCCCATTGCCTTTCAGCTCGTGCCTGGCGGTCTAATGCTTATCGGGATGTTCTTCCTGACCGAATCCCCCCGTTGGCTCTCCAAAGAAAACCGCCACGAGGAAGCCCTCAAGGCCCTTGCATACATGCGTAGCAAGCCTATCGACGACCCAGACGTCCAGGCTGAATTTTCCGAAATCAAAATAGCCGTCGAGCACGAAGTCGAAGAAACACAAGGCCTGACATGGCGCGAGACCCTCCAATCTGGCAACCGTCTACGCTTCCTCAACTGCTTTATCATGATGTTCTGGCAACAGTTCTCCGGCACAAACAGCATCGGATACTACGCACCCCAGCTCTTCCAAACCGTTGGTGTCACGGGCGGCAACACCAGTCTGTTCACCACTGGTATCTATGGTGTGGTCAAGGTCGTGGCCACGGGTATATTCCTGATCATCGGTATCGACAAGATTGGCCGTCGTTGGTCCCTCATCATCGGCGGCTGGTGGATGAGTGCCATCATGTTCGTTCTGGGTGCGGTGCTGGTCAGCAAGCCCCCTAATCCGGACAGCACGGACGGGGGTATCTCCTCTGCCTCTCTTGCCATGGTCGTCATGATTTATCTGTATGTCATCGGCTACTCCGCCTCCTGGGGTCCGATTCCCTGGGTATATGTGTCTGAGATCTTTCCCACCCGTCTGCGTGCGTACGGTGTCGGTCTGGGTTCTGCTACGCAGTGGTTATTCAACTTCGTCATTACCTACATCACCCCCGCGGCTATTTCCAACATTGGTTGGCGCACGTTTATCATGTTCGGTATCTTCTGCTTTACCATGGGTGTCTGGGTATTCCTCTTCGTCCGGGAGACCAAGGCCCGCTCGCTCGAGGAGATGGACGTCCTCTTTGAACGAACATTTGCATTCGGGCACCTGCGGGACATCGAGCACCGGCCTGAAACGAAATTGGATGATTCGAAGGGCGAAATTACCGAGCATGCGGAGGACGTTGACCGCCGGTAATCAAATTTCTATTCCATTAGCAATAGCGAATAAGGGTATAGCAATGATACACCCATTCCAATAACCGGGTTCGTTCATAATCCGACGACACTTCTTGTAGATCCTCCCGTACCCCGTGTAAAATCTTTAAAAGGGTAGATAGGTGGGACCGACGCCTTTCCCTTCCGAGTCGGATGTCCGACCTATCTCACAAGATCTCCGACGATCCACTGCGATTTCTACTCCGATTCTCAACAAGCTCCTTATACCATCATTTAACCAACATCTATCCTAATATGCTCAAAATCCTCTTCCATCGAGGCCTTTCCGCCAGCGGCGGCGCCCTGGCCGTAACAATGGGGACATATCTCTACACTACCTGGGATATCCAGGCGCTTCCGATATCGAATTCGTCAGACCCGATATTCCAGAACAAGCATTACAGAAAATACAACCCAAACGATAACCCCACCGTACATGATTTGCACGTTATGAACGTCCCCTTTTCGCAGATCGAACCGTCGCTGTTGGAGAATCGGGAGAGATTAGTCGAGCGGTATTGCGGTGGTGTGTGGGGAGGTTTTGGTTAGTGTTCACTTCAACGAATGCAAACTACACATTTCATGGTACAGCAACATAGCTAATCTTAAACACAGGATTTACTATTCAACGCAACCTCCTGAGATGCTTCACTACCACAGAGAACCATCTCTGGTCAAAATCTGACCTCCTCGCATCACGCTATAACCCAGGGACCACAATAACAGACGAATTTCTCGTCCTGCAAAAATCCCCTGATGCTATTATCGTCCGGGGTGGCGACAAAGTCACCAACCAAGACTTACGGCCATTGGACGCATTAATCGAGATGACTATCAATGTGAAGCCGGACGAGGAAGTAGTCGAGTTCGGGTTCAAGTCGGTCTTTTTCCAGGGGATTGGGAGGAATAAGGGACTGCCTATGCCGAGGTTTGTTGTTTGGTTGCATGAATTGTATGCAAAGGCATTGTTGGGGTCTGGGGTGCGGTATGTTCTAAGGTGAAATGGAGCCCGAATGAATTGTGGTGTCCGGTGCTGAGGTATTATGGCGTATGCTTACGGCATAAATTGTATTCTACTGTACTCTATTCTCTACGTACTCAAGTCTTCACTCTCCATTCTCATTAATCTCTACGGCAACGATCTGCTCAGCTAGCTGAACTTGCTGTGCCTGCCCTTTTGCGGAGCCCGTACTATGACGAATACTAAGCTGGCCACAACCTGCGATTTGTACGAGCATAAATTTGCTGTAGAATAGAAAAGATTTACCTATCAGCGAGCCCCATTTAAAAGAGGAAAGAAATAGAAAAGGATTAAAAAGTAAAAGCCGTCAAGCTCCTTTCAAGCAAACAGCGCTGAAACTGAGCCATCGCGGATCATTCTCGGGTTTGATCTAAGGGGGAAATTGGAATTGCTTATGAAGTCTAGCTGGAATAGCTTTCAATTTATTAAAAAGCACATGTTGCCGTTGTTCTGTTACTACTGATTAATCTTTTTCATTTACTCTATTTCCCATTTTCCATATATTAGATTTATGGCGCACCATACTCAAACAAGACCGGTTAGGAATCTGTTGATGCACTTGTAGAAGAGCAACATTGGAAGCAACCAGATTCCTTAGCATAAATGCACACACGATATATCATATGTGTGTAGGATTATTGATCCAACCTGCGACATTGCAAACCGGCTCTTGCTTCGGATACGGCTCCCATACTGGTAGAAGAGATATCTGGCATGGATGTCAGTTAGACAAGGCTCAAAATAAAAGAGAAAAGCGAAGGGTAAATCAGCCATGGCGTAAAATGCAAGCCCATCAGCACTTACGGAAAGGGAGTCATGACAAGGGTCAGGAACGCTAGAAGGGAAGTCGCTTAGTGATAACTGAGTTTGTTGTACACTGCATAGTCATTAGTTATAATGACCAGGCATTTACTACGTCCACCGCAGTTGAAACAAGCACTTTATGCAAACTATAGGCACTCAGCCCCGGTCTCATTCTGGGGACAATGCAAGCAAACTTCACTTTTCATTTTCTCTTTCAATTGATAATACATCCACTGCAAGACCCACTCCTTCTCAGAAGATTTAATTTCTAAGCAACGACCGGAGATAAATGCGGGTCTCCGAGTGACTCGATTTTCTCGGACTTCGGAAGCAAAACGTGGTCTGGTCCGTTATTTATATCTGTATTCTATAACTCTACTTCTACAGAGCACAGAATATAGACCTACACACGATTCATCTTCAATCACAATGCCCAACGTCCTAATCACCGGCAGTGCTCGCGGCCTCGGCCTCGAGATGGTCAAGCGGTTCTCGTCGCAAGGAGATTTTGTCATCGCCACATCTCGAAAGCCCAGTCCCGGGATCAAGGAAGTCGTTGAGCAGTCGAATGGTCGTGTCGTGTTTGTTCCGCTTGAGGTCACTGATGACTCCAGTGTTGCCCAGTCCGTCAAGGAGGTCCAGTCGATTCTGGGCCAGTCGGGTCTGGACATCCTCGTCAACTGTGCGGGAGTTATTGCGGATTTAGATGGCAAGGTGGCGCAGATGCATGTGTACATGAATGCGAGTTATAGGAACGGTGCTAACGAGACATAGGGATGATCTTGCATGGCATATGTCTGTGAACGTGACAGGCGTGCACAATGTCACCCGCGCATACCTTCCTCTGATGCAGAGCGGACAAGTAAAGAAGGTTATTAACATGTTAGTCTGCCTTATACCCCTATTCTCCGAACATGTTCTAACTTAAAATCAGCTCGAGCGCCCTTGGATCCATCACGAACGCCCCGCACATGACCTTCTCTGCTACCCCGGCCTACAAAATCAGCAAAGCGGCTCTCAATGCGTTGACGGTGCAATATGCCTTGTCCTACCAAGATGAGGGCTTTACTTTCGTCGCACTGTGTCCTGGCGTGAGTTTCCTTCCCTGGTTATCTATTACCCGGCAACTAACAAAAACAGTGGGTTAAAACCGACATGGGCAGCGAAAAAGCCCATCTCACAGTTGACGAAGGGGTAAACGGTATTATGGAGGTCATCAACTCTGTCGAGCAGGAAGATAACGGCAAGTTCAAGAACACTTATCACGCCGGATGGGACTTTTACGATGGCAAGGGAATTCCTTTCTAAGCATTTTCTATTTGTGTTCGGGGATCCGAACTGTTCCGGAAGGTGGGCCGTCGGCAGTTTGGTTGGGACGAAGGATTCTGTCAATCAATAATTGCTTATCAACTTCTCTACTATTGTGTCGGAAATCATTCTACGTATATTAGAGAGAATGTCACAGGGGTATTTCATTGGGGATATCTTATCTGCCGTAAGCCCACTTACTACCTTTTCCAACATATTGGATTTCAGTGGGGTGATTTAGACTTACTCGGTTCTAGTGCGATCGATGTCATTCGAGAAAGGTCTTTGCCCTTCAATTTTTCTGGTCCAATTAATGTTCTTGGCTTATACAGCCGTAGGTCAAATGCGATAGACAGAAATACTGTGCGAATTGCGCGGACGCCGGCGTCGAATGCCAACGGGCTCGGCCGGGAAGGTCAAGGAAAAGACCATTGCCAGGGTTTGCGGCATCTGATCCATGATGACAGTGCTGCTGTGCTAATAGAAGCAGTAGCTTGACTCCGGAGGAGAGTATACTTCACCTAGAAAGACCAGCTCTTACACCTCTGTCGCAAAGGTGCAATTCCATTCCTAACTTCGAAATTGCTAAATGACCGAATTGAAACTAATGCGTTGTTCAGAGGTGGCCGGCTTTCGGCAAATTTAGATGATAGCGAGATCGAGGAGGTTTTGGCAAGGCAGAGACGACGTATTGATACTCGCCAGCACTTGGAAGAGCGTGCAGAGAGCGACGATGGCACTGATTGTTCCAACCATCATGCAATACGTGCAAGATCAGTCATCCAGCTGGAGTTGGGTGACAGTAGACATACCAGTCAAAAGCAACAAACTGTTCTCAGAGCCGCTCTCCAGCTGGTAAACCAAATCGGAAGATGTGAGAAAAAGCAGCCAGGCGAGAACATCGGGAATGAGACCACGGACGCTACTACTGAGGAATCCGTTACTGTACCAGGAGCGCCTCCATCAGAGTTACTACTGATGCTCTTGCATCCAAATGCCGGGCCCCAGTGGCCAGACCATATATCGAACAAGACACTCGAGAAAATGGCCGCGACTCTCATGAAGGGCGATTGCCAAGGTCAATTGTTCCATCAATACTGCGTCTGCATTTACGTCAAGGCGATTGGGCATTTCTATCAACTCTCGAGGATAATAACTAGCCCCATTGTCAGGGACCAGCTCGTTCAGTCGAGAAATGCTTACATCGCAGCTACTCTTCGGAGTATGCGTCAATTCAACATTCTCGCGTCGCCGAGCCTGCAGTCCATTCAGTCCCTTGTGTCGAGTGTAAGCGCTGAAGTCAATTACCATGGCCTGAGACTAACACGGATAGGCCTTGTTGATGCAGCAACTGGGAGATGTCAAACAATGCTGGACTTTAAACTCATACGCTGCTCAGCAAATAGTTGCACTCGGTTACGATCGTATTCGCAGCATACCTACTCGCTCACAGATCGAAGAGGAGATACACAGCGCCGTATATTGGTGCTACTATATGGATAGAACTGTCAGCGCACTTCTTTTGCGGCGTACAGCTTTACCTGATCTTAATGTATCTCCGACAGAGCTTATTGCCTCTATACAGCAGTCACCATATGACCCGCTGATCCGGATTCTGCTGGATTTCGCGCAGATCCAAGGGCACCTGCTTGCGTTTTCATCGCACTTGAAACGAGCTGATTCCAGGTACATTTTGGACACTTGCAATTTTATCGAGGAGAGGATGTATATCATCTCTAATGATCTACAATCCGTAAGCTACCTGGCCTCTTGCCATTTCCAACAGATCCGACTGACAACAGCGGGACAGAGCCGCGAATCACTCCCAGAAATGCTTCAATATGACTGGGTTGCCGCTGATTTCTGCTACTATGCAATCTACGTGGAAATCCTCCGAACACGTCTGAGATGCACATTCACCCCACTAGTACATAGAGAATGTCTAACCTACGCCCGAAAATCCCTGGAAGCGTTTCGATTTCTGCAGCAACACCGCGCTGAGTTGGGATTTGACGATCCATACCCATCTTTTTTGACATGGTTTGTTCGCCCTTTCTGCTCTTAGAGTCTTGCTGACAATGTCGCAGGACATTGCTTTTATACCCACTCAGCCCTTTCTTTGTCGTTTTCTGCAACATCATCGGAACACTAGACAAGGACGACCATGTGATCATGCACCAGATTACCACCGGTCTATCAGAATTCAAGCGCGACCCGCACCTGGAAAAAGTCCTCAGCCTCCTTACTTCACTCGACCGGCTTTGCGAGCCGCTATTTCATGAAGATGTAGAGGTAATTTCCCAGTCTAATCCACAAATGCAACGACCAGCAGAGACGCCCCCCACGGTTCGAATTTTTCCAAATGCCTGGGATAATATAGACCTGGGACAAGATACATCCAATTCTGAGATAGGGGCTTCGACCGATTGGCTTATGTGGCAGCTTTTTAATAGCGAGGTGCCGTTGGGGTGGCTTAATCCGGACTTTCCTATCCTGTAATATAGATACCATAGCAAACCGGCAAACGTCCGGGAATACACTTTACGCTGCAGTGATCTTTATACGACCAATGACGAGATTGGTTATAATTCCCTTGACGTAAAGGAAAAAGAATAACCCTAACTCAACCGGATTATACACGATCAGGTTAGGTGGACAGTGAGTTACCGTTTCGGTTCGGCCGTCGGATTTCCGAAACTTTGCCAAGTTTGACGGAAGAACAGTTTATATACTCTAATTTTGTACCTGAATATTGGCTAAAGTCTCCATTGATGCGAAAACATACTTCTCAGCAAGCCCATGTATATCCGCACGGCTGTAATTGCTCATTCTTGCTAGATATCTCTGGACCCAAACATGACTAACACAAAACTCCCTACAGACAACGACACCGGCCACACAATCAGCATCATGTCGGCAAGTCTTGGAGAGCCTTACACACAGCGGCGTCTTTCTGGGCCTGGAAGTCAAGCACACTGACGGAAGCATCGCCGAGGCAACGTTTATGTAGCGCTACAATGCTATCTACTTATACGAAAGTCCATGAAGCCATCGCCCGAAGATGCGGCTTACACAATTTGTAACGGATCGCAAATCTTGAAAGACCGTACAACACTTGCGCGCAGTGGATGTTGTAAACATCATTGTTCAAATAATACGCCAGTATATGTTTTAACCTGACATGCAATGCTCCTGAAGCTGGTGTCAGTATACATTGCTGACACATGGCGCTTACACGAAATCTAATCCAATATAGCAACTCGGCAAGGCTAATTGCTTGACCATGGAAAATATCTACACAGCCATAAGAAAATAAGGGCAATGGCGAGAACAACAAATATAAAGATACGAGGTTTAGCTATGCGCCAAATCCTAATGGTACCATACATACGTGATTTACGAATGTTGGCAATAAGACCCGGCCGTCCGCCATTGCTTGTTTCTAACAATACAGCATCGCATTATCGACACCATAGCCAGCGAAAAGTCACAAAATCCGTTCGAAACCCTGGACATTCCTTCCGATAATGTGGCTGGACCATCAAATATCAATGCAGTCAACGCAGAATCCCCGCCGTACACCTCAACAGCAACAGAATTTGGCACCGAATCAGCACCCCAGCCAGGCACTGCTCGATCAAACAATCCAATAGCGATCCCTGCGATAGAACCGTCCTTTGACTCTCCCTTCCTCCGCACCTACACCCCAGTATTAACAGCCTCCAACCTCCCCCGCGGATCCTTCTTCGCGTTCTTCGACCGCTGTGGATAGGTAGAGACATGAGCAGAGTAGGGTTGATCCAGTTCAGAAGAAGGGGAATGAGACAGATCCGGTGAGTCTGGAAGTGGGCGGAGAAGCGAGTCTTTTTATGAAGAGATGAAGTTTCGGGAATGCTTATGGCTTTTTATACGGTCGAATGTATAGCATAGAGATGTCTAATGGTTTACATAAAGTGTTCTAGCTAGCTATCATCTTGCTAGCTGGAATATGGATGTTACGGAATGACACAATTAATCCCCTTGGATAAAGCACTCTACTGAATGCTCACAAACCAGTTCTGAAAATCTAACCAAGTAATTCACCACTTTCTATAGTCGTCCACTCAAGAACCACATCATTCACAGCATCAGCGACAACCACTGAGCGACTGTAACTGTCATGGCTTCCCCGATCCAGAGGAGGTCCCGACGGCAAAGACTTAAAATCCTCCGGTGAGCTAGCATGACCCTGCTCCACAGACGTAAGCGCCATCGGACTAAACTCCCCAAGCCATGGTGCTGCTGCTTTCTGATCAACGGTTACCGCTGCAGCAGGATGGTTGATACCACTGAAGTCCGACTCGAAGGAGGAGTACGGGCTACAACAAGCCGCGGGTAATCCGGCGTCACTGCCAAAATATGCAGGCACCAGTCGTGCTTTTCGCTTCTTTCTGCTCGCTGCAGGGCTTTGTATAGCTTGCGATTCGGATACCGAATCTTCACAAGCCAGCTGTGAAAGATTCTGTCTATTGGCGGACTGGAATAGTATTTCCTCGGCCAAATTCAGATCCATGACGCCGCTGCGGATACGTCGGTGTCGGCTTGGTTCGAGGGTGTATTTGCAGGCGTCGACTCGGTCGAGAAGGTCTCTGAACAGGATTTGGTACTCTTTTATTTCTGTCGGGAGGGGGTCGCATGCAGTGCTTGTGGTACTTGCTGTATCCTGGCTGATGGATGAGGACAACGCTTGAAAGTGATTGTTCACCTGGACCGACTCGATGGCTGTTTTGAGATTGGTGTATTTTTCCTCGTTGGCCTTTTTCTCTGCCACGAGGAGATTTATAAGTTCTCGTTGTTCTTTTAAGAGAGGGGACTCGGATTTACTATATCTGTTAGTCAACATCAACATTATGCAAGGTGAGACATACCACCGAATCTGCCCGGCATATATAATCACATTCAACATCAGCAATACAGTACTCTTCAATCTCTCCAAATTAGTCCTCATTGCATCGAGATCTCCTTCCATCAGCGCGAGCCCAAACTTTCTCGTCACACGAGCGACTCGATTCTTCGTATTATCGCGCCTCTGCTCCTCAACCGCATGGTCGATCTTATCAAACACCCTCCTACACTCCTCCAAAACCTCCTGCGCAGTAAGGAACGCCTGAGCTGAGTACAGCCTCGTTTCCGCATCCTCGTTCAAACTATCCCCCAATTGATGCAAAATACTGCACGTCAGCGAAACATCGCTCGACAGATTCTGAATACTCTCATTCGATTCCTTAACCTGGCGGTAGAAAGTGCACAGTTTGACCGCAAGCTTGGTACCCAGTTCAGCTACTTGAATGATGCTCGCTGCGATACCGATAGCTTCGAGACCAGACATGGCTCGTGTGTTTTTGCATTAGATCGGTGGCTGCGAGATTGTCAGCCCGCTGCCCCTCATCAATCCACACTAGATTTTACAGGGACACAGCCAATCCGGTGCTCCGTTCGGCAAATCGTGACCCGCATTAATGCAAAACCGTCGGGTCTTGTGTGCGATGAGCGCTAGCGATATATGAGGGAGATCATGTCTGTTATCATGGAGATGCTTGTAAGGAGCCTTAGGGAATGTTATGTCACTCCAATATAGCCGAATGATCTCGGTATCCGGCCAGGTCTGCCATTACCAGGTTCTAAGGGTGTTGTTCAATTGTTCATGTAAAACGAGAGCCTTCAAATTCCCTGGTCAGGTTAGTTTTGCCCTTTCTGGTAGACTCCCGGTATGCTGTACTGTAAACGCCGCCTGCCAGGCCTCCCAAGTATAGAAGAGCTCTCCCACACTGTTCTGACCTCGTCCCCTCCCAGATGCTTTCCTCTTCCTAAACTTCCTCCCATATTCTGCATTCATCCATATTCCTGGTTATTTGGGCCCCATCGTCCCTCTTTTTTTCTTTTTATTTCAGAAACTGCGGCTGTGCCCTCCTCTCGCTTCCACTTCCAGTTTCATTTGCCCCGTTACCCTCCGTCCACATTGACCAGTGTTTTGAGCTGATCCTGTCTCCCTCTATCTTTTATATGGTGAATTGGTTCATATTCTCTGCTTCCATATGTTTTACTAGACAATGCATTTACATGAGGTCTTGCTTTTCCGGCCACTCCACCAATGGTATCTGTGACGGTCTCAACATAAGTCTATCGGTAAATTACCTAGCAAAATACTAACATGTATAAGGAAAAAAAAAAAAAAAAAAGTAGCTAGGCTACCAGCGCGGCACGATCTAGTGTGTGCGAATGGGGTTCCTGCCCTATATTCAAACAGGATAAAGTAGTCAAACATCTCATGCCGCTAGTGAGTACCCTGCACTCCGTGATAATTCTAGTCGTGAATTCCCGAGTCTTGACGGATCTGTGACCAAATTAGTTTAGTCTCATAGCAAGCTAGCGTGTGTATGATTGGATCCTAACAAAATATTGCAACGTAAAGTCAGACTTTATGTCAAGTCCAATGCTCAGTGTGATTAAAGAACAAGAACAGCACAAAGCATCTAACGTGCGCTTATGGGGTTTGTCGAATCTATCTCACTAGTTTTCAATGGCAGTTACCAGAATGAACCACCACGTCATGACTTTCTACGGGAAAGGCTCATCAATGAGCTCAAGGTAGTAAGGCTGCACCAATATTAGTGACTTTCTAGCAGAAATGTCTAAGATGCGGCCAAATCCTTACCATTAGCTTCTCCAGATTGGCAGCCGCATCGCTCTTGGCATACAAGTCGCAGGGGTGGGAAGCCCTTACAGCTTCAAGCATCTTCACATCGTGCTCAATCATCAACTCATGTTATGCACCCTCGCGGTGCCAGGGATAAAAAGAATGATATCTGATCATGGCAAATCCGCTATTGTTTAGTGTACTCTGTTCCTTAATCAGACTATGACAGACGGTTGGATTTATCCACCTATGGTCATCGACAGCGAACATGGGATGGAAATTTAGATTCCATGGGGGAAACATAACGTCGTAATTTGGCCGATCCCATCACTATCTATGTTTATCGAGATACTTCATAAAATGATTATTTTGAAATGTATTGCCTTCAATCTACAAGCAAAGCTACCGTTCACTCTAATACTGCAAGTGAACCCTAGATGTCTCATCCTTGGTTTCCAGGAAAAACTTCCTCATAAGATAAATACCGACTGGGTCATTTCAACAATTGCTGAAAAGATTAGTTTGTTATATCGCACCATCAACACTGATAAAGTCCACGGATCGAGCGCCAGCCCGGTCATTTTTTGTCCCTTTTTGTTTCTTTCAGTTTAGGCACTTGCATGTCATGTAGTATCCTGTGGCTTTTTCAATACATTTTGATAATATTTTTTGGGCATTGTCACTTTTTTAATTTGTTTCCATCCTGAGGACCATTCACCAGCTTTAGTCATGAGCCTTTGCTACACGCACCCAACACCCCTTATCCCCCATCATGGAATGAATAGATCACCAAATACCTCACCTAATACCTATCATAATGCTATACTAATTCACACCTTTAATTAACACTGTGCATGATATTGAATCACTGCCTGGAAGGATTTCTCTGCCTGATTATCACTGTGTATACCGACTTTTCAGCTCCCTTTGTCGGATTCCACTTTCCGTCATTGCATAGTATAATATCTGGGACAAGGCGCGGCATCAATAGGTGACGCCTTGGCTAGGTAGACGCAATGCATTGCCCACACCTTATTGGATGTGAATCCGGGGTAAATGCGGGGTCCACGACCTGGGAAAAGGTGATACACTGAACACAGCCAACCACGCAAGTGGCATTTGTCTTGAACTCCTGAAGACTCGTGTTAAGGATATTCTGCCGCCCAGCCTTGGAACCCCATGGTGTGATCAGGGTAGCCGTGAATGATATAGCATGCCGAGGTAGTCGGGGTTTTACCATGCAATCATTTGCTCCATCATTTCTGGCGGCTATTGACCGCCAAAGAGAACATTGTAAGCCCGGGATAGGGATGCCGCAACCGTGAAGCACTAATTGGATTCAGTTGCTCGCTGTGTAACTCCATCTGTATATATAAAAGTGTTCGATTTCGTCGTTCATCTCTCCAAGCCCACTCATCAAATCCAGATTATAAACAATGAACGACGAGAACAAAGACCCACTCCAATACTCACAAGCCAAAGGGGATACCCCAATGGCAGAACATGATGAAGGCAAGGCCGCTGAGATCCCGAACGAGATGCTCTCCTATGGTCCGGAGGGTGTCAAAGGACTCATTAGTTCAGGATTCGTCTTTGGTGCTGCCTTCCTTGCATCGCTCGGTGGCTTCTCCTTTGGATACGACCAGGGTGTAATATCTATCATCAACGTGATGAGCCAATTTCATGAAGCTATCCCGGGAACTGAGACAGCCTTTGGGAAAGGTTTCATGACGGGCATGTTGCTGCTCGGTGCTTTCGTGGGCTGTCTTTTCATGCCTTACCTGGTCGACAAACTCTCCAGGAAATGGGCTTTGACATTGGTCGTCGTCATATTTGACATTGGAGCTATTATTCAGACCAGTGCACAGAACTACGGCATGCTAGTCGCAGGGGAGCCATTGGTGGCATGGGTGTGGGCACATTGGCCATGGTGAGTGCCTGAATTCATGATACATGATAATCTCCAGGAGAGAGCTACACTTGCTCATCTGTATCTTTACAGGGGGCTCCATTGTATATTTCCGAAATATCACCACCAAATCTGCGAGGAACGTTGTTGGTATTGGAATCCGTCTCTGTTGTCTCAGGCGTGGTAATCGCTTATTGGATCACGTTCGGAACTAGATTGATCGAAAGTGAAGTCTCGTTTCGCCTTCCCTTCGGCCTCCAGGTGGTCAGCGCCACATTCCTTGGAATCTTCATCCACTTCTTCCCCTATTCGCCACGTTGGCTGGCTCTTGTGGACCGCCACGACGACTGCCTGAAGAGTCTCAGCAAGTTACGTCGACTACCGCAGACGGACAAGAGGGTCCAAGCTGAGTTTAGGGACATTATCACTGAGGTTAAGTTCCAACAAATTATTGAGGAGCGGCAGCACACCGGAGCATCAGGAGTCAAGCGAGAAGCACTTATTTGGCTGAGCATCTTCAACCGGCGAACCTGGAAACGAACCATCGTTGGCTGCGGCGTGGCATTCTTCCAGCAGTTCCTCGGGATAAATGCGTTCATTTATTACGCTCCGACACTATTCGAATCTATCGGTCAAACCGAAGATATGTCTTTGATCCTCTCAGGTGTTTTCAACTGTCTTCAGCTGGTCACTGTCATCGTCTGTTTTTTTATCATTGACAAAGTTGGTCGTCGACCACTGGCCATCTTCGGTGGTTTTGGCACTTGCGCGTGTTATATTGTCATTGCTGCTTTATCTGCAGTTTATGGGCAGGACTGGTCCGTCAATACAGCAGCAGGCTGGGCATGCGTTGCTATGGCGTTCCTGTTCATTCTCATTTTCGGAGTCTCCTACTCGCCTCTCGGATGGGCGCTTCCCTCGGAAGTCTTTCCCAATGCAATTCGCTCAAAGGGTGTTGCCTTGTCTACTTGTGTCAACTGGCTGTCTAATTTTGTCGTAGGTGTCATCACGCCACCAATGATGAGTGACATCGGCTACCGCACTTATATCTTCTTTGCGGTTTGGTGTTTCCTTGCGGGAATTTGGGCCTTCTTCCTGGTTCCCGAAACGAGTGGAAAGACACTGGAGCAGATTGACGAGGTGTTTGGGGATTCTAGTAGCCACGAAGAGAGGGAGGTCATGAGGATGGCGGCTTCTTCAGTAGATATCGGTCAAGGAAAACCCGACGTATAAATGTATCTAAATAATGTCTAGCCCGCAGTCGTAGGAATATGTAAATAAACCAAATTCACTTCGCTTGAAAAGATTTATCAGGTCAAGCCCCTTTCAACTTCGGATCTTCCGGCCATACAACCAGAAACCCCAGTCTACTCCCCTTTCCTAACGCTTGTTTCTTCCACCGCCAGAAAGAAACACAATGCTCCTCATTTGGCTCACTTACGGAATTTACCCTCCTCAGGCTGCACGCTCGCTAGCATTACCGCAACATCAAACCCCGCAAAAAGCTCTATATATCAGCATACAAAATATTCCCACATCCTCCTGCAACGCACATCCATAGGGACCTCGGAGACAGAAAGAGTCCGATCTCATGCAACCGCTCAAAAAGCTCGTCTGATCTCTGTATGTTCTTTTGATGCTCTTTCCAACACTCAGCTTTCTTTTTACGCGTCGGTCTTCTAGGGAAGACAAAAAAAGTTGTTGTGTTGGAGATGCTAGAAAAATCAAAGCTGTATTACAAATTCGTGATTATATATAGCTTATGCTTCATGTTCGTGAATCGTCTCGCTGCCCCCAACTCGTCCTCTCTCATCTGAACTAACACTTGCGTCTGAAATCTCAGATCCATGACGTGGGCGCTGCATGTTCTCATTTTCGAAGGATTCCTGGAAATACGAGGTCCGACCGGTGACCACATTATCGATCGAGAAGGACGGTGCTGTCGAGAGTGATGACGGGCGCCGGTAGTGGGATGGCAGATAAGAATGTCCCGAGTCAGACTCACCACGACTGTGTAGGGAGACTGGAGAGTGGGAGTCTCGCATTGGACCCAGCTGTGGGGATATATTGGGCGTGGAACGGGTAACGTTAAACTGCGTAGGAAGTTCGACGGGCGAGGAATCTGAATGTCGGAGTTAGCATTAAGTGAAGTCTCTATGTAATTAGGCGAGGTAAATACCATGCAACTCATACACCTCGTCTCCTCCGGATTCAACTGTACCAGGAGTTACCGAAGTGACAGCTGAATCCTGCGTTGTTTCTACGCCTGTGGATTCAGATACTGGACCGGGGCCGGGGGAGGTCGGTCCGTCTGAATCCATCCATTGAGGCTTTTCTTTGGTATCACTCTCCGTTGTAGCCGCGACTGCTGCAGCACGGCGTTGGTTGCGACGTCGACGATACAACCAGAATCCTACTGTAAGGAGCGCAATGCCGAAGAGACCGCAGAGCACACCGATCACTGCGGCAGCCCAGGTCGGAAGTCCGCCACTTTTGGAGTTTCCCCCGGCAGTGCTGGAGCCATTGTTGTAGGGCCAGTACGTTTCGATGGTCTTGCTGTACTTCTTGTCAAATATTCCGGCTAGCGAGGTGTTGGTCCATGACGATGGGGCAGTGGTGGTTGCACCTCCTGAAGAGCTACATGAGAAGTAAGCCATGAACTTTCTCCTTGGGTATTTGTCAATTGTTTTTTTACCTTCCTCCAATTTCTGCTGTTACAATATCAGGCACTTGATACTCACCCCACTGCGTGGGATCATAGTCCTCAAAACGCAAACTGTTGAGATTGAAATTGACGATGACACCATCTTCTAGACAGTGCGTTATGTCGATATGCATTCCCCCAAGTGCCAGCATCTGGTCTGGATATACTTTGATGCATCGATGCCCGACTCGTCCGTGTGTATTTGTGCCGCTGTACGCCTTGATCCATTTAAAGGAAGGCAAAGACAAAATATAAACATCATCTGACGCATTCTCGTCATAGACTAGACCACTGTACCCACCGTAGATATAGATATTATGTGAGGAGCCGTCGGCCGCGCTAGCAAGCACAGAGCAGAACTGCGTCAACTGTGGCGGCGTATCACCCGTCGTGTTTTGGAGATACCATGTTTGACTCTTCACATCGTAAACGGAGACCGTTTCCATAAATGTTGGGCTGACTCTCTTGCTCTCTGCCGTTTGCGATTTTTCCAGCCCGTCTTGCCGCATTTCAACTGGATTAATCACTCCCCCAATGGCCACCAGAACACCAGAATCGGACATTGGCACCCAAACCAATTCTGCGTTAGCACGGCCAGGGATATAGCTCGGTAGTGTATGATTGTACCACTTTTCATCTCTCATCACGGACATATCCACGGTGATGAGCGTGTCGGCTGTTGTGTTGGGCCCTCGGGTACCGTAACTGAAATATCCCCAGTCCGGGTCGCGCATTCCGCTAAAGTAGAAGCCTAGGTTCTCGCTAGGTGCCGACACTCCAGCGCCATTGGTGATATGTCTTGTGACGTTGGTAGAAAGGTGTCCTTCGTACAAGCCAGGCTTCCAGCTACTACGATATGGGCCATACTGGAAGGCTTCGTAACCAAGAACCTCGTTATCAGGTGGCTGCTCACCGGACAAGGTAGCATCTGCTCTGCCTCTGGAATGGTTTATTTTGGTCAGTAGTTAGTATTTGCTATATGAGTGAGGACCACAAACCCATAGAGGTAAAACTCATCGTCGTTGGCAAACATCACGCCGTCAACGTATTTTGGAGCTATGTTATTGGCAGCGCCGCTGGCAACGCTAATGTTTTTCAGGACGGTCGTAAAATTCGAGCTGGTGTTGAAAGGTGTAGAAAGATCAAGGTAATAGATGGTGCCCCCCAGAGTGTCTTTTCTGAGTTAGCTGGGTAAATCTCATCAGTTTTTGTATTCGGTCCATTCTTTACCATCTTCTTCAGGTTGAATGCAACCGTCTGAATATCCTCTGCAATTGTCAGTTCCAATCAACATTCATATGGAGTGACTAATACTTCTGAAGCCATAACTGTCCTCCATCTAGATAGATCGTATCGCGAAGAACGTTGGCTACTACCGTCAGTGCTCAAGAACCTGACCACAGCGGCCGCAACAAAAATAAATACTCACCACGCAGTCCCTGCCAGTTGCACATGGAGATGTTAACCTGCGTTTGCCATGAACCGCATTCGCCCACAGCGCAGTCTACCACAACTGCCAGCAGGGTGTAAACCGTCGCTAAGAAAAAAAACATAGTATTTCTTTTATTTTTAATTTTTCAACCGATGGCAGCTGCAGTTGCACTTGTCGCTGTCTGAGTTGTCAACTAGGAAAGGGCGAGCTGGGATCCCAAGTGCCGACATATGGGGCTACGGTGACCGCTAGATGCAGGCTTTTGGATAGACCCGGAAGTCGAGGGGCTAAGTCTCCGAATCCAACCCGCGATGCGGCTTTGCTTCCATGTCTTTGATATTCTATCACTTCGTGTCTGCCCGAACACGACGATCCCCCACCATGAAGGCCCTGAGCCAACCACAGATGCCGATGCACGGCCTCAAATGCGCCTCAAATCCATGCTGCTCAGATCATTTCCATGAAAAGTCTTGAAGTCGGAATAATGCGACCTAGATGCGGTGGACAACCAGCAGCGGGGAATACTACAAGTACGAAGCTGCCAGTAATAAACATCGCGAGGATTCCGTGGGTCTTGCATGCAGCTGAATTGGCATTGACATCCATCAACATCTATTCCTGCCAATTGAAATGCATGCGAATACGAGTTCCACCCTTTTCCCGAACTGCATAATGGCGTGTCCAATTTGAGCCTCACGATGCTATCCGTGCATATTGCGTCTGTTTGTTGATTCAATCGGGGGCCTTTTTTTTTTTTTATTGTATTCTCCGTTGTTCACCCTCTGGTCTTCACCAACCCGCGAGTATCTTTCTCCAAAAGAGATAACCATGAAGATTTCGATTTCAGTCGCATGGTTGTCGCTGTTAGCGACGAGTGCCTTTGCTCGGTCTACAAGCACCTACGACAGTGAGATGCTCACGCCTGTCCCGACGCCGCCGGCTGTTATCAGAGGCTTGCCAGCAGGAGAACTGGAACGAGTGACGGTTACGATAACAGTAGGAGTTAGTGTTTGGCTGGGTGATTCCGAGACTTGCACTGGCGCGCCAGCGGGTACTGTCACGGATACTGTCACTAATTCAATCACCGACACCGTCACTCGAACTGTTTTTGAGACTGGGAAGGTCACCGTAACAGACACTGTCAGTGCTCCTGCAGCAACTGTCACAGATGTCTCGACAAAGACCGTAACAGACACCGTCAGTGGCCCTGCAGCGACTGCCACAGATGTCTCGACAAAGACCGTAACAGATACCGTCAGTGCCCCTGCAACGGCTGTCACAGATGTCTCGACGAAAACGGTTACTATTGATCAGTCATCGGTTCCAACCTCGACAGTGAGAACTACTGTCAGCGGTTCAACAGTCACGTCTACTGTCGATGGCCCAACAGTGACTACGACTATCGGTGGCTCAACGATTACGTCGACTGTCAGCGGTTCAACAGTCACGTCTACTGTCGGTGGCTCAACGGTCACGGACGCCTCCACAGTAACGATTACCATGGGCGAGTCAACCGTCGCTGCGCCAGGAACCACCTTTCCAGGAACCACCGTTGTGACGAGCGAAATGATTCCAGGGTCTGTCACCACTATTCCAGGGTCAGTTACAACCCTTCCAGCGTCAACTCTCACGACATTCATCAGCCAGCCTGCTAGCACTGTCACTCTGTCTGGAGGCACTAGTACCCTGCCAGGTTCAATTACTACCGCTACAATCACGCGTCCTGGTGGTACAGTGACTGTTGTGGGATCAACTGCAATAGTCGACACCATCACAGCTCCAGGTACATATTCCCCGCCCACGCAGATTGGCGTTGCAAGCATTGACATAGTCGAGCTCAGAAACTACTGAAGCGGCTCCCATGACCGTGACTGAAATCACCTCTGGTCAGGGAACGACACTTACACAAAGTTCCGTCGGCACTACCACCGTCTCCATTTCAGTCTGTTCCAGTCTCATCAGCAATCCAACCTATACGCCTGCTACGCAGCTACCAGCAGACTATACTTGGGGTTGTCCGCCTGGATATCTCTGCCGACCTCCTCATACGGGTGACCGTGCCGGCTGCATCGCTGAAGCTGGTGTTCCCGCTGATGGCTACGTCTGCGCCCCCTCAGATTGCATTCCCGCTCCACCCTTGATTTACAATCAATCCGTAGCTACTGATGAAGATGGCAACCGCTTCAATATTTCCAAGGACTATTACAACCTTGATCCGGATGACTTTGGCCTGGGCTACTCCATCTTCCAAGTTTTAGGCTCCGCAGCGTCTAAGAGGAAACGCGATACCAAATCGTTCTGGGATTTCCTCGTCGGCCAAAATGCCAAGAGAGACATCTCGGATCTTCCCGGTAAATGTTATAATGGTTGTAATGAGGCTGCACAAATGCCACAATCAATCGGGAAAACGCCGGAGCTGTGCGAAAGCGACTCGTTCACGACCGAATTGGGACTTTGTAAGAAGTGCATCAGCAATAATGCTGACTCGGACTCGGATGATCGATATTCACAAATAATGTTGCCGACATTTGCACAGTACCTGAATTTTTGCTCTGGTCTGGCGACGACTTCCACGAGTACCGCAGCAGGGACAACTGCTACCAGCACCGCGGCCTCAATAGAAGCCACTACAACGAGCACTCTTGCCACCAACGGGACTATTACGACCATTACTCAGACTGGGGAAACAACTAGCACAGCGCCGACAACTCCAGTAGCTGGACTGAGCACAATCACGGTGGAGGTGTGTAGGACTGAAAGCGCATCCACCAAGGGACCAATGGCCACTGGCAACGTTGATAGCTCATCGATCACAATATCCAGTAGTCCCAGTGGCACGGCAACCCCATCTGCCTCTTCTACTTCATCCAATGCGGCAGTATCAACTGTGGGCGTCCCCCATAAAGGTTTACTAAGCCTGTTGCTGGCTCTTTTCGCAATTCCATTCTTTTAAAATGCTTGAATGTTACGATGTTCTATTTATTATTTGTGAGGTATATATTCACAACGATGATGATGGATTGATACGCTGTTTCTAGACTCTTCTGGGCTCCCAACTATACAATGCTAAACTTGCGCTACACTGTCATTGTCCTACACGTATCATCCTGTGTAGAGTGGTATGGCGAGCGCAAAGGGGAAGGTTGCGCCAGAGGCTTAAGAGACAAAACAATAGCAAAGTGCATAAAGCGTGTATGCGGTCATAATCAAAAGATGCTGGCTGCATAGCCATAGCCCCCAGTCCTAACATCTCTCTCTTTAAAACTATCACTCGTGGATACGGTTGATTATGATTAATCGGGAGAATAGCCCGATTACGTTGATTGGTCAGTCGGTGCAGTAAGCATATCATTCAACCTTCAGTGTATATAGAAGTCAACATTTCGCCCATGCGGCAGGCGCAGCCTGTGACATAAATCTCACTAAGGGCCAGGTATCTGGGTGAATCAACCAACAACTCTCTGGCCATGACCATAAAATGAGTCGACCCTACTCCTACTCCTACTCCTATCTCTCCTCCAGCACGAACTCCTCACCCCAAACAATTCCCATCCTCGCAAGAACCGAGTCCAAACCACCCCGTACAGAGAGATGCTATGGATTACATTAATCCCAACGGATCCTCCATTCCCCACTAATAATCCCAACTGGAAACCTCACCATAACAACCCCATCCTTCCCCAAATACTTCTATCTCGCCCACGACGCCACGCACCCACAGCCCCCGATTAAAGGTAATACAGTCATATTACAAAGGTGAGTAGATATCAGAGCTTGTAGGCTGCAGCACATTCTTTATTTTTTCCTTGTATCAATTATACTTGTCACTAGCTGTCTAGAAAAGGTGTGAGAAAAGAGTTCTATTGATTTGATTGTGTCACACCGACACCTGTATTCCATATATATATATATATGTGTGTAGAGTACTACAATGAACAATGTACAATTGTGAACAGGTGATGGATCTTGCTCATCTTGGACTGCTATCAATAATCGTATCTATCGCTGATTGAGCCAAACGCATCATTTAAAACTGTCAAAATAAAACCTGGAAATTCAAGCTTGAAGTTGTGATTTCGTGTCAACTCAGTTGATTCCGATTACCTGTATTTAACAAATCCAGAGAGCGTGGATTGGATTTCAAATGCCTTTGAATCCATTCCAATCCGAAACTAACCATGGTTGGTCTAGTGTATCACATATTCCACCTAAGCAGGTTTAGTGCGTATTCTTGTGGTTCAACCCACTCCAAATCCGCGCGGATTTTGGACCGGATTCGGATTCTGTTCGTTCAACCCGAATCCGCAGTGGTGTGGGTGGAATGAGCTCTCAACCCGCTCCAACCCGCTCCGAATGCAACTCTAGTTCATAGTGGGAAATGGGACTAATAGTTAGTCCCATTGGGCGGGACCAACATCCCCTTAGAATTTCCAACGACAAATTGGGACTCCCCATGGAAATAAAAGCAATGCAAACATCGATCATCTCGTGACTTGCATGAACTATGCAATTTCTGGCTGTATTTTTCTTTCTTTCCTTTTCCATGTTGGTATTCCGCTAGATAGTCTACCAACAGATTTATATTCCTCAAGACCATCACACTTCCCCCGAAAGGAGCGTTGGAACTTATTTAAGGCTACGATCTTAACATATAGAGCCGTAATAGAAACAAAAAGATGACAGCCATGGTTAATATACAAATATATATTAGATTTTCGCCATGTCCATTCATATCCCATCATCAGTGGTCCGTTCATTCTTGAACTGCTAGATGTTCACATGTATAGTTTCCCAGCGCTCGGGGCAATAACTTCTGAGGATGAAAAGCAACAATGGCCATATTCAAAGCCGTTCCCTCCACCCAGCAAGTTAGCATTATTGCCTTGGTTCTGGGTGGCATTTAAATTTTCCTCGTCAGAGTGGCGGCCTCTTGTACCTGACTGAAGTGTGATTCCATCATCTTCATGATCGCTCTCAACCAGTGTAATTTCCTCAAAAGAGCCTTCATCCCCTGTATCCAGCCTAGATACAATATAGCTTATGGCCTCCCCAATGTCTTCACCTGCGCCATTGTTCCCACCCAGCAAGTGAGATTGGCTCCCATTCGTTTGCCCTTGGTAGCTGTCTGAATCCTCTTCAGCGCGTTGACTTCTTGAATCCAATTGAGACACATCCATGACTTTCCTATCATTTTTCTGACTGTTGCTTTCTGTACGGCTGTCCTTGACCGGGGACTTCAACACTTCTCCCCACATAACAGGTTTGAGTGCATCGCCACAACCAGTTGGAGCATGGCATGCTGCACTAATCGCGGCACTGCAACTGCTGGCAAGTGGCATACTGTTCTTGAAGTACCTGAATCCCAAGGCTAGAATAACAATCATCATTGAAGCACCGAGAAGAAGGGCAAATATCATTGCCATTGGTGAATAGCCGCATGCAACAAGACGTTCTGGGGTTATGTTTCCAACCGTATCATACAAGATAACCTCCACAAAGAAAAGGCTCTGGGACACTAGCCAATGTAGCATCGCATGGGTAATTAGCAGCGGAATACTGTATCGGTATGGGAGACTGAGGTAGTAGGTCGAGCGCTGGTGTCCTTTTGGCCAAGAGACGCGCAGTGGTTTGCGTTCCGCAGCATAGTCATTGAACTCAACAGCAAGAAGCATACTGGTTAACATGTTGTTGTAAAAGAAGTATGCAACTGAAACAATGAGCTGTGGTGTATTCGCAAGAAGGACCATTGATATAATCCCCGAACAGTTGCTGGCATTGGCACAAAGGTTTATCACTGTAGATGAGGCGACACTTCCAAAGCCCAAGTTCCACAGTGCTGGAAATGATATGGATTGACGTTTGCCCGACAAGCTAAGAATACCGGATAGAAGGCAAGCAAGTAATACCAGAATGAGAACAAGCCAGCTGTACGTGTCAGGTACTCGCTAGTGACTTAAAAAAAAAGGGGGGAAAGAAAGGGGAAGCGAATGAGGAATACCTACAACCAGAGAACCAATCCCAAATTTGAGCCATCTGCAGCCCCCCTCCATTTTCTCCTCTTAGGCCAGAAAGTTGTAGGCTGAGGTGGTAATCTGTATTGATCAACTAGCTGCCAACAATATGGGCCCTTTCCAGAAATGTTCCTTCTTGACAGTAAACATCTGTCTTTAGTAGTCCTATCAGGTCTTCTGAGAAAGGATGATATGGCATCCCCAACTGTTAAGAATATTTCCTTCCTATCATCATATGCTGTCACGAGCATACAAGAAACTTTGATGATGTTGCACAGAATAACAGTAAGGCATATAGGAAGACTGAATAATAGCTGACATTTCTCATCAACTTTTTGGCTTAAGCAATAGTCGACTGAAAGGGCAGGAAGGGATGGGTTCACAGTCTGTAGAGCACATGCAAATCCTGTATCATGGATTTCAGCACTCTTTGCCCATGAACTGTTTTTCCAGCGAGTTGAATCATCAAGATACTGCTGTAGTTCGTTTTTCTGTGGATACCCTTGTAAGAAATCAATGAGATTTGAAAGGTCCTCCTTATCACCAAGAACAGAGCTGTTAGTCTCTATATCGCCTTGGTTGACATCAAAGCTGATATTATGTGGAATACTCGACAAAAGAGTCACGTTCAATAAAGGAACTGACCAGGGTACGGAGGACACATTCCAATTGCCAAGGCATTCCACTTTGCATGAGTCTGCACAAGTTTTCAAGCAAGGGTATTTCTCACAGTTATTCTCTGAGTCACTTACATTGTAGGTGATTGCAGGATAACTCGGCTCGCTCTCACACATCCATGAAAACGAATTTAATGAGTACTGCTGTGGCGAATTTCCCATACCAACCCAGCGTAAAGATCTATTATCCATAGTCATATTTTTAGTGACAAGAATGAGAGTCCCTCGATCTGCAAGATAGTCGGCAGCATAGGTATCAAGACATTTCTGTGTATCAAGTTGTTGGAAGTTTGCTACCTCGGAGTAGAAAGCAGGCGTATCCATGGAGAGGTTCTGTTCAGAGCAACCTGTATAATCAGGGCCATCTTTTGGCGGATTATTGAAATCAAAATTTGTGGATGCGAGGAAAACACCATATTCATGTGTGCCTAATGCAGAAAACACAGCAGAATTGTAACTACATTTCATGGTTAGAAACAAAATGTGAGAGTTGACATCCAAGACTCACACCAGATGAATTGGTAGGGAAGATATCAATAACACCACCCAGAGCACGCATCTCCTCCAGCCAATAAAGCGCAGATTCTTGATGCTGGGCACACCAATATGGATCCACTTCCGCTGAGCGTGGGCACTTTCAATATTTTGGCGAGATGGTGAACTTAAACATTGCATACAGTAGTTACTTGCTGCCAGCAGAATTGTACTGAGGGTGTTTATCAGCAAATGCAGGCCACGGACCCAGTTTTTTGAAATGCCACAGTCACCATGGTAAATCATGGCAGAAGTAAATCCCTGGCCCTCGAACTTTGAATAAGAAAGGATAACCGCAGCAATAGTCAGGGAGATGTTCAGGAATAGAACAATGGAAGCAAAAAATGTGCAAATGAGAACACCTATCACCCATTCCCGCTGCTTGCCCTTTTCTTGCTGGACCCTTTGGTTTACTCTGTTGGCGAAACCTTGAGGCAGACAGAGCATAAATTGTGATATCAGAGATGTGTTCGATTTACTGTCATCTTTATCCAAAGAATGACAAGCTCTATATTATATTAGCCTCAATAAGCTCCATACCTCTCAGTGGGTCCAATATACTAACCGACAAAGTTCATGTTCTTCAACATCCTTTCTATGGTTCTGTATTTGGTCGTATTTGAGCTTGCGAAATGGCCAATACCAACGCCGGCTTATAGGTTGGAGCAATGAGGGCGACTGGCTCATGGCGTTTGCTTCCATCTGCCATTAGAGCAAAGTGTTTGTTGAAGATATCAGTGCTGGCATCGCCGCGTTATTAAATAGGTAAATCTATAATATTTTTATAACACATTTTGAAGCATGCTCTCACCAAGGCTGCTCAGCCTCGTGCGGCAGGGCAATCCTTCGGATCACCTGAAGCGACAATAATCTGCTCACTGCTATCGGGGTAATCGGAAAGCCTTGTTTGCTTCATGTTTGCTTTTTTGCTACCGATTTATGGGGTATCCAGTCACCCAAATTCAAGCCGTGACTGGCGTGTACAAGCGGTTCTTGTTGAATTTAAAAGTTGCAATCGGATTAGGAAATTGTATATATAGAACGTCACTTAAATGACCTGATCATCCTGATTTAGCGAATATCGAGTCGCGTGACTCGATTGCCATTACGCGATATAAAGGATGTCGGCCGTGTTTCTGTGTGTATAAATTTCCTTTCTTGCAGAGTTTCTCGGCATTCTTTGATATAACCGATTCCGCGTGGATTTTGGATGCTTAGCTTGTCATATCGATCTTCCAAGTCATCTGTAACTATAGTGAATATATAGATTTCTTGTTGAATATCAATTGTACATCCATCATATAACTACCTCTATATATCATAATCATTAGTTCTATACTCCCCGTCACCCTAGCGATATGGGGTGCTGCTGCTAAATACGAAAAAGGGAAAACCATTAGCGTCGCTAGACAAGCGTCTGTATGAAAAATCCCTGCTCCCTCACCGTATCTCACGGCTGCCTGGATGACCTACAGTACTACAAGGGGCTAGACCCCGGAAGCTATCATTTAGCCCTAGACGGACCCCCTTATCCCCGCTTCCTCAGTTGCAGTGCTCAATACAAAAAGCCCAGCCGTCTGCCCTCGTTAGGACCTCAAAAGTTACCCATTCCCTGCGCTACTCTACAAGCTCAGTGAAGCCATTCGCCAACATACACTCAAGCTCAAGGTCGATCATAATGTCCTCCACTCAGCAACAACCTGTACAAGTGCAGACGATGCCGTTACATAAACAATACGAAGAGGCCGGCGATTCCTACCTCACCACCAATGTCCTGGATCTGTTCTCCCTCAAGGGCAGGGTGATCGCGATCACCGGAGGAGCACAAGGCATTGGTCTGGCGCTGGCTTTCGCATGCGCCGAAGCGGGAGCCAAAGTTGCTGCCATTGATGCGAAGGCGGAACCCCACAAAGACTTCCTCATCCTCGAGAAACAGTGTACTCAGCTGGGAATGTACCAGTAAGATGATGAACACTCCAACATTCTACAAGGACTAGGTGCTGAAGTTTCAATGTCCCAGGTCCGACGTGGCGGAGGTTTCGTGATGATGGGTGGGGATTCCGACCAGCGTAGGTCGATATTTTCCACCCCGAAGCCAACGGACGAAGCAGGGGTCTTGGTGTTTGAACGGCCATCTGATATCAGAGAGGCGTCCGAGCTGTCGACGGCCGAAGTGGCACTAAAAAATTACCAGAGGTCTTTGGGGGGATGCTGCAGTTTAATTGAGACATCATATCCATGAATGGTAACCGCATGGGTTGGGAATTTAGGGACACCGCTGCAGGCTGCCTAGGTGCAGCTGATCTCGTCATGCACACGAACAAGATGGGAATCGACATCTGCATGTCTGTGATCTAGGATGCAAATTTCGTTTGGGTCATCGGGCTCATGGTAATGTCTCGGAGAGCTGGCGGTATGAGATATATTTACGCATCAATGGTTATGCACGGTATCTTCTCCATACTATTGGCGTCTATGCTCGGGCTATTTCAATAATTAGGAATCCGAGCTAGCCTGATAATCGATCCTTACGATTCGAAATCAACACTGATTATCCAGTCTCTTGCACCCTGTTCACTGAGGTTTGCATATCGTTATGAAAGCTCCTTAGGCAGGACACTCGAATAGAAGCCTCTGACATGTTCCGGCAATTCCCAGGCCTTGGCCAAGTTCAACAATCATTCCGATTGAGGCCTGGTAGCATATGGAGCATAATCCACTAGCTCTCGTCGAACTTCCGGAGGCAGGGCTTTGGCCTCCCAACTAAAACATGCCCGTGGCATTTCGGCTGTTATTTAGCTGCCCAACATAGCAATCATAGCATCACACAGAAAAACAAGCTCGGTTCCATCTCATCGTACTCCGTATCTGCAAAGTTTATATACCATGACATCATGTCTTGAATATTAATAGAGACGGTTACTCCGTGCCGGAACGCTGTGAGGAGCGCCGAGGCGATGCGAACCCTGGAAGATTGTAGTGAGACATGGTCAATACCCCGGACATAGTGCTAAATGTTGATAGTGCACTAGAAAATTCTGCAGGGCAGTGCAGTCGTGGCGGTGTTTTCCATATCGGGAAAGCCAGAAATAGATCGGCATCAGTTGATAACGGCGTGCCGATGCCGAGGATGTACCGAGTCTGATACTCTGTATTCTTGTACTTGTGCACAGAATAGCCGTACAATATGTGCTTGACAGCAACAGAGAGTAGCTGATATGATGAGGCTAGCCTCGATAATAATAGCCGGTACAAACACGATGCAACGCTAGATAAAAATAGCCCTGAATGCACCCTGCGGAGAAATACCCCAATCGGGAAATTTGCCTCCACACGTGGTCGATCCGGGCCGACAGAAAGACATCATTTTGAGACATGCAGACCCTATGTTGATGTCCGGAAGGAGACAGGTTATCTCCCAGGTATATCCCTCGAAGCTATATAAACCTCTTGATCTCCCGGTCAATTGGACTCATCATCACTCAATCAATCAATCAGTCAATCACTACTACTCTAATACCAACTCTCGTTAAACCAAACAACCATCACAATGAAGCTCGCTACCATCCTCTCCGTCCTCCCCATGGCCTTCGCCCTGCCCACCAGCAGCGGCCAGGCCAAGCGCTCCAACGGTGCCTTCTCCGTCATGTCCGCTCGCTCTGCCTCCCCCATCCACCTCCTCCCCTTGAACGCCGACGGCAGCTACTTCTACCTCGGCGGCGAGGCGTCGACCTACTGCCCCGAGACCGTCTCCAAGGTCGCCCCCTGCCCCAAGGGCGATGTGACCGCTTTCGTCGGCACCGGCGCTGCCCTTGACGTCTCCGTTCCCGGCGGCCAGGCCGTCTACGTTGACTCCAACGGTGCCCTGCGCTTCACCACCCCCCACTCCGGCTACATGGGTGAGGGTGCCTCCACCGGTCCCTTCGAGCGCACTCCCGCCAGCACCCCCACTGGCTTCGGCCACTGGGCTTACAAGGGCCAGGGTGCCTCTGGCTTCATGGCTTGCCCTGCCGACGACAACAAGTGGCAGGTGTTTGCTTCGCTGCAGAACGCTACCGTTCCTCAGGGTGACGTTAGCGAGTGTCTTGGTTTCTCTGCTATGGCCGTGCAGGCTCGGCAGAACGCCACCGCTGCTTGGGAGTACGTCTAAGCACATAATGCAGTGGTGCGATTACGCTGGAAAGGAGGAAAGATAGGGTGATAAGTGCATGTTGATATTTGTGTCTATATTTCTGTCTATATAAAAGCGTTATGAGTAAATATCACAGTTAATGTTTATGGTCGCATATAATATTTTTCCAGAATAAATTGGAGCGCAAGCTCAGTAGTCGTGTATGTTGGTGTCCATTGCAACGCATCTGATCGATGTTCCAAACCAAATAAAGGTCGTTCCATGGCACGACCGATCGTGATCTTGTGGTTATCGAAGCTTCTATGCAAACTCGTGAGGCGGGTCCATCCTACTCAATCCAAGTACTTAGCCTTGGAATCAACGCATTCCATATCTCCACTTTTCTTCCTATTGCCTTACGCCCGGAAAACACCTTGACTCCGCGCTGCTGCCCTACCCAACGTCCTCCGGGATATCACACGCCAGACATTTCGTGTCACCAAGCGGTAACGAGGGTTCCGTGCGTATTTTAACGGACCGGTCGAGTATGGTCACTCACTAGACCTCAGTCCACTGACTTGAATTTGAGTAGCGTTGTCGGATGAGGTTTGCCGGATGGGTTAAAAGAGTGTAGAGTTTTGGGCGAAGGTTTTGAGGGTTTGATTTGGGGATTGGAGGGAGGGAGGAGGTGTTGTGGGGATGCTAGATGTAGATTATGCTGGTGATGGACTAGGTTTAGAAGCAGGGGATGGGTGCTTTGTATGGAGCATGCATCATTCGCTATGTTTTGTGAAAGGTTATGGATACTTCGCACAGTAAATGTCCGATGATGTGACTCTTTAATTCGCTTCTCATGCAGTAGCGACACCGAATCCCAAACTGTCCGAATACTCATTCTTGGCTGCTACATTGGCTACGCCACAATAAGTAATGGTCAATAGTATGCAGAGTACTAGTGAGCCCTTGTGGAACTTTCCGGCGGGCTCACATACACCTAAAAGGATTGCGTGAAAAGCCGCATGGATGACTCGACAATATGCAATGTTTCCGTGATAGAAGAAGACTTCAGTGACTTAATATGATAATGATGGGTTCACCGAAGAGTGAGATGTGTAAGAGCATGCATTCGGGCCGGGGTTTTGCTCCTGAATCCAATACCCTATCACGGAACTCGACCCTGTACACACAAAGCAAGTGTGATAAACAATCCATATATATTTTATTAATACATATCCCATAATTTATATACAGTCCCATCCCATCCCATTCCATCCACATACACGTACACATCCTTCATCCTTATTAATACTCTCCCATCAACTCCAAATCCCTCGAACTCCTCCCCACCCAAATCCCAAACCTTCCCTCCTCCGGCATGATCCAATTCTGCCACCTAACACTCCAGTAACTCAAATCTTTACGACTAAGCGTCATCTCCACCGTCTCGCGCTGACCGGGGTCGAGTTCGACCTTCGTGAAGTTGCGGAGCACGCGGTCTGGGAATTCGACTTCCTTGAATGTTGGAGGCGGAGTGGGTGTGCTAGAATCTGCTGGTGTTTCTGTTGGTGTGGGCAGGGTTGTGATCGGAGCGGGTTGCGGAACTTCTTCGACAACGCCGGATGGAAAAGAGACGTAAACCTGAACGACTTCCTGACCCCTGCGGCGGCCGGTATTGGCAACCTGAACTTGTATTTTGACCATTTCGTCGTACAGTGAGGGATTTCCGCCTAGGCCGCCGCCGGCAGCAGAGGGGGGAGAAGGGTCGGAGAGGTTGTAGCCCTTGGGGTAGGTGTAGTTAGCTGGTTCGGTGCCGTCGAGGGTGTCGAGATAGGGGTAGATGTATTTCCACACCTTTGAGAAGTCTGCGGGAAATATTGCGGATGCGCTGTCTGGGAGGTCTGTGTCGTAGTTGGGGGGTTCGATTTCGTTTTCTGGGCGCGCGGCTGGGAAGCGAGACTTCCGTTGGAGTGAGCTGACGTGTGCGTTCGAGATTGTGAATGTTGAGTACGACAGACCGAAGCCGAACTCGTAACGCGGGGTGATGTTGTGCTTATCGAAGTAGCGGTAGTCAATGTACAATCCGTCTGTAAAGTTGACCTGCGGGACTGGCGCGTTTGGCTCGTATAGAACCTGCGCTCCTGCGCCATAGTCCTCGAGACTCTTGCCTACTGTGTACGGCAAGCGACCGCTAGCATCCACATCGCCAAACAGGACATCAGCCAGCGCGTTTCCACTCTCCTCACCAGGCAGGTTGGCAAACAACACGGCATGCACGCCAGGCAGATCAATCCACGGCTCAACAACAACCGGTCCAACAGAGTGTATCACGACGACAGTCTGACCTGCACCATCACCACAATGCGACGCGACAGTCTTGATCAACGAGTCTCCGCCCTTCTGCAGGTAGAGATCATTCCGATCGCCGTGGATGCCACCGGCAGAAATGTATCCCTCGCCGCTATCCGCATTGGCAAACACTAGACACAGATCCTTGTCCGCGGCGTCCTCCGGCATAACCCCATTGCGCAGATACGCAGTCGTCTCGACATTCTCCGAGTCCTGCCATGCAGCTTCCAACGCCTCCAACGGAGTCACCAAGTACGGGAACTCAACAGTGCCACTGCCCCAGCCAGACCCCAGCGTTCCCTGATTGCAGCCGCGATCGGGACAAGCATTGGGTCCCTCAGCCGGTCCGGCATCATCACCAAAGATTCCAACTCTGTACGGACCATCCGGCGTGCGCGACAGTGGCAGCGTCTCCTCTTCGTTCTTCACCAGCACGGTTCCTTCAGCAGCGACATCACGCGCCACCTGGCCATGGCCTTCACCAGCGTCAATATAGCGGTTCACAACCCGATAAGCATCGTCATTACTTCCCCAGTGCAAATAGCTAACCTCATCATCAGTCCAGGAGGAGAAGTTGGGGCCGCCCTCACCGTCCGGCGGTGAGCGTTCCCATTGATCCTGTTCGAAATGATACCAAGCAGCGACAATGCGGGTCACCATGTCGTTCAACCGCTCAACAGGAATGGAGGTGTTGAGGACCGCACGGGTGAGTTCGCTGCCCCAGAGCGCTTTACCGTTAGCCCAGTGCAGGCCATCTCCGGGCATGCTCATGTCCAAGCCGCTGATGGCACTGTTGACGCCAGAGCGCTGCGCGAGCCAGTCCGATTGGACGAAACCTTGGAAGCCCAATTCATCCTTGAGAACGCCGTTGAGCAACTTGCTGTTTTCGCAGGCGTGGCTGTTGTTCACCATCTGGTATGCACACATAACACTAGCGACATCCGCACGGATACTCTCAGCGAACGGCCACACGAAAACCTCGTGCAACGCGCGATCGTCGATATTCGAAGATAGCGCCGTCGAAATACCCCATTCGAACGGTTGACGGAAGTGTTCCTGTTCATTCATCACGTAGTGTTTCGCTGTAGCCATAACGCCGTTACTCTGAATCCCGCGAATGGTCTCTGCAGCAGCCACACCCTGCAGCACGGGGTCTGATCCGAAACCTTCCCAATTGCGACCACCAGCGGGCATCATACCCATCGGGCCCATTGATGGTCCTATTAACACGTTGACGCCCTTGCGACGAGCTTCCAGGCCCAATGCGATTCCTCGGTTGCGGATAAGGGTTCGATTCCAGGTAGCACCGGTTGTGAGGCCAGGAGGGAAAGCGCTAACGTGGTCTGCGTATCGTAGGCCCATGGGACCGTCTTGTAGGCAGAGGGAAGGGAATCCGGCTTCTTCGGCGGTGCCTGTACAAGTAAATCGTCAGTCGTAGGTCGCTTAATAGAGACAAGCAACATACCAGTATTGCCAACGCAAAGACCCATCTGCCACCCCGTCCCAGTTGTAATATTGACCTTCTCAATCAAAGTCATATTTCCCACCAAATCCTGCGCCTTGTTATAACTATCCTCCCAGGTCTTGACTGTTCCACCTCGAGGCGTAGGATACCAGTGATCGGCGGGGACGATAGGCTAGAGAAACCTCGTTAACGACACCCATCAAGGCCAGAAAGGTAAACTCACATAATACGGCGGCGGAACCTTCCTATACCTCGCAAAGGTCACAAACCCTACAATCAACAATACGAGACAAACCCCAACGACGACCAGCGCCCGACACCAAGTCTTCGAATACCAAAACGTCTTCCAACCCCTCGGCCGCCCCCCATCAACCATACTCATCTTCCGCATCGCCTTCCTCCGCTTCATATCAGTCCCGTACCCATCGCCATCAGAATCCGAATCTGCAATGCCCATCTCATAGTCATATCCATCGCCATCCTCGTAGTCATATCGCGACGGTGATAACAGCTCCTGCTCCGCCTCGGTGATACTATCCAGATAACTCTCGATATCGCCGGAATTGCGCACGACGGGGACATACGCAGCGGCATGGGACGGCGCGGGCGCTTTCGCTTTCGCTTTCGATTCGGACTTGGGCCCTGACACACTGCGCCTCCGCAGCTTTATCCCGTTGTCATGATAGCCGTCATCCGACTCCGATTCCGCTAGTAAACTCGCCGTGTCATCCACTCCATCGTCATCGCGATATGGCGGCGGCGGAGGAAATCGACTCGAGGACGCATCCCCTTCCTCCTCGGGAATTACTTCGTGGATAGGCATATAGTTTTGCATCGAATTGCTTTTGCTGGAGGTTCTTGTTCTGTTGCGGAAGGTCCCCGAGCGGGCGGAAGCCGTGGCGGGGGTGGAAGGCATGGATCAAACCGGAGAGGGCATTGATTTATTGTTTTTTGTACAGGGTACGGAGTAGCGACTAAGATAGTTTATTTGAGACGGTAATAAAGGAAGTGACAGGAGCCAAGTGTCTTCAGGGACGAAAAAACGGAGGGAAATGATGGTGGGCCAATCAGGGAGAACAATCTCTGGGCCGCGATCGACGGGACGCGTGTGAGTTTGAAATGAACGAAAGAGGAAAGTCGTGGATGCTGATTAGAGAATGACTGTAGTTAAGAGGGTGTAGGTAAGTGAGTGTGCGAGGAAAGTGTGGTGAGGAAGTGAGTGTGTAGAGTGTAGAGTGGTGGTGAGGAGAGGTGAGGTTGGAAATTGGAGTATAGTTACGAGTCCCGTGACCGTAGAGCAGAGTGCGGTACAGGGTATTTTGTATAGAAGGAACAGGGTCACATCTAATATGTAGCATAGTCTATATACCATATACACAGGAATGTCATCTATATGCCAGCAAAACCAACCAACCCAGTCTATCCAATGAACCAATCAAACAAATGAAAAAAATGCCAAAGAAAAGAAAAGAAAACATAACCAGTCATTATACTCATAATGAACAATAACAACGCTTTTAATAACAAGACATAGACATGCTTACGCCTCATCATCCGTGTCCGGAGGGTGTGGGGTACCCTTAGGACTCTGCAACCACTCGAGGTGACGTAGCCTGCGGCGAGTATCGCGCTCCTTGAGTTGCGCACGAGTGAGCTTCTTCTTCTTCTTCGCCTTGAACTTCAATTCGCCCTGGTCCTCAGCACCCGAGTTGGCGGCCGAAGCGTTCACGCTGGTGGCGGTCGAGTTGACGGCCGTGCTGCCGGGCTGAGGAGAGCTGGCGGCGCTGTCTTCGAAGCGGTCCGCCGAGACGGCGTTGTTGGTACGCTTGACAATCTTGCCGTCGGCCACGTGGAGCTGCTCGGGGCAGAGGGCTCCGACGAACTCTTCGTTGTGAGAAATCATAACCACACCACCCTTGAAGTCACGGATGGCAACAGCCAATCCACCAAGCGAGTCACGGTCCAAGAAGTTAGTAGGTTCATCAAGAACCAGCAAGTGAGGGTTGTTCCACATGGCACCAGCCAGGACAACCTTGACCTTCTGTCCACCAGACAGACCAGAGATCTGGTTGTGGTTGGCGATCTCAGGGTCCAAACCAATGTCCTCAAAGTGCTTGGAGATGACGGGGGGCTCGAGAACACGGTAACCCAGACCCTCACGCGACGACTCGTGGTCATCAAACTCCTGGACCATCTTGAAGAAACCAAGGTTGGTCAAAGTCTCACGAGAGATCATAGTGTTGTGTTTGGGAAGCAGGCCAACCCATTTCCTATCATTTTTAGTTACTGCTTACTTTCCAGGGGCGGGAAAGAACTTACACTTCGTACTGGAAGGACTTCTTCCATTTCTGACGACCCATCAAGGCTTCAATGCGGCGAGGACCACGGCCATCACCCAAATCAACCGGCTTCTCCATCTGCGCCTTGTCCTCGTCGGTGAGGATACGGGTCTGCTTCAGGAAAACTTCACGGTCGTCTCCGTTGGCGTAACGCCACTGCAGATACTGACTGGGAGTCTTCTCCAAGTGCAGCTCAACGTGCTCCAGAGCGTGCTGCTTGATGTAACCGATACGGAGATTGGGGTGCTTCTCGACCTTGCCGGTCTGAGGAATCGTCTCACCAGTCAACATCTTGATGAAGGTCGACTTTCCGGCACCGTTGCCACCAATGATGGCCAAACGGGAAGACAGCGTGAGCTGAAGAGACGCATCGCTCAGCGACGGCTTGTTCGCACCGGGGTACGTGTAGCTGCAGTTGGTCATACGCATGATGGCACGAGTGTTGGACTTGATACCAGCCAAGATACCCGGAGGGGGGAACTTGAACTGCACGGTGGAGGCGGACAGGGTATAGTAACTCTTGCCCTCGGGCTTGACCCTGACAAAGTCGGCCAAGTTTCCGCGGTAGTTGACGAGCTTCTTCTGCTCGTAGTGGTAGATGTCGGTGCAGACCTCGTCCAAGAAACCAGAGTCGTGACTGACGATCAAACTGGTGATCTCAGTGTTCTTCTTCAGGTACTCCTGCAGCCATTTGACGTTGGCAACATCCAAGTGGTTAGTCGGTTCGTCCAGCAAGAGCACGTCCGCTTTCTTTAGCATGGCACGGGCCAGAGCCAGCTTCATCTTCCATCCACCAGACAAGGATCCAACGCCCTGCGACTGGCGACCCTCGGGTCCGTCGGTGAAACCGAACTCGAGCAGGACACTGGAGATGTGCTCTCTACCGGTTTCAGCAATCAGGGGGTCCTTGGAGACGTATTCGAGGATGCTCAAGTCGGCATCTTCGCCCTGATTGTGCTCGACGAAGCAGGTGCGGACCTGGTCCTGGGTCGGGAAGCCTTCCAGTTTCTCGTTGGCGATACTGCGCATGAGGGTGGATTTCCCGGCACCGTTGCGACCGACCAGACCGTAGCGGTGACCCTTGACCAGACGAAGGTTGGTGTGGTTCAAGAGCAGCATACCACCGTAGGCAAGAGAGAAGTTGGCGTTGACGATAACCACCTCGTTGGGGTCGTCCTCGACGGGCTTACCAAACTTGCGGTGATCATCCTCGACGAAGTGGGCCTCGATTTCGGCAGCAACGGCGTCGTGCTTGTCGTCCTTGAGCAGGCCGCGGAGGTACGGCGCGGTGCAGAGAGGGATGCGGTCGTGCATGCGGCAGTTGACGTCTTCACGGACCATTTCAGCAATGTAGGTCTTGCCCAGTTGGAGGAGAGTGGCATCCTGAGGATCAGCCAAACCACCCTGTGCTTGGATCTTGGCGTCCAGAACAGCAAGGACCTCATCCGGAGTGACCTTGGCAACGGAACCGGCAGCCAGGTTGCTGTCACCCATAGCCTTCTCCATGACGGACAAAGCGCTGGTGGCAAGCTCACGGACTTCAGGCAGGGAGGCACGCTCCTTGACGCGCTGAACACCGGGCTGCAGCTTGGGCAGGAAGGTACGGGCTTCCGAGGGGTCGTGAACCAGTTTGGTCAAGTTCTCGACGACGACGACAGTTTGACGGAGGGTCTCTTGAGGGGTGGTCGGGGTGTTCAACGAACGCTCCAGCAAGGGAGTCAGGAGGGCGAGCACGGGCGAAGTGACGACGGCAACAAAGGTGGTTTGCGACAGAGCGTGGATGGCCTTTTGCAGGGTCTGTTCTGAGGGCTGTTGCATGGTGTTCATCAACAAGGGTATCCGAGGGAGGACATCATCGTTGGACAAAAGGGTGGTGAGCTCGTTCATAGCCTTGGTGGCCCTCTTGGCGACTTCACCCTTGAGATCGTGCATACCCGACTCGACCAGAGGAATGAGTTCCTTGAGGGTCTTGCCCATGGCTTCACGCAGGAGATCCTTCTGGCGCTCCTCCTCTCCAGAACCAGCACCCATCTGCGACTTGATAGCCATCTTCTCGATGAGAGCGAAAGCACCGACGAAACCCTGCCACTTACCGGTACCCTTGCTGAGGTAGGCAGAGATGGCGGGGAGCAAAGCGTTGACCAGAGATTCGGGCTTCAGGTTGTCGAAAAGGGCGTCAATGGCATATTGAGCAGCGTCGCGAACAACGGCGCCCTTGTCGGACAGGGCTTCAAAAGCGAGGTACAGCACACCGCCATCCTCGAGGAGCAAAACGTACTCACTCAGAGGGTGTTCCCGAGGGAAACGCTCAAAGAGAGCACCCAGGATAAGCATGGCACTCTCACGACGAGCGCCATTCTTCTTATCGGCAGCGGCTTTCTTGACTTCGGAGAGGATGTTATATTGGAACAGACCACGGCAGCCGACGCTCTGAATGAGAAGGTTGGTCAAGGCATACGAGCCATCGAGGGCCTGCTGAGAGCCTTCTGCGTTGAAGATGGTGTTGAGGAGAGAAGAGACCTCCTCTTGTGTGGGAGGCACTCCGGAGGAGGTTTTCGACACGGCGACAGGCATTTCTGGGGATTCAGGATGAGGCATTCTGTATATGTCGGTGTGTGTATAGCGAGGAAGCCTTCAATGAGGCGTGGTGGGGACTGTCCCGGACGTGATAAGCAGGACCCGATGGAGATAACTGAAGAAACAAACAACAGTATTAAGAAAATAGAGCGGAGATTGTATACGGGCCCTCCACGATAGTCTTCAACACAAAAAGACAAGATGAGAAGTTGAGGTGAAGAAAGACAGCGAAAACTTGAATCTTCTTTTTTTTACGCTTTCCGCCTTGGGCACGATTTTTTTGCCGAATGTAAGCAGGCAGTCATTGGCAGATAGTGTTCACCGCCTGTAAATTTCTGCCTGAGGCGAGTATTGATAATCAAAGTGGCGGCCAATCATGAACCGGTAACTGCCCATGGGGAGTGGCGGTGCGTCTCCGTCTTGTGGCTGATAAGATATTGCATTCCTGGGGGATAAGGCAGCATTTGCCTCAGGCAAAAGAAGTTTGATGCCTTTGGGAGAAGGCACCATAAGGCATCACAAGGCACTCGGTTACTCTTAACTATTCAATAGACACGGACGGCCGGTACAATTGTGCGTAAGTAATTCGGAGTACAAGCACTCCGCACCGACAGGGACTATGCAGGAACGAGTTCATTATAGAGAGCTTCATGTCAGTTCGCTGCCCTCAACTGAGTGTATGTATAAGTAACTATGTAGCTCCGTAGCTCCGTCAATTGTCTTGGTATATAGCAAACTATTCTTACTTTATTCAATTGCCATTCATAGAGTACTATCCTTCCTATACTCCATCGATACTCACCACTCCGTACATAGCACAAGGGCACTATATCCGTTCCGCGGCTTGCCTCGGTTGACTGTCACCTGACTTCCCCTCACCTGACAACGTGCATCTCTACTGTGTACGTATCCGAGTACTTCCTTTTCTCCTTCCTCGGTTGAGCTTTACCACGGGTATATTCCCCTTATTTATTCTCAATTGTCTCTGTCTCTACCTTCTATTCTCTATCCTCTGTTGTCACTCCCCGTACTAGCTAGTCCCCGCTTCCGCCCCCGCATTCCTCGGATAGCCCACCCGAAATGGCCTTTTCTATGAGAACCTCCCGCCATGCTACCAAGCTGGCTACTGTAAGCCTCATTCCTTCAATTGCCGCTGCTACAAGTCAGACTAACAAGTATAGGCCCCCCGTCAGTTCCTCCGCCGCTATGCCACGGCCGAACCAGACCTCAAGTCCGCCCTGAAAGATGTCATCCCCGCCAAACGCGAACTCCTCAAACAAGTCAAAGACCAAAGCGAGGAAGTCATCGGTGAGGTCAAGATTGGAAATGTGATTGGTGGCATGCGTGGTCTCAAGGGAATGCTCTGGGAAGGTTCCGTGCTGGACCCCGATGAGGGAATTCGGTTCCACGGCCGGACGATCAAGGATTGTCAGAAGGAGCTGCCCAAGGGTACCACTGGCACTGAGATGCTTCCCGAGGCTATGTTCTGGCTTCTGTTGACTGGGCAGGTCCCGTCGACGGGCCAGGTGCGCGCCTTTTCGCGTGAATTGGCCGACAAGTCGCATCTTCCCGAACACATTCTGGATTTGATTCGGTCGTTCCCCAAGGAGATGCACCCGATGACCCAGTTGTCGATTGCTGTGGCTGCGCTGAACACGGAGTCCAAGTTCGCCAAGGCATATGAGCAGGGTCTCAACAAGGCTGAATACTGGGAGCCGACCTTTGACGACAGCATCTCGCTGCTGGCCAAGATCCCTCGTGTTGCAGCTCTCGTGTTCCGTCCCAATGAAGTCGACACCGTGGGCAGACAAGCCCTGGATGGCACTCAGGACTGGTCGCACAACTTTGCTGAACTCCTGGGCAAGGGCGGCAAGGAAAACTCCGACTTCCATGACCTGCTCCGTCTGTACCTGGCTCTGCACGGTGACCACGAGGGCGGTAACGTGTCGGCACATGCCACACACCTGGTTGGCAGCGCCCTCAGTGACCCATATCTCAGCTACAGTGCCGGCCTGCTGGGTCTCGCCGGACCTCTACATGGACTCGCCGCTCAGGAAGTGCTGCGCTGGATCCTGGCAATGCAGGAGAAGATTGGCACCAAATTCACCGACGAAGACGTGAGCAACTACCTCTGGTCGACGCTCAAGTCCGGCCGTGTAGTCCCCGGCTACGGCCACGGCGTCCTCCGCAAGCCCGACCCGCGCTTCCAAGCCCTCATGGACTTTGCCGACACTCGACCGGATGTGCTAGCCAACCCCGTCTTCCAGCTCGTCAAGAAAAACTCCGAGATCGCACCGCAGGTCCTCACAGAGCACGGCAAGACCAAGAACCCCCACCCTAACGTTGACGCTGCATCTGGCGTGCTCTTCCATCACTATGGCTTCCAGCAGCCACTGTACTACACTGTCACCTTCGGTGTGAGTCGCGCCTTGGGACCACTCGTGCAATTGATCTGGGACCGGGCATTGGGTCTGCCCATCGAGCGGCCAAAGAGCATCAACTTGCTCGGCCTTAAGAAATAAGTGCACCTCATGTACACTTAAAAACTATGATTATGCAGTTAATGAACATCATTCATAATATATTAATATATACAAAGACAGTACAACAGCATCAAACCTGATGCCTCTCAATCTTAAACTCGGTAAACGTATGGATCTGCAACGGATCCTCTTCCGCACTCGCACCCATACTCACCCCCGTCCCCGGCGGTTCCTCATGATGATGTACCGCCGCCTCTGGAACAGCCAGCCCCTGCACCTGCGCCGCACTCCTCTTAATCAACTCTTCTGAGTCCGAATCCCTCGCCCTCCCCACACTCGTCCCCCCAACAGAACTCCCAGGAAATGTCGAACTCATCGGCGTATTCACAGACATAATCGTCGTTTCAAAACCACCGCCTTTGCCTATCGTGGTGCCATCATCTAAAATCTCAAGATCAGTGTCCAATCGACTGGTAGAGATACTATGCGTGTTTGTGTGTGCTTTTGTGTGCCGGCGCGAGGTGCGGTTTGTCATGTTTCGTGTGGCGAGGGCGTAGGTGTTGCCGTTGTTCCCATAGCCGTAGCGGTTGTAGTAGGAGTTGAGGGAGGTGAAGGCGCGGAAGAGGGGGGCATAGGTTGGGATGCAAGTTGAAATCACCTGCCCCAGCATCCAGATTAGCATTCATGCCGAAGACATGCCATATAGGGCAGGGTAAGGACATACACCAAGCGAAATCTCAATAACCGACCAAATAACAATCGGCCTGCTATCCGTATACGTCTTGAGATTCTTGACCGTAAAAATGCGAATAATCTGGATGATTGTGACGAAGAAACCGAGCGCAAAAACCCCCATCAATGCGATCTTTTGTTTCCGCCGTAACTGCAAGTTCCCCAGAACCGGCAACGGCAGCGCAATAATCAGTATATCGAAGCCGAGACTTGTGCCCGCTAGCCCGTAATAACTAGGGACTGTATTTATACAGTGACCCGGAAGTGCAGCGTCCCATTGTTTCGCGATCGGGTTGCATGCGAAGAGCAGCAGGAAGGTGAAGATGAGTTGGTTGATAGTGCAGGCAGCGATGGCGACGAGGATGGTGTATTTGTATGCGTTGACGAAGCCGCCGATACGGAGGTAGGAGGTTAGGAGGGAGACTTTGAAGCCGAGGAGGGCCATTGTGTAGACAGGGCCGCCGGCATATTGGATCTGTTCTGTTAGCAGACTGCGCGTATATACTCTGGGCCAGAGAGGGCAGACCTTTCCGAACGGAACAATATTTTCAACGGGGAAGAATGATGCGTTTAAACCGAGGCCCCATCTTGTTTCTATTCATCCCATTAGTCCTCTTTCTGCATATCAATCTAATCAGTTTGGACATGGACTTACGAGCAACAGCAATCGCCCCATAAGCAGCTCCCAACACAGCACTCGAGAGCGCAGCATAATCATCAAGCCACGGCGTCCTTCTTAAGTGCAGGCGAACATAAAACCGGAAAGCGATGGCGATGAGGGCGAGAGCCGGAAAGAGGATGTTTATGGTGACGACAGTGGCGGTATGGCTGTGAGGGTCGGGGGTGAATTGGTTGTACACCCACATGGTCATATCATTGTATTCGTACAAAGGAGAAATAGAGGACAGAGCAATAGGAAAAGGGAAAGGAAAGGAAAGGAAGGACAGGTGTGTAAGGAATGACTAGTACATTGCGAATGAGCCAAAGACTGACTCTATCCGATGCGACGTGCACGTATTCTTATTCAAAATCAAATCTGAACCAAAAAGAAGTCATAGCATCATTGATTTGATCCACAACACGAGAGGATTGAAAAGACTCAGCTCGCACTTGACTGCACTAGTCATAAGCAGAAGATCATCAGGAGCACGAGCACAGATCCATGAATTGAACACAGCACCAGCACCAGCAGCAATGAATGAACTTCAAACACACGAGCCGGAGCAAATCCCTGACCGAAGGATTGGGACTCGTTTCAGCCAGCAGATTTAACTTAAACTACGGGAATCGCAGTCTCAAAAATGGTGGACGCCTCCCCGAGCTGCATCCGAACTGGTGCCCGGAAAGTATGAAAGATCGACTATTGTCGGCGATGATGCACGGGATTATGTTGCTTTTTCTGCTCTGGTCTACATAATAGTAGGTCATAATCATGCCTGTGCAAATGAGGAGCATCTGTCAGTGTCATCCGCATCTGTACATGGCACACAATCGGACTATTGCAAGCTATTTGAAATTGGATGGATGTAACCTATTTTGACCCATGGTTCGATTTCTGCAACAAACTTCCACTTAATCTAAACCTGGATAATCCTCGGAAATTCCGGGATGCCCCCATACTAGTACATAGCACAAATATAGGCACTCCATACAAGTATATGCACTCCACCACTCCATACATCTCCATAAACGATGCTAACGATCATGCACTCTGTACCTGAACAACGAACTGACTCGATTTTTTCTCGAACGTACAGAGTAAAATTCTACGATATGTCCAACCTCGGCACGCCACGGAATATAACCCACAGTGGAGAAGACATAAACTTTGCCCTAAGAGGAGACAACTCCGCGTACAGTTAGTAGGTTCCGTGCGCCAATATTAATTAAAGACTATGGAACACTGAGTGGGAAGAGATTCCCTAACTCAATCAAATTCAAGCGCGACACAATCGTCCATCATCGAGCTGACGCCACTCGTCCGACCCCACCGCTGTTTTTCCATAAAACACCTCGTCCGGATCATACTGCGCCTTAATCGCGCGCAGCTTATCGTACTTGTTCCCGTAGAATACGGACTGGAAATTCGGCTGCTCAAAATCGCCCTCATTCAGGTACGCGCCGCTGTTCGGCGAAAGCGCCGCCAACCGCAGGATATACTGCTTGGTCATTTTACGCTGCTCGGCGACCATGGCCGCGCGCGACGCCGTCCAGTTCCACTGCGTGGTAATCGTAGTATCGATCAAGGTTTCGCGCCAGGCTGGCTGTACAGCGTTTATCTCGTCGATGTCCTCGCCCACCAGCGCCCGCGAGACATTCAGGCCCACTCCGATAAACGTGGCCCCGTCCTCGGTAATGTACCGGTAAGCATCTGTCAGCGCATCGTTTTGCTCCTGCACCACTGACCTCGGCACCAGCCACCCGCCGTACTGCGCAATACCGACTTGGATGGGTGCCTGCATTCCTTCGAACTCCTCCAGGTAGCTGCCGAACTGCTGCGAGTGGATCTGGTACTTGATGCCGAGTTTCTTCAGGCCGTCCGTGAACGGCTTGACGAGCGCATTTAGCTCGGCGACGGGGATGTTCGGGCCTGTCAGCGGCGAGATGCTGAAGCTGGTGTTGGTAAAGTACCACACGCTCATCGCGCCCGCGTCCACGATCGCCGGCAGTTTCTCCTGGTACAGCTTGACGGCCTCGTAGTACGTATCCTGCGAGATGTTGGCGTTGGTGAAGGTCAGGTTCAATCCGGAGGTCGCATGGCCGGTATGCGCCTTGGAAGTCATCGACCACACAACACCGTAAGTACCGCCGCCGCCGCCGCTCAGCGCAAAGTACAGATCCTTATACTCGTTATCGCGGCGCGCAGTGACAAAATTCCCCCGACCATCAATAACCTCCCATTCCAGCACCTGGTCGGCGGCAAGCCCATATCGGGAAGCAAGCGCCGAATGTCCCCCTCCCTGACTGTATCCACCCGCAATCCCAACAGTGGGACATTCTCCGCCGACAACCTCCAGACCCTGGTTGTGCGCGGCCGTGTACGCCTCGATACCCTGGACGCCCGCGCCCATCTTCATCGCTTTACCGTTGTAGTATTTGCTGGAGAAGTCGTTGATTTCGATATCCTTGAGGTGGTGCATCCAGAGCCCGACCGAGCCCGCGCCTGTCGATTTACCATTGTAGTCGTGGCCGGTGTTGCGGACGACGAGGCGGATGTTGTGCTTCTTGACGAAGGAGAGCGTCTTCGACACGTGTTCGGGCTTGCTGACGTTGACGGCGTAGTTGATGAAGTTGCCGAGCGTGCATGGCTTGGAGACGGGGTGGAAGGGATCACAGGTGCCATTGGTGAAGAAGGGGGCCATAACCGACGAGGAGGAATTGTAGCTGCACCATCCCGTCAGTCCACCATCTCTGTACTCGTTCCTCCGGAAAAGTTGACTTACTGCACCTCCGGCTCCATCCATCCATTCTTCAGTTCCTTGCACACCTCCGCATCGTAATTCGGAGCGTGGCACGGCGAGGCCAGCGGGACCGTTGCAATCAACCGTCCGTCAACGGTCTCATTAAAGCTAGACCAGACATCCTGTGCCGGCCAGCAGTCATCACCCGGAAAGCAGCGACAGCTCTGGCATGCAGTCGACACCGAGCCCAATGCCAAAAGGGCACCGAGCAAACGAGCAGAAACCTTCATCTTCGTGTCGGAAAAGCAATTCCAATAAACCTCAGGCTCGACTGTAGTGAAAAGAAAAAAGAAAAAAGAAAAGAAAAAAAAAGTACGAAATGAGAAAGACACGAAAAACTAACAGCCGCGTACGTACGAGTCAGGCTAGGCTACTAGTACTTCCCATGTATACCAAGCTTCGAACTATGGCCACCGACTGGGGCATACTTGTAATCAATCAGGAGAATTGCTCCATTCATCTCCATGCGAGGGCTGTGTTTATTTGCCAATTCCCCCTTCGCCGATCTCTTTTTCGCTTCGATATTGCTACGGATGTGTAAAAAAGGACAATCGAATATTTCAGTCTAGCATTCAAGCTATCAGTGTTAGACTAGTAACTGAACCGAGTATCTCCGGCCAATGGCTTTCTCTATACCATGCATGAATCATGGACCAAAGGAGCCAAGCTTGCGAATGACAGCTACCTTTACCGAACTCGTGGAACCAGGGGTCAAGTGCACGGAGTATTCTCGTACACACTGGGCCCAAAATCAGACCCTCAACTGTTCCAATTCCCGCTCCAAATCATCCGCCCGAGTCACCCCGTCCACGGTTCGGTGGCCTTGACCCCCAACACGCGCGCCACATTCCGGACATATTGCCAATTGCACCGCTCCCCCGCACTCGCCGATGGTGAAAGGATGGCCGTTCTGGCAGTAATACCAGTGCCCGGTGCCCCGGAACTCGCGCGCCATGGCAGCAATGATCTCCAGACGTTCGTCGCTGGTCACCGCGGTGTAGAAGGTCTCTAGTTTGAGCATCTCTTCCGCCTCGTTGATTTCGCTCGATAGTCCATTGGTCTGGCCGGGGTGTCGATGGCATAGCTTCCTGGCCGATGCGATTGCCTCGCGCGCTCTCTCGGCATGTTTCTCTCTCACAGTCGGGGCCTCACTCTGCGATCGCTCCAGCGCGTACAGCTGGGCCAGGAAAATGTATCCTTCAACCTTGTGCGCGACTCGCATGGCGTTTTCGGCGCGCTTGATCAGACCTCTGCATTCCTCTCGGGTCGCTTGTAGATTGATCTGCAATTTGCATCCCTCCACTCCTGTACGGCTGGCCTGAAAAAGTGATAGAAAGTCGCCAAGTAAGCTAATATCCAGGCGCATCAGGAGGGTAGTTGCGAGGAACACCCCCTTGGTCTGCACGACACTGCCGTCGAATTCGAAATTTCCGCTGGTTGCTTTGCGTCTCCGTGCGCTTTCGACCAGGGCTTGCACACGGGAAAACGGCTGTTCTCTCTCCTCGACGGTTTTATAGTATTGAACGATGCGGCTTCGCAATTGGGTGACTTGTCTCCAACGATTTCCGCCGGATTCCCGGACGATCTTAGCCATCTGCTGGAATTGCTTGTCACGAGAGCCGCCAATGTTGATGGTAGCCTGTTCGCCAATCAGCAATGGTGACAAATCGGTCTTGCTTCCGAGAACCGCTGCCAATTGTAACGGCAGCTCCTGCGCAAGAGGCACATATTCCCGATTCAGATAGAGGAGGAACCTCTTCGTCGACTCGTCGAGAATAGCGCGGCGAACTAAGCGGCCGTATCTTGACAAATCTCTCAACGAACCACGGCATGTAGCGCATCGCTTGATATCATCTACGGAGAACGGCTCCGATGACGACCGGATAGCCACGGGCTTACTGTCTTCCATCACGTAGTACTTCTTCATATCCATTTGACCATCCATACTCTCGATCGTTAGAAAGTGACCGCAGCGAGGGAAGATACACGGGTTCTCGTCGAGGTCAATTTCGGCGTACGTCTCAGCCAGAATGAAGTCGACAACACGCTCCTTGAGCTCAGGGCTGGCGCACTTTTGACAGAACTCAGGTGAAGGGCAAGCCTCTCCACAAACCGACGGGCACTGGTGGCTACAAGCAAGCCGTTTCTCGCATCGAACCGTGCAAGGTATATGGTCACATGGAGCAGCACATGGCATAGAACACTGGCTGTGTGGACACGCTGAGAGACATGTCGATACCGCGCACGGAGTGCAGGGCTCTGCACATAGTCGCGGGCACTTCGAATGGGCACACTGAATCTCGCATGGCATGCTGCATGGAGGACATGGCTCTGACCTGTGGCAGGTCTGGTTGCACGCATGAACACAAGTCGATTGGTTCCGGCCACAGACTTGGAGACATTTGCCGTGATCCACAGTGACTCCTTCAGGAGTACGCACTGTACATTTCCAACACGGCTGCCTGCAGGTGTGGCCGCAGGACAGATTCGCTTTGCAAGGCGCATCGCAACGGTATCCAGATCTCGCAACGTTCACATGGCACTGAACAATTACCTTGTGATCGCATCCAGGCACCTGCTTCTCTACTAGTCTCGAGCATCTAACGAGAGATACATTTTGAGCCTGCCAGCAGGGCAAATCCTCCGCGATATGACCACAAAGCAGCCTCCGACCAGCTTGGCGGACACTGACAGTGCATTTAGCTGGGCACAACTCGCCGCATAGTTTAGGACATGTGTGATCACATCCCTTGACGACCTTCGGACACGGTTCTTGACAGTATACTGCATCATGGAGGATAGCAGAGTGACATTTCTGTTTGCAGACGTGGCCGCACTTAAGTCGGTTCATGCAGCGCTCATTGCATCCTCCTTCGGGTGAGTACTGTAGAAAGTCTTCCGGTTCAGACACAGAAATAGGATGATCTGGGTGGCGTGGACATTGGAGCTCCAGACCGGCGCCGAAGTTACCCTCCTGCTGCAAGATGTCGATGACCTGCGCCCACATCGGAACATGAATTGATGTTGCAGAATTGCCAACAATATACATTCCATGTTTCGCTCGCGACAGAAGGACGTTGATCCGGTTTGAAGTTCGAAGAAAACCGCATCGATTCTGATCGTTGCTCCTGACCAAGGATATCACGATGACCTTTGCCTCTTCACCCTGGAAGTTGTCGATCGTAGCGACCCGAAGCGTCTGCAAGAGATTGGTCTTGACGACCCGTTGCTGAGTCTCTGGGACTTCGTCATTAAGCCCTGCATTTTCCAGGTCCGTCTCATCCCTCTCGCCCAGCGTAATGGCAAACGACTCCCGAAATTTGCTCCGAAGGAAATGCAATTGGCCTAGATAGGGCGTCAAGACAGCGATTTCGCCACTCTTGTAGGTTCCCTGGCGGACCAGGTGATTGACTAGAGCGAGTGTCATTTCGACCTCGTAACTATTCCAGTGCGACGTCCCCAAAGCATCGTCCTTTGAACTGCTCCCTTCCTGGTGACGGTGATCTAACCAAAACAGCCGTTTACGCATTCCACTAACCTCAGGATACTGCGAAACAGAGGGGGCATCTTCCAGGCGATGGTACAGCGTTTCGCGAACAAGTTGAGCAATTGACGGGTGCATTCTCCGCTGCGTCTCGAGTGTACTGTACGGTAACCGAATGCCGGTCCCTTCATCTGGATTCACTAGACGCTCAAAAAGCGACACGTCCAAGGAGTACTGCTCGCCACCATTGTGGTTCTCGCGCGAAAGGTTGTAATTCTGCACCTGCGGCCGGAGCTGCATGTGGTCACCGATCAAAATGAGATGCTCGACCGAGGGCAGCAGAGCCGTCAGCAGATGAGACTCCAGCACTTCACCCGCTTCTTCACAGACGACGATCTTGGATCTCAGTCGACGGAGCATGTTCAGATTGCGGGCGAGACCCGTAGTTGTCACTCCGATGATATGTGCATCGCGGAGACAACGCATATTGAGCTCGTCGCGGATATTGTCGAACTGAACTTTGGTACGTCGTTGTCGCTCGAGGAGATTTCCTGCTGTATCATGAGCGTCGCGTCGGATCTCTGCCACCCAATATTCGTGAAGTCTCTGCCTCTCCTGCTGTGACATAGAATCGACATGGACATCTTGCAGTGCCGCCAAAGAACGTGGCCCGCTTGTAGTCTTGACTCCGCCATGGTTGAGCCATCCCTTGAGGACAGGACCTTTTCTAGAGGCCCGTGTTCGTTCATAGCCTTCCTCGTCCTTTCCATACAATTGTTGATGGTGTCGGGGATAGTGACGCTCAAGAAAGGACTTCAACTTGCCCTCTGAATTTGTTGGTTCCAGCGACAAACGACCGAACTCCTTCTCAATGTCATCAAAATCCCTATGAAGCTCCCACTGGTCCCTCTTCTCCGCCTTGGTTTTGTTTTTTTGCCCAGGTATATTCCGCAAGTTAAACTGTTCGAGCTTCTCAGATTTCGACCGGGAACCGATGCGGACGATCTGAGTAGTGATTCTCTTCTCCAGCAGATCCTCAAGCAACTGGTCCAACGCGTGATTCGTATAGCAGACACAAATAATTGGACCAAGATCCTCTCCAGCTTTTCTTCTGTTCGCAGGACCCCTCTTGCTTGCAAGGAGAGCCTGAATAAGGACTTTGATTAGAGCAACCCCCGTATAACTCTTTCCCGTTCCCGGTGGTCCCTGAATGAGCCCGATGCAGCGCTGGAGACTATTGACCACCGCAACTGCTTGAGCGTTGTCCAATGTCGAATATTTTTGCAGCCTTGCAATGTCGACTGGCTCACCAGGCCGCATTGTGAAAGGGACTGTGGGATCCTTTAACAAGCAGCTCAAGTCAAATGTGAATCCGTTCCTGAGAGCATATGCTGGCAGCGGCGGCGTCATAGTTCCGAACTGACCTTCAGGGTCCAACGGACTAAGCAACTGAGGAAATGGCAGGTCGTCACTTCTCTTCACCTGCTGAAGAGCACGGAGTGTCGGCTCAAATGATGCTAGGAGTATCCCGGGAAACTCGACAAGCGACAGCGCAACAGCCATACGCGATTTGTACTGACTGAGGATACATTTCACTTTGTCCTCCGACAGCTGCGCCAGCTCCAGCAGCACGGTTGCCGTCTCTTTCTCTTCCCAAAGGGAGCACATTTTCTCCAAGGGAAACATCTCTCCGTCCTTGTTTCGCCGTGGCCTTGGGTCTCCAGCGACAGTGCAAAAGATCGTATTCTTAGCCCCGAAACAAAGACACACCAAAGCACCTTGCTGCAGCCGCTTGGATCCCTGCCACCACTCCTCGCGCTTTTTTTTACTCATATTCTTCATATCTACCGGCTGCTCAATTCGAGCGACAAATTGCAAGCCTGCAAGCCGATCAAAGTTGAGGGCAAGCAAGTGGACATTTTGATGAACGTGTGTTCTAATCTGGCTGCTCCGAATTCCTCGTTTTTTGTTCGAGGGCTTCAAAAGAGCGTAAATGGTGTCTCTCAATTGCCCAATTGTATCTTCCCTGAGCAGTCGGAAGTTCCTATCGAGAAGGCCGCTGATGCCACCCACATGCCACTGACGAGAGTCTTTCACAGGCAGATACTCGCTCCGCGATGACAGGATTTCCTCAATCGTAGGCATTATCTGGACCCTGCATATGTCCGCATAATCATTATCGTGGCGTCCGCCCGGTGGGTCGCAAGTGGTCACAAACGAGACTTCAGGTAGATGACTTTTCTTAACGAGTTGCTGCATCCCATCAACTGTCGGTAACGAGCTGCCAATTTCAAGATGACGCAGGGTACGCTCCAGATAGTTCCTGGAAGTCCGGAGAAAGTTGACAGTGTCTTCCGAATAAAACTCCTTGAAAATCTCTTCGAACCTCACTGCCACAGGCTTAAAAGACTCATGGACAAAGGCAAGAGAGTTCAGTCTGATGATCTGCCAAAAGACGAGGAGTGATAACTCGAAGTGATTGAGAGTCTTAGTTGTCGGCTTCTCGCCCATGGAGACTGAAAAAACATCTGCAAGGAACCCAAGAAGGACAACGCCTCGTCTCCCAGAGTTACCGTAGAGGACATTGTAAATCGTTCCAACTGCTTGCTCCAAAACCAATGATTCTAGGATGTTCGGGTTTGTAATAATATCCAGGAATGGCAGCATCTGAGCCCTGAAAACACTAGGTTTGGCGGCAGCCGGTATGTGATTGTAGTCGTTTTCAACAAGCTCTCGTATGCGTCTGAGACCTCCCTCGGTGGACAAAGCTCGAACAACATCTTGCAGGACACCATCCCCTTCATCAATGAGCCTCCTAGCTTCTTCGAAAAATGGCCCAAGGCCACTTCCCAACGGACGAGCATAGAGTGCATTCAATGGTATGTCGTTCCTCCAGGCACGAAAGTCTCGCTCGCTGCTGGTGAGCTCAGGCTTTTTGCGCTCGGTTGGTTTTGCTCTGCCCACGTCGTGCGAGAGTCTGCAGTTTGGAAATGGACATATTCCGCGTCGAGCGAAGTCACGGCATATCCTTCTCAGATAGTCAAGTTAGTAAACCCCTGATACAGACCCTGCTCGTTGTGTTGGGGATTATCTACCTAGACTTGGTCATACTGCCAACTCTCCAGGCTAAGCCTGTGGTTGAGGGCTTGCAGTCTGGGGTTTAGCTGTATCAAAACGAATAGATCCTGTTTGATAGCAGGCTTGAGTGAGGGAAAGGTGGTGATATGGGCGATGGAGAAAGAAAAATAGGGAGAAAGAGAGAATAAGACAGAAGCGAAATGGCAGCCCTGGCAACCAAGCCGCGTGTATTTCTTTCAACTGGAGAACCTGCAGGGCTTTGTTGCTAACATTTTGTCATGTTTGGCCTGTTGGCTTAAATAAAGGATCTTTTGCCGTGTTTGCAGAACTGCTGTTTGCTGTTGGCAACCTATTGAAGTAAATGATGTCTTTGTCTTGCATCGCCGTCTATGTGTATACTAGACAGAGCCATGTCCGCTTTATATCACGCGAATGGATTACTATAGCAGCTTCATATCTTCAATGCTGTTCCTTCTCAGCTATATGTATTGTTTCAATGTCCATCGCAACCGAATCGCTCTGAGGCAGGTCCTCTCTTACATACTGCTCCAATCGACTCTTCCAACACTGCCATCTTTCCACTGACATCGCATTTCCCCCTCTGCAGATCTAGATAATCTTTCTTGAACGATTAATGTTCCTCCTGCTTCGATGCAGCGTCAAAGATCCGTTTCGCAAGACGCTTGAGCCACTCCACTGTCATGGGGAACTGAATATCTGTAATCACATCACAGCATTCGAACGCATCGGGCAAACACTCGTATTCTCAGTCCAGCGAGATCGATCTATTCTTTTTGTCGACTAATCGCGCTTCAAGTGCTGTAATATGGATATACTTCTGCATCTGGCGCCGTTGGCCAGTGTCATCGGGGTGGTCCTCAATCTCATGTCTCCATTCCCCATTTGAAAAACTTCCGCCCATACGTTCCAAAACCGGTGATTCTTTTCAGAAGGGATCACTGGTGACTGCATTTTTTTGCCTTTTCCCCGATTACAGTGTCAGGGAGATTCTCCATATACTTGAGGGCGAATATCGGAGAGCTGTCGGGTTCGGGCCATTCTTCTAAAGCGGCGATGAGAAGATTCCATAGCTTGTTTATTCACGGTGGAGTTCGGTGGACATGGAGGTTGCGGTCGGATGAGAAATAGTATATACAGCATCCGGCATGTTAGTTTTACCAACATCAGTCTCTTAGTGCTTATGCTCTTTGAGGGTGACAGCCATTGTCGGATTCCCGTCTGGAGGCATTGCATCGGTAAATCAGGCTGTAGAGATCATTTTGCTGATGTCTACTCAAGGCGCAAATCATGTCGATTGCAATAGGTGGTATATCTAGTGCTTCTGTTTCCTTTATGTTACCCGAGGGTAGAGCCGAGTGGCGATAGTTCCTATGTCCCAGACAACAAATCAGCCCAGACTCTGAACGCACAGGCCCGAATCCGGAGAACTATTTCAACGCCGGTTATGATCGATGTCGGTAGCTATGTGACTGCGGGGTCTGGCTTTACCGCGAGACTAAATGTAGATCTCTGGAGGTGAAAACCCCTCACCAAATCCTGTATGGAAAGCCAGTAGAACTACCATTCCGCAGTGCAGATTTAAACCCATTTCATACCCTGTGGCTCGTCTAGTGGGATATACATACAGGCGGAATTGAAAAGGGAGACCGTTTTGGATACCTCCGTGGCGTATCATACCATAAAACCACCACCATGAAGTTCTCCATTATCACTTTCCTCTCCTTAGCTGGAGGCATTGTTGCTCTGCCTACCGCTCCGCTAGAAGCCCACGATGATCCATCTCTTGCTCCGATTACGGTATAGATTCCGTTCCTCATCCTTATGAATGAAGCTAACATGCGTCCTTAGTTGGTTGATGGCCCCTCACATTCAGAAAATGTGACATGCAGTGAGTAAAATCTATTCATTCAAGTCCATATTGCCAACCTGAGCTCGGAACTAACGGATACTGCAGAGGGGGATAGTGATACTGCCTCTTACTCTGGCGAGGACGTCTACGAAGCTGTTCAATACGCCATCTCGCTGATGCAAAGTGGACAGACACGAGGCAGTAAGTTCAAACATAAACCTTTCCCCTCTTCCCCAGTATAAACTAGCTAACACGGCATCATCTCAGAGGCCAAATATCCCCATTCCCTCCACGCCAACTCGGGACATCCTTTAAACTTCCCCGAGTCGTGCCCGGCGGACAAAAGCCGTTACGGATATCCGCTTGGCAAAGGCTTCTACTACAACGGTGGGCCAAGAAACCAAACCACCGGGAATGAACTGGTGGTGTTCTATCATAAAGATGACGAGATTGATACCCAGAATCATCCCAAGGCATACTTTTGTGGTCTTGTCACACGCGGTGGAAGGGATAATGGTGAGTTCCGCAATTGCTAGACTTAGGTCATACTTTTCGTTTTATGCATAGGAGGTATTTATTGTATATCGTCACCAAGCGACCACAAATGCAAGCTAGTCCTTTCAAGTAATATCTCACGCCTTCGGTATGAGCTTCGGCCCATATTTTGTGCACTTTGCGCAGAAGTGCCCATAGTTTATTGAAGAGAAACACGTCAGAAGCATTACGTAGCATCAATGCTGGTTCATAGCAGGTATCACCGCTCGGGGATTCGTGTACTACTTTTGCTCGGTTTCCGACTGTGCCTTGAACTAATTCCGACAACTACTCAAACACGGAACGGTTATTCAACCGTACAAGACGCAGACAAGAGCGTATCCGCTGCTGCGAACGTTAAATGCATAAAGGGCGCAGTGCCCGGCTTGGTAGAGGGCTTGGTTTCCTATTCAGATATAGATCTACCCGCCCGACCGGCCGATCGAGTCTCACACCGGACTCCGATATGTCGACCAAAAAGGGTTCGGGGAACCTTTGTTGGTCCGATTGGATGCTGTTCTGACAGGATACGGCCTCGGACTTGTTAGTCAGTCTCTAAAAATAGCTATATATAGATGTATGTGTTTTACGCTTGTGCTCATAAGTTCTCCAGCATCTCTTAACCACCCAAGATCAAGCAATGGCCATCCAAGCGGACGCAAAATCGCCTTCATATGTATCAGTGGATTCGTCCCTGTACGCTTCCGAGAAACGAGAGTAGGTCTAGAGACCAGTCTTATGCTCCATTCCATATACAGCGTCTGATAAGAAGTCTCAACAGGCTCAATGCTCCTTGCAGTGTCCACAGCACCTCACAAACTCCCCGCCTCGACCATCAGCTCCAACAGCCCGAGACCAAGGCTGCATTACAAGCCCTTGCAACCGCACTCAACAACATTGCGGATGAGAAGCAATGCACCAAATGCGCAGTGGAAGCCTCGTCGAACTTCTTAACGGATCATCTCCGAGACATTCGGGCTGCAAAGAAGAATGGGCAGTGGTCGAAGGAGGATAAGAAGGCTCTGAAGGCGGAGATCAAGGGCTTCAAAAGCCTAAAAACAAATTTTAAGGCATTGTGGAAGGATAATTAATTGTTTATGTACATAAATGCTACTGATATGATCCGAGTCTCACACTTTCTTTGCGATGCTTGTTTCTCAAACCTGAATTGAAGCAATGACTTACAATGCAAAAAAGCACGCGTGCCCAACAGAACGTCCGATTGTTCTGCCAACATGCAGCACCAGCAAGGCCGCTGGCAGCATGAGTGCAGCATAACCAAGCAGCGTCAACGCTCACATTGGGCTGAAATGAGGAATTAGTACTTTTGTACCTGTGGCGCCAATCATCTTCGTATAATCGGATATAAGCAGAAATCGAGCTTTCTGGGGCTCATTATATAGTGACGAGTCTTTATGGGAATGGTGTACGCCGTTATCGCATCTTTAGTGTATATCAACTATTCTAGGGATGGTGCTATCTCGAGATTTAAGCAGCTGCTCACCACGGTTATACCGGTGATTCAATCCTGTACACCACACTACCAAGATCCACACCCCGCTCGCCCTCAACAACCCGCCGGACAATATCACCCCCAAGACTCATATCCTGCGCCATATTATTATCTATCGAGGTGGTAGACTGTACTCCCGGCGCAACAGCCCACGCTTTAACGCCCCGTTCTCCCAATTTCCTCTCTCAATTCACCATCAACATATTCAGCCCCGTCTTTGCGGACCGATAACCAACAAAGTGCTGCCTCTAAGAAATCCCCGACCCCAGAGGGAAGATTTTGGGACCCTCAAAGTTCAGAGCCTCCTCCAGGGAGGTAAGCTCGCCGGTGGTAAACAGCACCCTTGGGTCCTGTGGCTTGAGCAAGAGCTGGAGAAATGTCATGGCCATGAGATGTGTTCCTGTCACATCGCTACCCCATAATTTGTTCATAGCCTGGCGGTAGGTCATGCTCTTCTCAAGGTAGATGTTGAGAGTGGAGCCTTGATTCATTGCGGTCAGCGCTTTCCGGTGGCCGGGGAAGATCAGAGACCACTCACTGAAATTGTTTTTCAGATAATCTACCCGGCCGTACTTGGTCACGATTAGCTTCCCAGTTCCACTAATCGATTTATAGCTGTCGATGTTAAGCTGGATCAGTTCGAGTGAGCTCTGGAATTCCTCGTAATTAACCTAAGATTTCGGTTTAACTTCCCCGTAATCGTATGCGTCGAGCAGGGCGTAGTATTTCTCACTAGAGCACACTAGAAACTTGACTACTTCGAATCTAAAGCCTTCTTCTGCGCCTGTGAATATACGACTAGTTAGTCTCCTAGCAATACGGATTTTAGTGAAAACGCTATAACTTACTTATTATAAGAGTCCATTTCCTAGGAGACTATGCCCATTAATGAATAGGCTAGTAAATGAGTAGGCGGTTCATAAGACTGGGTTTCCAGATGCCTAGTATGTAAGGCGTATGTATTTACAGGTGCGAAGGAACTACACCTTCCCATCCCGAACCCCAACCACGCCCTCAACCTCCTCAGCACCACCATCCCATTCCTCCCGATACGCCCTAATCAACACCTTGACGGGTCCCGCCGAGTCAACAAATCTCTGCGCCTCAGAGACCGGAAACACATAATGCAGTATACAATACACCGCTGCGCTGATAGTGAACCCTGTCAAAAAGCAGATGTAGTACAGATGTGTGAGACCAACAGGCACGGTAAAACTTGTATTGACGCTTGCTATAAAGCCAGGCAAAGAAGGCGTGGTGCCGCATATCCACTGCGTCCTTTTCTTAGCTTCATGGTATAGTCCAGAAAGACGGAAGAATCTTACCGCAATAGCAGCCCGCCAATTCACACCATAACTATACCAATAAATGCTATCCCTCGGACTCTGCATGGGGAATAGATCTTCAACTTTGATTCTTCTCCGGTGGACCACGAGATACGATGCGATCATGATCCCGATCATCGGGCCCAGAAAAACGGAGTAGCTGCTTAGTACGGAGAGAAAAGTCGTCGCCGTGTTTACAAGTTTCCACGGATTGCAGACGACAGATAGCAATGCCGTTATATAGGCACCGCGGCGGAGGTTAATATACTTCGGAAATGTAGCGGCGAGGTCGAACCCTACTCATTGTCAGCACCCACTTGCCAGAAGGTAAAACGAGACTTACCCCCCGACAATGCATTTCCAGGAACATTAACCCCAATCTGGGAAATAGCCAGCGCAGCACCCCCAAAAAACGCCGCCGTGCGCGAACGAGACCCCCCTTGTCTGATAACCGCACCCAACAGATCAGGTAGATTCCACAAAGCCTCGCCGTACCGCTCCTGCGTAGCCGCTGTCACCAATATCCCAATAACACTGCACGCGATAGCATACATCGGACAACTAATCAGCTGGCCGAGGATAGCATCGCGAGGTCGTTTCGCAAACCGCGCGTAGTCATTCTGATTGAGAATACCAGCTGCGATACCTCCGATTGTACTCACGATCCCGAAGGCAATGTTCCACCCAGAGTAACCATCATTCTTGTCTGACATTGTATCGCCAAAGCCCCGTTCACCCATTGTTGCGAGTGACCAGATAAGCACGACAATCTCAAAGATGAGTATGATAGCTGCCGAGACGTAGAAGAAAATTTGCAATTTGTGCGGTTTAATGTATATCATTGGTAGTGAAATCACCGTAAATACGATATAGGAGACGAAATTCGCGGTCGTCATCCCCGTGGACGGGGGCATGTGGTTTGGGATTCTGGTTTCGAGAGAGGGCCAGATTGCTTGGAGGCAGACGTAGATGCATTCGCCGCCGATCCAGGCTTGGAAGGCATCTGTTCTATTAGCTTCCGCGAGGTAATATTGGGTTGTATCGAATGAACGTACACCAGACTGAAAAGTTAGTCTTGAAGAGTTATTCTGGGCCAGGACATACCAAGTGACAAAAGTATTCGATTCCACAGAACGAACTGGCTTCCATATAGACCCCAAACGTAGCGATTGACAACCGGGAATCCAACTGCACATATTAGCCCTTTTTCTTTATTCCAGATAGGGGAAATCTCACGATGATAATAGGCCCCTGGCAACGAATTCAAAACCACAAAAACCACAACCAGCAAATTGCCCACCACAATAGCAACGATGGCCTGCCACCAGGTCAAGCCATTCGCAATCAACGAACTTCCCGTCATGTACGTAGAGATATTCGAATTAATCAGAATCCCTGGTTCCCGTTAGGATTCGCCTTTTCATTTTAATCGGGGGGAATGTACAAAAGTTATGGAACGTCCAAAACCCCCATGTCCGACGGCCTGCTTCGACCGGCTTGATGTCGGTATTCATCCATCGGTTTGGGATAGAACCGCCTTCATCGTCGACTTCAAGTCGTTTGAGTATTGTGTCCAACTTCATAGTAATTTGGTGTTGTTGGAATCATCCTGTCATCCGGCTATCCGGCCATATATCAAAGCCGGCTATCAGCATCCATGCCAACTGCCATTCTGGTGTTACCTTATCTTCTGATACGTCTGCATGCCACCTACCGAAACAAGTATATCCAATAAAATGCGGGGTTGCATATCTCTACCAGATAACGGCCATCATGCATATCACACCAGATGAGGAGTCGGTAATGCACGACATTTAGCGCTATCACCTCCGCACAGATATCAAGCTCCATTCTTCATACCCCGTATCCTCGCGCCTCAACCACAAGTGCCGTACAGCAAGAAATCTGGCTCAAGAAACCAAAATCCCAAAATGAAAGCCTACCGCATCGGCGTCGACGTCGGCGGCACCAACACTGACGCTGCCATCATCGACATCACAGCTACAGACACACCATCCCGGGGTGTCTGCGCATCGAGTAAAACGCCAACGACATCTGATGTGACGACTGGTATTCATACAATCATCGAGAATGTTCTAACGGAGACAGGAGTTGATCGCGGGGATGTGCTGAGTGTGGCGGTTGGGACGACGCATTTTGTGAATGCGGTTGTGCAGGCTGATAGGAGGTTGTTGAGTCGGGTTGCTGTTGTTAGATTGTGTGGGCCCTTTACTCGACAGGTATGCATTTGCTTGAATGATTATGAGGATGTGGTCTGATATGGTGATGATAGGTACCTCCGTGGACGGATTTCCCTCCTACTTTGAAAAGCATCATAGGAGGGCCCGTATTCTATCTCGACGGCGGTATGTCAAAGTCACCCTTTTTATCAGCCCAACTAACAATCCAGGCCTCGAAATTGACAGCCGCGAAATTTCATCTTTAAACCCGGACCAAATCAAATCCACAGTCAAAAGCATCCAAGACGCCGGGATCGCACGAGTAGCTGTAGTCGGCGTCTTCTCTCCAATGGATCACCGCGGTCTTCATGAAGAGACCTGCAAGAGGCTAATGCTCGAACTCGATCCGACACTATCAGTCGTATGCTCTCATGCAATCGGGGGAATTGGACTTTTGGAACGTGAGAATGCGACTATTCTGAATGCCTCGATTCTCACTCTGGCGCGACGGACTGTTAGTGCTTTCTGTCGGGCCATGGCGCAACTACATCTAGAATGTCCGCTATACCTCACTCAGAATGATGGTACTTTAACCGATGCCGCGACGGCTGCGGAATTGCCTATTAAGACCTTTGCTAGCGGTCCTACAAACAGCATGACTGGTGCGGCATATCTAGCCAGTCTGGATAAAGGCATTGCGAGCCATCTACGCTCCGATACGCAGGTCCTCGTCGTCGACGTGGGAGGCACAACAAGCGATGTATGTGCATTGCTTCCCTCTGGCTTCCCGCGTCAGGCACCAAACTTTGTCGAAGTCGGGGGTGTGCGAACGGCATTTTCCATGCCGGAGGTGCTGTCCATTGGACTTGGGGGAGGCAGCCGTGTGGTACTTGATGAGACAACCGGCAATGTCAATGTGGGGCCGGAGTCCGTCGGACATAGTCTTAACAGCCAGGCGATGGTGTTCGGAGGTAATACATTAACAGCTACTGATATTGTTGTCGCATCGGGTAAAGCAGAGATCGGTGACTCGGCTAGAGTCCAGCATCTACCGTCTTCACTAGTCACCACCGCGCGAGCACAGATCAAGAAAATACTCGAACGTGCTGTGGATGACATGAAAGTCTCAGAACTACCAGTCACCCTCCTCCTAGTCGGAGGCGGCTCAGTAGTTCAAATGGACCCATTAGACGGAGTATCAGAGTGCATAACACCTCCACACCACGACTCAGCCAATGCAGTAGGTGCCGCTATTGCCAAGGTTGCTGGTGAGATTGATATCATCGAGGTTCTGGCGGATCGCGACCAAAAGGCTGTGCTTGAGCAGGCCAAGAAAAAAGCTATGGAAGTAGCAGTAGCCAGAGGTGCAGACCGGGGGGATGTCAAGATTGTCGAGGTTGACCAGATTCCTTTGCAGTATGTCACTAACAAAGCTACGCGACTGGTTATTAAGGCTGTTGGGAAGCTGGCGCCGCCAAATCCTGACGGCGCCGTTACCTCTGGGCCAGTTGTGAATGAGTTTGAAGACGAACTGGAGGAAGTTGACGGGCACCAGGAAAAGCCGGATACAGTATCTACCGTCAAGCACGCAGCATACACGAACATCCAAGCCTACCGGCCCGACGTTCGGAATAAAGTCTGGTATCTCTCTCCCCTCGACCTCGAATTCATCGCCACCGGAACAGGTGTCTTAGGCACAGGAGGAGGCGGTCCATCTCGCCTCCAGTACCTCCACTGTCTCGAGTATTTCCGCAATCCACAATACAAAGGAACAATGCGAGTCATCGCACCAGAAAGCCTTGCAGACTCTGACGTCTGCGTATTTGGCTCATGGTACGGAGCACCAAGTGTCTCCGGCGAACGGATTCCAGCCGGCGATGAGTTAATGACAGCTATTGACTTCTCGGTCAAGATATCTGGTTATAATCATTTTGAAGCTATCGTAGCAGATGAAATAGGTGGTGGAAATGGGTTGGCTGCGTTTCCGTCGAGCGCTTATTATGATATTCCTGTGGTGGATGGTGATTTGATGGGTCGTGCTTACCCGACTATTGAGCATGGTAGGTCTGCATATTTGACTGCAACGGGTTGGGCATTTACTGACTGTCAGGCACGCCATATGTATATGGCCATTCAATCGTTCCTTGTACAGTCGCAGACGGCAAGGGGAATGCAGCTGTAGTCATGGTACGCATTACTTTATGGAAGACAACATCAATGCTAACCCCCTTTAGCAAGCTGAATCGAATCGACGAATCGAGACCATGTTGAGATCGCAATGCGTGGACTTGGGTAACAAGGTAGCCGTCTCTGCCACTCCGTTGACCGGCGACGTGATCAAGCAATATGCAATTCCGAACACGGTGTCGCAAGCGTGGTATATCGGGCGTGCTATCCATCAAGCACGGAAGTCGAAGAAGAATATCATCCAGGCTATTGTAAGTGCATCGCTTCGGTACGATGGATCATCGCTGATAGTGGCAGTTCGATACGACTCTCGGAAAAGTCCTCTACGCAGGCAAGGTAGTCCACGTGCAGCGCGACGTGAGTCGAGGATACACCGTCGGCCAATGCACAATAGCACCCCTTCGAAATGACGAGAAGGAAGATCTCAGTCAGTCTGATAGCACCGAAGAAACCCGTAATCTGGTCGTTCCTTTCCAGAATGAATTCCTGTACGCAGGATATTCCGACCCCGCGAATCCAGAGGGAGAACTAGACATCATCTGCACAGTACCAGATCTCATCTCTATTCTAGGAACTGACGGCGAGGCAATTGGGTCTCCTGAGCTGCGATACGGTCTCAAAGTCAGCGTGATTGCCATGGCAGCCCATCCGCTATGGACAGGTGATGAAAGGGGGTTACGAGTCGGAGGCCCCGAAGGATTCGGCCTGGACATGCCATGGAAGAAATTGGGTGAATACCAGAAACCAAAGAGTGTAGTAGAAGAGTTCAACAAATAACCAGATAGTCACATGAAGCCCTTATAGCTAGCCCTCGGATGATGCCCTATACCCTATTACCCTAAGCGGAGGCGCATACCGATTCCTCATGAGACGACGCGTCGTCTGGTCTGTATAACTGATAGTCGCAGCGCCAGCAGGGGATCATTGCAGATCATAGCAAGGAGCACGATGATCATTTCATAACTGATATGAGCTGATGAAGCCAGATGGCACAGGGCAAGCCCTGGTGCTGTGGCCACCGTATTTAGTGGCGCTCCATCATTGCTTCACCTTCTCCCAGACTAGATGGACAACATCCCCTGGTCCACTACTCCGTACAGCACAGCACTAATAGAAAATGTCGCTAGGACCGCAAATCGAACTACCCTCAGGTCGCACGTCGCCGTCGCTGTCGACCACACCTGCGACACCAGCTACTGGCGCGCAAACCCCCGATCCATTGCTAGGTCAGAGTGCCAAAAACCACACCGTGGACGCGGATACCCTGGCGCAGAGCGTCTCTCGCATGCAGAACCCCGAGAATGAGTCCTACGAGCTCGAGCATCGCCGACGAAAGTTATCGCACGCTGTTGAATTCACAGAGACCGGTACAGCTACATCCACAGGCGCAGACGCAAATGAAGCCGGCACGCCATCGCCACCAAGTGGATCGGGCGTCCCCCCAGAACTACGCAATTTCACCTCCGAGATAATTCTGATCATGGTCTGCTCGGCCGGACTCATGTTCTTTTCGTTCCTGCTAGGCGATATACTTGTGGTGCAGCAACAATTCCGGGCCGCACTGGGAATCAAAAACACCGAACTCCCGTGGCTAGTCGGTGCGTTCAACGTCGCCAATGGCTTGTCAGTCGTGGTCTCAGGATCCCTGACGGACCTTACGCCGCCGAAGCTCCTGATGGTGGGTGCGTTTGCGTGGCTGATGGTGTGGAACATTGTGGGCGCGTTCTCGCTGCATCCGTCGCGATATATATTGTTTTTTGTGATGCGTGCGATGCAGGGGCTTGCCATCGGCGTGCTTGTCTCGGGGAGTATGAGCATCCTGGGCCGTGTGTATAAGCCTGGGATTCGCAAGAATAGAGTGTTCTCGGCCATGTCGGCGACAGCGCCGTTCGGGTTCTCGCTGGGCGCGCTGCAGGGGGGTGCATTGAAGGCGCATCTGCCGTGGATCTTCGGGACCAATGCCATTCTCACGGGATTATGCTGCATTGCTGCATACTTTACAATCCCTGAACTGCGACCAGTCGCCGACTCGGCAGACAAGGAAGCGCCCACGCTACGACAATTCGACTGGATCGGCGGAATCCTCGCGGTCGTGGGATGCGTGTGCCTTCTCTTCGGCCTGACGCAGGGATCCGTGACCTCCTGGTCCCCATACACCTACGCCATGGTGGTCATTGGCATCCTCGCACTCATCGGCTTCTTCTTCTATGAATCGCGCGTCGCCCGCCCGCTAATCCCAACCACCCTCTGGAAAACCAAAGGTTTCACCCCGCTCATGATCGCCTATTTCCTCGGCTTCGGGTCCTTCTTCGGCGCCTGGCAATTCTACGCGATCCAATTCTGGCTGCACATCCAACACGCAACCCCCATCGCAGTGGCCCTTTACCACATCCCAAACGCCGTCGTGGGGGTCTTCGCAACATGGCTCGTCAGCCGCACACTGCACATCCTGCCAGGCCACTATATCTATGCAACCTCCATGATCGCATTCACCATGGGACCGGCCTTTTTCCTCCCGCAAACCCCCAACACAATCTACTGGGCCCTCTCCTTCCCAGGCGTGGCACTAGTGACCTTCGGTCCTGACCTGGCCTTCGCAGCGGCCTCGATCTTCATCACCAGCAACGTACAGCGCTCCTACCAAGGCAGCGCGGGGAGTCTCCTGGTGACGAATCAGAACCTCTCGTCTGCGATCTTGACCAGTGTGGCTGATGCAATCGGGGCGAAGGTGGACATGGGTCCGACGGGGGAGATCGGGTTGAAGGGGTTGCGGGCGATCTGGTGGTTTGCGCTGGCGACACAGTTGACTGCTGCTTTGATTACGGTGGTTTGGGTAAGGATTCCGAAGGAGGAGGAGAAGGAGCATGTTACTTAGGCTTGTTTTTGTTTATATGGATGGGTATCTCATTATGCTTATGTTTATGGTTATGGTTGTATGTACATGTATCGTATCATCATATCGTTACTCGTCAATCATAGAGTGAGCAATTGCTCAAGCACTGTGTCCCTCTTAACCCTCGCCAACTCCAACGCCTCGCCAGCACCCTGTCGAGCACCATTGTACAGCATAGCCGTCGTTAATCCCACATTTTCCCTGGCAACAGCCTTCACCAACAAACCTCGCTCATTTACATCAGCACCATGGTCAACCAGACACCGCGCAATAGCAAACTGTCGACTCTTGAGCGCCCAGCATAGCGGCGAGATCTTCCCCTTGCGCTTTCCAGATAGCTTGACAAGGGCGTTCGGGTCTGCACCGTGATCAAGTAGAATTGTTGCGATGCATACATTTCCTGCGGCGATTGTATGGTACAAGAGTGATGAATTGGCACGGCCAAACCGGATATTCGGATCCGCACCGTGGGCAAGGAGATTTCGAACAAGCGATATCTCCCGATACTTCACGGCCAGAGCAAGCGGCGTCACTCCCTTCCCAGTCTTACCCGAGAGCGAAACAGACTGACAATTCGGGTTGACTCTATGCTCAAGCAGAACCTCCACCAGTCCATAATGAAACCGCTTCATCGCTGCCAATATGACTGGCATGACTTCACTCTCAGCGTCCAACGGTGCTAGAACACCCGTATCTGCACCATGCGTTAATAACGTCTGCGTCGCGGGGATACTATCCGAAAGCACCGCCCACCATAAAGGCGTCTGGCCGACGCGGTTTGCAGCGTTGATGTCTGCACCATGCGCGAGAAGACATTCGATTGCTTCGATGCGCTCTTCCCAGACTGCGAGTGCGAGGGGTGTTCGACCAATGGAATCTCGTCGTTCGATTTCTGCCGGGGCGTAGTTGAGCAGGAGGGAGATGATGTGGGGATTATCCTGGCTGACTGCCCAGAAAATCGGGGTAAATAGTTGAGGATGGTGACTTGTTATCGTGAGATCTGCGTTTCCTTCCGTGATGAGGACGCGGATGGCGTCGAGTTGGTTGGCCTGTATGGCTTTGACGAGGGGCGTTGTGCCTCGGCGGATGGTGTTCACGTCTGCGCCGTTGTGGAGGAGAGTCCGTACTGCTGGGATATGGCCGTGTACAGCAGCAAGACTTAGTGGGCTGTTACATGCAGCTTGCGGGACGTTGATATCCACGCCGTGGTGTAGGAGGAGTTCGATTGCGGGTACGTGGCCGTGGTTTGCGGCTTTCATTATCGGTGTGCTGAGACAGTGGCAGGGTGTTAACCTCTTCGGTTTTCTTAATGTTGTATTTGTGTTGCTGAGTGTTGTCGTGTGGATATCCGCGCCGTGCTGGATTAGCAGGTCCATGATGTCGACATATCCCCCCGCCGCAGCATGAACAAGCGGCGATGCTAGTGAAGTCACGCAGTTTGATCTTTTCTCTACTCGTTCCAGTATATTTGCCATTATCCTCATGGCGTTTTTAGTTCTTCTGAACCCTCGGCGAGGGCCGCGGCAGATGGTCGTGGTGTTCACGTCGGCGTTGTGGGAGAGTAATTTGCGGACAACGGGCTCGTGGCCGTATAGCGATGCCCATAGGAGGGCACTGCTGTGTGAATAGCGAACATTGTGTTGGTAAAGTGTATTGTTGAGGAAGTATAACGAGGAGTTGGTCTGGAGGAGAGCGTTCAAGGCGGATTCGGGAAGAAAGTCGGCGATCGAGAGAAGCAGATCCGGAGGGAGATCGAGGAGCGCCATGTTGTCGAATACGTGTGGTTTGCGGGCACAAGCAGTCAGGCACCCGTCATATACTCAAGCCCCAGCGACTGACGTGGCGTAGATTGGGTTGCTGTTGGGTCGGAGCTGTACTTGTATAGCCTCGACCGACACACAAGTAATCGTATGACTGCAAACAATCCCACTCACTCACAATTGCACCTCGTACTTTCTACACAACGTACGTACTCGCAGCAATTAATATACCACCCTTTCTCCACCCTGCACCCCATCATAATGCATCCCCATAAGCCATGCCGACCCCTCTGTAGTGCCTGATTACGAACCCTTCGCTCGCATTGGCTGATTTTCGCGCGCGAGCAGCGCTATGGCCAGAAAATCAATGAGGCTTATACACTAGAGCTGCAGGTCGTATCGCCTACGGAGTTATTCTAGGTTGTGGTGCGCCTCCCGCGGGATCTCTATTAAAAAGGATTGTATTTTGGTTTTTCCGTTTTGGTTAGTTTCCAATTTAGGTAGTTCACGTGGTATGATGTCATTTCCTAGTACTATGCACTTCTATCTACAAGTACGTACCTCCATAAGAGCTAGTATGACAGGTCGTTCAACTCCAGAAGTGAATTTTGTACTATAGGGGAACATGGTGGCCGAGGTTCACTCTTGGATTAGCGAAACGACATGGATATTCACGTTTGCTCGAAGCGTGGGATTCCGCCAAGGCTCCTTAGGCTGACTGCAAATGATATGCCATTAATATGTCAATTATCCCCGGATATTGGAGGATGCCAATGATTCGTTGACATCGAACCTCCTTATAAGCGTACATCAATATGGCCATGCATTAATCTCTGCAAAGTATTGCGGATCGTTGGAAAAGCAGCGGTGGGATATTTTTACCTGGCAAGTGTCAGCATTGGAATGCTATAAGTGAAACGGATGAGAAAGCTCTCACGTCGTAAATATCGTGGACCATGCTTATAGGGATAGGGTCCGTTGAGAGACCATCCCAATCGTTCATCACCAGTATAAACATTTGAATATCCATCACCATGGGATAATTCGCACCGGGTACCAGGACACGCTCAAACCTGCCCTTGTCTACTTGCTTTGGGGTGGTGGTATCTTCATCAAAATATTCCCAGGGCATCTGTGTAGATAGTTTCAATATTGCCATCTCCCAAGTTCGAGCTGGCGGCAGTTGGACCCTGGTGTAGATTGGCATTTGGACTTTGGTCCAATAGTGGTTACCTACATAAAATTCGACAGCCCACGAAGCCTCTCCCATAGTCCCAAAGCAAAAGCCGTATTTTGCTCATTGCTTGGCCGGACAAACTGCAAGGATATGCTCTCCATTGGTTCTTAGTCACGGCATCAGAACGCTGCATCTCGAAAACAGTCTGCATTAAGTTTTCTCAAGAACAGTGAGACAGCTTTGAGGACATCGGCTTGACACGCACAGGGTAAGTAAATCTGTCATGGTAATAACATGCGACTGTGAATTTACTTTGAACAAGAGGGAAGGAAGAAGCACTAGTAGAGTAACTGTATACCAAAGGCCAAATGGCCGTTGGCCTTGAGGTTCAACTTTCCATTCTCCAGCTTCACTCTCTATGGAATAGACATCGACTCGCTCAAACCTAATAGTAGACGTAGGGCACCCAGAAGAGAGAGCAGTCAGGGTTTTATCTGCGACGAGTACCACTTGGTATTACATCTCTCTTCTCCTCTTCTGCTGGGTCAGCCTTCTGTGCTGGCGAATGAATTTGTGGGAGAATAGCACCCTGCCTGTCGCGATTTTCGCTCTCACCCTCACCATCACCATATTCTCGTCCCACCCCAGCCTGGTTTCTCCCGCTGTCACGAATCATTCACGTGGTACGATAAATATCACGACAGAAAGACGCGTCAGAAACCCCCTCCTGCATCAAGGTTTTGTACACAATGCGGGCCGCATCCATATCCATGCAATGCTAATCTAAAGCCTTTCAGAAAGATACGTGACGTACGGAATCCCGCAAGCTGGCAGGCACTGACGAGGTGGAACTGCTCATTCCCAAGATGGGGATCTTGTTTGTCCCTATAGAGCAAGCAGAGAGGTAATCCAGGGATGGGGCCGTCTCTTGAAGTCGGAATCTACGAAATTTATTGACTGTCAGGCGTCTTGTCTGCCAGTTTTTGAGCAGCAGGCAGCCTTAGTCGGGTCGGGACATGAAAGCCCATGGCCGGCAAAGTGTAATACCTTGCAGGTTGGTAGATGGTTCAGGACGTCGTCGGTGTGCGTTAGTTCGTCTATGGTGGTGAGATTCATTAGGTCGCACAGTGACTTTATCACTGCAGCTTCCTCAGAAGTGAAGGGAAGAGGGGTCTGGTTTGGAGTTTGGGGCATAGAGATTACCAGAACCCTATCAAATGCGGATCGGCTGGGAACCAGCTACTCGGCGCTGAGGTCATGAAGCGTGGCGATCAAGTCAGTCAATTTGGAAGAGGCTTGTCATTGTACCCTAGTATGCAGTAGATGGACAGTAGCAAAATAATTCCTCACTTCTGGAAAAGTGACTTCAATATAAGAACATGGGGAAAGAATCGCATCCCAGAGCCTAGGGGAGATGAGCGTGATATGTCGAGCCTTGTCGGAGCCTTGTCTGGCACAGCCTTACAACCTGGTTGAGTATCCCAGTGTAATATTACCCTGGGATAGTCTTCAGCAGAGTATATCATTTTAAACAAATGGATTGGCCATGGTGTCATCGTCATTTGTGCCTGTTAAAGACTTCAGAATGCCAATACGTAAAACCTAGCAGGTACATTGTGGCCTATAACTTCCCACCAATCCATCTTTTAATAACTCCCACCAATCCCTCAATCTCCTCCTCCGTATTCCCAGCATGCACACACACCCTAACCCTCTCCTGCCCTTTGGGCACCGTCGGAGCCATGATTGCCCGTACCACGAATCCCCCTTTCTGGCACGCCTCCGCTAGTTGTCGCGGATACGGAGTGCGGAGGGAGAGAATGGGCGATGAAGGCGAGTGGTCGAGTTGGACGTGTCCGGGGTTTAGCTTGAGGAGAAGTTGGCGGATGTGGTGGATGAGATGTTGGAGGGTTTGGCGGTGCTGTATTGTCAGTATACAGCATGTATGTAAGCCTGCAGGGGACGTACTGGTTCGACATGGCCCTCTGACAGAAGCTCGTAGGCGGCGCGGATAGAAGCGAGATATGGATATCCCAGAGCCGTGGTATAGATCAGACTGCGGGCGTAGTTGATCAGGTAGTCGCGAGTATCTGACGAGCAGAGCACAATCGCTTCAAGTCGTCAGCACCATCAATCAACATCCAAGAAAAGCAACATACCTCCATGACTAGCCAACGCCTTCCCAAACGTATGCACCCGAATCAACATCCGCTCTTCAAGCCCCAACTCCTGCAAAACACCAGCCCCCTTGGGTCCCAAAACTCCCGTAGCATGCGCCTCATCAACAAGAAAATACGCATTCCCAGCTGGCAACAACTCATCAACAACACGCACAATCTCCCTTATCGGTGCAACATCCCCATCCATGCTGTAAACACTCTCAAACGCAACAAACACATTGCTTTCCCCACTCGCGATCCCGGGATCCCGCCGTATCCGCTCCTCCAATTTCTGCCCCAGACTCACCGGGCAGCTATGCGAGAAGGACTCCCGCCATCCCGCGCGGGATAACCGCATTCCCTCGTGCGCGCTGGCGTGGATGTGTTCATCGTACAGGATGCCGTCGCCGGGCTGCGGGACGGACGAAAGCACGCCTACATTTGCGTCGAAGCCGGAATTGAAGAGGAGGCCGGCTGGTGCGTTGTGGAAGGCTGCGATGAAGTGTTCGAGTTCCTCTGTGAAGGGAGAATTGCCGTCGAGGAGACGTGAACCGCCGCTGGCGAATGGGTAGTTTGGCGGAGCTTGGTTTAGGAGAGAAAGGAATCTCTCACGAAAGAGAGGAGAAGTCGACAGCGAGAGAAAATCATTGGAAGAGAAATCGACGGCATTGGGAGCGCGGAGAGTCAACTGGCGACGAGACGATTTGGACTGGCGCTTTTGGAGAGCGCTGCGAAAGGCGTCATGGAGAGCCATTATACTAGCATGTCATATTGAAGGTTTTAGAATTGATTGATTGATTGATAAGAACTAATAGATAACTAGCCTAAGGTCCACTAGTTATTTCTTCCTCCCGGTGAATTGACTGCCCCTCAACCTCGGTACAGAGTACATACTGCCACTATGACTCTCTGGCGCTCTTTGCGCGCTCTCCAGGTCTACGGCGCCAATACAGACGTGGGCAAAACAATTGTGTCGACAATCCTATGTCGGTCTATCCAGCGCCAGAATCAGCGAGCTGCTTTCCTCAAGCCGGTGTCAACGGGTGACCTGAGCGAGGCCGACGATGGCCATTTGCGGCGCTTCGGAGCGGGCACCGTCACCCGCTGTTTGTATCAGTTTGACGAGCCTGTGAGCCCTCATTTGGCTGTCAATGAGGATGTAAGTATACAATTCTATTCAATTGGCAAGAAAGAGGTGCTGATAATGTAGATTAACGACGACACCCTCCTCCGCCGCATCTCCAGCACCCTCTCCGACTGGCACAGCACCGGAATCAACCTCTCCCTCGTCGAAACAGCCGGAGGCGTCCATTCCCCCGGCCCCAATGGCAATTCCCAGGCCGATCTATACCGTCCGCTACGCCTCCCCATCGTGCTGATTGCCGACAGTCGACTGGGAGGTATCTCCTCGTCCATCTCCGCCTACGAGTCGCTCGTGCTGCGGGGCTACGACGTGCAGTCGGTGCTGCTCTTCCGCGACGATTACTACCAGAACCACCGATACCTCCGTGATTACTTCGAGCGCAAGAATATATCCCTCCGACCGTTACCGGGGCCGCCGGGCAGGGAGGAGAGCGCCGCCCGGGATGAGGAGAATATGGACAGGTACTACGAGGGTGTCGCGCGGGGGGATGATATCGCCAGTCTGCTGGAGGAGATGGGAGAGAAACACAAGGAGCGGTTGGAGCGGTTGGACGGCATGGCAGACCGGGCGCACGAGCTGGTCTGGTACCCCTTCACGCAGCACCAGGGAATGACGGCCAAGGACATCGGAGTGATCGACTCAGCCTACGGCGACAACTTCCAAGTGTATTCCAAATCCGACGCCCAAAATGAACAGCTGCGACCGGCCTTTGACGGCTCGGCTTCGTGGTGGACACAAGGTTTGGGACACGGGAATCCCGATTTGTCGCTGTCTGCAGCGTATGCCGCTGGTCGCTACGGACATGTCATGTTCGCAGGAAACGTGCACGAGCCTGCATTGCAGCTAGCCGAGCGACTCCTGCAGACGCTCGACAACCCGCGTCTGCAGAAGGTGTTTTATACCGACAATGGCAGCACGGGCATGGAGGTGGCTGTCAAGATGGGACTACGGGCGGCATCTGTGCGATACGGCTGGGACGCGCGACAGGATTCGATCCAGATCCTGGGATTGAAGGGAAGCTACCATGGAGATACAATGGGAGTGATGGACTGTTCGGAGCCGTCGACGTATAACCAGAAGGTCGAGTGGTATCGCGGTCGGGGGTACTGGTTCGACTTTCCGCTGGTGACGATGGTGAACGGGGTCTGGAAAGTGCAGATGGGTGGTTTGGGGGATGTCCTGGGGTCTGATTTGGAGTTCTCGTCGTTACAGGCTGTTTTCGACCTGGATGCGCGAGTGCGATCGGAGGCTGCTCAGCGGTACCGCGAGTTCATCCACCGGAGTATCCAGGAACAGGTGCAGAGGGGGGTGAAATTCGGGGCATTGATTCTTGAGCCGGTGCTCTTAGGAGCCGGTGGAATGCTATTCTGGTACGTCGTCCCTACAGTTCTATTTTACGGATAACTAACGAAACAGCGACCCCCTGTTCCAACGATGCCTGGTCGATGTCGTGCGCTCGCAGCCAGAGCTCTTCCACCCTACGGCCCAGCAAAGCGACGGCTGGTCTGGATTGCCGGTCATCTTTGACGAGGTCTTCACCGGCCTGCACAGACTGGGCCGTCGAACCGCTGCATCATTCCTCGGTGTCCACCCTGACATCACAGTCAACGCCAAACTCCTCACCGGCGGGTTAGTGCCATTATGCACCACTCTCGCCAGCAAGGAAATCTTCGATGTCTTTTCCAGCCCTGAGAAAAGCGACGCCCTCCTTCACGGCCACAGTTACACCGCACACGCCGTGGGATGTCAAGTTGCCGTGGACACGCTGCAGACGATGGCTACCATGGAGCGTGGGGGATTCTGGGAGGCCTACCGAAGAGGTTGGCAGGAAGCGGGCGCTGTCGATCAGGGCCAAGACCAGATTGTTTGGAGCCTGTGGTCACCGGATTTGGTCACGGATTTGTCGCGCGTTGAGTCGGTCGAGGGGATCTTTGCCTTGGGGACGGTGCTAAGTATTTCCCTGCGCGATGCGGCCGGTGGAGGTATTTTCCCCTCTTCTCCTCATTCACGATGTTACTGAGCGCCAAGTGCTAATCGATGATAGGATACACCTCTACCGCGGCTAAAGGCCTCCAGCAAAAGCTCTCCGCGGCCAATGTCCACTCTCGGGTATTGGGCAATGTGCTATACCTAATGGCTAGCCTGACTACGCAACCGGCGTCTCTACGGGCACTGGAGGATTTGCTGCGGAGGAGTTTAGCGTAGTTTATAGTGGAATTACAATTAAGCATATCTAAGCGTTGGGTATTGGATTTCCGTAATAGACCTGCAGCCGCCAACTTGGTTCACCGAGCCCCTCCGATCACTGCCCATTCATTACTCACTACGGAGTATTCACCTGGTCCTCTGCCTTCTTCCTCTTCTTCATCACCTCTTCTTTCCTGCATCTTCCTCTTCACTATCATATACCATCACAATGTCTCTACGGTTACGCCCCCTCCGCCTGGCTCGCGCCTATGGCACCGTTCAAGGTCCCCCCAGTGCTGGCTCGCTGCCCAGCCGGATCCCAATGGCCCTCCAGGAAGCCACAGCAGCGAGTGCCCCTAGAACCAACTGGACCCGTGAGGAGGTCCAGCAGATTTATGAAACGCCGTTGAGTCAATTGACTTATGCTGCTGTATGTGCTCCCCTCCGCATTTGATATATACCGTTGATAATAACTGGCTGGTGATAGGCCGCCATCCACCGCCGCTTCCACGACCCCTCCGCAATCCAAATGTGCACATTAATGAACATCAAAACCGGTGGCTGCAGCGAAGACTGCAACTACTGTGCGCAGTCCTCGCGCTACAACACTGGCCTGCAAGCCACCAAAATGTCCCCCGTCGACGACGTCCTCGCCAAAGCCCGTACCGCCAAAGCAAACGGCAGCACACGGTTCTGCATGGGTGCTGCCTGGCGAGACATGCGGGGTCGCAAGACAAGTCTGAAGAACGTGAAAGCCATGATTTCCGGGATCCGCGAGATGAACATGGAAGTCTGCGTGACGCTGGGCATGATCGACGACAAACAGGCCAAGGAGCTCAAGGATGCGGGGTTGACCGCGTACAACCACAACCTGGACACCTCGCGGGAGTACTACCCGAACGTGATCACGACGCGGTCATACGATGAGCGTCTCAAGACCATCAGCCACGTCCGCGACGCTGGCATCAATGTCTGCTCGGGCGGTATCCTGGGCCTTGGCGAGGAGGACTCCGACCGCATCGGTCTGCTGCACACCATGTCGGCCCTCCCCTCGCACCCAGAATCCTTCCCCGTCAACGCCCTGGTTCCCATCCCGGGAACGCCCCTCGGCAACCGCAAGATGATCCCGTTCGACAAGATTCTGCGCACCGTTGCCGCGGCGCGAGTCGTCATGCCCAGCACCATCGTGCGTCTGGCAGCTGGCCGCGTCGCCCTCTCCGAGGAACAACAAGTCGCATGCTTCATGGCCGGTGCTAACGCCGTGTTCACGGGCGAGAAGATGTTGACTACGGACTGCAACGGCTGGGGCGAGGACCGAGTGATGTTTGAGAAATGGGGATTCTATCCCATGCAGAGCTTTGAGAAACCTGGGTTGTCGGCTGCTCAGCCACAAGCGGAGTCTTCATCTTCGTTCAAGGAGGCCCGGGCCCCGGTTGAGGGAGCTGCGCAGGACGTAGCTCGTGCATAATCGTATCTAACTAGTCGATGAATTTATTAGCACTTAGCATGTCAGCTGTCATCATGTCTGTTTCCTGTAGAACTCGTGGCTACTATAATTCTGACATTATTGTCAAAGTGTTTGTATTATCTACAGGAGCTAAGATACTCCTAGAACCAGTAATACACACCAGTCTATGCACGAGGCTGAATGCCCCAATACGAACACCCAACCTATAAGCAGGGACGACCCGACCCTTCAACCCAAACAACCAAGTAAGTCTACCATCATGCTCGAAATCCTAAAAACAACCACTCCTTCCGCCGATCTAGCATCTCCCTCGGCGGCCCACCAAACTGGACCTTCGTCCCCGGCGACACCATCATCGGCAACGTAGTTCGCAAAACACACTTCGTCACTTCGGCCGCCAGCCTAAGGATCTCTCTACAAGGCGGTACAGAAACAATCTTCGATGATCCTCAGAATGATCCGAAACGCGAGTACGGGACAGCATGGAATCTATGGCCGGTGACGTGGGGACGAGGCGTTCCGGGGCCCGTTGCATATACCAGAGGGCGCGGGCGTGGACGAGTACCAAGTGCTGGCTCAGCAGGCCACTGATAGTGCAGAGCCAACGTCTCGAGCCAGGTAGAGAAGGCGCACAATTGTCCTTCAAACAGAAGACGCACAAGTTTTTTTGGCTCATCCCGTGTGCCCAAGCTCACGTATAAGCTGGAGGTCTGCGTGCCCACGGCGCTGCAGCTGGATAATCCCCTCCCGATACCCTTCACCGTGAAAGCCATCCCCAGCTTGGATCCGGCAAGACAAGCGAGAGTATTCGAAACACCCTCAAGAGTGTCCAGATACAAATCCACTCCCTCAAACTAACCATAAGCGCCGAAACCGACCTCCGCGGCCTAGGGTCCTTCAACCCAAGCAAAGCCGACTACGACCAAAACATCACCGACCACATCGCACCGCTCACCTGCAACCCCCAACTACTCATTCCTGTCGGGTCCGACGGAGACCAAACCGGACCGATCGACATCGGAAAACTCTTCGAAATCAACCTACGAACCGATGGTCTGCAGTGGACAGGTCGGCAACATCCACTTTTGGCAGACTATATTCAATGACCACTCTGTGTATCCGGATTTCGTGTCGTATTTGATTAAGCATGAGCATTGGATTCATTGGAAGATTGGACTGGGGGTTGTGGGGGAGAGGGAGAAGGTTAATGGGAGAGCGAAGGTGAGGGTTTTGGCGGCAGATTGAAGGGGTTTGGGGGTTTTTGGGTGTTGGTTTGTGTGCATTGATATCCTTGTGTTGTTGTTATTTCTATTTGATATAAATTCAAGTGTATTTGACATCCAAGGATGGGTAGGGCTTGTATTGCACTAACGGCTCTTGAAATAGATGTCCATAAATGCCAGTTCAAAATTATATCCTAGATTAAGCGGGTAAACATACCGAACTTCTTCCAATTCTGTCCTAATCACAACATCACTGGAGCAGTATTAATGTCTAGATTGAGGAGGAGATAATGTAAGAATCATAGGTGTGTGATGGTACAATTACATGACTGTGTTGCCCTAGCATGGCTGCCTTCAAAAGGCAAAGGCAGGGGGGAAAAAAAAAATGCAAAAAGAATGCTCGCACTCGGATTCGAACCGAGGATCTCATCATTACTAGTGATGCGCTTTACCAACTAAGCCATGCGAGCTAATTGTTAGACATCAATAAAATATTTTGTAATGAATCCCATGAAAGTTTGTGTACCACAAACCCTTGCAAGTACATTGCTACAAGCACGCTACAAAAAACACAAGAGTAATTATATAAACAATGCAATTAAATTTCTAAATACAAAATGCCAGCTTTTCTATCTACACTAGACCATCGAAGCCTCCGGCTTCTCCGTGTCCGACCGACTCATCGAAGTATACCGACTAAACTCCCTCGACCTCGCCGCCGGATCTCTCCCAAGCGCCCTATCCTTATCCTTCTGCTTTCTCTCCATCCTCCGGAAGAAGATACGCTTACACCACTTCCACGCCTCAACTCCGAGGAAGAACAGTGTCGCCTCGACAAACACAACGCCCCATTCCCACGAGATACCAGTGTGCTTGAAGACGATATCGTTGATGACGGGGACGTAGAGGATCGGGAAGGTAAGAATGAAACCGGCCATGATGCCGAAGAAGAGGAATTTGTTGCGCCAGACATCAAACATCCACTGGGTGAAGTATTTGTTGGAGTTGGGCTGCATGCGGAAGAACGAGCGGCGCAGGTTCATCATCTCCCAGGCGAGGAAGAGGGCGAACCAGGTCATACAGACGAAGGTTGTAGCCCGGGCGCGGAAGACGGTGTCGCATTCTGATGAGTAGTTTGAGTTGCAACCTTTGGCGAGATTACCGTCGCCCCAGCCGAAGAGGACGAGGGAGAAAGACGCGAGGCAGAGGGCTGCCATCCAGACGCCGTAGACGAGGGTGTCGATGATGATTTCCCAGGTGAAGATTCCTTGTTTGCTCTGGGGCGGGCGGTCCATGATATCTGCCGAGGCGATTTCCATGCCCAGACCCATGTCGGGGAGACCGGAGGTAATCATAATGATCCACAGGATTTCGACGGGGGCGATGGGGAAGACGGACTGGCCATCTGCGTCTTTAAAGCAGAGGCCGATAAGCAGGGTTAGAGCGAGACCAACATTTTCGGCGAGCAAGTGCAGGACGAATTTCTGGATGTTGTCGAAGATACGGCGACCTTCTTCGATGCCGTTGATGATGGAGGCAAAGTTGTCGTCAGTCAGAACCAGTTCCGATGCATCCTTTGCAACATCCGAACCAGCCTCACCCATGGCAATACCGACATCAGCGCGCTTCAGCGACGGTGAGTCGTTCACACCATCGCCCGTCATAGCAGCGTACTTTCCACGACGGTGCAGTGCATCAATCATCCGGACCTTGGTCTGCGGTGCACAACGCGCAATGACAGCCGGCAACGTGGGGAGTTCATCGATCTCGTCATCAGTCAACTTATCGAACTGGTAGGCCGTCATGACCATAGCCTCCGCGACATCCTTGGCAAGTTCGTCCATGTTGGCGGGGATAATGCCAACCTGAGCTGCAATCGCGCGTGCAGTACCAGGATGGTCGCCCGTGACCATGTGCACTGTGATACCGGCACGGTGACATTCTTCAATGGCACCGGCTGTCTCCGTGCGAGGAGGGTCATAGAGACCGATGAGTCCGCAGAAGGTGAGATTCTTCTCGACGTCTGCACGGGCAGGCGGCTCGTCACCTTCCTTGCCGCTCGTGGTGCCGGGTTCGTTGTCGCGACAGGCGAGGGCAAGAACACGGAGACCTTCTTTAGCGAGCGCCTCCATGTTCTGCAAGATCTGGTCTCTGAGATCGTCGTCGAGTTGCTTGGACGATCCATCCGTCCAGGTAATGTTAGTGCAAGTTTCAAGGATACGCTCCACAGCACCCTTAGAGAAGACCATCTCGCGGTGCTTCTCGCTGCCTTCGTCTCTAGAAAAGATGACGGACATCTTCTTCACGTTCGAGTCAAACGGGTACTCGGCCTTTTGCTTCCAGATGGGCTTCTCGCCTTTGGTCCAGCGGGTGCGGTTCCAGTTGAAGCGCGCCGCGAAGACCTGGATTGCGATGTCCGTGGGCTCACCACGTGCTTGCCATTGATTACCTTCTTGCTCGGATTGATGGACGTGTGCCAGGTTAGCCATGGCGCCGACATTCAAGAAGTCCTCTAGAAGAGGGTTATCCTTCAGCAACTCGTCGGTACCACCGGTCTCTCCTTGCGCATTCTTGTCCATGGCGATAGGAGTCTCAGGGATAAGACTGACTTCTCCATCGTTCGGGTCCAGCGGGTTATCCGAAGGACCAACAGAGTAAGTCCCCTTGGCGGGAATCCAGGCGCGTTTGGCAACCATGCGTCCCTGGGTCAATGTACCCGTCTTGTCAGAACAGATGTTCGTAACCGCACCAAGGGCCTCAAGAGAGTCCAGCTTCCGAACAATAACATGTCGCTGAACCATCTGCTTCGTACCGACAGCCATAGTAATCGTCAAGACAACAACCAGACAAGCCGGAATCATAGCAAGACCAGTCGCAACCGCGTAGATAATAACCTCCTTATCACCACGCATGTCATTCGCGCCCTCGACAATAACCGCGAAAATAACCGCAATAAAAAACAGCATCAGTGCCAACTTCGACAACTTCCTCTGCAGCGGCGTTCCCACATTCACGCCCAGAAACCGTCCAATGGCATCCGTGGTCGTGAGTGTCCATGCCTGCACGTACCACCGTTTTTTGGTCTCCCCTTCGGGACCTCTCTTGACGGGCCGGCGTTTGGAGTCCCCGCCGCGCAGGGCTGCTGCGATCGCGCCGATTTCAGTCTTCATTCCTGTACCGACGACGACGCCGCGGGCGCGACCGCGGGTTACGGTTGAGGAGGAGTATACAATGTTTAGACGGTCGCCGGGGCCGGTGTCGGCGTCGAAGACGGCTTCGACTTCTTTTTGGACAGGGAGAGATTCGCCGGTAAGGAGAGCTTCGTCTGTTTCGAAGTTCATTGCGTCAATGAGTCTATCCCATGAATACGTTAGCTTATACAACTTATATAGTATAAGAGGAGGGGACTTACCGTAGATCAGCAGGAACAGTGTCTCCGACTTTCAACTCAATCACATCACCCGGGACAATCTCCGATGCAGGAATAGTACTAGTTTTACCATCTCTCGTCGCAGCCGCAGTGGGCGAACTTAGAGACCGCAGAGAATCCATAGTCTTCTCCGCCGCAAAGTCCTGGTATACACCTACGATGATGTTGAGGCCGATGACCGCAGCAATCACACCACCCTCAATCCAGGATTGGATACCGAAACTAACCGCCATGGCAATAATAAGGACCTTTTATTGCAAGGACATTAGTATAAACTTCCATTACAGTGAAGAAGAGGGAGGAACTCACTAGCATCATGGCATTTGCAATCTGTCTAATCACAATCTTTGCAAAGGACACGCCCTCACCACCCTCGAGTTCGTTGGGGCCATGCTCCTCGAGACGTCTCTGCACGTCTTGTGAGGAGAGACCCTCGTCTGCATTAGTGGAGAGTTCTTTGAGGGTGGCCTCAGGCGAGAGCGTATGGGCAGGCTGGGAAAGAGGCTGGATGGTTGAAGCGTCGACATCCTGCGCCTCCTTCCGGCGTTGCTCGTCCATCGTATGTTAATGTTGTTTCTTTCGTTCTGTTGTTGTGTTTTTGTTCTAAAGATCGTTCGTAGCTATCTTAGGGAGGTTCCATGTAGATCGTATCTTCCAAACAATAAGAGTCCATACAGATCAGACCGTGCTAATACGACCTAAGCTTCTTCTCCTCTTGTTCTTTTGAACTTTGGTGTCATTTCTATTCAGCCTCCGGGGGAATCGACATATTTAAGTTTCCCAGATCCGGATCTCGTCCCAGTGTCCATTATATTTGCCTTGGCACCTTGGTCGCCCCCCGGGGTCAATGACATGGAACCTCCGGTATCATAGCTATGAATGTTATCATTGTATGGTATACCAAGACCGTCCGGGAACCAATGATATGACTGCACGTGAGATATCCTTGGCGAAGATTCTTGGCTCGGGGAGCGAAATTCCGCTTGAAAGGTGAGTATGACGCATACGACCAATGGCTCGAGCACGTGATGTCGGCAAACAGCCCTAAGCGGGGTTTGACTCAAAGAAGGAAGGCGAACCATTGGATCCAGATACGACGTGTCGGCATTGATTGGCTGGTAATAAAAATAAAAGTGGGCCGCGGAATGCCAAGGTTCCCGCGCGGTCGCGGAGTCTTGGCTGGACGGTCTCGGTTTTCGTCCGGGATTTTGTTGAAGCAGGCGCCGGCTTGGCGTTTCTCCTCGGAGGGGTCCAAGAGTCTCTTCGGACAGGGGTGTCGGTTATAAGACCCCCGCTGGTATGCCTAGCCTGGCCAAGCTGCCGATCTATCCGATGGGCGGAGTGGCTCTTCTCGGCTTCATTGGATGACCCCGCGTCGTTCTCGTATATCATTGCTCCTATTTTCCTGTTTTTCCTTTCTTTTTGTTGCTTTCCCTTCCTTATTGATACCGGTGGATCCTCGTTGGTATTATTCTTAGAGGACTCTGTTAGTCCTGCAAGCTGCTGCAGTATCCACTCCAATGACCCTAGGTGCTTCCGGGACTGAGATTGTTGGGGTTATCGTGGGAGCTGTCATCCTTTTCACGCTGGTCAGCGCTGCTCCGGTGTGAGTTTCCCCACGCTGTGTAACTCCGGAGAGAGGAGAGACAACCAGAATAGCGTTTGGCTCGTGTTCCTGCTTACCCATAGTTAGCGTCATCGCAAGAATCCGTCGACGGCACAATGCCAGACAACAGCAGCAACCAGAAATGCGATCCAATGATACCTATCCATCCTTCAGATGCCCCGACAATGGCCCCATGCCAATGCAACAAGTCTTCGTGGAGCGTTGGCTAGAACAGCAATATGCTCCGAGCTCAACCGAGTCGTATTCTCACGACATATGGTGGGTTCTCTCGTTGTCCTTTTCCTTTCACCCAGCCTCTCTGGTGATTTCTGGGCACTCTTGGCCCAAGAAACTGGCGGGGACAGGGCTGACGCTAGTCCTCTCGGCATAAACTCAAGCGCTAATTATTGGCTAGTGCAATTTGTCTATCATCGCTCGGATTGCGTTCATCTCGAGATTCACTTCCTATGCCTCCTGAGGCCGCTTGGATTCCTGTATCTCATTCTTACACAGGTTATGATAGTCATGATGATCGTCGCTCTGTTTCTCCGCGGGTACTTGAGGAGGGTCGGCCGACCAGGACAAACAGTGAGATTCGTGTTTTGAATAGCTGTGGTCATGCTTTCCATTCGGCATGTCTTGCATCGTCGTTTCAGTACGGCCGGTACCGGTGTCCAATATGCCAAGCGGCGTATTTTCCGAGTTAGTTGGTATTTTTTGGCGAGCTGGTCCTTGCCGGAATATTGTCTTCTTCGTTTTGCATCTTGTATACCTAGCATATCCCCTTTCATGGCGAGCCGTCACAACATCATTGCAAATGTTACGAACGAATGATCCATCAAGGGATGTTCCGTAGTCGTTGTAGATGCTAAGTAAAGCGGGTCAAACCAAATCCTGTCAGTATGGTATCATCGTACTTTAGATAACCGCGTAAACCGGATACCGAACAAAAGACATGCATATTGGCCCTATACAGTGACTTATGCATGATACCTCTCCGAAACTCATCTGTTGCCCTAGGCCTGCCACATGGAACCATGAATTCCGTCCATCCCAATCCATCGCGTCTTGGCTGCAGTGCCATGAAACCGCCAAGTGACCATTGCCAGCCATTGGATAGACAACGAACAGGATAGAAGAAAGTAGAACGCCCGGGTCCTGTAATATCGATTATTCCCGAGAAGGATTCCAGAAGCTTGGAAGTATTCCATGCAGTGTGGCGGGGTATGCAGAGGTAGTCTGGTATGGGAATCCCAGTTATTACTTCCCTGTCACTGCATCTTGATACTATAGTCAAGGTATGGGGCGTCCCGCTTCGGTAAGGAATCTCGTGCTGCTTCCTGTAATCGACGTGTCTGATTAGGAACTGGTGCATCTGCGCTCCGCTATGGTTAGCCATTCCGTCTTGGGAAATATTGACACGATCAACACTTACCTTCTCCCAATATCGAATCTATTATTAACGAATATGGCCCAGATGCGTTCCCCGCAGATCCCATAAAAGTATTCCGTTTCGTTTTCAGGTCATACGGTCTTTACGGCTCCTTGGTTTCCAATTGGGATACCAAGGAAAGACGGTGAAGATGGCTTTCACGATTCGAGGATCCGGGGTACATGAGCTAGCGCCCTATCCGCGTATACGGAGCCTCGTCCTTCTGTGTATTGAACATGATTCTGTCGTTGCTCTCTCAGCCGAAGTTGATCATATTATCTGCAGTAGATCAGGCCTCTGTCTTCTGTTTATGTCCATCGAATAGATTATAGAGTGATAAATAGCACAAGAGCAATGTTGAAGGCCGAAGACGCGTACCTGATAAGGTCACATGACTTGTCCCGATTCGGTATGGTGTTCGTTATCAATCAGTTCATAGTAACGACCAGCATCCAGTCATGAGTATCCAGTAGTGCTTTTATTAAGCTTAAGTGTGTCTGACTGCAATATACTCGTCTTATCACCGTGTGCGGTTTATGTTGACTTACAGGTTCAAGCCGTAGCTTGCAATCCATAGCAATGGTATATATATCTGGGAGAGAATGGGGAAGCCTGCTGGGCGTGCTCAATATGGTGAGCGGCCCAAGGACCGCAGCATTATATGTTGCACGAAAATGATCACTCCAGCTGGGCATTCTTAGTCCGCACATCGCTGTCGCCTACATCGACATCAACGTAACCGAATATGGACTTCCAGGAGATGGCCCCAAAGGTGCCTAGCGCATTATCTCTAGACAAGGCTAATATCTAACCCTTGAATGAGCCGCACGTAAGCTCGATAACCCACCCTCCTCATATTGGTGCTCAATTTGAAGGCCGTCAGTTGTTCACTCCTAACATGGGACTCGGTACTCGGTGTCTGTTGACAAGAGGAGTGGGCGACGAAACATGTGGAATGGAATTATCCACGGTGGGCAGACGTCATATACCTACCTAAGTCTAGCTCAACTGACACATACAAAATTCTACATCAACAAGCCGCTCCGTAATCTATCCGCTGCCGTTCTATATCGACTGCAAATTACCGGTGAAAACATCACCTATCTACTCTTTGCCTCTCGCTCAGGTGCCCAGCAATGCATCACATCATTCAACAGCAGCCCCCAGAACAAACCTGCCATTTCTCTGTACCCGAACCAAGCCACTGGGCCAGGTTCTCAGCAGAAACACCTTCAACCGACTTCATCGAAGAAGCAATGACTATCTGGCGGAATACCGGCTCGGGTTTATCCACGCGCCATGCGACCTATTTACTGCCTGCAAGAATTCGACTATATGGCCTCCAACTTCTCGAATTCAGGCTTCCAAACCAGCGTCCCTTAAAATTGGACCCCAGACAAGGATATAAGATACTACACGGATACATTCCGCAACAACTACCATGCTCAAACTAAAATCATTCATCGCACAGCTAGCCACTTCAACCAAACCAGGACAACCCCCCATATCCCTGTCGGACATAATTATCTTTCTCACAGGCATGAACGCCATTACACCCTCTTGCAAGTTGTCTCCTCACTCAAACCCACCCCCACAGTCATTGCATACGGCTGGCTCCACCCCGAGACCGTTGGCGTCCTCTGCAGCACCTGGAAAACCATATCCTACAAAGCCGGCAACGACGCAGATCTCGATTTCTTAGAATCCCTCCTGAAACCCGACTCCGGGAAAAAGGTGCACGCGCTCTTCTGTGAATTACCCAGTAACGTCACATTATCGTGTCCTGATATCCATCGGATTCGGGAATTGGAGGATCGGTATGGGTTTATTGTTGCTCATGATGAAACCATAGCTGGATGCGTTAATATTGATGTACTCCCGTATGTGGATGTCGTGGTAACTAGTTTGACGAAGGTGGTATAGTGGTGCTTCGAACGTTTTGGGTGGGAGATACGCCCTTATCCCTTTCCTAAACACTCTAAACAATACACGGAAACTAACATGCTAAAGCCTCGTAATAAATCCAAACTCACTTCACCATGATTCAATCCACAACACTCTCAGAAATCAACACAACAAACACCTGCTTACCGGGCGATATCCAAATGCTCCTAACCAACAGCGTAACCTTACACGAACACACAAAAACAGCAAATGAAAACACCCTCGCCCTTCTCTCGTTTCTAACATCCCACCCGACAATGAAAACAGTAAAACAGCCCTTCAGCCACCAAACAGCAGGGATATACAACTCCCTCCGCTAACCCACCGGCTACAGTGGTGAGACAAACACCATAACCATAATCTTTTACAACCAGCCCCCCGCAGGAATATTCTACATTGCGTGAATGTGCGCAAGGGCATGAGTTCCGGGACGAATTTCACGATCGCGCTTCCGTACGTTGTGTTTGCGAATCCCTACACTAGAGAAAAAGTCGCGAAGTATGTACCGGAGCATGTTATTGTGTTGGGTTGGGGATGTTAATTGTATTGTGGGGAGGCGAGGGAGGTGTTGAGGGTTGTTGAAGGGGTGGGATTGGGAATGGGACAGATGATGGAATAATATGTGATGGTAAATAAAGAAAGCTATTGTTATAAGCCTCTAAATGGAGCTCTCACTAACAATGGTTCTGTAGTGTAATGGTTATCACTTTGGATTCTGATTCCAACGATCCCGGTTCGATCCCGGGCAGGACCTTTTCTTTTGCAGTTTTTTTTTTTTTTTTTTTTTTTTTTTTTTTTTTTTTTTTTTTTCTGGCTCTTCTTTCCTATTTTCTCTTTTTAAACTTGTTTTATCTTATGGCAAGTGGATAACAGCATTATAATTCAATGATTTCGTTGTTATTCATAAGAATACCATAATCTAAAATACATTTATGCCGACTCAATCACCTTCTCTGTAACATACAAGTCAACGTACTTGTCGACCTCATAGCTCTCAAGCGCAGCCTTGTCGTTACCCAGGTTAACAAGCTGGTCAACACGAGCCTGGTCGAAGTGCGCGCCGAGGTGACGCTTATACTTGGCCAGAATCTCAGGCTTGGCTTCCTCGCGACGCAGACGATGGCCCAGGGGAGCCTCGACGGAGACCTCGGGGAGGATGGTGCCATCGTTCAAAGTAACGGTAAGAGCGTTGGGGATGGTGCGCTTGGAGGGATCGTGGTAGTCCTTAGTGAACTGCGGGTCCTCGACGCAGCGGATGCGCTGGCGAAGGTCCTCGAGGAGAGGGGAGCTGGCGGCTTCAGAGCCGTCAGCGTAATCGCTGGCGACGAGGCGGTTGAAGACGAGCATATTGGCGACCATGTATTGGACGCAGTGGTCGCGGTCAGCGAAGTTGTCCATGGGCTTGAACTGCTTGTCAATGATGCGGACGCAGGCCTCGTGCGTGCGGTTGGTGATCTCCTTGATGTCCTTGGCGCTCTTGCCCAGCTCGGCAAGCTTCTTGTTGACGATCTGAGCGGCTTCAATAGCGGTCTGGGAGTGGAATTCGGCGGGGTAGGAGACCTTGAAGAGGACGTTCTCCATGACATAGCTGCCGTAGGGGCGCTGGAAGGAGAAGTTCTTGCCCTTGAACAGGACGTCGTAGAAACCCCAACCGGGGGCGGACAGAATCGAGTGCATACCACCCTCACCCTTCTGCACCTTCAGGACAAGGTTGACGGCACGCTGGCAGGCGTCACCGGCGGCCCACGACTTGCGCGACATGGTGTTGGGCGAGTGACGGTAGGTACGGAGGGACTGGCCGTCAACCCACGCCTGGGTGATGGCATCGGCGGTCTGTCTCTCGGTCAAACCGAGCAGCTTGGAGACAACGGCGGTGGTGGCCACCTTGACCAACACGACGTGGTCCAAACCGACCTGGTTGAACGAGTTCTCCAACGCGAGCACACCCTGAATCTCGTGGGCCTTGACCATAGCCTCCAGCACATCCTTGACTGTGGGGATCTTGCCGTTACCGAGGTTGCCGCCAGCACGGTTCGTGCGGGCAATCCAGTCAGCCACGGCCAGGATACCACCCAGGTTGTCGGAGGGGTGACCCCACTCAGCAGCCAGCCAGCAGTCATTGTAGTCCAACCAACGGATCATGGCACCAATGTTGAAGGCACCGTTGATAGGGTCCAGCTGGTAGGGGGTACCGGGGACGCGAGTACCATTGGGGACGACGGTTCCCTCCACCGTGGGACCAAGCAGTTTGGCACATTGCTTGAACTTCAAGGCCTCCAAACCACATCCGAGGGTATCAAGGAAGACCAATCGAGCGGTGTCGTACTATAGATGCTCCAGTCAGCTTCACACTGGTGTTCCTATGTTGGGGTGAAAACATACAGCCAAGTCCGAGTTGACATTGTAGTTGTGGATATAATCCGCCATGTCCTTAATTTCAGGATCATAGCTCTTGTCGGTGGTGGGAGCAGCCTGCTGGAGGGGAGACATTGTGGAGAAACGAGAGACTCTAGGGACAGAGGAATTGAGGGCCTTGAAGGTAGTGGTGTTGCGAGCGAAGGATGACGACGAGGTCAGCGAGACAGGTCTGGCGGAGAGAATGCGGGAGGACAAAGTGCGGGGAGCTCGGTGGGTCGCCCGCAACGCTGCACAGGTGGACATAACGGAGAGTATGAGAAAAGGGAATTGAATATAGGATCAATGGGGAGAACAATTGAGAAGAGAGGGTAAGGAAAAGAAGAAGAAAAGGACAAGTTAAAAGGAAAGGTAGAGGACAGGAGTGTTGTTGCTCTGCAGGTGACTTCATTGAGCCGAGGCCGCTTTTAGCCGGCCATCCGATGCCGGGTGACTGATGTGACTATGATTCCTGCCTACAGATACTGCTATGCTGCTGTGCTGCTATGTTATTATAAGCATTTTCTACAGGGCTTCCCTCCAGAGATAGCTGTCAGTGTCAGATTAAGCCCATAGCTGATGTTCTGGCCGGTCGGGCGGATGCTCCGTAGCGGATATTGCGGAGTATGGGGTACGGGGTATATTCTACACCTACACAGCATCCATGCTACAAAGAGAAAGAACAATGTCTCAACTGAAATAAGATATCTCCATGTCTCCGAATGCATGTGCATACACTAACCGAACGCCTGATCTTGCAGCCCTGTAGCCCGGTTGCCGCGGATATAGCGGGGATCAGTCATCTATCACAATCTCGCCAACAACCATCTCATTCTCTTTCTGATCCGTCTTCCTTAGTGATTTCAAGATCTCCTGATAAATAGCTTTGGCCAGAATAGGAGGTACGGCATTCCCGATCTGCTTTCTTATCTCTCGTAGGCCGAATCGGTATCGCATGGGAAATGTCTGCAAACACGCGAATTCCCGGTTTGTGAAGCCGCGTCTGCCAGAGGGATGATAGTTGAAATCCCCTCCACCACAGGTGACAGTTCTTGCAGGTTGATTGGGATCGAACGGGAGCCTGACTCCATTGCGCAGGCCGCGGTCTAGCGCAGTCTGGACGTCGTGGTCTAGGGCACCGGGTGGGATCCTTGATATGATGGAATTGATCGTTTCGAATTCTCTCAGACCAGTAATCGGAAAACCATGCGTTGCTTTGGGGAACCGGGGCAGAGATTCACCTGGACTGCAGACATTAGCTATGGTCAAATGATAAGGCTAGGCACATACCCGGATGCGATGATGATCAGTCGTCTGCGCGACTGCGGAACCCCATAATCCATGCAGTTCAGGACACCATAGCGGACCGAGTACCCCAGCTCTATGAAGTCTTGAATCACCCGGAAGAAGACCTCCTTATGCCTCTCGAACAACCCGCAGGTCTCTTCCATAGTGTGAACTCGCGGTTTGGCCTTCTTGATTAAATCAGAACATGAGAAGATACAAGCCGAATTCGCATCGTCATTTGCACACTCAATAGTATGGGCAGGAGAGAATGTCTGACAGGGGGGAGAGCCATGGCTCACGTCGACGCGGACAAAGTCTGCATCGTTGGTCAAAAAGCTGAAGATATCACTCTCCTCGCACATAGCCGTCGGGAAGTTGAGGCGATAGGTAGTCGCAGCATGAGATGATTTGTCAAAGGCCCATTTAATGTTGAATCCGGCCTGGCTGGCTCCAGCAGAGACACCGCCAGCACCGCAGAAGCCATCACCAAAGGTGTACCGCCGGAGGTTGCTGTCCGTCAGATCGATGACCGGAGAGTCGTCAAGGTCAATGGCCTCGTTTCCAGCATTATCTGCTTCTCCAAACAACGTCGTATTACCCCTCCAATTCTGACGGAGAAGCCTGGGATGAAAGCGGTGGTTAGGGTCTGCATCTTCAAATGAGAGGTACTGGACAGAAGTTGCGTTGGCCTTTTTGGTCTCTTTCAGACGACAGAATAGTTTCAATATATATTGCTGTTCTCTTTCAAACTTGCACCAATTAGTGAATATAATGGAAACGAACTGTTTGACAATCTCCAAAGGAACTTCTTTAACCTCGTTCACCATCCATACAAGCTCGTTCTGCCATTTAGGAACACATGTGTTGGGGTGGGAGGCCGTTTGTATCATTCGACGCCCGTGAAGGAAAACAGAGCCAGTGTCATCCTCAAGAACGTTCTTGATGTGCAAGTAGGACTCATCGTAAAGTTCCACTGACTGACCAGGTCGGTAGAGAATACCGTCCACACACGCTTCTGGGATAATGCGCCTTTCTAGCTCCCGACTAGATCTTGAAACCGATGTCGATGCAGGTTGTTGCCAACTGCTGACCAGTCTCTGAAAGCACTCGTCCGTGAGGTAGTCGCCCTCGTTGAAGCATTGCGATCCGTCGGTGAGATCAACAACTTCAGCACCAGACCCGAAACTCGAGAGCAGAATAGGAGCTGCATCAAGATGTCCGGTACTAGATTCAGCATCGACGTCCAAAAAGTACCGCGCATCCGGGTCGTTGTCGATTGTACCGGTGCTATCGCTGTCATAGTCGCTATCATCGATTATTATCGGCTCCATGGCGGGGCCAGCCCGGCAACTCAGATGATTGTGGTTCATATTGATTTTCTTTACGAGGCAGAAGATACTAAGAATAACACAGCAATATTGCAGTATACTAGCCACCTAAATTGGGATGAATCCAGCAATGCTGATCATTCACTTTATATGTACGAAGTGTGGAAAGCGTGAGACATGAGTTGGAGTTCCTTTATGCTACCCTATGGAAGAACCGTGTATCATTGAAAGAGACTATGTGTAGACAAAGCTACGACTGTCTGACTGGGTGCTTTATGTACCTTTGTATACACTCAACGGTGTTGCATAATTGCATAACTCAATTCATAAACTGCTTAGTAACTCCGGCATCGGTCCTCCGCTCCGCTGGATTTTCCCGAGAAAATTCTGTGATTTTTTTGTGGTTCCAAATTTTCCCCCATCAATTGGCAGGAAAACGCAGAAAAACTTCTCCTCTTCCTACACTCTCTCTTAACTCTCACCATGACTTTGCGTCTTCCTTTTGATCTTCCTTCGAGCTGAGCTCACTGTATGTCTGTATAGACATCTTCTTCTTACACTCCTTAATAATTCTGATATCATTCTCAGTGTAAGTCCCGCCCGCATGCTCTTGCCCATCCATCCCTCTCTTCATGATGATTTTCGGTTTTTTTTTATAGATGTTAGACTTCCTAAGCACTTTGCGGAGATATCCCGACTGATTGAGAGCTTATACTGCTATTTACATTGCATTTGCTGTGGTTGACAACTGCTAACACTGTAATGTGACAGAATCATGTGTGGTGTTATCGCTCTGATCTTAGCGAACCCCTCGTCCGCCGCCGCCGTTGACCTCCACGAGGCTTTATACCTGCTTCAGCGTGAGTCCTCCATCTAGGCATTTGTTAGAAGTTGGGATATTAACGGCTGCAGATCGCGGTCAAGATGCTGCAGGTGTCGCAACTTGCGCATCCGGGGGTCGCATCTACCAGCTCAAGGCCAACGGCATTGCTGCTCGTGTCTTCCAGGATGGTGCCAGAGTCGCCGATTTGCCCGGTTCTATGGGTATTGGCCACCTGAGATACCCTACCGCCGGTAGCAGTGCCAACGCGGAGGCTCAACCCTTCTACGTGAACAGCCCCTACGGTATCTGCTTGGCTCACAATGGCAACCTGATCAATGCGCCCGAGCTGAAGAGGTATCTGGATCTCGAGGCTCACCGTCACATCAACACCGATAGTGACAGTGAGCTGATGCTCAACATATTCGCCGATGAATTGAGCGAGACCAAAAAGGCCCGTGTGAACCGGGAAGACCTCTTTGCTGCTCTGAGTAGAATGTACTCACGCTGCGAGGGTGGATGGGCCTGCACGCTTATGCTGGCAGGCTTTGGTATCGTGGGTTTCCGTGACTCGTACGGTATCCGTCCGTTGTCTCTTGGTTCTCGGCCGTCCATTGATGGCGAGGGCATGGACTACATGATGGCATCTGAGTCGGTTGCTCTGCAGCAGCTGGGCTTCACCAATATCCGGGACATCCAGCCGGGTGAGGCTGTCATCATCGAAAAGGGTGGCGAGCCTGTCTTCCGTCAGGTGGCGCCTAAGAAGGCCTACGCCCCTGATATTTTCGAATATGTCTACTTCGCTCGTCCCGACTCCGTCATTGATGGTATCAGTGTCTACCGTAGCCGGCAACGCATGGGCGACCGCCTGGCCGCGCGGGTTCTCAACGTTCTTGGGCCGGAGGCCGTCAAGGACATTGACGTCGTCATTCCTGTTCCCGAAACCTCCACTACTTCTGCTGCTGCTGTGGCACGGTATTTGGACAAGCCTTACTGCCAAGGCTTTGTCAAGAACCGTTACATCTTCCGGACATTCATCATGCCTGAGCAAAAGACCCGGCAGAAGGGTGTTCGTCGAAAGCTGAATGCCATGCAAGCCGAATTCAAGGACCGAAATGTCCTTTTGGTAGACGACAGTATTGTCCGCGGAACCACAAGTCGAGAGATCGTCTCGATGGCCAGAGAGGCCGGCGCTAAGAAGGTTTACCTGGCTAGTTGCTCGCCCGAGATTACGCACGCCCATATCTACGGTATTGACCTGGCCTCTCCCTCCGAACTAGTCGCCTTCAACCGCGACACCGACGGCATCTCGCGCCACATCGGCGCCGAACAAGTCATCTACCAAACCCTCGACGACCTCAAGGGATCCTGCGCCGAAATCGCCCGCGAGAACGGCCTTTCCGAGCCCCAGGACTTCGAAGTCGGAGTTTTCTGTGGCTCATATGTCACTCCCGTTTCTGACGGCTACCTCAACCACTTGGAGCACATCCGCGGCGAGGGCCGCAAGGTCAAGGCCCTGGACAAGGCCAAGGAAGCCGTTGCACACGGATACGCTAGTGAACGGGACTTTCAGATCGCTGCCAACGGCGTGAAACTCGATGGAACTGGAAAGATCATCCCTGCGGACTCACCGAGCGACTCAGAAGTCCCGGCAGTCAGCATGAGCGCCGTCCGCAACGGAGGTGTCAACCACGTCGAGCACCCCGCCGTCAAGGATCGGATGGATATCAGCATCCATAACATTGGCGACCATGCATGATGATTTCTTTTATTTCTATTTTCTACGTGTTATGATATTTGTTTGTGCGATGGCACTGGAGTCTTGGAGTTTTGTCTGATAGACAGAGAACCAAAAAGACGAGGAATGGGTGGTAGATTTGTTTGACGATTTGCATGAAGGGTACGGTTGGATAATACCCCGCTGCATATAGCATGAATCAATGCGTATTTGATATATATCACTCTCTGTAGACTTGTAATGATACTATCGTAGTTGACTGTCGATTCAAGTCGAGCTGTTTTGCATGGTTTGCAACATTTGGCTATTGCATCATAGCTAACCGGTCTCCAACCAGAGTCCAACCACCCCGTCTGCTTCGACACAACGACACAATGGCTCGCATCACCCGTTCAGCTGCTCAGGCAGCCTTACTCGCAGCTAAAAAAGACCCTCAACTACTCTCTGATGCCCCAAAGCCAAATGGCACCGAAACACCCACCGAAGCGAAACGCATCCGCAGTCACAGTCAGAAGAACGAACCCAGCGCGAAAAAACAAAAGACAACCAAGTCGAAAACAGAAACCAACGACCTCCCCCATAATTTAGGCTCCCTGCCTTCACCCTTAACACCAAAGAGCAACACCGGCATCAAACGCGAACAGCTGGCCGACCTAGCAACTGACCTCCAATCCACCGTCGACAGAACCACCGAAACCATCCACGCTCAACAACAACCCAACCTCCAAAAGCCGAAAAAGAATACATACGGCCTAACCCCCGGCTTAACCCCCTTCCCCAGTTACCCCCGCCCAACACCCACCGAATGCGAACAAGTCGCCCGCCTCCTAACAAGCATCCACGGCGAGATAACGCCCCCAACAACCCTCCCTGAACCCTCATTGACAGTAACCGGCTGCGGCGAGGTCCCCTCCGTGCTCGACGCGCTAATCCGCACGCTTCTCAGCGGTGCGACGACGGGGAAGAACTCAGCTATGGCGTTTAATGGGCTTGTGCAGAAGTTTGGGATTCTGAATGAGGGGATTGGGAAGGGGAGTGTGGATTGGGATAAGGTTAGACGGGCAAAGGTTGAGGATGTGTTTGAGGCGATTAAAAGGGGTGGATTGGCGGATGTGAAGAGTAGGAATTTGAAAAGGATCTTGGATTTGGTGTATGAGGAGAATCAGAAACGGAGGGAGATTCTGACCAACAACCCGGACGACCCAGCACTCAAGTCAGAACCATCCACCAGCAAAGACTACGAAATCGCCTGCGCAGAGGAAAACGTTCTATCTCTCAATCACCTTCACACCCTCCCCACCCCTACCGTAATGACCCATCTAACCAGCTACCCGGGCATCGGCCCCAAAACTGCCGCCTGCGTGATCCTCTTCTGCCTCCAACGCCCCTGCTTCGCCGTCGACACACACATCTTCCGCATCAGCAAGTGGTTGGGTTGGCTGCCTCCTGACACTGCCAGCAGCAGAGTAAACGAGGTAACCGCGTTTGGGCATTTGGAAGTGCGGGTGCCGGATGGTTTGAAGTATAGTTTGCATCAGTTGTTGATCCGGCATGGGAAGAGTTGTGCGAGGTGTAGGGCTGGGACAGGGAAGGGGGCTGTTGGGTGGAAGGAGGGGTGTGTTATTGAACATTTGGTGAGGAGGACGGGGGGGAGGAAGTAGTACATTTCCTGGAGAGTGCTGGTAGATAGTAGGGGTTTGGTGATATACGGATGTGATGTTCTATATATTCTACGGATGAGCCGATATATCCCAACTTATTTTTTTTTTTTTTTTGAGTCTCTGAGATACTATCATAATAGACAAGCTACACGAGGGAATATACATATAATAAAATAATAACCAAAAAAGCATTGCAGGCCAATTAGACACAATTGTATATGGAAAGGGGCCCACGTGACTCTACGCTCCGATATCGAACCATCGAACCTACCATCCGCTTCGTGTCTTCTCAACCAGCGCGTCTCCTCAGATCACGCCAACCCTCTCCAGCCGTCAAAATGGAGACCCTGGCGACCTACTTCCCACCACAATTCCATCCCGTGATGGAACTGCTCGAGCCCCATACACAATGGCTCAGCATCGCCCTCGTTTCCATCTCCGCCCTCTACCTAACAACAATTTACGTGTCCCACAAACGCGAGTCCGCCGTCCCCTTCAACGTCCCCCTTCCTCCGGAAATCCGTTCGAACTACAACTGGGCCGGCAAGAACTGGGACGATATAACCGGTGAAAAAAAACGTGTGCTTGAAAGCCAGGCCCGTGGACAATGGGATAAGGATTTGATTATGAGTTATTGTCCTGCGGACGGACGGGTTCTTGGGAATGGGGTTCAGCCTGCGACGAGGGAAGTTGTTGAGAAGGCTGTTGAGGATGCGGCAAGTGCGCAGGTTGAATGGGCGAAGACGGGGTTTGCGGAGAGGAGGAAGGTGCTTAGGACGTTGTTGAGGTGTGCATACACCCTCCCTCTTATGGTATGTGATGTGCTGACCGGATAGATACGTTCTCGACCACCAAGATGATATTGTGACCGCTTGTTGCCTTGATTCCGGAAAGACGCGAGTTGATGCTGCGTTTGGTGAGATCCTAGTAACGGCTGAGAAATTGAAATGGACCATCGACCACGGCGAAAAAGCATTGGCACCTGAGTCTAGACCGACGAATTTCCTAATGATGTACAAGAAGAATATGGTCACGTACGAACCGCTTGGTGTTGTCTCGGCGTGTGTGTCGTGGAACTATCCATTCCACAACTTCATCGGACCGGTTATCAGTGCGTTGTTTGCTGGAAATGGTGTCGTGGTTAAGCCGTCCGAGCAGACTGCGTGGTGTACAACATACTTTTTGGAAATGGCGCGTGGGGCACTTTCGGCTTGTGGTCATTCTCGGGATCTCGTGCAGACTGTTGTCTGTCTGCCTGATGTTGCGGATGTGTTGACTTCTCACCCTGGAATTTCGCAGTTGACGTTTATCGGCTCGAAGCCTGTGGCGCACAAAGTGTGTGAATCGGCAGCCAAGTCGTTGACACCTGTGTGTGTGGAACTAGGTGGTAAAGACCCTGCTGTCATCTTAGACGACTCCGGAACCGTGAGTGAAGCATCATCCATTGCCTCCGTCCTCATGCGCGGCGTCTTCCAATCCGCTGGCCAAAACTGCATCGGCGTCGAACGGGTCATCGCCCTCCCCGGCATCTACAACAAACTCCTCGACATTCTCACCCCCCGCATCAAAACCCTCCGCCTAGGCTCCGTCCTCGTCGACTCTACCTCCAAAACACCCTCCACCCCCGACGTCGGCGCCATGATCTCCCCGGCCTCCTTCGACCGTCTCGAATCTCTTATCGAAGATGCAGTCCACCACGGCGCACGTCTAATCTGTGGCGGAAAACGCTTCTCCCATCCCACCCACACGCACGGCCACTACTTCACACCGACGCTCCTCGCCGACGTAACCCCCTCAATGCGCATCGCGCAAATCGAACTATTCGCCCCAGTCTTCGTCCTCATGCGTGCAGACTCCGTTCCCCATGCCATTTCTATTGCCAACTCCACAATCTACGGCCTGGGCGCTAGTGTCTTCGGCTACAACACCCCTGATGTAAACAAATGCGTATCCCAGATAAAATCAGGCATGACCTCCGTCAACGACTTCGGCAGCTACTACGCCGTGCAACTCCCCTTCGGCGGCGTCAAGGGCTCCGGGTATGGCCGTTTCGCCGGCGAAGAAGGACTGCGGGGGATTTGCAATGTGAAATCCATCTGTGTGGACCGGTTCCCGAAACTCATGGCGACAAGGATCCCGCCGAGAGTGGATTATCCGATTCACAAGAGTGATAGCGCCAAGCAGAATGGAACTGAGGCGTGGGAGATGTGTAAGGGGGTTGTTGAGACGGGGTATGAGATGGGGATTGGGGGGAGGGTTAGAGGGATTGTTAGGTTGTTGGGGAATATGTAGCTGCCATGCTGGAGAGAATAGATATGATATGTACAATAGTAGATAATAATAGTAGATAATCGTGCAACCAGTGCAAATACACAAATATACACACAACCAACCAACTCTCAGTCCTATTTACTCTCCCGCTAAACTCACAAAATCAACCCCCTCACCCATCCACCCCTCCAACCCACCCTCAACCCCAAGCACATCCCTCAAATACCGTCCCCCCATCTCATTTCCCGCATTACACCTCCCCATCCAAAACACTCCAACATCCGGCCTCCCCCTAACAACCTCCCTCATCTCCGGCATCCGCAACATAAGATCTAGCAACCAGCCCCCAAACGCATCACACAGCTCCATCGCCCACGCTGTTATATATGAGTCATCTGGGGGCACTGATTCTGCGCTTGCACGAAGGAGGAGCTTGAATATGGTTGTGGAGGGGAGGGATGTGCGGTAGTGTTCTGCCGGTAGCGTATACACTTCCCCACTAGAAGAGGTAGCCCGAAAATAATACTCATCAATCTTTAAGAGAGTAGTCAGGGCATCGTGGTTCTGGGAAATAATAGCTTTATGAACACCCTCCTGCAGCGCGTCTCTATTTAGGGAGATATTCCTAGCCGCACGCATAGATGAGTGACCCGTGCGGTTAAACCCACTAGATGAGCGGAGGAGTTCGAGGAATGCTATATCTGTCCTGTTGAAACCGTGAGTTCCGCCGTGGAGGAGATGTGATGGAAATTCGCGGAGGTTGAGGAGGGGGTATATTGTTTTGTCGTGGTTTGTGTCGGGGGATGTTATTTGGATGGAGACGAGGGGAGTGAGGGTTAGAGTGTAGTGTTTGTTGTTTCTGGTTCCTTGGAATGTGCGGATGGCACCACCACTACCTTTCTCTGTAGGTGATTCGAGATACCGGTTGAGGGAGTGTTTTTGGTCGTTGTCCATGGTAATCCCGACATCAATCCATAGCCGTTGGATGTTGAGGGCCATCAAATCAGGGAGATAGTTCAGCACCCTCCGCACAGTACACCATTTACACCTGAAAACAGTACTCTGTAGGATTTGCCGTTCATCTTCGCCTATAGGCACATAATCAAGCGGTCGTAGGATCCTCGCAACGCCCACGCTCCTCCTATCCCCATCTTCACCCTCAGAAGAAGTAGGTGAACGGTAAGGATCTCTCCAAAAGGCGAGAATAATCAAAACGCGATAAATCCGCTCACTCGAAACAGCTGCCGCAAGAGAAAGTGAAGACCTCGCGAAATTGACATTCAGCGCGTGCAGGAAGATCTTCTCGAGTAGTTCGACGGGGAGACGTTCCAGGCGGGAGAGATTTTTTCGTTTCTTTTTCTTTGGCTGTGAGTCGGACTGGTACTGGTATTGGAGTTGTGAGAGGGAGCCTAGCTGGGATTGCGACTGGGACTGGGATCGAGGCTGGGTGTTTAACCAGGCACTGCCGCTTATAAATGGGCGTTTTCGTCGTGATTGTAAAGAGCGTCGAAAATCATCAAGCGGGAGTAATGCTTTACCCCGTTGATTGCTCCGGACTGGTTTGGCATCTGGGTTCTGGTTTTGATCATCATGGCTGGGCTTGACTCGCTTTCTGCGGCCGCGGACTCGAATGGGCGTTAGGCCCGACATGGTAGTCTATTCATTCAGAGTCTCAGCCTCCCCTGTATACTATCCCCTGTATACTATACCGAAGTTGACCGTTGTATACAAATAGAGGCGATATCAAACTCTGTATGGATCTGATTGGCGGAATCTCAGATAATCACATGACCTCCATCTGCTCTAAACCTAACGCTAAGCCTCATTCACCACGACAGGGCTAATGACGTCACGCTACAAGTAAGTATCAAGTTTCTCCCGCGTTGACGCAGCCGTTAATCTGCAGCCAATCCAACGGGGACTTCTATTTTGACTGATGCAGGGAATATAAGAGGATCGGCAGGATTAAATCATACCAGGTATGACAGATGGTATGACGGAATTGGAATGTTTACTTGGATCTTGGTACGTAGATGGGTTGGTGGGTGGTATATATATGGTTGTACCACAGGTACCAACAATTCAATCTCGTCCTCAAAAAGAATCTTGCAATAGACATCAAGTCTAGGCATCAAACAATCAAATTCTCCCCATCTGATATCCAAGTCAAACCAATTCAAATCAAATCAACCTCCATAAATCACCAAAATGGGCGCCGTCTGTTCCTGCGTACGTTTCACTACCTCCCTTCCATCACAAGCCAAGCTAACAACTATCAGATCGCAGGCGTATTCCAATCCATCGGAGCCTGCCTCCGCGGCATCGTTAACGCCATCGGCTCCGTCATCATGGCGATTGTCAACGGCGTCGTGAGTCTCTGCGATATCATCATCACATGTCTGACGTGCGGTTACTGCGGTCGACGCAAAGGGACGAGGACGACGAGGAGGTCGAGAATATAAAATGATGCCATGAGTTTGGATAATAATGAGTTATGATTGATGGTATGGGTATATGGATATGGATATGGATATGGGTTATGTCGTTTTCATTTTGCTCGCGTTTCATGTGTTTTGTTTAGGATACCACGTCAATGTTTATGAATCCATTTGTCAACCTCAGCCGCGTTATATCTTCTCAGTAACTCATCCTTTAAATGTATATCTTCCGGGACATCGCACCAACGCTTCTCGACCAAGAGCTTAATAAACGGATCATCCCGCTCATCCGCATATTTAATCGCAGCGCGAAAATGACACGGCAGCAATGGCCAGTCTCTAGAATAATTGTAGCACTTGAGTCGAATGCACAACCCCAACAGTCGCTGAAAAGTACCCAAGTCCCGGTCGCGAATCACCTGTCGCAGGATACGCCTCGAGCATTCGAAATTCTCATCTTCGTCGATATACGCTCCTTCCGCTAGTAGGGCCAGGAAGCTGAGTTTATCGGGTGTCCAGGGGGGACAGAGGAGTTTCTCTGGCATGCGCGGCATGGTGGATACACATGCTGGGAATCTGTATTCCTCCTCACTGACGGGAAAAGATAGTCCGTCAACGAGTCTGTTGAGGACCACGAGGCCGGAGTTGAACCAGATACTAAGCACACAGCTGCCGTAGGTGTCCGGAATACCATTGATGGATTTACACATTGCGAGGATCTTAAGATCCTCGACTAGGTTCTCACTGGGAGCATCCTGGGCGTCCATGATGCGGGTTGACTCCTCGAACCGTTGCTCCAGATTCGACAGCTTGTTTTTATCCTCTGAGGAAAATTTCAGACGCGTACATTGGATCGCAATGACATGTTTGATGTATTCCACCTGACATTTCCGCACCAAGGGTAACGTGCACCATCGTGTTCCGAGAATAGCGCTCTGCAGGCCTGTCCGTTCCTGCTTCGAGAGGCCGTAAAAGTCCAGCGGCGGAGGCAGGTATTCCAGCGTCAAGATGCCGCGAGACTCGTGGTTGTCAATAGTAAATGCAAGTCGAATAAGCCATGTATATATTACCGGATCCGAAAGAGCCCTGGCGATATGGATCGAAGCGCGGGGGAGATTAAACTCAACGCAATGCAGAAAAATTATCTGAATGATTTCGACAGGAAGACATTCAATCCGTGCTGGTACTCGTTTTTCACTCATATTCAGTACTATCTTTTCACACATTGTTCGTCACTTGGGGGCGCAGCAATCGTTCGATTTGAGATCAAAACCGAACCATCACAGCAGCGCTCACAGCAACGCTCACTCGCTCGCTAGCTGCTCAACGCGAGAGCGGTGAATTGTCAGCTGTTATCGTGATCAACATAATCGGATGTATCTGATCGTAGTAGGAGAGTGGAGGTGGGTAGTGATGAGTCGAATTTCGTGTTGGGTTATGGACTCTGGTCTGTCGTTGTTGAGGATGGGAAATATGCGGACGGTGATTCTTCGGTCGTGACTGCGTCGGGATTTGAGTACTTTCTAGTGAGTGCTGGGTGATTTCAGTCGATTTATATCAAGAAGTCATCCTGTGACGACTCTGAAGCGTAAATGGTGGCATTTTGGGATGTGACTAGTGGTGGAGGTGAACTGATGGTGGAGGACGTCTTAGCGAAGATGATCTGTGGAGTGACGGTCTACACAACGTGACTTTTACAGCTGTAGCAGGATATTGAATCCATATGGAAGTACGCTCATCTATAGTATTCTGTAGTACTCCGTAAGAACTGTGCCTACTTATTGGCGCGGCTATTATTTCCTGCAATATCCACACTAGGGCGACGGGAGCATGTCATAAGTACGGATGCATTTTACCGGGTATGTGCTCATTATATGGGAATTACATGGAATATGATCTTGGAACATCTTCTAATTCGAACAAAGTTCTATACACATCCGACAACCAAATCACGGCCAGTCGCACATGGCAGAGTTGACAATTACTGCGTGATTGTATTGGTCGAAGGATAAAGAGGCGTAAAAGGACAGGATATTTTCCGTTTAAACGGCAGCAAGGTCGCCGAAGCGCTCCTAGAACCATTATTAGTATAATCCAACTTCGGATCTGAAAAAGAACATACCTTGTAGCCCGGCGGCATCCACTTGCCCTTGGAGACCAGGGAAGAGGTCTTCTCGTCAATCTCAGGCTGGGCAGCGGCAACCTCGTCCTGTAATTCATCAGCATTTGTAGCGCATTCGATGGCTGTGTAACATAACATACCACAGTGAGATCCTCAAACGGCCTCGCAGTCTCAATGTTCTCAAGAGTCTTCTTCAACTCAACAATCTCAGCCTCAACCTTACCCTTGGTCTGTTCAGCGTTCTGAACAGCCTGGGCCTCAAAGGCGTCAATGGCCTTGATCTGGCGGCTGACGTCGTAGGTGGCGGGCTTGAAGGTCTTGAAGTGGTTCTCGAGCTCGTCGATAACGGCCTGGTTCTTCAGGACGTTGCGGTAGTGGGCAAAGTCGATGGTCTGGGGCTGCTCGGAAAGGAGCTGGACCTTGCGGCGCGCATCGTCGTTACGCTTCTTGAAGGCCTGGAGGGCGGTGGCTGTTTGACCGCGGAGACCGAGGGAGCTGGTCACCTTGGTCCAGTCGATTTTGAGAGCGGCACTGCGCTGAGGGGGTGTTAGCAATTATTTCCTGCCCATTGAAAAGAATGCGTTTAATTATAAAGCATGATTGGTACATACAGCGGCCATTATGACGGTGTTGTATGGAGGGGAGGGGTTAACTGCACAATGGGAGGTTCGGAGAGTTGAGGATTCATTCGGCAAGGTTTGGGATGCGGCGCCCTCACGTGACTTTGTTCCCGTGTTCCGAGACCACCACTTACAAGTAAAGCGGACTGATATTATAGCCGTATCGACCCTACAAGCCATATTGAAAAATTTGAAATGCTTATACGAATTGAAAGCTTACAGCAACGCTTACAGGTAAAAATGAAGAAATTATCGTGCTTTTCAGGCTATACACTAAGGGAGAGGGCCCAGAACAGGGATATCAACGTGACACTCGCACCCAAAGCTCACTCATTCATCCTGCCGGCAGGGCTTCCATCACCATCACCGGACAAATCATATGCTGAGAGCCATGATCGAGTTCACAATATCGTTGTCATTCTCCCGGAGGGCCTTGACGGCCTTCTTGCGGGAGACATTGGCCTGGGCCATGACAAGGTCAATGTCCTTGGCCTCGAGGCCGGCCTCGTCAACCTCCTCGCCGTCATCCTCCTCCTCTTCCTTCTTGGCCTCAACTTCGGGGGCCTTGCCCTTGCCGTGATCGTGGTCATGGTCGTGGTCGTGGTCGTGACCAGCGTGCTCACCACCGGCGGCCTCGGCAGCAGCCAGCTGCTGAGCAGCGGAAGCCTGGGCCTGGGAGTTCAGGTCCTCGATCTTGGCCTCACCGAAGATGCTGCACTGTGTCAGTTCTGCTTTTTCCGTAGTCATATTCATGGTTGGAGTTCGACATACATCCAGGTGTTGCTGGAAGGCGACTTGTAAACATCGGGCTGGTTAACAACGAAGAGGATCTGTAATCCATTAGCGACCGTCTCGGTTAAATCCCCTCTCGCCCCTCTTCACATCCAGGTCGCGGGGAAGCATACGTTCTTAGGACGGCGGAGAGTAACACGGGTGATTCCCGGGACGTGCTTGAGACCGAGCTTGCCAATGGCCTTGCGGGCCTTCTTCTCGTTACGGGAGTGGATGGTGACAGCGGCGCCTCCGGGGATGGTGGGCTCGTCGCCAGCCTCAGACTCAGAGCTGTCGCCCGCCTCCTCAACCTGCTTGGTGGGCTCCTCATCGGGAACTTCTTCAACACGGGGGTCGGCCATTGTGAATTAGAATTTTCTAAGAAACCGGGAGTTAGTTATTCATTGTTCGTTGTTCGCTGTTCGCTGTTCTCGCACAGGTGCAGTGCGGGCGGGCACAAATGTGCCCTCAAAACACCCGAAAACCCCACGATTTTCCCACAAATGGGCGGGAATCGAGGAATTCAACGGCAGGAAAAGATTCAGCATCTCGAAAACAAAAACTGGCATACCTGGTTCGCGGAAAGAGGGATTTGGTGGATGGGGTGGGTATTTTTGTCTGGTTGGAGGTTGAAGGTCGTAAATGCTGTGTGAAGGTCATCCTGCCGAAAATCGATTAGCGAGGCTGGGTCTCCCACTCCCCAACTGCCCACTGTGCATGCATACTAACTATGTAGTATTCCAGCATAAGTACTGTTTACAGTCTACAAAATATATAAATATACCGATATTGCAGAATTACAATTGACAAGAATTACGTCCAGCATTCAATCCCAATATGGAACTATACAGAGTAGCTGCTCAACTGCTCAACAACCGAACGCGGTTCCATACCCCAGTCTATGTAAAGATAGTAGCAGAGATAAAATATTGTAGCATCTCCAAATTGGTCTAGACGCAAGAACATGGTCGATCGGACACGGGATATCAAGTTTTGAATCATTCTTTTTTGCTGTCAATAATATGCATACAGCATTTTTGCTGAATTAAAAGAAAAAACCCTCAGCAAAAGGAAAAACCGTCCCAGGGATCCCCTCACACTTGCACCGAGCCTCATGAAACCATTTATGCCTTAGGAGCAGCCGCCTTGGCCTTAGCGAGAGACTTCTGGACCTCGTAACGAGCCTGTATCCGTTAGCATTATTCAACCTTATGGATCCCTCCAAATTGCGTAGACGCATATATGATCCGTCGCAACGCGATTCCATGTCATGTGGAGTATGCAGAACGTACCTGCTTTCTCAGGCGGAGGACCTTGAAGCGCTCAAAGTCGGTCAGGTTCTTCCTCCGGTCGGCACCCTCGGTCTTCTGAGCATAGTTGCTCTTAGCCCACTTGGCGTCGATCTCGTTGTTCGCCCAGAGCTTCTTGACGGGACCAGTACCGGCGGCACGGGGGAGCTTGGGGATGGTGAAGTGGGTGAGGGTAGCGTTGGCAAGGGGAAGGACGTGACGGGGGACGATCTTCTGCTCCTCGCTGGAGGGACCGTCAACCAGGACCTGTCGCGCGAAATCTTGTCAATATAATCCTTTTGTCTCGTCTTCCTCCAAATCCGTATAATCTTCAATCATCCAATCCAATCCAATCCATCCAGATTCGGGTTCAAACGTACACGGCGGTGGTCGACAATCTCAACAATAACGGCGAGCTTGCCGGTGAAGGGACCGCGGCGGATGAGCACCACACGGCCAACCTCAACCAGCTTCCATTGAGCAATCTTCACGTCGATATCGGCCATGGCGAAGGGCTTCCTATAACGCACAACGCAAAGTCTCAGCGGATGTTCAGAAACAGCGTAACAGCGTAACAGCGTAACGAGCGTAAAAAGCGGAAAATCTCTGTTCACTGAATATAGCAGAAAAGAACTCACGGTCGACTAACTCCAAGGGCGGTCGTGTAAAAGGTGTTGTCGAAGAGTCGGGGTTGTCGAAGTCGTCCGGAACGCACAAGATTCGCTCGCTGTGGCTGCCGGAATCGCGAATTTCGCTGCCACGCCCGGTTGCCCACAGAGCCTCGCTTACTGGCCACTCAGAGGACGATGCTTGGGGCTGCCGTGCGGCCTAGGGCTGGTGGGCGCCTTGGCGTGGGTGTTGTTTTTCCGTTCCGGCGGTGCTTTTTAAGCCGCATTAAATTTTTCTCAGCTGTCTCTGCAGCTCTTTTGTATTGACAGCTCCAAGCTCAGCTCCAGAACTTATGTGTTCTGTTGATCATATTTTGCTACTACTAATATCAAGCCCTACACTCACCATCAACTAATCGGTATGTTCCAACAACACTGTCTTCCTCTCTTCACATGATGCGGTAATTTGCGATTGACCCAGTGTCTGTGAAGCCCTCGCCGGGGCTTCTTATGCAGCGCTGCAGCATGATATTCATTTCTTACATATTCTGATGCCCTTCTTCTGCCTTGTTGCCATACCATATCTGGTAGAGACTGGTGCTGACCATTCCAAGACAGGTTTCCTTTCTTTTCAGCACTCCCCAAGACTTTGATTCGGTACTTTCACTAGGTACGTGATGATAGTTTGTTTGCCAGCACCACTCCGAAGATTAAGACAACAGCACTGCCTAGATAGTATATGACGCTTTCGGGCGATGATAATTGCTTTTACACCAAGATCTCTGAGGACTTTCATTCATTACCTTTTTTTCGTCATTCAGCTTTTTGTTGATTGATGCTGACATTGTTTAAATTCAGGTTTGAGTCCGATTACTTAGCATCCGGTAGTTAGATGAAATTCATTGATCCGTTTTGCATGTCTATTTATCCATCCATTACATCTCGTAAACTTTTTCAACGGAACTGTAGTACGCTTTTGAAAGTTGGCTATATTATGTCCTCATAGCTCCATCTATATCATGCTAAATAAAACAAATCACTGAGCAGGTCCTGCCCGAACATAAATCGGTCCTTCACGACTCAGGACCCACATAAAAACAAACTGGATGATGTACGAGTAGAGGAACAGGAACTGCGTACGGCGGTTGCGCTGCGAGCGCGCAACGGTGTGCATAGATCCGGTGCGCATCGAAGCGTCGCTGGTCGAGTCGGGGAGCAGAACATACTTCAAGGAGCGGAGCTAAGATGTGTAAGTGATTTGTTACAGGACAGTTGCCATGAAATAGCTTACCAGGAAGAAAGCGTTAGCAAGGAATGTATAGATAAACACAACCCAGCCGATCCAACCGCTAGTCCCCTTCCCTGGAGTCAGGATCTCCGCCGTCACCAGTGTCGCAAGAATCCCAACAAATTTGTATCCTGAGTAAGCCACAAGATCCAAAAGCTGCGACTCATTGTTGATGGTCAAAATGTACATGGCCATCTTCAAGACCAGGATCTCAAACAAAATGACCGCAATCGCCGTCGTGGTTGTCGACCCAAGCAATTCTGGATGAAAGTTACCACGGAAGCCCGCCAGCATCGACGTAAGGAGAATGTAGGTGACGAGGGCCATGACGGGGATATACATGTCGGGCGAGTTGAGGTCATCGCGAGGAGGGAGGAACATGGACGAGTATTGCTGCTGGGAGATCTGGCCGTCGGGGCCTGCTGCTGCTGCTGTGAGGCGCGCTTGTTGGCGAGACCATGGCTTATGCCTCCACGGGAAAAGGACAAGAAGGACTTTATTCAGGACGTAGGAGTTGGAAACGTTGAAGTAGTGTTTGAGCGCGGGGATAGAGACGTAGCGATTGAACTGCAGAGCGATTACGTTAATATGTTTGCAATAGTACTTGTCAATGGAAACCTACGTTCTGTTCCATGTACTCTTGCCCAGCCGCCATCGCCGTCTTGCCGACTTGAAATCCCATCTGAGCCGTGGGATCATTGATGAACCCCCCAAACCCTGGGTTATATGTCCCACTGCCGCCCTGCACAGGCGACGGCTGATACGGATTGCCATAGCCTGCCATCTGAGGCTGCTGAGGTGCCGGTGGAGGTGGTGAGCGCATCATGGGCACGGTAGAAACATGCTGCGGTACAGGGTGATGAAGCGGAGGAGACTGTGCTGGCGGCGGCGCGAAAGGCTGGCGATACATTATGTTGTGTAATGAGGAGATAAGGGACGGACGGAAAGAAGAATAGTCGGGTCTGAGAGAATGTTTCCCCGTCGATTGTGTGACTTGGAGCGTTGCAGTATGGTGGTGTAGAGTGGTAGTAAGTAAGTAGTAGTAAGGCGAAGTCCAGAGTGTGTTTATACGTGGCTCAACTTTCCGCCGTCGGGAGAGCTGTCTCTCCGCTGCCTTCGCCGCAAATCTCCACCACGTCACTTCCTTCTGAACTTCTTATTGTTGACAAACTTCTTGCAGTTCAGAATATTTCAATATGTTGGAGGCTTTTGAAATCCTGACAACCTCTGGGGTTGTCTTATGGTCCAGATCTTACGCCCCCATCGGTGCGCATGTCGTGAACGGTCTTATCAACGACGTATTTATCGAGGAAAAGGTTCTCAACCAGGCCCCGACAGCAAACGGTCCTTCCCCTGTGTTCAAGAAAGAGAAATATACCCTGAAATGGAGGAGAGTGAAGGACCTCAACTTAATCTTTGTGGTATGTCCATCTGTCTCTGGTGTCTGCCTATCGCGGCGACTGATCTCCCCAGGCCGTCTACCAATCGCTGCTTCACCTTGGCTGGATCGACAAGCTCCTGGATAACATATCAACTATCTTCATCGATCTCTACAAAGACCAACTGAAAAGCTCGCGCGCGACGGCCATCGAGTACAAGTTCGATAGGTATTTCAACCAACAAGTCCAGGAGCTGGAGGACAATACGGCATCTGCACCTGTCGAAGTTTCCGTCGCAGACGGAGAGGACAAGAAGGATCCGTTTGTTTCGTCTGATAATGGAGGACCACCACCACCGCCAGTACCTGGCCTTCTGAAAGCGCAGCAACAAGCTGCGCCGGGCGTGGCGACCTCTGATGAGGATACGCCACCCCCGTCTCGGGATACTTCTAGATCACCAACGCCTGCGAGCCGTATAATCACCGCGAAGGGAGGCCCAGCTGGCCGTGTCTCTCGCCGCGCGCGCAAGGCTGCCAGCGCCAACACTTCGTCCGGCGATGAGAAAGTTCGAAAAGGAAAGGGCTCCAAGGGCGAAAAGAAGAAGCGCAGATGGGATGCGGATGGGCTTGCTGATGAGGACGACGGCGAGGTCTTGGATTACTCCGTACCTGCTGATGGCGAAGATGCGCCAACGGCAGCCGTGGATGGGGTTTCTCAAGATTCGATGGGCCGCAGGACCGGTAAAGGCCAATTTGTGCTGAAGGATCTGGGCGAGGAAGTTCATTCAATCCTTGACAATGCGGGTACTGAGGATTCCAAGTCGAATCAGTCTTCTGGCTTTGTTGGATCTGGTTTCAGCGCAATTGGCAACATGCTGCGCAATGTTGTGGGTGGAAAGGTTCTCACCGAAGCCGACTTGGAGAAACCTCTCAAGACGATGGAAGATCATCTTTTGAAGAAGAATGTTGCACGTGAGGCAGCAGTGCGTTTGTGTGAAGGAGTCCAACGGGAGCTTGTCGGAAAGAAGACGGGCAGTTTCCAAAGTGTCGATGCTGCGCTGCATCAGGCCATGGAATCCTCTCTGCGCAAAATTCTCACTCCTACCTCTTCTTTGGACATGCTGCGTGAGATCGATGCTGTCACCTCGCCGACCAGCAAGGGGCAAACACCTCGTCCGTATGTCATCTCGATCGTGGGTGTTAACGGAGTCGGCAAATCGACCAACCTGGGCAAAATTTGCTACTTTTTGCTCCAAAACAACTACCGTGTGCTCATCGCGGCATGCGATACTTTCCGTTCCGGTGCCGTTGAGCAACTCCGAGTCCATGCACGGAATCTGAAAGAGCTCAGTGCTCGCGAGAACGTCGGAGAAGTCGAACTCTACGAAAAGGGCTACGGCAAAGACGCCGCCAATGTCGCCAAGGACGCAGTCGAGTATGGTGCCGTCAACAAGTTCGACGTGGTCCTAATTGACACCGCTGGTCGCCGCCACAATGACCAACGCCTGATGTCGTCGCTGGAGAAGTTCGCCAAATTCGCCAATCCCAACAAAATTTTTATGGTTGGCGAGGCTCTGGTTGGTACGGACAGTGTCATGCAGGCGCGCAACTTCAATCAGGCGTTTGGTACTGGTCGGAATTTGGATGGTTTCATCATAAGTAAATGTGATACGGTTGGTGATATGGTTGGGACGCTCGTGAGCATGGTCCATGCCACTGGTATCCCTATTGTGTTCCTAGGTGTTGGGCAGCATTATGGGGATATCAGAGGGCTGAGTGTGCCGTGGGCAGTCAATTTGTTGATGAAGTGAGCGTTCACGATAGATTATAGACATAGCATTCTCTTGATTACTTGGATAAACCTATAGCCTTTTAAATACACAATGACATTAAAAGAGAAAAATAATACAAAAAAAAGATAAAACAAAAAAATGACCGACGCAGGGGTCGAACCTGCAATCTCTTGATTCGTAGTCAAGCGCCTTACCATTGGGCCAGCCGGCCTTGTTGAAAGGAGTTCAATGTAAGTTGAACTATAACTCAAAACAACGCATAACCTCAAACTCATATGCCAGCGATCTCCCACTCTTGCAGCCTCTAATTCGCAGAAGAAACAGGCCCAGATCGCAACGAATCTGCAACGAACATTCTCTTGCATGAACAATTATTAATGGCGCATTCTTCACTGGACAACTAATCGACTAGTCCAGATCAGGAATCCTCCATTCCGCTTACATCACCCGCCGGTCTTAGCTCATTCTCCCTCGATTGCCGCTTGATTTCGGTTACGCTCTTGCTGCAGTGACTGTGCTTTTTTGTCAGTCTCATTTTGGGATATCTCTCATGGTGACTGCTGTATTTGTGGCCTGATATCCCATAACCAATCCGCGCGACGACCCCTGCCACGGGCAATTGGTGACCATTGTTGAATAGCGTCCGGGGTGCTGAGGCGGTTATACCGGTTCTCTGAAGCGCTGGAAAGGATACAACAAACGACCTAAAATGAGGTCGAATGAGCGAAACCCCCTCCAGCGACGACGGTCGTCAACACAGCACTACCAGACCTTCGACACGCCGCCACCGAAATCACGCGGAGGAGGACCAACATCCGAACAATCCAACGCCTCGGTCGATGGCCCGCGACACAACAACCATGAAGGATCCAGCTCCCACCATTCGGGCCCAGAGTCCCCACTCCCGAAGAAACAAATGGCCATGTTAGCGGTGATCGCGTTGTGCGAACAGACGGCATTCAACTCGATCAGTCCCTACCTCCCCGACATGGTGCTTTCGTTCCCCGAAGTGGAATTGAATTCTGTGGGTGTATACGTGGGAACGCTGGCCTCTGCTTTTGCGCTGGCGCAGTTCGTGACTAATTACTTCTGGGGATGGTTATCTGATCGCGTGGGGCGGAAGCCGGTGATTTTGCTGGGTACTATCCTGACAGCGGTGTCTTTTCTTGCATTCGGGCTGTGCAGGACGTTATGGCAGGCGATTCTTGTGCAGGCGGTGATGGGTGCCGTCAATGGTAATCAGGGCTTGGTGTCGACCTGCCTAGGTGAGATTACTGACCGGAGTAACCAGTCAAAGGCGTTCACCTATCTTCCAGTTATTTATGGTATTGGCGGTGTCACGGGTCCTCTTCTAGGTGGTTTGTTGATTTTCGAGCGCAACCCGTTGAATAATAGCGAACCGAACCCGTTTCCATACCTCATGCCGAATTTGATCTCTGCGGTTGTGTTGTTAGTGGATTTTATTCTGTCAATATTCTTCCTGGAAGAAAGTCTTGAAGATGCAGATGCGTTTCCTAAGTTTCAACGCAAGGTTCGCGCACTGTTCACGTGGATATGGCAATACACGAGCTTCGCTAAACGCGCGAGATACGTCGAGCCTCCACACTATCACCAAGTCCGGAATGAAAGCCAGGACCATGATAGCGAGCTTGACTCGGCGTCTGAAGCGCCAGATGATGAAGATAATCAGCATGAGCTTATGCCGTCAGAGCTTTGGAACCGGGATATTATCCTACTTCTTGTGTCGTATCTAATCTTCGCATTGTGCAACATCTCGTTCAATTCGCTCTTCCCAGTCTTTGCACAAGCCAAGCCGCCACTGGGCCGTGGACTTACGCCATCAGAGATTGGTCTTTCGCAGGGATTTTCTGGCTTGGTGACCATCCTATTCCAACTCTGCGTTTTTGGAAAACTGCGGGACAAGATGGGTAATCGGTCGTCCTATCGAGCGTCGCTTTTTGGATTCGCTCTTTCGTTCCTCTTTTTGCCGTTTGTTGGGTATAAGGGCGATGATCCGAACGGTCACCTGTCGCAGAAGTCCGTCTGGGTTGCGATTGAATTTTGCTTTGTCCTGCTGATCAAGACCGTCGCTGCTGTTGGCGGCATCACCAGTTCCCTTTTATTGGTATGCTCCTTGCAATAGAACCTAGTGGCTTGCGATGCTAACAACCCCAGATCACCAACTCCGCACCCAACCACGCCGTCCTCGGTGCATTGAACGGCCTAGCCCAAACTCTCTCCGCCGCCGGCCGAGCCGCCGGCCCATTCATTTCCGGCGGATTATTCTCCCTCGGCTCCAAGATCATGCCCACAGGAGTGTATATGACCTTTGGCGTGTTCGCTGCCGTGTCGTTTCTGGGATTTGTCCTGAGTTTCGGTGTCCGGGGCCGCTCTCTCGAGGCGGAGGGGTGGCATAGTGATAGCGATGATAATTATAAGTCGGATGATGAGGAGGGTGATGCATAGCTTGATGCGTTGCTTGGTATGAATTTGTATACATGAGTTACGATATTTCTTTTGTTTATCTTGATCTTGGGTTGGGTTTTTAGATGTGGGTTTACACACGCATTTTGTATAGTTAATCGTGATGTATAAAAGTAGATTCCGTCCAGACAACTAAGACTAGGTTATATGACCTATTGAATTCCAAATACCCTTCTTAGCGAATGACAACTATGTAGCAAAAGTGAATAGACGACTTTCTCTCCCTCCTTTCAACGTCACTTCGAAGACCGACTAATCCGACATCCAAGCTATTCCAATTAAAGCAAGTCTAATATCATGGCTCCTTACGGATCGCACTACCAAAAAAAATCTATTACCTTTCCAAGCACTCATATCGTCATTATAAACCGAGACGAAAGCCTGGTTCCTGAAGTCCTGCGACGCACGCCACAAATATTCCATACTATACTCATCAACACAAAACCGCCGAGCCTCAAAGAACCTATAAACAGTCTGCTGCAGTCAGACGCATAGGGTAGCCTGCATAGCCACCCTTATCATGTTGGCTGGGAACGTAATCCGGATCAACAGCCCAAAACCACTTATCATCCACCCAGGCTTCACCATTCAAAACCAGTGCTCTACACAGTCCAGTTAACTGAACCTTGATTTCAGCCTAGTTCAGCCAGTTCAGTTCAGTTTAGAGAATCTCTATGAACTGCAGTTCAGTCCCATTAGTTGAACTGAACTGCAGTCTCTGAAGTCTGACTTCGCAGTTCTAGAATCTATATCATAATCTCCATCCAGGTCGTCCGACTATGTCAGATTGAGTTCCACAGACGGGGACATGGGCTCCATTGAAAGATGATAGATCAAATTTACGTAGATAAAGGATATCTTGGACCCTTGAGCCCTTTTCCTTCCTCAGATTACCCTTCATGTACGCGCCCAATTGAACTAGAAACCCTGCGAATTCGAAGCATCACTCAACCCGTGTTCTTTTTTTTTTTTTTTTTTGCCACAGTTCTAATGCCCTATTCATCTACTCTTCAAGATTCTTCTGTTGCCTCAGTTGAGTCATCACCACTGCTGTTGCGCGCCAACTCTGTCGCACCTTCAACTGATGATAATGCACCAAAGGCTGCCTCTGTTGCAACTTCCGTTGATAACCTCCCTCGCATACGCCTAGGAGGGAAAGACTATGTTAAGATATCACTCTTAGATGGTCGATTTCCTCGCCGTTCCTGGATCTGGCATCATGGATACGGCGTATTGGATTATGACACAAGCAAGAATATCTCCTGGGTCTGTCAGCACTGCGAGAATAAGAAAATCACTACAGTATATGTTGCTGGATCCACAAGCCCTGCAGCGTCCCATGTAGCTAAAGAACATCATCTTTATGACCTTAAGCAACGCCTAGAAAGCGACGCTGCTTCTGAGAACCATTCTTCATCCATCCACTTCTCTGGGTCCCTTGGTCGGCAGTGGATCAGATATTCTCAGGCGCAAAGAAGGTCAAAACTTGGCATCCTCGTGAGATTGTGATACAATTCCAAAATGCTCTTGTCAAATGGATTGCTGTTTATCAGGTTGCCTTGATTGCTATTGAAAATCAGGCTTTTCGTGAACTCCTAGACATCCCTTCAAAGTCTCTCTCTGAAATCCTACCCGAAAGCGGGAATACCGTGCAGAGATGGATAGTGGACTTGTATGAGACACGCAAGGCTCAAATTATCAGTGACCTACAAACCGACGCTGCCAGTCTTATCCATGTATAATTTGACCTTTGGACCTCACCATTCAATGGCTATGATGGCTGTTGTCTGCCATTATATTGACCAATCTGATAAGAGCCGCACAAGGCTTATTGCGCTCCGGCGTCTTCGCGGCAGTCACTTGGGAGAGAATATGAGCAAACTCCTAGTAGAAGTCATCCAAGAATTCGGCTTTGATGATCGCCTGGGCTACTTCGTTGCGGATAATGCTGAGTCAAATGACATAGCATTCAATTGCATCCTCAGGATTTGACTACCAAATCTATCATCTGATCAACTCTCTTATCATCGTCTCCGCTGCTAGGGCCACGTCCTGAACGTCTGCGCTAATGCTTACCTTTGGGGTCACGAAGCCGAATCTTTTGAGACTGAGATACTTATTAATAGTACTCTTGCAAGAGAACAGGCGGAGCTTCTTTCCTGGCGGAAACAAGGTCCTGTTGGAAAGTTACATAACCTTGTTGTCTTTATCAGACGGAGTCCGCAGCGGCGTGAGACATGGCAAGAATTAAAGTCAGCTGGCGAACCAGACCTCCAACTCATTCAGGATAACTCAACACGTTGGAATTCAGTCTATTTGATGATTCAACAGGCACTCGCAATGAAATACCGCATTCTCCTCTTCATGATTCGTAATGAGGAGGAAAAAGACGCCAAAAAAACAACCGGCTGATGAGGATGAATTGACTTTCGAGGATTGGAGAATTATCAGTGAGACCAGTGCAATTTTAGCGCCTTTCTACGATCAGACTAAGCGCTTACAATCCCGTGCTGTTAATGAGACCCATGGTTCTATTTGGGAATCTTCTCCGTCCATGGAATACCTTCTTTTCCATATAATTTGCACCAAAGAAGCCGTTGAAGTCGACTATGCAGTTCCTGAAAAGAGTTCTGACGATAGATCTACTGCACGATCCCGCCATCATATTAAAACCTCGCTGGACAACTGCCATGGGAAGCTTGATTCTTATTAACAATTACTTGACATGACACCTATCTATTCGGCATCTGTTGTGCTTAATTCGGGCGTAAAATGGCGCTTTTTTGAACGCCAATGGAACGAGCCTCACAAGCGCTTGTGGCTGACAGAAGCCAAGAAATTCATGAAGAAGTTTTGGGAGATGTCCTATAAAGATCAGACTGGCGAAACCCCTGATAATAATGGACAAGATATTCAAGCAGGTATTGAGAATCCCTGACGCCGTGAACCTGACGCGTTGGATCGAATTCTCAATCCGTCGGACTTTTACAATGGCCCTGCTTCTCGGGCACCGGAATGCTGTGAAAGAGGATATTGTTGAGACTTGTACTGTATTACGATATTACTATAAGGAGGACGGGATTGAGGAGGGCTGATACCATCACCATTCATAGACTTCCTATTACCAGATTAAGTTCAGTTCAGTCAGTTCAGTTCAGTTTTGACTGCTGAATTGAACTGACTGAACTGTGTAGAGCACTGTTCAAAACAGAACTCATAGTCTCCATCGATGTACAAGAAGACATTCCTCTGGATGCCCTCGAAAAGGCCATTGGTCTTGCAACCTTCATATAGAGATAACCCATGAATTGTGTCCGCAGGCAGAGCGCGAACTTTTCTTGAAGTGGTTGCGGACGATATCTAGTTGTGCACCCGTGCTCTTGCACAAATCTGCAACGCGTGGCCAGTCCAGGGACTGCAGTGTCCAGCAGAACTAGAATGCCATGGGCATGTCAAGTTCAGGCCACGTTATATACAGGATGTCACTCAAAATGTTTTCAAACTGGGCCTTTCGATGCGCGATATCAGCATGCCAACACACTGCGTAGCCCCAGGGTCTTCTTGGTTCGCCGCCCTTCTCTTCGTTCCATAACTTATGGATCCAGGAGTGTGCTCGCGCAAGCTTCTTCTGGCATCTTACTTCTTCCGGATTGCCCTAATTAACTCTGATGAAAAACTGAAGGTTGAGTGTTGCCAAATTTTAAAATCTAGATTCTTACCACAAACCCTTTGAAAGGTTCGTGCACAGTCAAATAAGCAGTTCACCAGTGTCGCTGTCACCACTACTCTTTCTAACACCACGGCCGTCTTCAGGCATACACAGGCCATCATCCAAAGTCCAAGTTGAGATAACGTGCAATCAGGTGAACTACAGAATTTGACCTAGATCACAACGGCAAAAAACTGACTGATCGATAGAAAAAAGCTAAACCATATTAGAGAATTCAACATTATTATCCTCAAGTCATTTTTTCAGACAACCAATTCATACTAGTCTATCATCTTATGCTCACCATTGAAGATGGAACCCGGGGGTAACCCGCCAAGCACATCACCTCTAGGGTGGTATGAGACAACAGCTGATAGTGACGGTTGTCTAAGAAAACTCGCAGATATTATAAGATGAGCCCGCGGACTGATTTATCAAGTAAATGGAAAGATGGCACAGAAGGATAGTGCGGAGAATTGTGCAATCCAATCAATGACAGAGAAAAATATTCTACAAAAAGCGAGATACCAAGCGAGTTTCAGATTCGAACGAGACGGGGAGACTACTAATACATGGGCGTGCCATACAGCATCATGCCCTAGACGAGGATACCATATCTGCAACAAAAAGGTCCAACACTTCACGCATGCTGTAAGTGGAAACCTCAGTTCCTTCCACCAATCGCTTGTGAATTATGCAACACAAAATTTCAACTTCTGCGCAACAAATCTATTATTTGTCCAGAAAGGCGAGCTCCTACAGAGGTCAAATGACAGAAACCCCCCTCACTAACCGGCTCAGCCCTATCAGTGGCCAACGCCTACAACAACCTGAAAGCCTCACACAGGAGTGAGTTGGTTTTCAAATGGCCTACAGCAGATAGTATACGACTACGAGGACGAGGAATTACAAGATTTTGCAACCGCGTTTCAATGTCAATGGAACTGCCCGACATTCTCAGATCCCCTAGATGGAATGTAGAGCTCGACTGGAGTTTGTAAGAGGAGACTGACCATATGGTCTTTTGCCGCCCACGTCTATATTATTTCGTGAATGTATTTGGTGTAAACACCTTAATGGCATTTGCCCAGATGTTATGGAGATTCAATGACCTCTTAATATCTCGCAGGTGGTATCGGACGGTTACCGGCTTATCTTATGTCGAGCTCTATCCCCCTCTATGGCCCACGATATGACCAGAGTATCCGAATGCCCTTACACGGCTAGTATTATCGGGGCTGATGTTTAAAAACGTATGATTCGTAACATGAAGCTTGTGTGCTTTGAAATCAGCCATGCTTATACAAAGGCATCCGCTCCATTGAGTGCTCATATCTCTCGCGGAAAAAGCTAATCGACACGAGTTTACTTCTCTGCGTGACTGTCACTACTTTACTACTGTTGTCAACATCATCTGCCAATGCCCATGTCATAGTCATATCATGTCATTTCTTCGGCCTCAGAGAACGACTGTCAATTATTGTATCTGTATTTATACTCGTCATCATGCAACAAGTAATCGAAACAAAACTAGCTAAACCCATTGATAAACCAAACCAAACAAAACAAAACACCGACCAAAACCAAACCAATCCCATATCCATGCGTACGATAATGTAAACCTCGAAACAAGCAACCATATAATAGCCTTAAAGCCCAAATCGTAACCTCATAACCACTAGAACCGACTAAGCCGGCTTCTTCTCCTCAACCCTAACCTGCCTCCTCCACGGAATATCCCTCCTAAGCAACATCCTCAACTCCGGCGAAATAACTTTCGTCTCTGCATCCTCATCATCTCCCGGTTCGGTACTAGCACTAGCGCCAGCACTAACGCCGGTACTTGATCCCTCTGGAGCTCTTGATTTGCCTTTATCCGTTGGCGAGGGTTTTCGGCGGTGCGTGATTGGGGCGGAGGGGAAGTTGTTCTTTTTGTCGATTGCTTGGACTGTGCGCTCGAAGCGGCGGAAGAGGGATTCGGCGCGGGTGAGGAGGGGGATTAGTTCCATTGAGTTGGAGAGTTCGTTTACTGTCCTATGTTAATGTCGTCTTTTAACTCAAGGTACAGGAGGGAGAGGGAGCGTACTGTATTTAAGAACCTCATCAAAATGCTTCAAATGGTCCATGATGACATCACGATGTTTTTCGAGAATGGCCAAGGCGAAGAATAGATGGAAGCTGCTGGAGAGATAGTCCGTCCAGAGGGATTCCCAGAGACGTAGGACGTCTGTCCATTCAAATTCGCGCTTGTACCATACGATCAACATGCGGAAGAAGAAGAAAAAGTTGGTGCTGTCGGCGGATTGGAGATGAAGGTAGAGTTGAGGGTCCATCAGCTGGACGAGGTGGTCGATGGTGAGGAGTTGAGTGCGCATTCCGGACTGGTCGCGGAGGAAATTGTGTTCCTGCTGTTGTCAGCCGAGTTTAATGAGTGATTGGTAAAGGGTGGGGGGCTACCATTCTGTCCATAAACCCAACGAATGCCCAGAAAGCGACGGCGTCGTCTTGCATGACAGCGTAAAGAGGGGCGAGGAGGTCGCTCATTCCCTGAACATAGCCCAGATCCGGGTTGTATTCGTTGTAGGTCAGGAGCATGTCTTTCATCTGTTCCATGTGGACATTCGTGCCTGTATCTGCGAATGGAGAGTCGGGATCTGGATGGGGAATGTCTTCTCCTGCAAAAAGCGGAATCGTGCGGTCTGTCCGGTGAACATCTTTTTCTGCGTGGTGTTAGTACAGTGTTATTAACAAGCTCGTACGGCGCCTACCAATCCGGTTCCTCTGCTCTTTCCAGTGATCAAACTCCTCAGCCGTCGAAGTTCCTTCGATCATTCTCTCCCACCAGGCACCTTTCAGACGAATATACTCATCTCGTTTCGAGTTCATCAGCGCCTGACGCTCATCATAGCTGCTGTCCCACGGATACACTCCCAGAAGGAAAAGCCATGCATCCTTTCGAACACCGTCGTTTGGATCCAAACCTCCATGGAAAATTCTCTCCGTGACCTCATCAACCGTCACCTGCAGCCGTCCGGATATATCGAAGAATCCCTTCCACTCCTCTAGGGTCACGATTTTGCGTCGTTCGTGGATGCCCATCGTCCCAGTCTCCATTTCGAGAATCTCAAACTCTCCCACAGAGCTATCCTCCATCTCAAGCACGTCCTTTGCAGTCCATATCCGCTGACTCCGCTCCCTCTCGCTCTGCTCCGCAAGACTCATCGCCCAACGCGCCAGGTATATCCGCGCACTATCGAACTCATCCTGCAGCGTCTGAACCTGAGGATTCTTCATAAGACGACGAATCTGTGGCGGAATGCGAGGATTTTCAGCGATATCGTTAGCAGTCCGTTTCGTAAACGTAGTAATCTTGCTCAACTGCTCAAGCACCTTCCACCTCGTCTCCTTGAGCGTCTTCATGAACGGATCCATCCCGCCCTGATTCTCTTGTTCTGCATTTTCGTCCCTCATCACCGGGCTTCCGAACGAGACCAAATCCTCATCCGACGGGTTGATCAGATACGCATTTTTCTCGACCTCCGAGCGCTGCACGTTGACGTAGTTCCGGAGCCATTTAAGCACTTCATCGCCGCCCCAGAACATGTTTCCATCGTCGCTGAACGGATCAAACGTCTCTTTGGTCCTCTTTTTCTTCTGTAGAATTGTCGACTCGCACTCGCTGTCGTGGAAAAAGAGCGCGGGGAAGCTATCGCCGAGACGGGTGTTGATCACTAAACTACCAAACCACCATCCTAGACTGGGCGGGCGCACGAGCAGCGAATATATCTCCGATAACGGGACCGCGAACGCATATAAACCGACGGGATCTTTGAGCGTCGTCGTCGTCGGCAGGGGAGGCACTAGGTATCTCTGTCGCGGCGATGACGATTCATCGGATAAATCGACTTTCACGTAGGTGTTGTATGCATCGCCAAGGGAAGATTCAGGGACCCAAGCGAGAAGGTAGGACGAAGGATCAGAACGTTTCGACGAGCTGGCGGGCTCTGGGCGATGGGCGGGTTTTTGCTGGATGAGCGCGATAAAACCGGGGATGTTATCTTTGGCGGAGGGGGACGGATGGACGTAGACCTGTGCTGTCAGTATAACCTAAGGACATCAGGGATAAGAAAACGAACCTTGCTCTTGGAGAATAGAAGTTTGACGCCTCTCCCCGATGCCGAATGGGCGATGGTGTTGTATTCGTCCTCCTCGTCGTCGCTGACGTCGTAGAACGAGGCCGTGGGCGACGGCGGCGATGGAGGAGGTGTGTATTGTACTCGTGAACTTGACATTTTATTCCATAGGGATGGTATTCATGTTTTCTAGATGAGTTGAAGATGGATGTTCGGTGATGAAGTGTCGGAGGAATGTCACGACGTCAGAGCGGGGAGTGTACTCCGGAGAACTTGGGCAGAGCAGTACAAGGACTATACGGAGTATCTTTATGGCTCTTTCTCAACGCCACTTTCGTGACCTAATCTATATTAGGTTTAGTCCATTATTGGGATATCTTACGATAGGTATTTGAATGTAAGTATACGAAGTTTCTGTGAGTTAGATGCTGTTTTGTAAATACCAGATGTTTATACTAGTATTTTGTTGTCAACCGCCAATCTTTATGGCTCTATGTAGACATTCTGGACGCATGATTTAAACGGAGACGAGGGAAAATAACTGGTACTATAAACAGTTTATCCACTAGCACTGCTAACCTGTGTGACATGTATGGTCAGATGTAAGCCTTGACCTTGCGACGCGGGTGAAGTTTTTCTGGAAGCTAGAATAAGGGGATGGTCTCCAAAAGAGAGTTTTGCAGCTTATTGTGTCTGCGTATGAAATGATTTGATATGCACTTCACGGGGCAACTGAGCAATCACCAAAGGTGCTCTATACTCCGCTGTAATTTCCTGCAGGTGCTGCGGACGTTCTATTTGAGTGGGCACTGTCCCGGGCTTGATAACTAGTAGATAAAACGAATAATACTCATCTAGACTAATCAGCCTATTGATGAGAATATCGGTTCCGGGGAAGAAGGAGAAGAAAAGAAACTATTTGACAAACCAATGGAAAACTATCTATTCATCGTGCGATCATATGTTGAAGGGCTAGGGCTCGTCATTTGCTCCTAGTGCCCCATCGGCAGTTGCTCATCAGCCGTTGATATTTTGTGTTGACCGTTAGCTGTCATAGGTACTGCAGCAGCAGTTCATTTGGAAATGAATTCTGCACGCCCTTCCAGTCATTAAGAGCACGGCAAGAGGATATGGTATGTGGGTGATTAGGGCCCAATTTTCTGTTGTACAGCCCAGAACAATTTTCCATTAGAGCCAAGGCACCTTGATGCTTGCCTCGGGACTTCCAGGTGTAGGCAAGGTTGTGCATGCTAATCAGAGTTGAGGGATGTTCATCCCCTAGCATTGTCTTCCTTGCCTACATTACTTGCATTTGCAGCATCTCAACCTCTGCAAGTTTCACATCATGAAGTCCGAGTATCTGTGCGATATTCAGGTACGCCTGCTCAACCATCTCATAACTCGTGCATGGGAGCCAGAACACCGAGGACTCCCGATCTCGGTCTCGTATGCGGTAAGCTAGCTCCAAAACCACCTGGGTCTTCCCAGCCCCCCCTAAACCCGTAACTGCGACCTTTTCTGCCCCCTTGTGCACTGTAATTGATTGTTCTAATTTCTTGATTACATCTTGCCGACCAACAAATCGTGGATTCCTTGCCAGTGGGACCATCCAGTGATAGACTCTATTGTTGTTCTTCTTCGAGCGCTCATCTGTACGGGAAACAGGCACGACTGACAACAGCAATTTTGTATAGGCAGCTGCAGTCAAAGCCGCATAGCCCTGCCACTCGTTGTGCTTGTGAGTGTCACAATAGTCATATCCCTCGGACCACAAGTGTCGGGAGCACATCCATAAGGTCTGCGGCCTCCATCTCAAAGCAGATGATCCATGCTGCTGAGCTAAAAGGTCTCTTGTTTTAGAGTCCTTCATAACCTGGTCTCCCGAAGCAATCAACCCATAGTGGATATGAGGTGTCCTGGTATCGCGCGGATGGTGATAGACTAATTGCTCTTTATCACAATTTTCGCAACTGCCTTTGTTGTCACCATGGGGATAGGTGGAACGAAATAAACAATCCGTCTGCTGACTTGGGGGAGAGAATCGGTTCTTCATGCCAGAATTCTGTTCAAGCACTTACTTTACTATCTTGGAAATGATATCCTCTTTTCTTATCATTTGAATTGCCTCAAGATGGGCCATATGCCTCAGAAGAGTCTGCGGTGGTGTGGTTTGTTTAAGATGCCTGTCGGCTCGAATTGTCCCCCTTGGACTACCTTGCCGTAACCATATTGGACCACCTCACTATACTTTCCAACCGGCTTGCTGGCCACCACATCACCCAATCGAATGCCATTGCTTGTGCTCGGAACCCCTCCCCCAATTCCCACCATCAGTCCAAATTGAATTCGGGGGAAGGTTGAAACCAGGTGAGATATAACGGTCGCAGCAGATACGGTTCCATATGTGCCAGTTGGTAGGCAAGCAATGACTATATAATGGCCGTTCAATTCACCGAGTACGTAGGCGTTCGGATCAGTAGAGGGTCTAGGCAGGGGATTTGGAGTTTGTCCACCACGACACTTGCCGCCGCCATCCCCAACGGCAAGGCACAGATCCACGCGATTGTGTAGTCATCGTGTGCCAAAGCCATCATGGTCAATATCAGGGATCAGTCAGGATCAGTCAGGCACAAATTGTCCAGAAAAAACGAGATGCCTAGATGTAGAGGATTTGTGATTGGTTGTGAGAGCATGAAAAAGAGAATCCATCAGGTTGGGAAGTGAGGAGGGGTATTCCAGCTATGTGTTCCTCCTACAAGGTGTGAATGCTCAACACCTAAACGCCGCGTTAGTGGCTGATATCAACAAACGCCGCCCAAGCAAGCAAACAAAGAAAGCACTCAGCGCGGCCACACAACCCATAGATAAAACCACTTTTGCCTGTAAATATATTTCCTCTTCTCATCTTTCCCGGATTCGATGTTCTTGTCGATGGCTACACTAGTTTAGATAGGAAGATCATTTCTTTAGTATCTACAAACTAGTCCGAGCCCGTGACATGATATCGAATCTCACCTTCCTTTATCTTTTCACACGCCTAATTTATTGCTTCGATCCTGCGATCGTGGAGATATAGTAGCGTGTCCCCCACACCGACTGAATTAATCAGATTGATGCCGACCGACCGACCGATATGAGGATCCTGGCCAGTATGGCTCGACCGAACAACACCGTTGCCCCTCTTGGGGCCAACCGAGACGAAGCAAATGACGATACCGACCGAGAGAACCGCCGATTATATATTTTCATTGATGGAGACAAGGACGAAGAACAACGCATGGTGACTTTAGAGGAGTTCCTGCAATTTGTCGCTGAGAAGCCTGAGTGGTTGTATGAGAAGCTCTGTTCGGTCCACCAACAATATGAAAAGCGCCTAAATGACCGTGAAGCCCAGTTTGCTGAAGAAAAACTCCGTGGCAAAGCCAAGGATGGAGAGATTGCACGGTTGCACCGTGAAATGGGTGAGCTGAAGGGACAACTCCAGAGCCAGACTGATAACAATGATAATGAGGACATGAATGGACTGCATCAGCCGGTTGATGATGTCAAGCAGCAGCTCGCTGAGGTGAGGGCTGAGCGTAATGTCTATGCCAACCAGATTGTGAGGACGACTATGCAGTTTTCCAGCATCAGTGATCAGGAATCTACACTGGCAGTCCCCAGCAACCGAGAGACCACCAAAATTCCCGATCCCCCAATGTTCACGGACGGCAAGGAGCCCCAATTTGAAAATTGGTTGGTCCTGATGTCCCGAAAACTCACTGGAAATGCGGACCACTTTGATACTCCCCAGCTCCGAATGGCGTATGTTGCTAGTCGCTGCAAAGGCAAAGCACGCAAGCACATCACTCTGCGTATGCGAGAGGATTCCAAGAACCCTTACGCTGACTCGAAGGATATACTTGACCACATGAAAATGATCTTTAGCGACCCAGGCCGTGTCATCATTGCAAAGCATCATTTTCGACAGCTGTATATGAAAGTTAGCGACAAATTCCATGATTTCCTCTCCGAGTTCTTGTATCTTGCTGCTGAAGCTGGCATTGCTGAAGATGACTGGAAGGATGAGCTTTATTACAAGCTGACAACTAAGGTTCAGAAGCTGTGCATCTCTGACCACATCAAGGACAGTACCTTTCAAGAGTTCTCTAGCGCCGTGTCCCAGACTGCAAGTCGCCTTGAGGTTATTAATCACCGGAACCAGAAGAATAGATCCTTCAACTTCTCCTTGACCAGCAAGGATACAACCAAGGGAGCCAGTCAGGTGATAGTCAAGAAGGGACTGGCCCCTCCCCGAAGCATTGGTCCAGTGGGGCCTCATACTGGAACCAACCGCGACCAATTGATGAAGGAAGGCAGACGCTTCGACTGTCAGAAATCAGGTCACCTTGCACGCAACTGCACTACTAAGGCAGTATCCTCTGAACTGAAAGAACTCGAGCAGAATGAGGCGTCTAAGATTGATAATTATGCGGAAAAATTCTAGTCCAGGAGAAAGTCTCTGACCTGGGGCTAGATGGTGTCGACTAAAGCGAGTTGGATCCTAGTCAACTGATTGGAGGACAAGGATAAGATGTAAAATAGTCAGATAACTTACAATAGAATCAGAATCCCCTTGAATACCTTGGCCGACACCGGAGCAAATGGTTATCCTTTCATACACACCAAATGCGCGGTAGAATTAGAGAAATTCTAAGGATTCCTACCCACCAACTGAAGATATCAATAGGCACCAAAGGGTACGATGGACGAGCGGAAGCAGCAATTACCCATACCATAGTGTGCCATTTGCTTATTGGTAGACAATGTTTCCTGAAGCAACCCGAGGCCAGAAAACTTAACCATCTTCCGGATGTGATATGGGAACTATAAATACCATGTGGTGCCCTTTGGTCTCACTAATGGACCAGCTGCTTTTCAGCGCTTTATCAACGAGACCCTGATGGGTTAATTGAACGAGTTTGTGACAGCATTTGCGGATGGTCTTCTGGTTTATTCCAAGGATGCAGTTGAGCATGAAATACATGTTAAGAAGGTGCTTGAGCGACTCCGTGCTGCTGGCCTGCAAGCCAGTATCAAGAAGTGTGGATTCCATGTAACAAGGTCTAAATATCTGGGTTCATCTTGACCACTGATGGTATTGGAGTCGACTCAGAGTGGACAGTAGTGATCCGCAACTGGGAGGTACCAACTACAGTCCGAGGCGTGCAGTCTTTCCTGGGGTTCTGCAACTTCTATCGACGATTTATCAAAAACTATAGCCGCATCGCGAAGCCTCTGGATTGACTGACCAAGAAGGATGTCCCCTCCGTATGGACAGAAGGGTGTCAGCAAGCCTTTGAGGAGTTGAATAAACAATTAACAAATGCCCCGATATTGCGACACTACCACCCTAATCCAGAGACAAAGTTAGAGACTGATGTATCAGATGGAGTGGTGGCAGGAGCTCTCTTCCAAAAACATGGAGAACTCAGACATCCAGTTGCTTACTGCTCAAGAGTATATCCGACTCAAAGCGCCTTGGAGTACTTTATGATTACCAAGAAGTTGAATGCTCGGCAAGTCTAACGGGTTGAATTCCTCTCCTGATTCAATTTCCTCGATCAGTACCGACCCGGTTGGGAAACCACTCTTGCCATAGCAATGCAGATGCACTCTATCTCTTCGCATCGCGACGGTAGAGGTAGCTGGTTAGAGCATTGTGGAAGGGTCGGCTCAGCTGGGCGAACACGAGGACATCTTTCTCGGTGTCCAAGAAGTCCGCGATATTCCATGGCAATTCCTCCGGTAAATCTGCTAGAATCATTGAATGTGAACTTCTCGAATTGACGGTATGCGAGCTTTCAAGCCGAATTTCAATTTGCAGGATAGGTAGAGTACCGGTTTTTATAGGTAAACGGCGAAAAGTAAGCGAAAGAAAGAATCTAAAAGTATAAAGCACTTATTTGAGCCAAAATTGTCTGGCACTTTAAAAAATATGAAGAGTATGCTGCGTAGCTGTGGATATATATGTGTTCCTATACAAACTTGATTTTCTAGAGCGACCGTGACTTTCCCCTTCCAGATGCCACTGCTTCTATGAGGGTGCTCAGGGGCTTGCTCAGTGAGTATTTTCTGTCACAGGTCAGTACTCGGTGAGCACTCAGGGCCTAGTAGTTGTATGTGTGTGTATGTCTCTATTTAACATTGAGGGTTGGGTCTTTACATGTAGACTGTCACAACCTGGCTTCCCTCGTATCGTACCTAGGGTTCTAGCTAGTTGCATTTCGAGACAGGACATTTACCCTAAGTGTCTTCCAAGTAATTGTATGCTCAATGACCATCCAGGTCCTCTGTATATCACGTCGAAGGTATCTCGCCCCCTCCAGGCTCCGTAAGGTAATCAACAAGTAGAAACGGTAAAGGTAACATAGAGAAACAAGGCCAACCGAGCACGTATGCTGGGGTCAAAGCAGTGACAGTCAAAAGTGCTATGAAGAAAAGTGGACACAGGTGAAACTCTAGCGCAGTGCGTTTTATTGAGGCTACCTTAGTCAGATCTACGCAGTGAGCAAACAGTGGAGAGGGGTGAGCACCAAAACAGAAAGGGCAAGCCTTCGAGCTGTCTAGAAAATCAAGTATGTATGCAATTTTGCTCTCGGCACTATCCACATCACCGTCAACTTTATATATCTGACACCGCTGTCACCACTACTTAACAGCCAAACTTGCCACATCACTCCTCAAAAAAAAAAAAAAAAAAAAAAAACAAAATAACAAAATGGCCCTCCCTCCAATCGCAAAAGCAACCCTCCAATCCGCCCTCATAAACGCCGGATCAAATGTCCTAGCCCAAGGCATCAAAGCTTATCGAGCTGAGGTATATACTCCCACACAATAACCTACAGCGGGGCAGATCTAACGGAACGGAAAGGTCCCCTTCGAATTGGACATCCAGACATTATTCCAATTCACCACGTGTGCGTTCATCCTCTCGCCCTTGACGTTTTTATGGCTTGAGGGGCTTGAATCATCATTTCCGGGGGAGAAGACCGAGCCCGACCTGAAAGACAAGGGAAACGAAAAGAAAGAAACAAAAACCAAGTTAAACATCCCCAATACCCTCGCCAAAATCGCCATCGATCAAATCATCGGCGGCGCCCTAAGCACAGCCCTCTACATAGTTACCCTCGGCACGCTCCGCGGCCAAAACTACGATGTTATTACCACCCAGCTCCAGAATGTAAGCCGCCCACCTCCCCCCTCTACCGGAATCCCACCCATGACTCGGTCGGTACTTTGTCACCCTAACAAGGAACTAATAAGAATGCAAAGGACTTCTACCCGCTCATGATCGCAGGCTTCAAATTATGGCCGCTAGTCTCGATCCTGAACTTTACCGTTATCCCCGCTGACAAGCGGTTGTTGGTTGGGAGTTTGGTTGGGGTTGTTTGGGCGGTTTATTTGAGTCTTCTGTCCGGGTAGCCTAGCCATTTTCCCCGGGGAATATTGTATTAGGCTTTCGGAAGTGGAATGGACAAGGTATGTGGGCAGTGAGATGTGTTGGTCGGCTGAGCATAGCATGGCATAACTTATGGGGCCAGGACTGGAACTGAGTCTGGGGCGGGGGCCGAAGAGTCAACCTGACGCTTGCATACGTATGAAAATAAGGATGAGGATGGATGAGTAGAGAAGAGCTCTAGATATGCAGGCTTACTTGGATTGGTACGAAGTGCAGATCCTGGTGGGGTGGCGCAGTGAACAGGAATAGAACTCGTCTATGGAGCATGGAGTACAGAATGAGTTGTGGAATGCGATGATTGCAGGCATGATTACTCCGTAATACAGAGTAAATTAAGAAAAGCAGATAATTATGTTTGATTGTTTGGAGAATGCGTGCTAAATATGGAGGATGACCTGAGATAAGATAGCTGTGCTGATAAGGTCTACTCTGTCTCTATTCCTCCTCGTATACACGAAGCCACGAATGAGTCTGTAATATCATGCTGGCCCTCTATAACCAAAGAGCAGTCCGAGCAAAATAGGTAGAGTATCATAGCATACTGTGTTTAATTGTACCATCAATAGACCATAGCCTGTAGAAAGCCAGCGATCGGGGCGATGTCTTCCCGTCCACGGCGCACATAGATCACTTACCCCATCCGGACTGCAAAGCCAACAGATCCACGCAAAAAGAAAAAAAAAAAAAAGGGTCCAAATTCTACATAGAAGCACCTACCAGTTCTTCATACGGCAATAGCATGGCACAAGGCCACAGCCATCGTAGTAAGAACCCGTAGTAAGAGCACCTAAACCGCCCCCATGGGTCCAAACCATGACATGACAGCGACAGAAATCCATTCATCATCCGCCATCCTTCTCATTTCGTCGGTCTCACGTCTACTTGTAAGTATCAAGACTCAGATTCGGCCCCTTGGGGTCGGTTGGCTGTCGAGCCTTGAACACAGCCGTGGTTGTAGTGGTAGCGGTCAGCGGGGTGTTTTATTTGGGAGTTGGCGTTGGCTGATTGTTTTGATGGTTCTTTTCAAGCCTTTTTTATTTGAGTTGGATAGAATAGACCTGAGCTGTTCTCCATCACATCTTCCACTCTGCGTATTGTTGAGTACTGTTGAACACTGGTCTTTGTCGCTAAGAAAAGGTAAAGAGGTACGTTGGACAATGAAGTATTGTCACTTTGGCTGATCTTTTATAAGTAGCATTGTCTTTGTCCTTTGTGAAGTTGAAAGCAGCTTGATAAAGCGTTTTATAGGCGACGGAAGCCCTTTGTCGAGACAACGGAGTTGTTCTGGTGACATGAATAGACGTTTATGATCAACAAAACACTCAACACGCATTGGACCGAGAAAACAAAATGAAGTCCTTCAGCATGGAAGATTCAGATCCAACGCTTTTACCTAAACGACCGATCGTTAATAGGGGTCTCAAACCCGGGCCTCTGACTATTCCGAAGGATCTAGGAGCACCGGTGAAATCGCCAGTCCGGATGATAGCAGACGACGAACGATCCGAGATACAATCATCCGTGTCGCCCATGAGTCGAAGGAACCCGGGATCGCTAGCGAGTATCGCTCACTCGCGCAATACAAGCGTAATCTCTCCGCTTAGCGTGCAACAGCAGAGTCAACAATTCCAGCATCTGTTCGCGGCTCATCTGCAGAACAGACAGAGCGCGCAGAGCACGCAGAGTGGAAAAGAGAAAGGCCACTCGCGACATGAGTCCTGGGAAAGCGACCTGCTAGACGCATATTCGTCCTCCGACGACGACAGCGTCGACCGTGCTTCATCGTGCTATTCCCGACGGTCGTCGCTCACGAGTATGGGATCAGAATATCCGGGGTTCGGATACAAATCGGCAGACGCATTCTCAATCGGGTCACCAGTGGCACTCGGAGTTTTCGACGATACAGCGTCTGTGCTGGGAGAACCAGTGAAGCCTAATGAAGACAAGACGATCGCGGTGGAACATGGTGAAGATCAGAAGAGAGCGAAGAAAACGAAGACGGCGAAGAAACCATCAATGGTGGAGATGAATAAACCACTGCCCCGGGAACCACCTATTCAAATGGCTCCGTTGACAGTGCTCAAAAACCCGAAACCACTCATAACACCCAAAACAACCAAAACACCCACAACACCCATGAGTCGTGCAGAAGGCGAAGTACAGAAACAATGTGACAGAAAATGTGATGAGCAACGCTACGCCACATTGCGCGCAGGGAAGTCTCCCCGAGGGCCCACCTTATCACAGGCGGAGGAAGAGTTGGAAAACGCCTTATTGCAGTACTGCACTAAGCCTGAGAATGCACCTAAAAATGCCGCTAATGCACCTAATACTAGCACCACCACTAAGCAGGCTAAAAAAGCCTGCAGTACTAGCAATCTGACAGCCTCGCGCGGGTCACTGGCTGGTCCGCTGCAGATAAGTAGAGGCGACATGCAGATGATTGCGACTCGTCCTGCTCCTCGTCCTCCCTCCAACATTCTGCCTCACACTATCCTACAACAACTGGAGGAAGAGAAGAAAAAACATCAACACGCCAAAATGCCTTTTCATTTGGCCGTGCCTGGCTTTGGGCGCAAGTTGCATCTTCGTTCCTTTAGCAGTTCCAATATGCGATCGGAGATGGAGTCCGCTGCTCGCAACCGTGGAACGTCTGACGAGACCCAGAATACCGACGACGACAACAGCAACGACAACGACAAAGAATATATCGAGCCCGTTCCAGAACCGCAGAGACCGACTTCTATTTGCAGTGAAAGAGAATTGCGGCTTCAACTGCCTCGCCTGCAGACAAAGAAGATGGAGCCGGTCGGACAATGGGCGGCCTCTGCGACGGCTGCACTAGCAGCAACGAGAACACCACCAACAACGACATCCACAACACCTTCGACTGTCTCTGAACGTACTCCAGATAGTGAGTCGAGTGTCGCCGGAGGTCCCGTCAAGCCCATCGACCACGAATACACCGAAGAGAAGGTGTTTGTCTCGTCTAGTAAGATGCGATGCAGCAACACCTACGCCCCCCCCTACCAACTGGGCAGTCTCCAGGCCCCCGAGTTCATCTATGAACTCGACGGTGGCATGCCATCACCTGTCAGAGTGGGCACCACCAACGTTTCTTACCCGTCATCGCCTCCCTCGATCACAATGCCGAGCTTCATGCCCGACCGGGCCGTGCGGCTGATTATTGAACAGGCGTCGTCGCTGGACGACCTGTTCAGTCTTGCAATGCTAAACCGTCAGTTCTATCGCATCTTTAAACAACACGAGCTCGACATGATCAAAGGCGCCGTCTTCAAGATGTCTGCTCCCGCCTGGGAGCTGCGCGAGATGAGTCCGCCCTGGGCAAGCGAATGGCAGGTCTTCCTAGACCCAGACGCGCAAGTGCCCGACTATACTCCTACCCTCTACCTCCAACGCTATGCGCACGACATCTTCACCCTTGCTCAGCTCAAATCCCTCATCTTGACCCGGTGCAGCAGCTTCCTCCGCCCCGACACCATCCGCGGCCTGGCTGGTGTCGACTCCGAACGGGCCACAGAGATTGATGACGCACTGTGGCGAATTTGGACGTTCTGTCGGATTTTCGGATGCGGAAAGGGTAGAGAGAACGATATCACGGGACAAATGGACTGGTTGAATGGCGGCTCTCAGGCCCGCAATCAGCACACCTCGATAACCTTCTCCATCACTGAGCCGTTTGGAATGAACAATGTCCTGTTCGAACCGCCCGCTGGTTTCGGACAGGGAAACCTTGGTGGTCTATCGAAGGGTCAGATGTATGACATGACAGAGCTCTTCACCTGCTTGAACGTATTGCTTCAGCCAATCCATGGTAAATGTACCGAGGCGCGCAGGGCTGGAGTATACAACGGGTTAGATGTCAAGGTCGGTGATGACAGCAAGGAAGAAAGATACCTAGGTGAGTGCCTCTTATATAAAATCCCCAATCTGACCTGTCAGGAATACGAGCTAACCGAAACAGAGGAATGGACATGTTACGTCCTCACATTAGGCCTCTCGGCTGTTTTAAGCCTCGGATCCATCTGTCCTATTAAAAACCCCACCGCAACGTTCGAGAAAGCCAAATCCATGGGCCTGACCAAATGGGATCTCCTCGACGACGATGTTACCCGCTCCTCGTTCCTCAAGGAAGCTGTCTCGAAATCCTACATGACCTGCGAAGCCGCCGCAGGATCCTCATGCCCGTCCGTGCGGTCGTGCGGTGCCAGCGCCACGTCATCGAGCTCCTCCCTCGTCGACGACCACAGTTTCCGGTCTCGAACCGACTCGAGCTCCTCCGACAATTCTGTTCAGGACCACCGTGTGAGACAAGCGGCATTTGCTGCGGAGCTGCGGAACCAACGCTCGCAACCTCGTATCAACGTTACCCGCACCTCGTTTTCGGATGAACGGCCTATCTCCAGCTACACGGTCGTGATGAAGGGGCTCGAGCAGCAGTCCCGTCCGCCACTACCGCCCATGCCGGCTCGCTTCAACCAGCCCGTCTTTTACATGCAGTCATCTACCCGTCCAGGCTCAGGCTCAGGGCCTGTCCTCGACCCCGTCGACCGCGCGATTGACATGATGGTCCGCGAGCTGGGATTCAATGAGAAAGATGCCAAATGGGCCCTGAAAACCACAGACACGGGTGAGGGCATCGACACGAACGCGGCCGTGGCGTTGCTCATGAGGGAGCGCCAGAACCAAGCAAATAACGCCCAGAGCCAGCGACCGGGTGGTAAGCGGGGATTATTCTCTTCCTCGTTCTCTTCGTCGTCGTCTTCAAAGTCTGGCCAAGGGAGTCTTTTGCCGTCTGTTATCAGTGAGGAGCCTGGGTCGGGATGGCGGTGGGCTTGATTTGCATCCCTTGTTTTCACGTCTACTGTCTCGGAGTTTGTTTTCTTGTTTTGTTTCCGTCATGTTCGATACCCTTATGATTTCTCTTATTGTCTATTGGCACTGGCGTTGGATATGGATATGGATGGATATGGTGTTCTGGTTAAAATCGTCCTTGCTTTCTCTTTTCAGCGATGCATGCATTCTCTCATGGTGTTACGAGCGCACGTCTTTCTTCCCTAGACCGTGTATTATCAGTTAATTCCAAATTATCATCTGTCATATGTCCTGCGTAGTTGCCCAGACGAGACAAGACAAGTATGTAGACAGGTACAGATAAGGTGCAATACAGCTACCTGCAGCGGTTTTTGGCAGGTGCGGTGAGGAATATTGAATAATGACACTCCTGAAGTATGCTATCTTCAATAGTTGCTTCATGTCATATGCTGGGTTTCAGCAGCATACACTACTCCATACACATAGGATAGACAGGTTCGCAAGGATCTACACCGGGTTCTACAAATCCTAACAAAGTACTTGTACGGAGCACGGAGCACTATACTGACAAATCCAGTCCAGCCAGTAGTCCATGATTCATACATGGCAGCCAGACTTCTCGAATAATAGTATATAAAGCATTGTACTATAATCCAATTATTGCCTCGTATGTGATGTATGCCATCATGATCACCACCGTACGGCAACAAAAGGATTGTACTCGCATAGCGTCCGTACAAGTACACATCTGCAGATCTCTCAATCTGACAGATAAATGCAAGGGAGATCTTCGATTTTCTAGCTTTATTCGATCTCTCCTGCCAGGGAGCATATATCACTTGTTCTATCATTTATCAGTTTGGGACAATGAGCGGGTGCGATGCGCCATACGGACGGGGATGGGTGCATCTGATGCATCGCATTCTCTTCTCTTGGACCCCATACATCCCCTCAACCGCCATCTGCACTGCACTCCATACCATATCCTCCATGTATCACTCTGTGCCAACAAGAAAGAATCCATGCGAGGGGTGACCCTCTCACAGAGACAGTAGTCCAGATCCGCCCTCCTTGAAACCCCCCAAGTATGTATGCCAGCTTCATGCAGATTGAAAACGATGCCTCATCCGTCGGTCGTTCGTTTCCTTTCTCGCTGTTGCTTTTGTTTTGCTGCTTAGATTTTTTTGGCATCGTTTTCGTTTTCTTCTTTTTTCTTGTTTGAATAACTGATTGATTGATGCGGTTGTTGTTGTTGTTCACTCACCCATTCATCCCTTCGGTTGACAGACAGACGGACAGGCAGACAAGTGTCAGAATGGATTATTTTGGCATGGGTCAGAGTTCTAGGAGGGTTTCTTTGCAGTAAGTCACTACCCTCTTCCAACCTGTCACCCAATTGGACTCCGGCCGCTGACAAGACCAGAGACACCCGCCTCCAAACATCCACGCAACAAGACTTCGAGAAAGAAATCACCCTCAGCAGCTCCGTGGATGGAACTTCCAACAAAGCCCAAGGACGGACTCGGATTCTTCGCGCGTCGGAGGTGTTATTATCGTTAGCGGGGAGGTCTGTGAATGGTATTTTATATCCATATCTATGTCCAGATTTGATGTGGTGGAGTGCTGAAAAAAGCAGATGTGTTAGACGAAGAGCCGGGGATTGAGAACTTCCAAGAGGCACTGCGCCTTTTTCCGCCATTTCGAGATGATGATGGGTTTATGCTTGGGACGGTGGAGGTGAAGTGTCCGGATTGCGAGGCTGTTTTTTCATCTGCGTATGTCCCTCTGCTGGTTAAGAGAGTGACGGAGCTGATGATTGGACAGTGAAGAGTTGGAGCAGCATTACCTGACGAGGTATTGTCCCGGGAGTGCGGTGGCTGTTTATGTGATGACCAGGGATCGGTATGTCTATCTTGCGGTTGTGGTTATATGGTTGATGCTGATTGAAATAGGTTGATCACAAAAGGATATCGCATGGAAAAACGACTAGTTGCGTTTGACTGTCGACCACTACGCTTCTTCTGCGGAAAGTGTGAGCGGGCTTTTGCTATCGATGAGACGGAGAGGGTGGATAGGTTCAAGAGTGAGTCTTCACCACATGGCACATACAAAGGTATCTGCTGACAAGACAGGAACAACATCTGTGGCATGCAAAAACTGCGGAGAAAAGTGCAATATCTCGTTAGTCTCACCATCCAATCTGCCCAACAAACAGCCTAGCTAACCGATCAGATATGAACCCATCCTCAACGACCCGCGAGACAGCGGCAGTTTCCGAGAAATTTCAATGGACCTGACACCCGCCAGAAGCCCCAGCAGAGCCCCCAGCATCACGCCTAGAAATATCACTTCACGGAGCGTGAGCCGATCCAAGGTTCCGTTGTCGATGACCCCTAGCGGGACTGGAGAACTGTTCTTTTCGAAGAAGGCGAGGAAGATTCGTGATTCGTGGGCTACTAGGAGTATGCTCACCTTGAGCTCCTGACGGTTGTTTGGGCGATTGCTGACGTTGGTAGAGCTGGAGCAGGAGGAGGATGAGCTTGTTGCTATTAGTTTTGCGGGGTTGTATGATCTGGAGAGAGGTGAGACTTGTCCTGGGATTACCTTTGGAGGTGGCTGACAGTTTCAGTCCATGCGCCAAACGGGGTGTTCCAGCCGATGGATGACCATATTGGTGGTCCGTTGGGTGGTATGACTATGAGTGGTATGCTCCCCCTTCATGACAGGTTGTGCAGAAATCAAACTAAAACGCATGCAGCACCTGACGGTGTACCGCCCATCGACAAAAAGCATTTGACTCTTTGCGAGGAGCAGGACTCTCGCAGAGACATGTCTGTCGACTCACGGGGTGATCTCTTGGATGAGAATGAGTCGCAAGACTCTTCGCTGAACAAGGAACCCAAGAGACACTCACTCTTCCAGAGACTCTTTGGCCGAAAGACAAAAGGTATGCACTCCCTCCCCAAAGACAATCGTTTACTAACAACGCAGGCCTATCACGCGCAAAGTCCGCCTCCAACCGCAGCAAAAAACTAATGAAACGAGTCAACACCGTCCGCTTCTCCTTCATCTCCCGCGACTCCAAACTCTCCAGCGGCAAAAGCACCCCCCGCTCCACAATGTTCGAAACCGAACAAGCGCGCCAAGCCCTCCAATCAAAAGAAGACCTCAACGCCCTCGCAATCCCAGAAGCAGAGTACGTCGGCCTACTGCGCGACAGCCAGAACGCGTTCGTGCACATGCAGTATCTTTCAGGCGCGGGAGCGGTGATCGTCCACGATGCCTCGGGTCGTCAGCGGATTCTGCAGATGGATGAGGTTGCGCAGCTCTTTCTGCAGTTGAAGGATGAATTGGCTGCGACGACGACGTGGTCGAAGACGGTTTCTTGTCGGGTAAGAGGAGAGTCGGCATTTAAGCAGGGGAATCTGCGCGCTGCGGTTGTGGAATATCATGATGCGTTGAGGATGTTGCAGGATACGCCGGGGTTGGACGTCGACAAGCTCGTTCGAGCCGCATTGCTGCATGGACTTGGTCAAGCGTACCGGGGACTCAATATGCCCGCGGAATCAGAAGCCTGCTATCTCGAGTCATTAGGGCTGTATAAGCGGGCCCTGGGCCGGGACCACCCAAAGAACTTCGAAGTCCTACATGACCTAGGCACCCTCTGTGAAAAAGACGGCTACGCAACCGAAGCCGCAGCACTCTATGAACGTTCCTTCGCAGGCCGCCTGAAAGCACTTGGCCACAACGCCCCCGAAACCCTAAACAGCATGCAAGACCTTGCCTCTCTCAAAGTGCTCCTCGGCGACCTAGAATCCGCCCTCATGCTACTCGAAAAAGCAGTTCCCGCTCTGGACACAGTCTTTGGCATCCAAAACGGAACCACGCTAAATGCCATGAACAAGCTCTCCCACTTGTACCAGAAACTCGGCCTCGACAAGGAATCTCGCACGATATCCGGCCGTACGATTCCCCACTGCAAGACTTTCTACGGATTAAATAACCCGGAGACTCGTGACGCTGTTATTCGATACCTGCAGAGCTCGGATAACTTTGATTTCCCGGCTGATATCAAAGATATTCTCGAGCAGTACCGTCGCTCGCGAGACCCCGAGTCCCTCAAGGTCATCCACCGCCTGGGCCGGTCGTACATGGACGCAGGGCTTAACCGCGACGCATCGGATATCTTTGAAAAACTTGTCGACGATTTTTTAGATGTCAAGGGACCGGAAGCACCGGAAACATTCGATGCACTCAGTGCACTGTGCGTTTCGCGCGAACATCTCGATTCTATCGAAAAGGCTATCCATGCGTACAAGCAGCTAGTGAACATGGCGCGAAAAACACCTGAAGACCACCACTCGCGGAAGAGAATTGGCTACGCCGAGAAGAGAATCACAGAACTCAACCGTCGACGAGAAATCCTCGCTGCTGAACGGAGAGAATGGGGCTTGAACCAGCCCGGTCCGTGCAGGAACTGCAACACGCCAACACCTGTTCTCTGCAATTGTAAGCCCTCTCCCCCACACTCTAACCCTACCTACCCATTTCTTCCTGATAATTCCGGACTAACAAATGCAGCCTGCAAAATAACCCGCTTCTGCAGCGACCACTGCCACACCGCCGCCATTGAAGCCCACATCCCCTCGTGCATCCCCTCCGTTTCCCTTCGCGAATCCAAGTCCCTCGCCGTGAAACCTCGCTGCCCACCCGCAGCCCAGGACCAAGCACTGCTTAAAATCCGTTGCTCTGACCCAGCGGACATAAACGTGTTAAATAGTTACACGTTTTATCTTGATCCGAGGAACTTTACGACGTTCAGGATGAGGTTTAGGCCCGAGGTCAATACGATTATTCTGTTTAGTATGGATTCGGATGTTAAGTTTGCTATGGTTGATGGGGTTCCTGCGCCTACATCTATAACCGCACCAACAGAACAAGACCAAGAAGAACACGAACATAACCACCTCAACTGGTTAACACCCACAACCCAAGACTGCATCTCTTTCAACCCACGCACCGACCTTCCCACCACTACCCCCTCCAACACAAATACAACCACAAGCACCCAATCCCGCTACCTCCTCGTCACCCCCGGCAAAGAAATGCTCAAATCAATAATCGACAAACGCGTGCATGTACGGTCCGGCGGCAGCGGCGCCGGGGACCGTTTTCGCTCGCTGGATGTGCCGAGTATGGAGCTTATTGAGTATGCGCAAGGACTGTTGCTGACGGGATATCTTGGGGAGGCGTTTATGTATGTTATTGAGTGGGAGTGGAAGTAGGGTTTTTTTATTTTTTTTTTTTTTCTGTCTTTCTTTTTCCTTTGATTCGGAATGGAGAGTGGAAAGAAAAGGGAACAGGGGGAAAGTTGGGGGTGAGGCTTGGAAATAGATACAGGAGGTCTAATATGTGTTATTATTACTTATTATGTATTGTATAGTTGATATTGTTTATTTTGGAATATATATAATGTTTATATGGATGGAACCTTTTCTGAACGTTGCTATCAGCGTTGTGTGATGAAGACTTGAAAACGCAAAATGAGATGTTGAACAGAACAATACTAAACCCTCGAACAAATCGACCGATGCCAACGCCGAGAAATCCAGAATAAGGAAAAACGGCAAATAGTGTATCGATTCGCATATATTGAATCAAAACAAGCTCGTTATATTTGTTAGGCTCTCTCTCTTCTGACAGAAGTGCAATCAATGCACAGCTTGATGAATGAATCGGCCTCGGTCATCCTAAGCTGCTTAATACTCAACGATCTTCGACAACATGTGCTCTTAATAGTAAGGTAGTGCACTTCAGGATAGTTCACAAAGAATACAATCAAAAACCATGGAAAGTAGATCTGCAATCGACAAATTACGAGTAACTTCCTGACACCCAGTCTGTCTGCCATTCAAAATTTTGGAGCGCAGATAGCTGCACCTCACTGCCTGCCATACTCCAGCGACTGAAAGTATTCCTAGCCTTCAGAAAAACGCAAACTCGCGTAAACAGCACCAGTTTGGGATACCTAGTTTTTGTCACTTTCGGAGGCCCAGTTGGATGTTTTTTCTTTTCCTCGTTCTGAGCCTTGAGTGCCGTGGTCACGATCTACTGCAGTCGAGGAACAGTAATCGACAATATAATACCATCGACACGGAGCCACCACTGCCCATATGAACTGCTAATCTTGTTTCTGTGATTAGCGCATGTTGTTTGTTGCCAGAAATAGACAGGTATGCATGTGATCATGGGAATTAGCTCCAGCGATGTATTAATGCATGTATTATGATTGCTGCCGCATCTGCGTGTTATGGTTCTAATTATCTCGATTAGCATGTGTGCACTCGAAGCTTTCTTGAATATTGCTTTGTGGGGTTTGTCGTGAGCTTTAAAAAGTAGTTCCAACATGGGAACGTCGTGACGAGCAACATAGCCTACTGGAGGCCGACGTCCAAGGAGACCAGAAACTTAACGTGTGCAGTTATTAAAACCCGCACACAAAGTAATATTGCTCCTTTAGAACCCTTGGCCAGAAAAATAAAGATAATTGTTCATGGGATGGTAATATCAAATTGAAAATCCCCATTCATGCCTTCCGACTTTGTCACAGCAGTCGTGGAGAAAATCCGTTGACGGCACCTAAACCGAATCGATGCAAGCATCGTGGTTCTAAGCGTCTGGCATGACCCATTATTGCGGCAGCAATCCGGTCTGTGGCGTTTAATATATTCTCAGACCTCATAAATATGACGGGGCATTTTTGCGACTGTGGTGCATCTACTCATTCTGCACTTACTGTACAAAATTAGACCATCGATACCTCTAGGCAGGGCTTTTAATTTTCTGCAAAGCTGTTCTGTACAGGCCCATTGAGTCCTTGCGAGAGTAGGGAGCAGGTAAGACATTGAGGTTACCTGCTTGTGCAAAAAGGAATTCAGAGAATGCAGCGCAAACACCCTCGCTTGCTCGCCTCTTTCCATCTAAATATTGAGCAGGTGCTCAAAACCTGGGATGACATAGCTAATTGTATTGACCGCAAGCAACTAATTCCGCATTTTAGGCAAGCATTTTCGAAATTCCTCCCCGTAGCAAACTGCTTGGAACTAGCGCTTATATGCGCAGCTTGCATCGCGTGATGCTCATTCTGGTAGCTATTCTGAACCTCTTAACCCTACGGTTAACAAGGATCTTCAATACATTTCAGCGTCATGGTATGATATGACGACATACCATACCACCGCGACACTATCCCCTCATGCGTCGTCCATTTTCTTGATGAGGATTGACTGATTTATTGTGTCTAATTCAGTGTAAATCCTCTGCTTGCATACATTGGCCCTAGAACTTGGTATCGGACAGGGCAAGTAACCGTGCAGCCCTTGAAGTGTCTGACGTGCCCAGATGCCAACTTCGTCTTCTTGCGGTAGAGGCTCTTTAATCAGTGTTGCTAGTAGGTTGAACCCTCCAATCCGGTTGGTTTTTAGGAAATTATTCAACGGTGCGAATTTGTCACTAATGTTGAGTACTCGTTTTAATTGGCCCTGTCTTGGTTGTTTGTGTTCCTGATCAAAGGGAATTTGCAGATTCTCTCTGCGGAGGATCAGAATGGTAAAATCAGGAGTTGATGAACGGGATAGGCCCAATTAAAATAGGGCAGTGGTAATTCTGGTCCATGTATCGAATAGTGGATATATCCAGACACAACAAGTAAAACCAGACCAGGAAGGCAAGCCGCCGGTGGAATTCTTCTTCCACAAAATTGGGAGAAAGGGAATCCTTCATGATCAAGCATTAGCATAGAAAAGCCAGCCGTGCCTGCTGGATTTTATTTAGGGCTGGAACATGTCGACGGCACGCAACAAAATCGGGCAGCTCGCTCGACGTAAGCTGAATCTCGGTCCTTAAACATGGGCAAAGAATTTAACAGGTTGCCCTAGTTCCAAGACAAGTATGAAATGGAAGGCGAATGTGCGTTTTCGCAGTCCGTCATTCCCTCTAGCCATAGATATTGTGTCCCATATGATCACTGCCCATAGAAACAGATTCTCATCGTTGTAACTTGATTGCCACCTGCTCCGTTTATTGATGTGGAATTCATACGACCGTCCCTCGTGCGGTGACTCTTCATGTAGAAGTTCATATGCATTAGGGATTGTATATACTTATTGCGCTGTATATACCTTTTATATTCCGGGTTTTATGATTGAGCAGTCTGTTGTTGAAAATATTAGCCTAATTCAAGGAGCAGGCCGAGATAAAACAGGAAATACCGTTCCATGCAAACCCCCAATTGATGGGGGATGAACAACGATTTCATGCGGTGTCCTGCGTCGAATTTGTCGATATTGACTCTTTATATCCCCTAAAAAATTGAGGATCCAAGCAGCTTGTTTGCCAGCCTTTTAATTTCTTTGAAATTCAATCCCAGGCCATCGTGGATAAAACACTCTGATGTAGGGTAGAACTGGCTGGTGCGGCATACTAATATAATTATCTCAGTAAACACACGAAAATCAGTCGAGGAAACTCCAGTCAAAGTACACAACACTTTGCGAGATACAATTAATCTTGGTCGATGATCTCCATCGACAATTTCAGGAGCATCCATCCCTATGACAGACTCGAATATCTTCTTGCTCCTTGCTCTCTACTGCTTGTCCCGGTGCGCCAGGTAACTATGAGTATGGTAGGAGCAGGTTAAGGCTAAGTAATGATATTAGAGCAGGAAGCAGAAATAAGCAAGACAAACTTACTGCGGCATATTCCACAGGAAATTTGAGCCTGGTTTGCCAGGCACTCTGCGTTACACTTGACATTCACTGGTCATTGGGGCTTCCAACCCCGATAAAAGGGTTCGGCTGGAAGATATTTTCGTTATATTTGAAAGGAGTTGGTGTGTCTTGGAATAGGATTGGGATTTCGTGCCTGATGTATGAAAGGTACACTGACAACTTCCCATTCTTGATCTCATTGTCCTCCGCCAGGATTTGTAGACCTCATTTCGAAAATCTCTCATTATAATTCACCGATAGCAACAGAAGGAATGGTGTGATTCACTCGAAAGACCTTGTTTGCCAGCATATAGCAACGTACAATGGCTTGGGAACTGGGCGGACAAGATTATTCTCGTCTGGTAGAGACGACCTTCTATATAGGCGATAACCCACCTATAAAATATCACATAAGAATAGCATGGAGGTTGAAGAGTTCGACAAAAGTAAACCGCCGCAGAAAATGAGTGCAAAGTGAAAGTCCAGACTCCTTTTATAAAGATCGAAACAAAGATGTCACATGACATAGGAGGCATTCATTATTCGAACTCCCAATACAACCCATCGGCGAGCCCTACAAGAACTAACACAAAACGGACTTCTTCACCCCAGTCTTCACATGCGTAATCCACAACCGCAAACGAACCGTCCGCCCTAACAACTGCCCTGTTATCCCTCGAACACTCCCAACCCTAAACCACTTCACCTCATCCCCATCCCTAACTGACACCAAACAACGCCAAACCCTTAACCTCCTGGGCCCAAAACTGGACAACAGAATATTGTTGCCTCGTCGTCATCGAGCGGAGATGAGCTTCTCAATATTGCAGTCACCTCACCAGCAAACCTAACAACACCAACACAAGAACTAGACCTTCTCACCAACAGATTCTGGATTAACTCCACCATCCCAGACCCTTAACCACCAATTCCTGAGATACCAATAAAAAAAAAAATCTATTCCAACGCACTAGATCAACTAGATCGCATCCGTGCATCCTTTCCGAACATATCGCAACCGAAAAGCAGAAGATGGACTCATCCGTCGTGAAAGTGAAAATGAGCACAACGAATACAAGATGCCCAGTGGAACTTGGCTCGTGCTCACTCCTGGGTTTATAAAGTCTGGGAAGAAGAAGATGGTGTGGGACTGAGAAGACCCTGGGGGTACGTGGTTTATCAAGCACCTGATTGCGCAGGCATCGAACGGAAGGAAAAACATGATGGATGGATATCTGGCGGTAATACCATTCAAAACGTGCCCACGGGTTGAGATCTCGATGGGTTAATACTTCGTTCGATACTTGAGAAACTTGATGTAGACCTAGAACGGGACAAGAGCATCGAAGAACGACTGGCCATTTACTGTGGAAATACTTCCAGACCCTCCGCGCCTCACCACCAAAGAAAAAATCACTGGCTAAACCCAGACAACGAAACCCTCAAAGCCTTAGGCTTGTTGGAAAACGTCCAACGAAACATCATCTACATTGATAATGGCTCGCTATCCTCCGTGCTGGATAATCCCTAGATGGACGATAAATGGACGATAAATGGATATAGGCCGTTGATCCGGATTACACACCCTAACCTAAGCAGAAATTTGGACATAAAGGCTATTTTCGCGTGCGAGTGCAGCAGGTTATGCATCGATTCTTTGAGGCCCGACAATTTCACGCCGACAGGTATCCCATGGAGTATTTGTGGCAGGCTGCGCTGAGGGAATAACGTAATCGGGCTTTCGTGTCTGTGAAGGAGGAAAAGAGTGTTGTTTGGCAGCCTGGGGGAATAATGGGGGTGTGATAAATCATGTTTGAATTGTTGATAGCCATATTTTTGTTAAGGATAGTAATGATATGAAGGTTACGTGGTTGGGAAGTGGTGATCTGGGCGGTGCTGCAAGCTGGCGTCCATTGATTGCCGGTACATACGTTAGCCGTATAGAATAGCTGTCCATATCGTTGCTTATACTGAGAAGCTCAGGTCAGGTCACCAAATGTTCCATTCCGTTCCAAGTATGGCGGTGCTGATAGCCAACGTTGTAAAAACTGCTCCAAGTACATTCACCCATCACTATTTAACTCCGGATTTACGGAGGAAAGAGAAAGAGTATGGAATGATGATCCATATTGGAAGTCACAAACAAGCCAAATCGAGGGTATCTACCTGTCTACCTAACTGTAATCAAACACAACATTAAACACAACAATGAAAAGAACAAAACCAAAATGCCATCCAAGGGTCCGAAAACCCAATGCAAAAATTGTAAAAGAAGCTCCGAAAAATAGAAGAGAAGGAATGCCGATGCTGATGCAATGCGATGCTGCAATGCTCGCTGGAAATAATGCTGTTGATCAGAAGAGAGAAAAAAAGAAAGAAATCAGTCCGCCGTGCTCGCTCATGCCATGTCATGCCATGCCATATCAAATACTTTTATCGGCCGTGAACCTGACAAACACCCATATGAAAAACGCCGATCCAGTTACAGAAAACAAAATCACACAAAAACTCAAGCAGAAAGATTAAAAAAGGACACAGGTTATCCCTGTCTAGAATTCCGACGACTGTCAAGTCCCCGGAGCATGACTCGTCTGCTGTTACCAGCAGAGCCCATGTCGCTAACACTGCGAACCTTTGGCAAAGCTGGGACAGGCGGCACATCGGGTGTTGTCTCCCTGTCTGTAGGGGGCATGCCCTTAGGCCTCAAAGAGCTCCGTCGCGCTTGGCCCAGAACATCTTCGACCCATGCTTCACTCTCCGGGCTCATTGATTTCTGACGGGATCGTGGCTTGGGTCCAGCAAGACCCAGTGGAGTTGAACGGGAGCTGCCAGCGGCGATGGTGGTTGCGGGTGAGTGGGCGGACGAGCCATAGTGGGCCTCACTTGCAAAGGAGATCGTGCCAACTGAATTGTTCGAAGACACAGAGTGTCGTCGAGTAGACATTGGTGAGTGTGACGGATTAGTGGGTTCGCCAAAGCTGGCAGCTCGGAAATCCGTCGCATCGGACACGTTGGACGCCCGCCGGGTTTTGCGGACAGCCAGCGATGAGGTAGGTCGGTTGCTGATAACAGACCTAGGGCGCGATGGCGTTCTCCGGCCGTTACTTGGAGCTGGCGTGAGCATGTTGTTTCCAGGAGTGGATTCATGAGACTTAAGCCCCTGAACTTCAACGCGAGGAGTTTCAGAAACATGTCGTCGCCCATGATGGATGGCATATTCTCTCAGGTATTCGCCGAGATCTGCCCATCCACCTCCAACTCGTACCATCACGCGCTCGCCACTCTCTCCCACAGAGCGGACAAAGAGTTTTGTAGGCTTTGACTTTCCATTCTTATGCAGATGGTAAAGCTTGACAGAACTTTCCTCCGGTCCGCGTGCAAAAGATTGTCTTCGACGAGTATGCGCAGGAGTGAGTGTCAAAGATGGGGCAGGCGCGCCGTAGAGCGATGCCGAGGATGATGACCGGTATCTTCCCCTCGTTGGTACCGGTGCCGCAGAAGTCACAGAAAATGTATCATCGTCATCCTGCGCTTCAGACAGCAGTTGGATGCGGGCGGGAAGAGTATCTAAAATGGTACTGATCTTCTCGTCCAGATAATCCTTCTTCTTCGACAACGGAGTGGACGATCCAGAATTGGTCTTACGAGGAGCCAGGTCTGCCGGAGTCTGCGCTCTTGACTGGGACTTCGACCCTGGTCTTCCACGGCTTGTGAGGCTCTCACGGCTCCCATTGTTATTGAGCTCCTTGCTAAGACGAGCAGTAGCGAAGCGGGCGGAAGGCTGTGCGTTAAGCGATCGTTGGGCAGAGGTTCTCAGAGGTACCTTCCTAGGGGAACTCCGAGGCCCAGAGACTGGACCATCAGTCTTTGAGCGGATCGGCGTGGGCCTCGTCTTCGTGTCACGGGGCGTCTCCGAGCGGTATGCAAGTTGTCGGAAACGAGCGGTAGGTGTCGAAGCACCATCACGATTCGTGGGCTCCTGCTGCTCTGGATGGGAGGCAACAGATGGCCTTCTACCCATGCTAGGGCTGTCCTCCATGCCAGCCCCATTCTCGTAGTTCATATCCAATCGTTCGTTGATGAATCGCTGAAGCGGTAGACTAACTGCGCGGTTATGCTGCGGTCGTGGCGAAACTTTCTGATCGAAGCGACGTAGGCTGTCTTCTCGCAAGGTATGGTCATTATTGGAAGATGCAACGCCAGGCTGGCCGAAGACGTCCTGGAAGTGCGGCGGGGTGTCGAGGAACAGAGGGGTTGCGTTTGACGACTCAGCATGCGGTTCTTGGAAATCTGGGCTTGACATGAGAGACGGAAAAGAGGAGAGAGAACCCATGGAAGCATCCGATGTGACACGCTGACGAGTCTTGCCATTCTTATCACCTGCTTGCCGGCCAAGTTTGATCGGGCTTTCCAGATGCTGTTTAGGAGGTGAAGGACCGTCTTCTTCAGATGAGTTTGGCTGAAGTGTGGCTTCCTTTGCCATTTCGGGCAACGAGCACGGTAGGGGTTCCAGTGAGGGTTTGACGGCAGGAGGTGGCTGTTCCCGGAGGGAGGCAGAAACAGAAACTGGAGCATCATCAGCGGCCACAGCACTTGACAGAGCCGCGGGTTTATCTTCGATAGCGACAGGAAGTGGCTCAGGAACAGTCTTGCTGGGCGGATCATTGGCAGGCTCGGCCTGGACCGAAACAGGCTCTCCAGTAAGAGTCTGGCTGTCTGGTATAGACTCTTGTGTTATACCACTAGCAATGTTCGCTCGTGTGTCCGGAGCCTGCTCGAGTTCGCGAGGCAGAGGGGCTTCGAGGAAGAATGGAGGGATAGATTTATCGAATTGTGTGTCACGAGCGGGAGGCGATTTTGGAGAAAGCTGTGGTGAATCAATCGCAGTTCGCGGTCGTTCCGGTTGCGCAATTTCGGGCGACGGAGTTATTTGCTTTTGTAACTCGGAAAATGAGGAAGTAGGTTCTTCACGAACAGGCTGAGGAACAGGCGTCGCGTCATGCTCAATCGGGGTCGCAAGTCGCTCTGTTATTTTTGGGATGGACGTAGGATCTGCTTGCGATTCAGGCTCCGGCTTATCTAGAGTTTCGTTGACAGATGGCGCCACGGACGTGGTTTCTTCTTCAGCGATTGTCTCCATGGGGAAGGAACGTGCGTTGCGTCGCGCCGAATCGGATGTGGTGACGACTGGTTCTGAAACACGAGGGGCATCGTCGGATTGTTGACAGGGATGGTCTGCATTGGCGCGCGACCATTCATTCTCAGCTGAGCGCTTCTCAGCTTCCACAACCCACGTGCTGAACTCTGACTCGATAGTCTCGAGATCATCAATCCAGTTTTCTGGCAACGAATCTTCGCGTCCTTCAAGGGCATCTAGAACGTTATCCATTCTTCGACCCGCTGCAGCCACGGCTGCACCCAGCTCCGCCTGTTTTCCATGAAAATTCGATCGGGAATAGAGAGGATCATGTTCGGTGGGCGTATCGCGCGACTTGAGAGCGCGAAACGCGTCGTCCAATGTGTCTTTGGTGAGGCGCAAGCTCAAGAGGAGACTGGGAATTTGACGAAGGACCAACAGCCGCACATCCCAGGTCGAAAGCAAGGTGTTGAGACGCGACAGGGTGGGCAGGGCGCGTAGGATAGTGGCGGTGATAACGGCGGTGAAGTCGCTGAGTTGTACATAACTGAGGGGAGGTGGGATGGACATGGTGCTACCGGATGACGAAGGCCGAGACCGCGATGGAATGTGGGCATTGAGGACATGTTCCTTCAACTCCTCCACTCCCAGGTTATCCATTGCATCACGAATCTCCTCGATGCGGGCTCCATGTTGTTCGACGACGGCAGACGGGAGACTTCCGAGGTATTCTACACCTGAATCTGTGACAGTCGACGGGGAGGGAGGAATGAACGCTTTACCCTGATGTGCATCGGCTCGTTTTGGCCATTCCCACGATTGGACTTCCTTATACCACAGGGTTAGGTTTTTTGCGGCGATCGCCGCGCGAATTCCCAGCGCGCGGTCTGCCGGGGAGACTTGCGAAATGCTTTGGGAGAGCGCATCATGAGCGGCTTTCTCATTGTTAGGCACGGCATCGGTGGAGGAGAGGGCTTGCAGGGTGGCTTCAGGGGAGAGGGTTCGGAGAAGAGGATCGAGTTCATAAGCCGGCACCGGACGGATTGAGGCACGCGACGAGTTGTCAGAGGAAGATTTGCTCGGATGAGAAGGACGAAAAGGCAAAGGAGGGTTTCCAAGGCTAGGAGAATTGAACGCCATGGCGAAAGAGGAGCTCTTTCCCCGAAAAGAGCTCAGGAGAATTGTTTAGTCGGGGGTCGGTGTATCGATGTATTGGGTATCACAGAAATCGATCAATTGGACCGGATCGAGATGATGGAGGTCGAGCAGGAGTGACAGTATCGAGGATAGAATCGTACTGCAGAAGAACGGGCATGCTGAGACGCGTTGTCGCGTGAGGATTGTTTAAGGGAGAGATGCGGTTAAGGAGTGGAGAGACAGTTGGGACAACGGAAGTATATGAGATCAGAGATCTGACGCGAGGAGGGAGCGGAATATAGGATATTAGGAGAATAAGAAGAGATAAAAGTGAAGCAAAAATTAAAGTAAAGCTGCCCGTACAGTACTGTAGCGGATATAGAGAAAAGGAGTCCTCTCCTGGCTGAAGCCGCGAGGCAAGGCGAGGCAACGAAGGAGAGAATAGAAAGAGAAAGAGGAAAAAAGAGGGGCAGGAAGGCGAAAAGGAACGAAATAATGCAGGTAAAAAGAATGACTGGAGCTGGGCTGAAAAGTGAACGACTCTGATTGCTTGAACTAAAGATGGTGCTGCAGCTGCAGTAGACGTGGATGCGCTGACCTGGTGGGCGGTGAGGGCTGTCAGTATACACACGCCTTGGCCACGGAGTGTCCCTACAAGTATGTACACTTAGACAGGTTGAAACATAGACAGCAGAGACATAATCATGCACCCAGCTAGGACTGGCTGCTTATCTGGTGAGGCGTGGTGCTACAGAGTACAGGTCATGCTTATTCCGTACTTCGTGCTGCCCGGCAGCCCAATGCATACTTGTACAGCCTGGCACACGGATCGGACGGAAAGATACGGACGCTTTTGACAGCGCAAGAAGATGAAGATGAAGTTGGACATTTCAATGCCAACGGACTGTTATTCCATGCAAGTCATTATGATCTGGTCTGGTCTCTACATGACGCCATGTTGACAACCGGGTATCGAGAGGTATACGGACTAGATCTATACGGTGTACTCACAGGTCTCTGTAAGCCATTGAATACAACCACTCGTCTACTCGTACACAATGCAATTTCAAAGGTTCCCATACCCCCCAAGTCTCCCAGCCGAGGTCCCCGAAGACCTGCTGCCCAAGCTCAGCGAACTCCGCGATGAATTCGGCACCGACAAAGACCACCTGAAGCACGTTACCGACCACTTTGTCAAAGAACTTGAACGAGGTTCGCCAATAATACACCATCCAAGATGCCTTACTAACACCAGCAAACAACAACAGGTCTGACGGAGGAAGGCGGCGATATTGTTAGTATCCACCCACTCCACTCCGTTTGCATACAAGGAAATCTGTTTGGACCCATCTAACCAACTAGCCTATGAATATCACCTGGGTAACCGACTTCCCAACCGGCCATGAACGAGGGAAATTCCTAACCCTCGACCTCGGCGGCACAAACCTCCGCGTTTGCAAGGTTAGTTTGTCTGCGGCAAAGGGTGATTTTGCAGCCACGCAGCGGAAATACAAACTGCCCGGGAACTTGCGGTCAGCGCCGGTGATAGAGCTGTGGGATTTTATCGCGGAATGTGTGCATTTGTTTCATGAAGAGCATCACAGTGAGTGGCCGCCAGGTGAAAAGCTGCCGTTGGCATTCACCTTTTCATATCCCGTTTTGCAAACATCCATCAAAGAGGGCATCCTCCAACGATGGACCAAGGACTATAATTGTCCAGGAGCGGAGGGCAATGACATCGTCGCGCAGCTGGCGGCGTCAATGAGCAAGAAGGTTTGTTTGTCTGTACGCAATCATGAATTGCAAGACTCATTATCTTAGCAAGTACCCGTTGAAATCGTAGCGCTAGTCAACGACACAACAGGAACCCTGATCGCAACCGCCTACCGCGACCCCAGTGTTTGCATTGGCAGCATCTTCAGCACAGGCTGCAACTCAGCCTACATGGAAGTATGCAGCGCAGTCCCCAAGCTCAAACACGCAGGCCTATCCCCAAATAGCAAAATCGCAATCAACACCGAATGCGGTGCGTTCGACAACTCCTGCAAGGTCCTACGCCGCACGCGCTTTGATAAGGACATCGACGTGTGTTCTCCACGCCAGGGCCAGCAATTGTACGAAAAGATGGTAGCAGGCCGGTACCTCGGCGAGATTGTCCGTCGAGTCCTCCTAGAACTCCACAATATGCACGGTCTCTTCAAGGACCAAGACACCTCCAAGCTCAACACGCCTCACATTCTAGAAGCATCTTTCCTCTCCAACGTAGAAGAAGACAACTCACATCTCCGCGAGGGCGTGCAAAGCCTCCTCAAAGAACGCCTGGGCATCGAATCCAAAGTTCCCGAACGCCGAATCACCCGCTTCCTCGTGGAAGTCGTCGGGACACGCTCCGCCCGTCTATACGCCTGCGGGATCGCGGCGATCTGTAAGAAAAGGAATATCAAAACAGGTGTGGTTGGCGTCGACGGGGCCACGTTTAACTATTACACGCGGTTCCGGCTGAGAGTTGCGCAGGCGATGCGGGATATCATGGATTGGCCGGATGATATTCAGGATCCGATTAGTTTTGATGTCTCGGAGGATGGGTCGGGGGTTGGGGCGGCGTTGATTGCGGCGTTGGCTATGGGGGAGGCTCAGCCGGAGGTACCGACTGGTGCTACTTGGTAACGTGAAGCATAGACATGTAAAAAAAGAGAATAGAACAATAGAAAAGTAGACTGTCATGTTTTCATGGCTCTTGTCATAGTTCTGGTTCCGAATCTTTATCAATTCTCCACCGCTATCGATAATGACGCGACAGACATCACTCAACGCGACAGCGATATCCAGATAGAACACCCAATAATCCTAATAAAGAATAAAAATGCGCTTCAAAACACAACTAAACAACATACAAACCTTTACCAGTATGTCTGCCTTGTCTAGTTGCCAGTGATCTTCCTTCTACAACCACTACCAGTACAGAACACAGCTAACAACCACAGAATTAACAGCCTCCTTAACCTCCCTCGGTAAAGTCTGCTGGCTGCGCCTGGAAGACTCCATCGTTCGCTTCACCATCATTCCCGACCAAGGAACACAAGTCTGGGCCCAGTTACCAGTCGTACGTCCTCCCCTGTCCTTCCCTCTCTCACCATCTTCCCCAGGAAACAAACGCAGTCCAGATCCAGCGACTAACAAAGACAGGATTGCATCTTCGAACCAACTACCTACACCCTCGAATCCAACTCCGGCGTCATAAACCTCGAAGTGCCCATCGGAGCACTACACCGCGCACTACGGTCCGCGAACGGTGCGAATTCTGCGCAGATACGGCTTACGAAGAAGGGGAATGTTCCGTTGCTTGCGTTGACGATTATATCGTCGAGTTGGACGACGGGATCCAATGCTATTGGTGCTGGGAATGAAGAGGATGAGGGTTTGTTTCCTGATGAGGGGTTTGAGAGAGCAGGGGGAGGGACGGGGCCTAGGGAGCGAGAGACTGTCATTTCGCAGGAGGTGCCGGTAAAGGTTCTACATGAATCGGCCGTTGAAGGGCTGCATGAACCGCGGTGCCGCGATCCAGACGTCCACATCATCTTACCCAGCCTGATACACTTGAAGAGTATCTCAGAGCGCTTCACAAAATTAGCCACCATCGACACCAAAACACCCTCTACCACTTCCACCACCACAACAAATCTGACCCAATTCCACCCCTCCTCCGCTAGCCCAACAACAACAGCTCCCAATAGCACCACAGCAAGTCCCAAACTCGAACTCTCCGCAAACATGCACGGCTCCCTAAAACTCGCCATCGCAAGCGACTCCCTCCGTATCTCCAGCGTCTGGACAGATCTTGTGAATCCCGCGCTTGATCCGGCTCAGTTATCGCAGGGCGAGATGCATGAGTTGCCTAGTGAGCGGATGAGGAGACTTGGTGAGGAGGGGTGGGCTAAGGTGCGAATTGATGGGAGGGATTGGGGGAGGGTATTGAGTGTTGGGAGGTTGAGTCCGAAGGTTGTTGCTTGTATGTCTACCCCTAAATGGGTTGGTTTGGTTAGGGCGAGGCTAACGTAGGCAGGTTTTATTAACGAGACGGCACTGGTGCTGTATGTCTATTTACCGGAGAGTTGGAATGGGGAGGATTCGTGTTTAACTGTAAGTCTCCCACATACCAATTCATTCGATATCTACTAACATAACGTGAAGTATTACATCAATTCATATTCCACCTAATCCGGTTGAGAACAGCATTATTTTATTATGACACGGCACAATGTACATGATTGCATTATCATAGCATGGTCCCATAAGCAAAGGACGTAGCGAAGCGAATTACAGAAACAATTATTAAGTAGTGATAAAACAGGGCAAATCAAGCAGAAACAAGTCATAGTAACAACAATGCCTGGATGTGCTGAGGCAGCGCAGAAGGGGAAGAAGTAACATGAGGGTGAAAGTCGTCTCCAAAACTCATAAGAATAGACAGGGTGGCAATGCAGCGAGTATCAACATATGCGGTAAAGCAATTAAACAAAACAAAGCCCGTCTGTGACAGGTATGCACGACACTGCAACGAAGAAAAAGAAAAATGGGTCAAGTATACAACTACTGGGCCATCACATCAACATACCGCCCCTTCTTCTTCCCCTTCCCAGCAGGTCCCTTGCGCGCCGTAGGCGCACCCAACAAATCATCAATCGAGCTGGCATTACTCAAAGAAGTCGAAGGTCTAGGCGGTGGTGGCAAACCCCCAGAGCTTCCAGGTGGTGTTGGCGCTGCAGCACCCGTAGACACAGATCGGGGCAACGGAGGGGGCGCATCGAATCCGGACGGCGGCGCTGGGCTTCCAGGCATCGGTGGTCCAGACATCGGTGATGGTGCGAATGCGCCTGCAGACGATGACGGTCGGCTTGCTGCGCTGACCATCGGGGGTGTGGCTGCTGGAGGAAGGCTAGCTGTGCTGCCAGTCCTGCTGGCAGGGCCGGCTCTGGGGGGTGGTGGTGTGGCTGCGGAGGGGGTTGCGGAGTTGGGGTCTTTTTTGTTGACCCATTTCTTGAGCTCGGTGTCGTAGTAGAAGGAGCTCTGTTCTCCAAGTTTCGCGCGGATGGGTTTGTTGGGGTTATTGCCCTCTTCTTTCTTGGAGCCTCCGCCGAACCATCCTCCGAACCATCCTTTCTTCGGCGGTGCAGCTTTCTTGGCTGTAAGTAGTTAGCAAATTATTCAGATCATCAAAACAGGAAAGAGGCTTACCATCTTCTTCCGCTGCTCTCCTGAATGCCTCATTCGCTTCCTGGTCCTGCTTCTCCCTCTCAGCCTTTGCCAGAGCAGCCGAGCGGGCTGCAACGTCGTCATCGTCGTCATCCATCATCGACTTCTTAGGTCTCTCCTCTTCGACAAATTCTTCCTGGTATTGAGGTGCGGATGTTGGGCCGGCTTCGTCCACGGGAGGACCGTAACCAGTGGTGGGCGGCATAAAGCCATAGCTCTCTGACTTTGGCTGGCTTGGCACCCCCTGGTCCCCAAATGGATGTGTATAGGTGTCAGGAGTATACATAGAGGGCTGGTATGGCGATCCATTCACCGCTGTCGACTGCATGACCGGCTGAGCTGGCTGTGGTTGCGAAGGCAGGTCTTCCTCGACAGGAGCAAGAGGCATGTAAGATGTCTGTGGCGGAGTGGACTGGTAACCAGCCAGAGGGGAGCTGAAAGATGATCCTCCGGGATGATAATTGTTCTCGGTCGGTGTAGCAGGCTCCTGGGAACCACGGCGTCCGAATGAGAATCCTAAACCACCAGAGGACCTCTGGGAATCCATAGACGACCTTCCACGGAACTGCTCGGGCGACGAGTTTGGCGCATACTGGCTAGTGGGGTGGTACCGCGAGGCGGGATTTCCAGGTATGGGTTGTGCCCCGGTTGCAGGTGCAGGGTACCCGCCGTACAAGTCCGACATGGAAGGCGAACGGCTGACGGTAGGCGTTCCATGGACCCTGGCAAAAGGACCCACGTCCGCATCAGCGGCCTTTCCAGAGCCAGTGGATATTGCATCGCTATCCTCTCCCGAAACAAAGCTGTTGAACCTGGCCCACATCGACCCAGACACCTTCTCCATGCTTGGTCTCGAGATCCAAGAGCCTCCATCGCTAGTCGTCTGTCTCAAGACAGAGGACAAATCATCCATGGAAGAAAATAAGTGCGGGTGATAATAGCCAGAAGGCTTTGTGCTTGCCTTCAAAACACCTGCAATCGCATCGCAGTACTGCTGAGCTTCCGATTTGCGGCCGCGATCTGCGAGTGTCCAAGCATAGTGAAGCTTAAAGCCCATCAAATGCGGCAAGGGGGGCTGAGGTGCAGTCGCAAGAATGGATGTTGCAAACTCGTAGACTTCCGTGAGGAGAATAGCATCTTCATCATGCACAAAGGAATATGGGAAATGCTGATGATCAGCTCCCAGAAGGACAATGCTTGCCTGCGGGTCATCAGGACCGCTGAATACCGCAGCACGCGAGAAGATCATGCATATATGCGCAGCCTCCACACGTCCGTAGCTCAGCAGTAGTCGGCCAAGAGAAATCAATGCCTGGTAGTCGTCAGGACTGCGGTTGCTTATCACCATGCCCAGAGTGTCTTTCCAGCTATCCAAGCCATCCAGGGCGCTCTTTGATGACCCCTGTCCATCAACCGTGCTGATCATCTGCAAGCCAGCTCTGGCTGACGGCGGGACGAGTTCGTCGACACACTCCTCGAAGTTTCCAGCAAAGATCTCATAGGCCGCAGCGAGCGATTCGGTATTGCTTGTGGCAGACCTTACTTCTCTCCTAACGAATTCCTGCACGACTTGTTTCCACACAGACTTCTCCATAGTGGACGCAATGATCATAGCATGGCCCCATAGTCGATTATCCACTGCACCCCACACCGCTTTTTCGCGTTCCCCGAGAATGAGGTTGTCTCGAAGTGTGTCTATCGACCGCGAATCAATTGCATCAGGTTGTGATAGTGCGTTCAGCGGTGGGAAGTTGTTTTGAGCCGTATAACCGTTTCCATATGTCTGTTCGGCTTCAGCATTCTGGAGTTGTGGGAAGATGACGTCGCGCAGCGACTTCTGGATGTCTGGCGAACCATCCAAGAGGCCATCTTTCTCCACCAGTATCCTAATGATCTTCCATAAAAGGATTTTCTCCTCGTGCCGCTTATGCGAATCTAGTTGCAGTCCGTCACCCTCCGGAAGTCCTTCGTTCTCAAACGCTGCGATTTTGCTCGACAGCCAGTTCAAAACATCCTTCTTCTTCGACTTGCTCTTGAGCGGTCCTGGATGCGCCACAATGCCTTCCGCTGGCGATATCCAGTCATTGAGCTGGAATACCTTCAACTCACCTGGACAGGACTTAATCATAGGCGCAGCTTGTCCAGCGCTGTAACGGGGAATGTGCTTCGGGAAACACGACGTGACTGAACCACCGAAACCAAATGTGACAATTGGTGCTCCCTTCCACCGCTGAAGGGGGTCAAGCTCTTGTCCATCGCTGGGTGGAATAAAATTGAGGGGCTCAGAAGTAATACGACTAGTGGCTGATACTTGAGCAGGTGCATAGGGACTAACAGCTTTCGTTGGAGATCCAGATCCGTGCACAGAGGCAGGTCGCTGAAGAGGGTCGATGGAAGGCACTGACAACTTGGGGCCTGACAATTGCTGGCTAGGAGATTGTGTTTGAGACCTGCGAGGAGGAACGAACTGAGACTCGCCTGCATCCGGTGTCTCTATCACTGGGAATGATGGCGGCGGAGGCTCGGTACTCATGGGTGGCAAGCGACTCGCAAAATCATTGACATATGACGGCGGAGCATACATGTTCCTAGGCGGGGACAATTGCTGCTGATTCGTTGGCGAAGTCGCATTTTGCGGTTCGGCCTGCGCAACCTCAGGTTTGACTATATCGCCTGATGGCTCGGAAATACGGGGAGGACTCTGTTCGAGACTTGGTCGTGGCTGGAAACGATTGGGTGGAGAAAGGCTCGCCGATGGCTCCAGAGACGGCCGTCTTGCAGGCTGTTCCGGTTGGTATGAAACTTTCTCGTGATAAGCCAAAGGACTTGACGTGCGCGGTTGGAATGGAAGAGACAATCCAGGTGCAGGACCATTGGTCGGTGGCACAGAGTAGCGATTATTGCGTGCAGGGCCAGAAGCCGGTGGCGGAGCAGGTGAGTATCTTGGCGAGGGCGAGGGCTTCGTTCCCGTCTGTAAACCAGGTGGCTTGGGAGAATACCTTGACGAAACGCTGGGAGGAGCTGGAGGAGTCGGGGCCAGCATGTTCATGTAAGGCTCCAATCGCTCAGGAGACTCCAGCGGTGGCTGTGCCTGAAGCTGCGGTTGTTCCTCAGGTTCACTCGGCGGTTGATTGGGACGGATGTTGGCATAAGGGTTCGTCGGTGGGGGTGGTTGGTGCAAGATTCCAGCTGGAGCAGTCGTCGCGCCGGGGCCAGCAGGAATATTAGCGTAAGGATTAGCCAACGGTGGTGGTGGGTGGGAAACAGCAGCCGGAGCGGTCGTCGCTGCACTGGGATTAGGAGGGATGCTGGAATAAGGGTTCGCTGGTGGAGGAGGTGGTGGATAACTTGCAGTCGGAATGGGCGCCGCCGCCACGCTAGGGTTAGGTGTGTACCTTCCTGAACTCGCAGGTCGAGATTTAGGCCGCGGCGGAGGCATGGGAAGCTCTTCGAAAAAGTTCTTCGGGGCAGAAACAGTTGCTCCTGGTGGCGGAGAGGCACCCATTGGAGGTGGTATACTGCTGGCCCTGGGAGGGGGCGGCGGCATGCTCCCAGCTAGCGGGACGCTTGTTGGGGGAACGATAGGACCAGGAGCAGCGACAGGGCCAGCAGTGATCACCGGCTTAGCAGGCCTCCGAGGACGCGCCAAACCTTCAGGAAGATCATAGGGAGACTTGTAGCCCTGCTTCGAGCGCTCTGCAAAGCTCTCTGCTCTGTTTGCTTCAGGCTTTGGCCGCGGCTGTGGTGCAAAATATGAGGAAGCAGGAGGCGGGTTGGGTGGAGCAACACCCTGGAGTAGGTCCGACGTCGATGGTTGATGAGGTGTGTATGAAGTGGTTGATGGCACGCTCGGGGCTTCAAAGGCCTGTGGCTCATTAAAGCCTGTTTGAGGAGCGTATTTGTTCGCTCCGTTGACGTTCGGGAGATTCTGTTCCTGGCCAGTGGTCGAATTCCCAGCTGCCTCATCCATAAGGAGATCATCGTCGTCATCATCCAATGCTGCTTCCCATCGCGCAGCAAGATCCTCCTCCAAAGGTTCCTCGTTATCTGAAAGTTCAGCCTGCCATCTAGCAGCCAGGTCCTCCTCCGAAGGAGCCTTCTTCACTTGGTTGTCCGATGCTGGCGCCAACAACATCTCGTTAAACTGCTGTGTAGCCTCATCGACGGGGGAATCCAAGGGTTCGCCAACAGTATCCATCACCTCCGAGGTGCTCTTACGCGTAAGATGCGGTGGAGCTTCCTGCTTTGGTTCCGGCTTCTGAACCTGACTGAAGAAGTCTTCCCCTTCATCCTCATCGCCATCGAATATCTTGTCAATCTGATTCTCAGCTGTTGTTGTCGGCTCGGCCGTCGGTCCCGCGATTGACTCAGCTGTCGATTGAGTCGTGGCTTCCACAATCGGTTCAGTTGTCGGTTCGGCCGGAATCTCGGCCGGGGGCTCAGCTCGGGTCTCAGTTGGAGGCTCAAAAGCTGGAGTCTCAAAAGCGGGCGATTGAGGAGACAACAAGGGAACGCCCTCTTCGAATCTAGTATCAGGCTCAGGTGGCATATAGATAGGCTTTGTTTGCGTCTTCAGCTGATCGAAGAAATCGTCCCCGCCGTCGTCTTCAACATTGTCCCAGAAGTTACCAGCAGCGTCGTTCACTTCACCATTGGTAGCCACTGGCTCGTGGTTTGCAAAATCCAAGGCTTGCGGTACGCTGACATGGCTTTCATAAGACTGTGTTTGATCCGCGGACATGGGAAGCGAGAATGGATCTGATTCAACGTGTTGTTCGGGCTCATTGAAAAGATCCTTGCCGTCTTCCTTAGCCAGGGTTTCCGCAACAGCCTGAGTTGTCTCCTCGTTATCAGCACCGGTTACTGAGGTCGTTGTCTCACCGGATACGGTTTCTTCTGGCGATTTGTTAGGCCCCGAGGCAACTTCAGCTTCCAAAGCGCGGCTCGATTCAATTCCGTCCACCGACGCATGTTGTTGTTGTACATCAGTTGGAGCGCTGGGTTCTTCTACAGCACCACCTTCGAGAAACGCAATGTCATCATCGACTGGTTCGGAGGAAACGGGCGGAGGAACGGGTTCGGTCGTGTCAACACTCAGGTCCGTTGTTAAATAACGCGAATCAGTCGCCGCCGGAGTTTCATGATGTTCTGGTAGCATCGCCGGATTCCATGAAGATGTCTCGTCTGAAGATGCCATGATCTGTGATATCTTCCTGTGCTATTAAAAAAGAAGAAAAACAACAGGCAAACCTAGCACGTCTCCGAGGAACGCTCGGGCAGCCTAGGGCCAATGATGGCGGAAAACAACTTTTGAAACCACAAACACGCCAAAATCACGACGACGTTAAAGATCGCAAGTAAACAAATGCATCACAGAAAACAAGAGAAGTCAGGAGTCATGAGGGGCAGCGTTCCTGAGCTGTCGAGTAGTGCAGACGTTGACGCCGGAACCCGCTGCGGCGAGCCTCATGGCCAGTGGATGATGCGCCGTCATCGGGTCGGATTTACCGCATTTCCGGCGGAAAGTGACACCTATCCCTTTTTGAGCGGTATCACGTGCTTCAGGATGCCGATTTGAATACCGAAAAACATGGCGAAAATGCAGAATGTAGGCGTATTATTGGCGTATTGGCATTCATTGGCTGTGGCAGGGGTCTAATCAGGTTTCACCTTGGGTTTTACAGACAAATGCCGTGATATCCCTCCGATGCACCGGAATCCGGCCCTTGAATAATTAGCAAGATCTCGCCTGGAACTATCATAACAAACCAATCCTTGGTCCGAGCTTTGTTGCACTATCTAGCATTGTGTGTCTGATCTGGCAATGCTGTGGCTGTATCACAAGATATCCAGCTAACAGGCTTCAACTCACGTATAAGTCTGGCATTGGCTAAGAGCCGGAGCCCTTTGCTGCTGTCCTATCCTTAGTCGTACCGTGTATGTCAACGCATCGCGGCTCCTATCAAGTGAGCCACAACTTTCAGTGTACCATAATATATGAGCAATACAGCAGGGACTTCTTCTGATTCTACAAAGAAGCATCTACGGACAAATGCATAAACGTGGATCCCAACATAGGTTCTCGAAGATATCTGAGCATTCACGACTTAATAAACGTCTGAGTATGCCACAGTGCCTTTATAGGTTGCCCACGTTTGTAGAGTACCAAATTGCGGTCATCCTGGAGTATAAAAAAGCAATCAGGATGATCTGACTGTCTGTCCCAGTTCTCCACAAAGCAGTCTACGTGCTGTCATACTGAACGACGTTTCCATCCGCCTGCGCAACAATACGATATGGGGTATGACCCATTCCATCAGTATATGATGCCCAGATCACACATTCCTGGTCCATATAGCAGGACGTTCCCATCACCCTGACAAATAAAACGATAGAGTTCATTTGCAGATTGCAAATAGTCGCCTTCGCGGATGACCTGATCGGTCAAGTTGATAAATGAACCCAGATTGCTGTCGAGTACAGTTTCCCGGCCCAATGCTAGATCATTTAGCTCACGAAACACACCCTCGAGGAGGCTGTCGGCCTTTACGTTTGCATCCCCTTCGAGTTCCATATTGTCATGGATGTCCCTGATGCTCTTCTGCCATGGGGCAGTAGTAATTGATTGAACAATATACTTCAGGAGAAATTTATTCACTCCCCTTCTCTTTTGTATTGAACAACATGCTCAAGTTCATGCAGCATCCAGCGCACACAATCCTCGTTTGGATTTGTCCAATCAAGATAAATCCCCGTGGGAAATGAATACAGTAACCGATTGTCACACCATTTCCAAAATTGTGTCGATGCCTTCTGCATAACTCATTCTTGTGAGATCTATATCGTAAGCAACCATTTCCTGTAGGACCAATTTAAGCCATTGGAGCAAAGGCTTGTATTTCCCTCGCACTTGTTGAGCCAAAAAGTTCACATATGCCTGGGCAATGGGGTTTTGAAAAAGCTCGTCCCAGAAGGTTTACAAGAAGTGCTTGTCAATATCTCTCATTTTCTTGCGCAGTGCTGACTCTTTGTCGAATGGGTAAGTCTTTCCATTTCGACTTTTTGAGGTCATTTGCCCAGCCCATTCTGGTCAGGTAAGGAGGCACGGGGATTGAGAAGCTGATATGCTGGCCTTGAACCTTTGTATTTACCTGATGATTAATAAACAGGTGCTCAAAAATTTCAGGGGATTGGCATGATATAGCAACCAGATGGCTGATGGTAATGGATGATTCCATTCAACATGCCCGACAGATTATATATCCGGTGCAGCAAACCATAATCCGGATCTTCATCCATTTACGAGGTCTTGCAATCATGCTTCAGACACTTATCAGCTTTGTAATTCATCCTCCGAATAATTTTTGACTTTTACCTTTCGTTGTGCCCCATGTTATTATTCTCTACTAGGGCTCTAGAAGCAGCCTTCAAGTATACGAAGTATAAATTTCCCCGCTAGAGGTATCATACCAATCAATATTTGTGTCGGCCGAAATCTGCCGAAATCTCAGGGAGGGTGCTATATTGAATGAATGGCTTTGCTTGACTGAACGGAATACTGCAGTCGTCCGCTTTACTATGTAAAGGTGTTGTATCGAATGAAGAATACCCAAACAATGACATCATGCTATACTACTATGTGGCGCAGCCGTTGTGGCTGTTATCATGTGACCCACCAGCCCACCGCCCGCTGTTAGGCTGCCAGAAAGTGGACGATCTCCCTAAGACCTAAAGAAGGAATAGCTTAACGACACTTTCACCCATCCAGACGGCGGGCCTGTCTTTTATTATATACATTACGACGCCTCTCACGGCGACTCCACACTAAACCGTTCCGCTGACGCAGCCTCCCAGACTCGAGGAAAAACAATGGCTCCCTGAGAATTCCCCAACTACAGCTTGTCATGACATTTGGTTCTGCGTTGTAGCAGGTCCACGCATCACTTCTCTTCATGTGAGAGCAACTAGTGAGGCTTCACCGCTTTATATCTGCATGATGTCTTCGTCACCCGATTATGTGCATCCGCACGACAACGCCAGCATCCCTAGCGACTCCGGCTCCGATGACGACCTGGATCTCGAAGAACTCGATCCGGATACTGCTCCAAGTCACCGACCTCCGCGGCTCTCAGGGGATGGCTCGACTGGCCAAAGAGGATACGGCCCTGGGATTGCATTGAGAAAGTTACGTGCAGGCGTTGGGAATCGGCTGAGACGCAGCGTCTCCGGGATGAAGCGCAGAGAATCGGAAGAGGACACAAACGGTCTGTTGGAGGACCAGAATAGTGGTAGGATGCGGAGATCGCAGGCGAGCTCCCATAATTTGACAGATGATGATGCGCCGTTGCTCGAAGACCGGCGCATATCCACTCACTCGTTAAGCAACCAAGGACCGGCATCGAAAAGGGGATTCCGGTTACGATTCCCCGGGCTTAGCACCATATTCAATCGTTCATCCAAAAATGCACCAGTCAAGGCAGAATCCCAGCCGCCGCGAGATGTGCTGGTTGGGCAAGCGCAAAGATCGAAATACCCCCCGAACATCGTGTCGAACGCAAAGTACACACCATGGAGCTTCCTACCCCGTACTCTTTACAACGAGTTTTCCTTCTTTTTCAACATCTACTTCCTATTGGTCGCTCTCTCGCAAATCATTCCCGTCCTTCGAATCGGTTACATGTCGTCATACATCGCACCGTTGGCTTTTGTGGTTTCAATATCGTTGGGAAAGGAGGCGTTGGATGATATTGGCCGTCGTAGGAGGGACGCTGAGGCGAACTCTGAGGAATTTACCATTTTGGCACTTGACGAATCTACAAGGAAGACGAATGAACACGTGCTGGAGGTCACGAAGAAGTCTCGTGATCTAAAGGTCGGCGATGTTTTGAAGGTCCGGAAGAATCAACGTCTGCCTGCGGATGTTGTCATCCTAAAAAGCATTTCTGCCGATACTACCATCACGCAGCAAGAACCCGTCACTGAATCTCCCGCCGACCTTATCGATTCGGATCAAGGACCGTCAGCGCCTACGGATCCAGCGCCCAGCTCTACTGCCACAGCAAATGAGAAAAACTCATCTGCTGCTGATACGTTCATCCGGACTGATCAACTAGATGGTGAAACGGACTGGAAATTGCGCTTGCCTTCTGCGTTGTCCCAGAGCCTACCGTTCGGTGAACTCATTAGGCTTAAGATCACCGCCAGCGCGCCGGACCAGAGAGTCAATGAGTTTGTTGGTGCCATTGAATTGGAACCGCCTTCCGGATTCTATGATGCGCACGTTGACAAGTCACAAAACGGGAGAGAGGATGAAGGAGAAGATCCACAGAACAATTCTGCACCGTTGAACATCGACAACACCGCGTGGGCCAACACTGTTCTCGCATCAAATACCACTACCTATGCTGCCATCATCTATACAGGCTCACAGACACGAGCTGCCCTTTCCACGTCTCCCTCTCGGTCGAAGATCGGATTGTTAGAATATGAAATCAACAGTCTAACCAAGATCCTCTGCATCCTGACTTTTGCGCTTTCGGTTATCCTAGTCGCATTGAAAGGGTTCCAGCCGACCAATGATAAGGAGTGGTATGTAGCGATTATGATTTATCTGATTCTCTTCTCGACAATTATTCCGATGAGTTTGCGTGTCAACCTGGATATGGCCAAGTCCGTGTACGGTCGTTTCATCGAGCGAGACAAGGACATTCCGGATACTGTCGTCAGGACAAGTACGATTCCTGAAGACCTTGGCAGGATTGAGTACCTCCTCTCGGACAAAACGGGGACTTTGACTCAGAATGGTATGTATCACTCCTGAAACGTCTGATAACCTGGCTAACATTATGTAGAAATGGAATTGAAGAAAATCCATGTTGGAACAGTTTCATACGCAAATGATGCCATGGATGAAGTTGCCTCGTATATCCATCAAAGTTTTGCTGGAAACGCATTGGTCACTCCCTCCACCGTCTTTGGTGCTCAAACAGGAGCTGGAACTGCTCCCCGTACAAGGAGAGAGATTGGTTCCCGTGTTAGAGACCTTGTCCTGGCACTTGCTCTCTGTCACAATGTTACGCCCACTGCGGATGAAGAGGACGGTGTAAAGGTTACAAGCTATCAGGCCTCGTCACCCGACGAGATCGCTATCGTTCGATACACGGAAGAGGTAGGACTCAAGCTAGCCTACCGCGATCGCCAATCAATAGTTCTCGAATCTACCGACAATGGGCAAGTCGTGGTGCGTGTGCGCATTCTAGATATCTTCCCTTTTACGTCGGATAGTAAGCGCATGGGCATCATTGTCCAATTCGAGCATGGCGGGATGCTGGAATCCCCAACGGACAACAGTGAGATATGGTTCTACCAGAAGGGTGCTGATACTGTTATGACCTCGATTGTTGCGGCAAATGACTGGCTTGATGAGGAGACCGCTAACATGGCCCGAGAGGGTCTGCGGACACTGGTTGTTGGCAGAAGGCGGCTTTCTATGCAGCAATACCAAGAGTTTACGGCAAAATATAAGCAGGCATCGCTTGCTTTGCAGGGCCGTGATGCAGGAATGGCCAAGGTTGTCAATGAGCATTTGGAACGGGACTTGGAACTTCTCGGAGTGACAGGTGTGGAGGATCGACTGCAAAAAGACGTGAAGCCGTCTCTTGAGCTTCTCCGCAATGCAGGAGTGAAGATTTGGATGTTGACCGGAGACAAGGTTGAGACTGCACGCTGTGTGGCTATCTCTGCGAAACTTGTTGCAAGAGGACAATACATCCATACCGTCGCAAAAGTTACTGATCCGTCAGCCGCCCAAGAAGCCCTGGAATTTATTCGCAACAAGACTGACTGCTGCTTGCTTATTGATGGAGAATCGTTGTCATTGATGCTGGGCCAGTTTAGGTCACAGTTTATCTCTCTGGCGGTCCTGCTCCCAGCTGTCGTTGCCTGTCGGTGTTCGCCTACCCAGAAGGCAGAGGTTGCGGATTTGATCCGTCAACACACAAAGAAACGGGTGTGCTGTATTGGCGATGGTGGTAACGACGTCTCCATGATCCAAGCAGCCGATGTCGGTATCGGTATCGTTGGTAAAGAAGGTCGTCAGGCGTCGCTTGCAGCAGACTTTAGTATCACCCAGTTCCATCACCTGACGAAACTTCTCGTCTGGCACGGACGCAACTCTTACAAGCGGTCAGCAAAGTTGGCACAGTTTATCATGCACCGTGGTCTCGTTATCAGCGCTTGCCAGACAATGTACAGCATTGCCAGCAGTTTCGATCCGAAAGGTCTCTTCATCAATTGGCTCATGGTCGGCTATGCCACTATCTACACCAATGCCCCGGTTTTCTCACTGGTTTTCGACCGCGACGTGGACGAGCACTTGGCCAATCTTTATCCGGAACTATACAAGGAGTTAAAATCCGGCCGCAGCTTAAGCTACCGCTCGTTCTTCATCTGGGTGTTCATCTCAGTCTACCAAGGCGCTGTGATCGAAGGACTCTCACAGATTCTATTAGACACCATCTCCGGCCCACGACTCATCAGCGTATCATTCACAGCACTTGTGCTCAACGAATTGCTCATGGTCGCTATTTCCATTACCACCTGGCATCCCATTATGATCATCTGTCTTCTTGGTACCGCTCTTGTCTACTCAGCTAGTGTCCCGTTCCTGGGAGACTACTTCGACCTGCACTATGTGATAACTGTGGACTGGATCTGGCGAGTCGTGGTTGTTGGTGCGGTATCCGTTGTTCCTGTCTGGGCTGGGAAACTGGTTAAGTATTCTTGGAGCCCGCCTAGTTACCGAAAGGTCCGGGGGTGATTCTTTTGTTCTTTTTCTGTATCTCACTCGCTTGTTGAGCCGAAAGAGTTTGAGTGATGCGCGTTGTAGCGTGAATAACATCTTCTTGTTTCTATTTTTTGCCTCAGATCCCAATAGACATATAAATCTTAGTTCCCGCACCCTGGCAGCTCCTTGGATATTAGATCCCAGCTCATTTATCGAATCTAATATCCGCTACAAGACCCTCCCCCAACCCCACACCTACAATTTCATCCCAATAAGCATTCGGCGCATCGAATCTGTACTCATACGGAGTAACACTCCATTACTTCTTCTCACCCACCCGGCTAAAAAAAACAGATTCGACACATAAAACGGCCTCCCGGGACCCTCTTCACTAGAAATAGTCTTCGTCCCATTACCCATAAGTGCCTGCATCTTTAAAAACGCCTCATTCCCTATTAACTTCCCAACAGGCCTCGCCTCTTTATTATCAAAACTCGCATCCGGAACTCCGTTAAAGCTGCTCTCCGGGTCAGTAATCCACGCCTCCCATTTTTTAGAAAAGCTTCCTTCATCCCCTTTGCACTTTTATTGATTATATCCCTCCAAAAATGCCCCTTCTCCGGGTTTCGCAACACCAGCATCTTCAAGTATGGAGATAGCACCCGCGACCCAATCTTGGCAATTGCTGACCCCAAGCTCGGGCGTGGTACTCTCATCATTTCCGAAGGCTGTTAGTAAATTGGTGATTTGCGATCCGTCTTCAATCTGAAAGTGAGGAGAGTAGTTCACAGTGGCCGTAGATGTTTATGGAAAGGGAGTGGGGCATGATGGTGATGTTAGTGGCTTGGTGTGGATGTTTAGTGTTTGATGGTAACGGTGATGTTGATAGAAAACTTCGTATATATAGTTTAATGATGGTACCTAGATGGCGACGTGTGGTTTTGCTTCTGGTTTGACTGCGGCAGAAAGAGCAATATACTCCCAAGTATGAGGAATTAGTCTACTTCAGTAACAGTCGAGATAAGATTATTTGCACAGCGTATATGAGTAATAAACACCAAGGTACACATATTCAGTGTCTTTTTATTGGACTAGTGCACAACCCACCGTACTAATAATCTGTTATATTGATGCTATATGTGTTCAGAAGCAAAGAATCTTCTAGGCTTAAGCTAGTATCGTCCCCTTTGCGAAGGGGACGCATTCGAGAATACGTTTGAATGTAGATTGTTGAGGTACACATGTATCGAAAGCAAATAAAAGCGAAGAACGCGAATGCTCAGCAGTATATCCTAGTGACACCCAGTGGTTAAATATTAGGCTAGTAACTTAATGACAATATGGCTAACGAGATCTCATACCTTATCTTCATCTTTGTTCGAGCGTTGTGTCGAGGTTGATTGTAAACAACTAACAAAGCCCGTCTCAACTCTTTGATAAACCCCTGGTAGTCGCAGGTGCAAGACTGCTGTTCTAAATCATCAGGTGCATATATAATCCACATCTGACCATCTTTTGCGTTGTATTTTCTAAACATGTGGAAATAATTGCTGAAGCAAGTCGTAGACATGGCATAAGCTCCAACAGAACAGGTAGCAGACGAGGTCTATTATGAAGAAGTTAGAACGAGTTCCGAAGCTTACGACGCAACGGCTTCAAGGTTAGTCCTTGCCTTTATTATCACTCACCTCATCTTGTATTCTGGACAGAACCACATAACCCCCAAGGTCTACATTACAGAGAACCACATCAAACTACGTACCACTTCCATCAGCGGAACGAAAGCAAAAAGACCCTTTGTCTTGAGCGTAAAGGAAATGATGCATGCAAGAGGGCAGGCTTTCCCGTGGAAGGACTGATACTAAATAAAAAGTATATTGGTTAGGTCCCACTTGGAGGCATATTTGAACTATCAAAGTACAATCACCACCATGTCCTTTCCACCGTCCAAATAATTGCAGACGAGAAGAGCACAACGCAGGTCTAGAGGAGAACAGCCAGAATGCATAAAAATGCTCCCTTTTCGTCGTTCGAGAATCGGGGATATGAAGCGCTAAGGCTCAGGCTTGTATGTGTTTGTTCGCTCATCCAGTTCAACGCGTAGACGAAGGCCCTGGATCCACGATCTGGTGAACTTTTTGGGAAGGAATATTGAAATTCACTTCACCAAAGCTCATCGAGGATGACAGTCAGTCCCCTTCAGAGATCCTCATGGACGTATCCCATCTTCCAAGTTCTTTTTTGACTTCTCCTTGTCAACTGGAAATAATTGTTTTTGTTTTGGCTGTGTGTAATGGCTAATTCAAACAGAGCGTTTAGGTATTGAATTCAAAGTAGAATTATTCGTTTCTCAAACCTGATATAGCCCACTGTGTGTTTCTTGTGCTTGCGGAAGAAAGATCCATCAAACAGTATTTTTTTTTTGTCTCACTTCGATACATTGTAAGATATTCATGGAGTGTTCGAATCCAAATCCGAGTAGATTATTTCACGAAATAAATTCAGACAAAGAGTGTGAGGTGGATGACTGAGAAGGTTTATAAGTCAATAACATCCAAGTCAGTGGATAGAGATGAGACGAGGGGGAGAACGGTATTAGGGCTCATAACCAGACATTGAGTAAATGGCCACATCTACCTGAATGTGTTCGAAATTTGGAAAGTAGTCTACTTGCAGTTTAGATAGGTCCGAAATAACTGTCCATTCTCTCCCAGTTGACATGACTTTATTCTGACGACCAGATCTACTAGAGCACACAATCCTGTAATTCCAAAAAAAAAAAAAAAAAAAAAAAAAAAAAAAAAAAAAAAAAAAGAAAAAAGAGGAAAACGGACAATAATCAATTACTACCACATTCTAATAGCTAAACACAAACACTACTTATGTTACATCCATCTGCCTCAAAAGTCCCTGCAACTCAGGCCTCTTAACCGGTTTAATAAGAAACGTATCAATGCCCGACCCAAACGCCTCTTTTTGCGCATCCGCACTGTCCAGACCCGTCAAGGCTACGATGATCATGGGCCGGATGGACTCGGGCTGGGACTTGTTCTTGTACTGTTTTTCAATGCGCCGCATGTGGCGGGCCGCTTCGAAACCGTCCATTATGGGCATGGATAGGTCTGTTCAAATATTAGAGGAAGAAAGGATTTGAAGAGGAGGGGGACATACCGATTACCACGACACCGAACCGGCCTGGCTGGGCCTTGTATGTATCGACAGCTTCAACGCCATTCCTCGCTGTTAGATAGTCGTACCCACTCTTCTTCGTGTACACGGATAGTAGCTGAAGGTTGAGGTCATTATCATCCACCAGCAACACGGATCTCCCAGTCGTGCGCTCTTCCGCCGCACCATTCTTGTCGGCCGACGATGGGTTGGTTCCACTGCGACTGCGACTCCCATCCCCCATAGTATCGGTAGTAGGCCTCTTGCTAATCTTCATGCGCTCGTCTGGAGGATCGCTGGGATTAAGGTTCAACGGCAAATGAGACGACTCGGGCATCTCGACCCAACGTGTGGGCTCATCAGGGCTGCTAGTCTGTTCTCCTTGTTGCTCCAACCGGCGCTTGATGCACAAGTCAAGAGCACGAGCCAGCTTGCGCGGCCCGCAGGGCTGGCTGATGAACTCGAAGATGGGTGACTCGTTGCCGCGGCTCTTGGCCGCGATGAACATGTTGTGTGCTTCTTCAGGAGATTGGCAGATTACCACGACGGGGGACCCACAGCCCTTGTCGACATTGTCGCCCGTTAGATGCTGGCCTAAGTTGAATATATTGCGACCCTCTCGGTCCTCACTGTCGAGCTCGGTTTGAACAGCTAAGTAGAAGTCGAATGGTTTATGCTCGCCCTGTACTGGAGATACAGTGGTAGCGTTTAGACCGAACCACTCACGACATAATCGTTCCAGAGACGAATACAGCGTGGAATCGCGCTTCGAGCGTAGCGAGGACCCAAACCCTAATAGGCCAACCGACTTGCCCTCAACATGACTCCGCAACGTCTTGAACACCGACGCGTCTGAGGGTGCAGGGTGGTGGGTAAGTGGAGTACGAATAGTCATCGTGGTACCAACACCTTGGGTCGAGTTGACCTCGATAGAGCCCCCGAGGGATCCCACCGCTTGACGGACGATGCTCAGGCCCAGACCGCTCCCCGAGGCGAGCGCGTTCTCTTGTCTAAATGGGGTGAAGAGGTCCTTCTGCAAGTACTCAGGGCCAATGCCCTTGCCGGTGTCCTTGACAGTCAGGGTCACCTCATATTGCTCGGCTTCATCCTCAGAATCCGAGACTGGGCGCTTCTTCTTTTTCTTCTCCGTTCGGGACGACGTGAGTCTGATATGGATAAAGCCTGACGAGGTGTACTTGAGGGCGTTGCCGAAAGTATTCATTAGGATGCGGCGCCAGGCACCGGCATGCGTGTAGAAGCCCCACTCGCTCTCCTGGTCGATGTCGAAGATGATCGTGACTCGATTGCTCTCGGGGCCTGCACGTTTTGATGGTGCATCGTCTGCTGCTCGTGAGGAGGAATCGGTCAAGGCTGGGGGCGGTGTTTGCGGATGGTTGTAGAAACTATAGCCTGCGAAGACGCATTCCGTCACCTCCTCGAGCACCTGGTCCAGCTGCACGTCAGCATACAATGGTTTCTCGCGCTGTCGTGTCCTGAAGGGAGATCGTTTCTTCTGGTATTTGTCGATGAATGTGAAATCGAGCAGGTTATTGATGGTGTCCAGTAGAGTGCGGCCACAGGCCTCAATTGTGTGAACCATGCCATGCTGGAGAGCGTTCATCGCCGTGTCACTCAGGATGTCGGAGGTGCCCAAAATGCCATGAAGTGGGTTGCGGAGCTCGTGAGTGATACTGCTAACAAGATTGGTTTTGGCCCTGTCCGCAACCTTTGCATCGAGGCGCCGGATTTCCGTCATGATGCTGTTTGCAAAGGCGGAGATGTACACGAGCTCGTTCTCGGTCGTGAAAACGCGTTCCGGACTGTTGGTCCAGACCAAGTTAACGGCAAAGCATCTGTTCTTGTCCGTGTCCCACACGGGCAACACCATGATGTTCCGGGCATCTGGAAAGATATTGATTAGATGTTCGGCGTCGTGCAGGAAGGCAGGCTTCCGCCTTCGTTTGCTGCCGGGCCGCCGCTTCTGCTTCTTAATACGGACAGCGTTACCCTCAGCACATGATTTCTCGGATCCAGATGTGGCCTGGGAGATGGAGTCGCTGTCGTCTGAGACCGCTCGATTGGCATTATAGGAGAATATTTTGCCCTGAGGATACCGATGGAGCAGCGATGTGAGCAGGGACTTCTTCGCCGCGATCTCGGATCCCACCATTGAGTTGCTATTGATACTAGATACCCGTGAGGTGGAAGATCCCAGACAGACGCAAGCCGAAGGACCATGTGGTTCCCCATCCTCATCCGAGGCCGAGGATGGCTGGCGTCGGGATGATGAAGATGAACCGGAGTCAGTCTCCTCGTCACTGGTCCCTGTTTCCTTGCCGGAGCCTGTCACCTTGCGACTGTTATTATAGACCAAGTCACCAAATCGCTCACTGTTCGGATCGAGGAACACGACCCCTTCGGCGCCAATAGATTCCCTGATTAGGTTGGCCGCACGGGAGAAGACATGCTTGATGCTTGTTGACAGCATGTCTTCCTCCAGGGCTTCATCACCAGCAAGAATACCTCGGGCTGGCTTGGGTTTCTGTGACGACTGATCCGGCCTATTGCCGTCGGAGCGTCTGACCGGCTCCTGGTTGTTCACCGCCAGGGCGCCGTCTCCCCCACGCCTGGGAACCCGGTACGCGAGAGTTTTCTGATCGGTACCCTTGGCCGCCTCTTGCAATTCCTGCTGTCGCATGTTCAACTGGCCCTCGACCGTCTCCCCGGACTGCTCCGAGGCTGCATATTGAGCATTAGCCTCACGCCAGGAATGGCGCAGGGTGGCTCTGCCCTCGACAAAACTGCCCAGGCCCACAATCATGCGTTCGGCTTGCTGGCTATTGTGGTACTCGCGCTCCGTGACCAGATGTCCCATAACAGTAGATGCCATATCCTTCAGGAACTGCAGCGAATGCTCATCAATGCCCTCGGGGCGGGGCGTAGCGTCCCAGATGCTGTATGCGCCGATGACAAAACCGCGCGGACTGATAATGGGCACGGCCGCGTAGAAACGGACGTCGGATAACTCGTCCAACAGCCGGCCGGACTCGAACCAGTCCTCCGTCACATCCGGCACTACCACGGCGCTCCCGTTCATCACCCACCTGACCTGGTCGTGTTCCAGGGATGGTAAGCTGGAGACCAGGTGGCAAAGACCCCTGTCCTTGGGAAAAGAACAGCATCCTAATCGTAAACGGTCACATTCATCACGGACGTGGCCCCCGACCAAACTCAAGGTAGGTGTAGCCTCAGCCAACACATGTTGGTACGCGCGGTCGAAGAGCGAAATTAGGGCTCTCTGGGCGCCTAGTCGGAAGGCGCCTAGCTGAGCGAAAGAGACCAAGGCAGTGTCTCGAGACGGTTGACATCCATGCTGCCAATGGGTGAAATTAAAACTAGAACTAGGGCTGGTATCATGGGGAAGGTACCTGCGGGACAAGTTAGCGATGGCATGACTCTCCTACGGCGGAAATGGCCAATTTGATTATACAGAGTACATACTTGAAGAATTCCCGCTCCTGCGCTAGTGGGAAGTAAGACTGCGCAGTGGTTCCAGCATTAGCAGTCATAATGCGGAATAATATGGGTCTGAGGTATAGGCGACGCTGACTACTTAAAAAGGTAGGAGACCTGGACCCGATGAGATAAGCAATCCTGCTGGAACCATGATGTCACGATAACTACGTCATAGCCTGCCTGCCTCAGGTATGGAATGCTGTAGAATCTTGAGTGTGCCCTATTCTGTTTCTATTACGCATTAGAGCTTAGCCTTGAAGTTATCAGTTCTCGTCATAGCCGAAGTTATCCTTTTGAGCTCCTGCAAATGGCCCTTATAAACCCCTCGAGGCGTGGTGTTGTACTTGCGGCACCGATGCGCCGCTGCAGCCGTCGCAATGGCATTTTGTCCACCATTCCCCATGAACTTCGAGTTCGATCCGGCAACATGGGTGACGCTTATATGCTTATCCGCCATCATCAAGTTCGGGACGTTGACTAAATACAAGCAGCGAAAGGGAATGTTCATACGGCTTCCGATCACGCTCATCCCACTCCCAATACTTCAGACCAAAGTCATATTTGCCATTCCCTGGGTAGTGCAAACAAAACGCCCCATCATTCTGCACCACGGCATCAGGGAAGTTTCTGTGTGTGCGGATATCCGTCTCCGCGAGGACGTAGTCGCCTTTATATCGACGAAATTCGCCCTGCACAGAAACACAAGCAACCCACTCAAGCTCTATGTTGGCGTAGTTTTCAGGATCCATGGTCTTGAAATTCGAGAGAGTACCATAGATAGCCCGCAGGAGATGATTGCGGATATGCTCACCCTGAGTATACGGATCCAGCCACTGCCCATACTCCCATAAATGGGTAAGCGGGCCCTTCATGCGCCGCCGGATCGAGGGTCCGGAGGAACGACCATTGGACCCGGGCCGTTTTCGATCCCGGGTTATGTGAGCTGTCCCCGTAGGTCTGAGAAGTCTTTGGTGACTTCTGTGGCCCATGGGACACTGGGAAAGGATACTGGGACGTCTGCCATGCGCGTGCGGAAAAAGACGGTGTTTCCGTGGTGCATGTTGTCGGCTTGGGCGGGAGCTAGATGCTCGCCGCACTCTGCTTGTGATTCTTGGCCGTATAGCGTCTCTGCGCCTGAGTATATGCCTAGGATGGATTTCCCAGAGCAGTCGACGAAAGAGGTTGTAGTAAGGCGGACCTCCCGACCACCACAGGCAGCGCGGGCGTCAATAAAAGCAATACTGGAACCCGTAGTAACCACAGCATCGTAAACAGTGTGCCCCAGAAAGACTGTAGCATTAGGCTCAACGTCAAGCAGGTCTTTCGCATACAAATCTCCGCCCGGGTGGCGCACCGAAATCTCATCGATGAAGGCAGCCACACTTCGTAATCATTTCTCTTCCAATTCCTCAGAGATATCCTCACAATTCAACGCCCCCTTAGCAGCCAGACACCATGGGATTTGTCAGTGGCCTTTGTCCGATATGGCAAAGGGCGGCCATAATGAGATCTGGGGTGTTGATTTAAAAGACGGCAATCATGTAATAGCACAATAAATCCTAGACAAAGTACTTGGCCAGACTAGACAGAGAAAAAGCAGTTACTTATCTGTGCATAGCTCTACGATTCCCATGGAACACTCTGTTCAATAAATCCGCAGACCTCCAGAACATATGCTGTAATCGCAAAATCCTGGAATGGCGACGTCGAACCAACCCAGGAGCTCTCATGAGCGAAACGTATTTCCTCTCTGAACTGAACCTGTGCCATATCACGCTGGACCGGGGCAAATATAAATTATAGGTGAAGATTGACAAGATGGCTTTAGATCGATATTCACAAATCCATGAGGTCCTGGCGACATCTGAAGGAATGGTGAAGCTGGGTACCGCAGTGGTCGAGACGCTCACCAATTTGGTTATACTGCACCGTCAGAAGATCAGGAAGATCCCAACCTTAAATTCAATTACCAGGTGCTTTGTGTTATTGAAATCAAAATCTATCATACACTGAAGGGCAATGAAGAATTTCCTTTCCATTCGAACCTGTGCAGTGCCACTGAGTTAGGGAAGATCATGCATCTTTACTATTAAGGTATTCTGACATGGCTATGGTGGCTCCACGTGCTACAGCTATGGCACATGCTATTGCGAAGAGAGCTTCAACGAAGGAATAGTCCAAGCGCTTCGTGATTGATTATCCCCGAAGTGCTCGACTGTAAACACGACATTGAATCAGACTTCTTCACAACGACTACTTCCTACACCAAACTGTTCGAGGGCTAAAGGGCTGAAAGACCGTGTTTACGCACGGCGGTCTGCATCCGGAGAATATTATCGTCCGATATGATGGTACTGTCGTGCTTGTGGATTGGGGCCGGGCGAGGCTCTGGCCCGAGTATTGAGAGCTTTATCGTGTTATATCTAGTCACCCATGGAGAGCATCGTGGCAGCGTATAGTGAAGAAGTTTGTTCCGCTGTTTTATGTTGTGTATAATGGAATTAAAGGGTGTTTAGGACAGTTTAGAGGTGAGGTATGGTTCAAACTCGCTAGAGCAGCCCTGGACTAATCTAGTGTTCTTCGAACAGAACATTTTGAGGCAGCATAGATCAGAATAAAAGGCACAGCCAGTCGATCCTTCACCAACAGGGATGTCAGATCAGCGGACCTACAGGGGTAGTTGTAGGTACTCATTGCTCGTATTCATCTATCCGCCATCAAACAACATTTGCACGTCCAACAATGGCTATACGTCCTATACAAACTGCTGAAGACAGAGAGGAGAACGCCTTCTTCGTTCCAAATATAATTGGTATGTCGCTTCGTTTCCGAATGCCTCGAACCTGCCTAATCCTATAGGGTACACACGTGTTATATTCGCCATAGCATCCCTCTACTACATGCCCCTCCACCCCCGCACATGCTTCCTCCTATACAGCATATCCCGCCTCCTTGATGCTCTAGACGGAGCTGCTGCTCGCCGTCTCGGACAATGCACCCAATTCGGCGCAGTGCTGGATATGATCACAGACCGCTGTACAACGACTTGTCTATTGATGTTTATAGCGAGCGCGTTCCCAAGATGGAGCATCGTCTTGCAGGGATGGATTAGTTTGGACTACTCAAACCACTATATTCATATGTATACGACATTAGGGATAGGCAGAAATTGCCAGAGCCATAAGCAGATTGATGAGAACCGGCCTTAGGTTATGTGGGTTTATTACTCGAATATACTATGCTATCCAACTTATTGTGAGAGATAAAGCTAAGGACCGGCAGTATATCCTCTTCTTCGTCTGCTTGCTGAACGAGCTGTTCTTTATCGCGTTGTATTTGCTCTCCTTCTCATCTCCTACGCTTATGCCATCGGTATCGGAGGCCTCGCGGGCGACTAGGCCGTGGAGCGCTGGGACAATGGGAATGGCTCGGTAAGTTTACTCACAGGGAATGGATTAGGTTTTGTGCTTACGCTGTGCCAGTGTAAAAAAGATAGACAGCGCTGTTCCATGGACCTTACAGATTACCTCATCGCTGTTTATGCTACTTCAGCAGTATGTGAATGTTGTTCAATTGATCGAGGCTAGCAAGTGGCTTGTAGGGGGTGACCTGAAAATGAGGAGGAAGATGCATTCCCAGAAAATTCAGTGGACACAGCCAAAGCGGTGGATTAGAATATTAGACCTGAAGTTATTTCTGATTTCTTGGTATTTCCCTTTTTGTCTATAGCCCAATTTCACCGAATAGCCTGGAATGTATCCAGAAAAGGTTTCAATTTCACAACGGCGGTCCACTTCACAAGCCATAAATGATGTCTCTCTGTGCCTGATGAGGTTTAGACGGATGCCAACCGTGCGCGAGAGCTGAGATGTCGATACATGATCTACCCTGTAGTTGAGCACCTAGAAGGTACAGTGATAATGGCATGAGACCTCTACTCCCCGGCCTTATCCTTTGAACTAGTATTTGCACTTCAGCCCCTGGCTACTATCCAATGGCCTTTTTAACGCCATCCATGGCACTCTGCGGCAACGAGGATCTCCTCTACACCACATTGGCATGCTTTCTTCTTGAGAACCATGTCTGCAGGGGCAGAGTTATATCATAGTGACCCATGAGCAGATCTAGTCACGGGGACTCGAATTCGCCGTGTTTTTCGTCTAATATGTACGATCCCCATCCAAAAGTGGGTCTAAGGACGATGGGTCTCAAAAGCTGTCATCATCTAATCAGCCCCTAAAAGAACCCCGGTTGACTTCACGCGTAGGTCGTGACCAAAGATCTCCGGCTTCTATATCTCGACGGGATGTTAGCTGTGAGATCCAAAGGTACTCTCGAGTAATAGGAAGGTGAGTTTTCGCCGTTAGATGAGGAGCCAAGCCGGAAGTCATACGGCAGACATTCCCATCGGTGGGTCAATCTGCAGGCAGATCATCAGAGTGGCCTGTGTGGTAGTAGAACGGTGGGTTTTGGTTGGCAAGCTGATATCGGAAAACGAATCCATGGTATGCGGAGTGACACATGGCATTCACATGGGTCAACATTGACTTCATGTTGTCTGTCTTGCATCTAAATCTCTCTTTCCCGGTAAATAGTATATCGCAAATTGGCCAAGTCGGCCGATGATATCAAGGACAAGGCAGCCGCGCCGATTGACCCCAGAAGCGGAGGTGTTGCCGTCGATTCCTAGACTGCGACAAGTCCTCACGTCAGTATCCAGGAAGGTAAACGAGGACCCGAACTACACCAATCAATTCGTTATCATTCGAGGAATATCGCCCCGCAAATTTATATTTCAAAAATGGCAGGGCATTCCGCCGTCAGGCTCACCCTGGACAGCAAGTGCGCCATTTTGAGAATGCCCTCAAAAACACACGACTGCATCGCGCAAACCTTTACCGCTGAGCTCGTTGAGAAATTGTTGACAATGCGGATCCGCCCCCGTGACTGGTCATACAGTTAATGGACCAGCGGAGTACAAGGGCAGGTCGTGCCGTAAAGAAGCCGATCAGTCATTGATGCCGAAGAAAAACCCCCAGCATGACCCCGGAGAAGATTGGTCCTCCCTGATGATTGAAACTAGGTTTTCGGAATTCTAATCCCAGTTGGTCCCCGACTGCCATTGGTGGTTCGCAAATTCGGACAGTGAACTCAAGATAGTCCTCCCACTCGACATTCCCCAGACCGGGGCCTCACGCGTGGGTACACAAACCTACCTGCTTCATCACTCGGTGGTATCCGGATCCGTTTCAGCACCTTATCCGCCAGCAGCCCTTTTTGCTCCCCCAGTGGTAACTTCCGGTGGTCCTTCATCTTCTTCAACGGACCTTGCATCACCCCGTGCACCTACGTCCTCGCAATCGACATCCGGTCAGGCAGCGGATACAACCATACTGCGGCTTTTATGTCGCCCAGGAAATTTTCAATTTTCCCGGAGTTGTTCATGACACTCCTCTTGAGGCTCCCATTAGAAGCTGTCATGCGCCGTGAACCGTCGCCTAAAACCTAGGAGGTTCGTTATATTGAATCAAGTGGTGATGATAACTGGGAATGTGCCGCCGTGTGTTTTGATAGAACTGTCTAACCTTTTGTGCTTCCTGATCATGTGCTGTTCAAGTCTCCAAAAGGAGTGTCAGTGGAGGATACGGTTATATGGGATGGGTACTAAATTCGGCGTTGGTTCATATTCTCAAGGTCATTGATTGGCCAAAAGATTGTCACTCACACATAGCGTTGACAGATCTCCTTACCTTTTCTTGATCCTCGGAAGTCAAATGACACGCGGAATGTCTTGTCCTTTTTTCTTTTTCTATCTGACCAGAACTAGCTACTGCTTCAATTCCTAGTTCTTGTTCAAACTCGGTGGTCACGTTCAATGATTCAATGATGCAATGAGTATATTTGTATTTCATCAAGGAAACATATCCTGTTATATGATTTAGTCCGCATACGTACTTGGTTTTCTAGACAGCTCGAAGGCTTTCCCTTTCCGTTTTTGTGCTCACCCCTCGTGTCAGGGTGCAGGGTCAGGTACAGATATATTAGGAATTGACGAACAGGTCAAGCTCCAGGTCAGGCTAACTACAGGTACATAGACAAGACGCAGCTCGAAGAGCTGCGATAGGATTCGGCTTCAGCAGGAAGAGATATCTGTCGGAATCACAACTTAGGGTCGAAAGTACGTATCGAGCGTATAAGGTTGAGGTCTCTGATTCTTGCAAAAAGGTGCTATATAGGATCCTATATAATACCGTTGACTACCTTATAGAGTATACTAAGCGATTATGCGGTTTCAAAAGCAGTAATGGCAGAGGAGTAGATAAGCTGCCGGCGCCATATTATCAGCGAGGCATCAATCAGGCATCAGTTGGTATTGTTCGGTAAGGAACCTCTATATTCCGACTGTACCCATCGGGTCACGTGACTGGCCGCCCTCGCTTTCTGCCCGATAGTCATATAGTTAGCCAAGCCGATAGACCATCGGTCCAATCAACTACTCTGGCACACTAAAAACTGAGCAGGCCCTAAGTACCCTCATTAAAACGGCGGCGTCCGAAGAGGAAATTCATGGTCGTTTTAGAAAAACAGGCACGTATAGGTGTATATGTACATATGTACATATACGTTTTGTATACTCCTGTCCTCCCGCGAGAAAGAACACGTCCCATATAAGCCTTTTGCAGTGTCATAATCATGGAATGGAGTTGAGGCTCCATATGTGGAGGGCGTGGTTGTTCTTGTGACCAGCGTCGATATTGTACTAATACGGACGTATATAAGAGGACAAGAGGTGAAGAAGCATACGGGACGGAATGAGGGCTTTCTGTCTTGGTTGTCTTGTCTTTCGGAACCCCAGCCCGAAAGAAATCAAAAGATTCAACGAAGCCGGCGATTAGCCTTAGCAATTATCCTGCAAACTTTTATTTACTCACATTTACCTTCCTCTGCTTCATAAGCAAAGCCGAAATAGAATACATTCTCGCTAGTGCAACAAAGTAAACCGGGTTATTATGTACAGCCGTGCCTTCCACCACCACGCTGTCAGATATGAAGCCCCTCCACATATTATTAGAACCGCCGGTCACGCGACATCAACCAGCAATGCCGGTCCAGCTGAAAAGAGACCCCCAAACTCAATCGCAGCATAAAACCTAGAAATATCCATACCCGTACTGAAGAGTATGCACCTGTACCCCATACAGACTAACGAGACCCCCATCTCGGCGTCATCCCCCCAACCGGCTTCCTCGCCGCCGGATCAAGCATCCCAGGGCTCGGCGACCTTCCTCCCTGCAACCTTGCCCTCAACCGTTCCTGCGCAGAAGACGCCCCTGAACCAGACCCTGGAACGGTCTGATACGACCCCGTGCGCTGACTAGGCAGTGGTCTTGCCCCAGCCGGCTGTCCAAGACCAGGCGAAGGCATCGGCGACGAAGAAGCGTTCATAGGCCCCGCGGCAGCAGGGGCACTCGCGGCGGCTGCCAACGGCGCACCAGAGGCATTGGGCGTCGACCGACCTCGACGGAGACTTGCTGTCTGCGAAGTCGCAGGTTGAGGGGATCCCGTGTCGCCCCAGAGGTCGCCCAGGCCACCCCCTCTTCCGTGACTCGCGGCGGAGGGCTGGCCAGGGGCACCGGGAGGGAGTTGGGTTGTTGCGACGACACGGGTTGGTTGGGGTGGGTTTGGATTTTTCGGGTCTGGGGGGAGCCAGGCTGGGAATGGACGGGCTTTTTCGACGTAGTAGGCGCGTAGGACGTTGGAGATGTGGGAGCAGTCTTCGTTGTCGGGGTCGTCGGCTTCGTCGCCTAGTGTGATTGCGCGACGGAGGGAGTTGAGGCGCGTGCCTAGGTTTGATATGGCAGAGGAAGAGGTTAGGGAAGAGAAGTAGGATGTCATTGTGTAGTTTATTATCTTTCTTCGTCTGTTGAGACCAGTTCAATGGGTGTTGTGTCGATGAGGGGCGGCTAGCGACTAGACGTCAAGCAAACGCAGAAACAGCAATCAATGGGTATCAGTAGTCAATAATCAATGGAGAATAAATATTATGGACAAGTGGACAGTTGCCAGTCTGAGACCGGAAAGGAGTGAAGTGCTTCAAATGTATTACTCCAGGAAGAGGTTATGATCTCCGTCGAGCCACCGTTTCAGCGGAGCGCACGTGATTTAATTCCTGAGGCAAACAACGTTATACAAATGAATTGCTATGGACAACAAACATTGAACAATTACATTGAAGGTATGGTCCCAATAAATATGGGTAACAACAGGATGTATATGCAATACCTGGGTATGAAAATCCCAATCGCAGCAGTAACAGTAGCAGCAGCAGAAACCGACCAACGCCATGCACATAACCAACATAACTTTTCTCTTGGTCCGCTTTTCTTTCGATGTCCTCCGTAACAATGGGAGAAGAGAGCCTATGCCATGACATTCTCCTTGCCCGCGCCCTCCGTCTCGTACTCGATCTCGATCTTCGGTCCCTTCTTCCGGGGTTGCGCGCGAGGAGCAGGACGCTTCCTCTTGCCAGGCAGGGGCTTCTTCTCTTCTTCACTGTCCTCGTCGCTGTCAGACTCGTCCTCGCTGCCATCATCCTCCTCACTATCGTAATCACTCGAACCGGCAGACTCATTACCCAACCAATCTTCCATATCCTCGAGATCCTCATCAACATCACTAACATACTCCACCTCCCCAACTCCCTCCTCCTCCTCATCCATATCCTCAATCCTCTCCCCATCATCCAGATCTTCATCCCTCTCGCCCTCACCCGACCGTTCTAATCCCCTAAGCACCTTCTTCCAAATCCCCTCCTCCACATTCAATGGCCGATCCCCATAGGCTCCACTCCTCAACCTCTCAATCAACTCCCTCTCAATCGCCCTCTCCACCTTCGCCGCACTAGCCGCCTTCCTCTCTCTCGTCTCCTCCCTCCGTCTAATCTTCGGCGCCAACTTCGGCACAACAGTCTCCTCAATCATCCCATCCTCCTTCTCTAACTTCCTCATCCGAATAGACACCTGCGTCAGCCTCGTCAAACGCTGCTTGCACTTATGCACCAGGAACTTGGGCCAGTAGATGAGGCGCTCGTCGAGCTGTTCGAGGGCTTTCGCGTAGTTGGAGGAGAGGCGTACGCGCTCCCACCATTTGCTGGGCATGTGAGCGCGTTCGACTGTCTTGGTGTAGAGGTACATGGCGCCGGTTTCAGGGTCGGAACGCACGGTTGCGTAGCGGGAGTTGGCGAGGGGGCAGGATTGGCGGTTGCAGAGACCGCTAACGTTGTATTCATTTCGGCAGAAGTTTTGTTCTTTTGTTGTTCTGTGTCTTTATTAGATTTTGTCTGATTTTTTTGAGGGGGAGTAAAGCGCACTTGAGCTTGTAAGAACAGAATTGCTGGTTGATAACCTGCCAGACAATCTCGTCCGACGACATCTTGTCTTACTATGGGTCCGGTATAACCTGAAGACCTGATAATATTTTAAACGTGGTGGACAATGGTGGTTTCGAGGATGGTATTGCGCTGCGGAAAAAATCTAAAGAAAAAAAAGTTGCTGCGGTGACTGGTCACGTGATGCGCCGATAAGGCTTATCGGGTCGCTTTGCAGGCCGTTTCAGAGGCGGCGCATTTCTAACCTGCCTGCATATTAGGAATGATGTTTTTAATAGAGTAGTTAATGATTAGAGCATTTGAAATTCATTTCTATAGCTCATTATCTACAGTCATCGCATGTACAGGATATAGAGTATTCTTTCCCATCCAGCTAAGGCTACCACCCCTCCATCTGCCCTCCATACGATCCATGCATCGGCACCGATCCCTCCCACTCCCCATTCCCATGCATCATAGGCGGCGCCGTCAACTCCCCCTCATCCACTCCCCCAAACCCATCACCTCCACCAACACCCCATCCCATACTCTCCAACTCCCTCGTAAAGAAATCTCTCTCCTCCTCCATTATATTCGCGCCCTCGTCGCCGCCCATGACATCTGTGTATCGGCGCAGATGCCACCAGTGGGTTAGGCCACGGAGAGCTTGTTCGAGTGGGAGTGCTTGGTCGACTTCTGCGTCGACGTCGGAGCCCGCGAGCCAGTCGTCGCGGAGTTCGGGGCGGCAGTAGAGGTAGATTGCTGTGATGACGCGCATGTTGCTTTGGCGCCATTTGCGGCCGCAGTAGGGGACTTGGGATTTGAAGAGCTTGAGTGTGTAGAAGCGAAGGTGTGGGTCTGGGATTTTGAGGCCCTTACGGAGGATTGTGCTGGATTTGTACTGCACCAGCAACAGACAGCGATGGGCTTTGTCGCGGGTGATCTTCTGCATGATGTGCAAGAAGTTGATGGCGGAGAAGAAGTTGCGAAAGGAGAAAATGGTGATGGGTTCTTTGGGTGGTGGTGCGGTTGGGTGGCCTAGCTCGTCGACTTCGGGGCGGCTTTGGCCTTCGATGAATTCGGGGACAGGTTCGCGTTCTTCTGGAGATGGGGCGCGCTCGAGGTCTTGGTCTTCTCGGTATCGAGAGATGGGTGGTGGGATTGCTTCGTCCTCACTGCCGGCGGATTCTTCGTCGGAGTTTCCGGGGAATTCTTCTGGACAGTCTGAGTGGATGCGGCAGAACTGGAAGAATCTGATGCTGTTAGTGAGCTGCCACGTCAAAGGTGCGATGTACTCACCCTAAGCCGTCACGGTCATTCTTCTGCGCGACCGCTTGGTCAATATCTTGATGAGCAAACATCTTCAGAATTAATGGCAGGTAGTTCGAGTCAAGCAACAGCTGCGTCATGTACTCGAATTTCAGTATATCTAAACAGGATTAGCAGTTGCACGGTGAAATCGGGAAATTCAGTCTTACGAGATCTCTTGAACCACTTCAGCAGAAGCAGCAGGGACCCGGAGATCGCCTTCCCAGTCACCTCTCGGAGCCGAATATTGTCAAGTTCGTCAATAGCAACTTCAGCAAAAGTGTTCTGCCCAACTGGGACGCCTTGAACCGAGCCGTATCCATCGCTAAGGGTGTTAGAACACACTTCGATAGTTGAAGGGACCGTGGACTCACCTCATCATGTTCCCGTTCTGGCCATTCTGGCCAACGACAGCGCTGACATTCGTCAAGATGATCTTCAAAAAGACAATCGTAATAGACTGTAGATGCACCAACGCTTGCGCCTGAAGGTTATAAGCATCGCACTCGTTTCATATGGGTAGACGAACTCACGTAAAACGATTCCACAGCATCAAGCCGTCCTTGAATGTCCCCATTACCAGTCTCCCTCTCCGAAGGCCACTTGAACTTAGGCTTCCTCTCCAACAACGACAAATCCTCCAAATTCTCAGTAGTCTCCTCCAAATCCAAGTCCGGAAGATCAGCATCATCCAAATTCCAGCCACGGTCGTATTTCATGAAGCGTTCCCGCTCCTCCCATAACTGTCGCATTGCTCTTGTCATCTTCACATGACTAGAGAACAGCTTTCCAGCTTCAATGATTGAGGCCGGCACGTCACTGCCATCCCATCGCTTTCCTACCAACGTATCCTGGCGTTCGGTCGTACCTTTTCCGCCAATGGAATTGCTGGAGTCGTCGAGCGGGGGATACATGAATGGGAAGTTTTGGTTGGTTTGGTAATTCTGCTTCTTCGCGGCCTTTCCGCCTGGACCGATGGGTGATGGTGGGGGAGAGGGAGCGGGTGTTGCGATGTGCACGGATTGATGGAGGATTGAGCCATTACCGCCTGACATAGAAGGGCCGACACCAGAGAACAAGCTGCCTGAACTACCTGCTCGGTTGGGATGTTGAGGGAGAGGAGGGAGGATGGAATTATTCTCTAATTCCACAGGAACCACCGCGGGAGGTGGGTTGTATGCCGGGTACTTCGATGTAATTTCTTGCCGGAAAAGATGGTAATCAAGAGGTGAAGCAGTGAGAAAGGGAGTCCGTCTTGACGGATCGTTCTTGTTCGCCTCATGGTCAGGCTCCAATTCCTCTTTCGCCTTTTTCAGGTGATCGGTACCGCCAAAAAGAAGGAGCAACGACTTCCAGAACAATAGGATAATCCTCGTAAGCGGTACATTCGCAGATTCATCCCACCGTAGTCGCGCAATGATCTCGACGAGGAATACTAATAAGTCTGGCTTTGACTGGAGAAGCGCATCCCGTACAGGTGTTTGCTGCGGATCTTGTGCTTCCTGCCTTCGACCAACCTCGATAATCAGATACAGAGCTGTGAGGACTAGATTGGCTTCGCGCTCATATGCCGCGAGAGAAGCGGGATTGATATTCTCAGACTCAGCGCCTTCAGAATCCGAGCTGGATGGAGTACGTTGTTTCTCAAAGACGCGCGCAAAGTATCCAAGCAGTATCTCGATGCCAGAGCATTCCTGGATCAAATTGACACTGGTCTCAATCCACTGGATTTGCAAGGACTTGAACTTGGGAGTCTGCTCAACGGTTCGCGGAGATAGATCTTCAGGATACTCCGGCACAGCCCGTCCAGCCGTAACGCCCCATACGCCCGTCAGCGCATAGCAAACCGTTTCCAGTGCTTCAATGCGCGCATACAAATCATCATTCCGCAAACCCTTAAGCGCCTGCTCCACAAACGACTTCCGCACACCATCATCAGCCTCAAGCCAAGCCAGCGGCCCAGCAAAGGAAATCTGACCCTGAGAGAAAATATGCCACCTATGCTCAAAGGACGACCTCATTCCCATCAGCATAACACGATCAAATTCATTATACTGAAACCACTCCTCAACTTCCTCCACAAACGGCTGCGCATCGGCATACTCAAACGCATACGCCGGCTGCTCAACTCTCGGCATCTCCTGCATCAACCGCCGCAACTGAGCCAAACTCAGCGAATCCGGCGCCCTCTGCTCATTCTGCTGAACAGGAGCCGGCGGCGGAGGCTGCAATGGCGGCGGGGGGGCTGAGCTTTCCCGACGCAGTTCTGGCCGCTTGGGTCTCCCACTTTGCGGTGGGAGGTCTGTGGGTGCTGAGGCATTGATTTGGGTAGCTTGTTCTTGACGCAGGCCCTCGGCTACTTCTTCCATCAGCTGTTCATCGGGGACAGGGCTGATGTCGGCGCCGGTTTGGTCCACTTCGTCGGCTTTGACGAAGTGGTGTTCTTCCATGCCCTCGGATGTGACTGGGGGTTCGTCCATTTCGCTTTTAACAAAAGCACGCTCTTGGGAAGATAGAACGCTAGAATCGAGTAATATCGGGGTATCTCAAGAAAAATCCAAATGGGGAATATTAAGGAGTGGGGTGTGGGAAACATAGAATCAGCGGCATCTGGTTTCTGGTACGTTTAGAAGCCCCGCGAAGAAGGCATCTTATCCAATTAAGCCTTTAACAGCCTTCCTGGTAACAGTTACTCGTTTCGTGGGGGATGAATTTGTTGTGAAGGTGAAGTCGGCGAACCACGTTATCGGTTGTATAGTCACGTGATCTACACGCGTGTGGTAAACATGAGTTAAATTGTGCTTAATATTGATTTACAATGTGCTTAAGACTATAATGCTGTAGGCATAGGGCCACTGGAATTACACTGATAGTAGGGTATCATCGCACCAATTAAGCGGCTGTAGATTCTTCAAAATATATAACGCAGATGACATCCTAATCTATGCATCACTCCGTCTTGGAGTTACTACCGCCACGATTCAACTTCCGCTTTGCTTTCCATTGTTGCCATCCGGCCTCGGCAAGGTCTTGACTTACCACCAAGTCGCGAATCCGACAGAACTGAGCTACGGGCAGATCCAATGCCCAATCGACCCAGCCATAGGTGCGCAAGAACCCCGTGACAAAAAACCAAGCAAACGCGAGCACTGTCCCAGCAGCGCACCCGGCCAGAACCTGCTTCGGGGTGTGGTAGTTCAGATAGATGCGGCTGATAGCAACGCCCGCGGCGCCAACACACAATGCGAATGCGAGGATCACCTGGACCAAATGGGAGGAGATCACCCGGGAAGTCGAGTAGGTGAACGAGTGCCGGAATAGGAGAAACAGAGCTAGGTAGACGGCGAAAAAGGCGACAAATTGCGCGTGGGATGATGGCATGCCGTAACCTTTGCCAAACATTTCTATCCACCGTCAGTACCCATCGTTAGTAACGTACATGGCATCGCGACTGGGACAACATACGTTTCGGTCGTTCTTCCTTGATAATCCGTTTCATAACAAAGTTTGAAACCTCACACCCCATCTGGCCAGCAAACATCAACAACACCTCCGCTTCCCGCGTGGCCCAGATGAGGGTCACGTATGCCACACATAGCGCTTGGGGGACGAGGGCGAGCCAGGCGGATAGGTAGGACAGAGGATCTGTGGGATTCTATGCCGGTCAGCTGTGTGCTCTCGAGTCCCGACGTCGATGATCTTGTAAAGCAACTCACATAGTGTACGTGGGTCAAGGACAGCGAAGCCAATGGTGTTTCCTCCATTTCGATGCGTTTCCCTTTTGTTCCCTTTCTGTCTGAACTGTAGGTTGGATGTATCACTGACTCGGAGCGATCGAGTTCGCGGGACGGGATGAACGGGGTGACTGATCGGATTGGAGGTGTAATACCGGGACGTCAAGAACAGGCAGTGCACATCAGCCAACTGGCATTCTGGAGCAAACAAAGTGATGCGACCTGAAATCCACCCGCAGACTGCCAGCAATCCGCGTGGCGCTGTAAATGCTGCCGTGATTTTTGGTAGTGTACAGAGAGTAGTCTGGTCCGTGCAGGTGGCTGCTTTATCCAGCTAAAGCGGCGGGGAAAGAGGGGGAGGGGAGGTACGTTGGATAATTGTACTGACTTATAGCAAGAATAAAATAGCTATTATATAGCAAAAGCAACGATAATACTCGTAGAGTGTGATCTGTATGAGGTGCTTGCCAGTAGTACTCAGGCCCAATTGATGCCCATTACCAGCGCATTCGATCCAAGTATCGGAATGACTCGTATTATCCTTTCCTCTCTCGGCCTCCGTGTCTTTCTCTCTCACTTTCTACTTTATCTCAGCTTTACCCAATTCTCTCCTTTGTCCTCGCCTCTTTCCCTGTGTCTCTTTCTCTCCTCTGTTTCTTCTTCTCAAACCATGACGCATTTCTCGCCGCGATTGTCTTCTGTTGCATTCTTGAAAGCTCCCACTCCGTCCATCATCCCACCGACATCGTTGCGCTCCCATCACTCCTCCGGTTCTCTCGTCGCGAAGACAGCTCCTTTGCCTCCGTGATCGCGCTATTGCCAGCTATAAAACTTGAACCGGGTTCGTTGTTTGGTACACCACAATCCGCTTCATTGCTTCCCAACGGTTCCCCGTTGCCACATCACTGCAGCGAAGATCATTGGCTAACGAAGATCCTCTTACTATTAGTATCGCTCTCGATAGTACAAGTCCCGTCTCTCCTCTCCTCCTTCCTACGCTCGAAGATCATAATCGAATAAGCGACAGGTCTTGGGGAAGCAATGTTCTGACACCACCACACCGGCCATTTAAAGAAGAGTTTGCGTTGCCACCGGTCTCACCGTATAACCTTTCACATACACTGGACGACGGCCTGCTATCGCCCGTAATCAGCGAGACAAATCTCACAATGGACGATTTTCTCCCCGAAGACGACCGCTCCATCGAGTTGTCCTCCGTTGCGGCCATTTATCCCGAAATCAAGATCGATCCTTCGTCTCCCTTCAAAGCGTCTCTAGACCTTCCGGTGGTACCTTCGAAGCCGTTACAGGTTTCGTTCCAACAGCCAGATGTCGAACCCCCAGACGTCATCACACCTCCTACCTCTGTTGACGGTGAGCCTGGCTTCGAATCAGCCAAGGCAGGGCTAGAATCTTCAGTCGATCCGACCAAAGAAGTCCATGTTATCTCTTACCTTCCACCGTTGAGCCTCGAGGTCGAACTCCCAGACGGGTACCCATCCGAAAACCCACCTAGTTTCAAAATCACCACCGACCCTTCCTGGCTACCGTCGTCGATTACGACAAAACTCGTCAATGACGCCGAGGCCTTGTGGGAGGAATGTGGCAAGGACCTCGTGGTGTATACCTACATTGATCACCTCCAGCAACTTTCGGAGACGGTGTTTGAAATTGACGATATCCCAGACGGAGAAGTACAATTCCCGCTTCATCTCAAGGTTGCACTGCTAGACTACAATAGCAAGGCTCAACGGGAGGAGTTCGAAAAGGGGACCTTTGAGTGTGGTGTGTGCCTGGAACCGAAGAAGGGTGTGGATTGCCACCGTCTTCTGCATTGCGCCCACGTTTTCTGCGTACCCTGTCTCCGGGACTTCTACAACACTTGCATTACGGAAGGTGATGTCGAAGGCGTTAAATGCTTAGATCCAGACTGTGGCAAAGAACAGTCTTCTGAGGCGCCTACATCGGAAAAGAAGCGCAAGAAGAATAATCGGACTCTCAGCCCCGCAGAGCTGCTGCAGATCCCGTTGTCGGAAGAAACCGTGCAGCGGTACGTCTTTATGAAAAGAAAGAAGAAGTTAGAAGCGGACAAAACTACTGTGTACTGTCCTCGCCAATGGTGTCAGGGCGCGGCTCGATCAAAGAAGCACCCTAAGCCGACTGATCCCATGTCGGATGATTTGGACGCGTCAGATGAAGATGATGACCAGGTTCCGTTCGACCCTCTTGGAGAGGAAGCCCAATTACCACCGGTGTCGGAGCGTCTATCTATTTGTGAAGAGTGCGAGTATGCATTTTGTTGCGTTTGCAAAAAGGGTTGGCACGGCGAGCTTGTACGATGCTTCCCACGACGGGATGCAGAATTAACAGCCGAAGAAAAGGCCACAGAGGAATACTTGAGGCTGTACACCTCAGTATGCCCGACATGCAATTCCCCTGTTCAGAAGCAAATGGGCTGCAACCACATGATATGCTTCACCTGCAATACACATTTCTGCTACCTGTGTTCGAGCTGGTTGATGGAGGACAACCCGTACCGGCACTTCAACGATATCAACAGCGAATGTTACAATCGTCTTTGGGACCTGGAGGGTGGCGACGGCGAGAACCCTGTCGGAGTAGAAGCTCTCCACCGGCTCCCAGCGGAATTTCTCGAGTCAGACGATGAAAGCGATGGCGAAAACGTCGCATGGGAATTCGACGATAGCGACGATGACATTCGCCGACAACCCCCACCACCAGCCCCATTCCCGCCACGCGCTGGCGCTGGTAACAGGGACCGAGGTCGCGACGCTCTTCTCGACGCAGCCGGTCGAGCCGCAGCAGCAGAGCGACAAGCCCAGGCACGAGCAATGGCAGAACTCCGTGGTCGTGACGGCCAAGCCCAACAACCCCGCCAAGGTCCGATTCGAGGCCTCCAGCGGTTCCTGGATCTTGTTCAGAATGACCGTGAAGATGAGTGGGATAGTGATGAATTAGATGACGATTTCTAAGCTTCTTTTTCTGTTGACTTACTCGGTTGACTTATAATTCGGATGTGGGTTACTTGTTTGAGCATTTTGTTTGGCGGCATAATTACTTGTTTCAATTAGCGATTTGGTTTGGCATTGCATGACTTTATGAGATAAATAGCATTGTATACAATATACCAGTTCTGTTCCTCTCGTTCTGATCCTTGGGTGCTTTGAAGTTTGAAGAGTTCACCGGACAGCATCCGGCCCTACACTATATATATACATACGAGGTACCGAGTATGGGAAAAAGGCGTGATTCAAACCAAAACCAACAGCTAAATTACGGATGACCTAGATTTTTCCTTGTCAAAGAATAAGCCCAGTTAAGCATAAACAACCTGCTTACTGTCAGCTAACAGTGAAGAAACACCACCAACCATCCATACTGCGACCGGATATGGGATTGGACCTGAGAAAAAAAAGCTGACCGGTCGAGAGCCCGAGACCGTACAGTTTCATCTAAAAACTAGTGTCCCGATGTTGCTGTTTCCATCACTATCGAGATTGTCAGGTATAAGGGCCTGTCACGGAATGATTCTGGCTTCTTTGTGCAAGATGCTACGGATGTTGAGGGCAGCAGAGGAGCGTCATTAGAGGGATGAGTGGCTCTAAGTTGAAGATTTGCACAACACCAGTGACTGCAGCGGTGTAAGACTGTTTATTGGTGTAGGCTTCCTGTGGAAGGGTGGTGCTTTCTGCTAAGTTACTGTCAGATACCGCAGGCATTCTCAAGCCAAATCCACACTGGGATCGCTCGATAGGTGGGCATCCGTGACGAGATGTCACGGTCGATTTAAAGTGTTTGACCAAATTACGTGTAAGCCATAAAAGAGATTTCAGGCCTTTTCGTCCCAGCCCAGTCCTGAAGACAGGCCAGTTTTTGGAGTCTTAAGCAGTCAAACTGGGTGTATTAGAATTCAGCTGCCCAGATATGAACATATGTCATATCAGCTCTTTCAAACTGCGAATGTCTCGACGGCCCACGGTGGAACCCGGAGAATATATGCTCGAGGTCCCCCATTTAAAACGATAATGAACTCGACGACAGCCAGGACAGACCGACTTCGTCCAGGCTAGGAAATCTAAGGTGGTATGATTTCCCAAGTGAGCATCAAGGACTTGATGCAACGAATTGATAGTATGAATTGCCGTTGGAATAATGCAAATCTGTAAGACAGCCAGATCGTATTATAGTGCAAGTTATAGCCAATTGAGTCGAGGATGCAAAATTCGCCAGACTGTAATCGTCCAGAAGAAAGCCCATATCTGTTGAGAGATCTGTAACGTCCTTGATATATGTCAATGGCCTAAGGTATTGCTTTGCACAGCAGGATTGAGCTTGAAGGCTCCCTCCTAACAATGTATCTATCGCTTGCCAATATAACGCATTTCGCACCATAACGAATGGGACTGGTGTGCCCTAGTCTTCTTGATCAGGCGGGATTTTGGGAGTGCAGTTTGCTAGCCTTGAAGCAACATAATTGTACACATCGATTGCATACACGTGCGTTCCCATATGCTGTTCACGCTCGTTTAGCCGTTGTTTAAACGCCATTATAATCTTTCAACCGCACGGATCCTTTACGATGGAAAGTATATATCTTTGTGCATAGTAGATCTCTAGCGCATTTGTTCAATTACCGCGGTGGTATACTGACTATATGTAATTCTGTTTAGCTACCAATTGCGAGCTACCTGATTGGCAAGATGTAACGGGTCTTGACAATAGCCCATAACACAGGTATGACAGCGTTGACATGAGCACTGATTTGATGCTTGATTTTCGTCCATGGCCATCGTGGACAAGAATATGCGTCTAGAGCATCCGACCAAAGATAGAACTTGAATCAATTTAGTAAATTTACAAGACACCCATGTGAGCGGCTCATTTCTGCCTGACTTCCCCACAAAGACCGGTATGCAGGGCGAGACGTTGCTCTATCATGACTCTTGAGGATAGGTGATGGTACTTGGAAGTAGATCTCACAATTCAGCAATACACTGCATTTTGTTGAGATGTTTGTAATGATCACAAAAGAGCCACACATCTTGTATAGTACTATATATTCCGGAAGACGACACCAAGAGGTGTATACAGACTCTTTCGAGCAAGCAGCCTTGAAGCAAATGACAGTTACGGCGCAGCCTGATTTGGTTGTATTGACATTCGAGAATAACACATCAGTCTTCTCATAGCACCGTGAACATGTTAGCTTTAAATGCCCCAACCTGTAGCACATTGTGCATAATGCTTACCAGGGATAATTGGAGTTAACTGTCATCCCAACGAAAGCGTAAGCTTCTTCTGTTATCTTTGCGGTTTATTTGCGACGTCTTTTATATCTCCATAAAAGGACATGACAAACCATTTTCCTGCAAGGGTTCATGGTGGTTGTTTATGTCACGGCGCTCTACTAGGATAATGGAACATCCAACTCATGGGTTCTACCTAGGTAGCTATCAACGAGAATAATCAACATGAGGAAGGAAGAAAGGAGGTGATGCCGTATTTATCAACAAAGCAAACAACTGCATCTCACGTGATAGCCAGACAACATGACCAGGCCGTCACAGTTTATTCCGTTCATATTGACACGGTTTTTTATATTTGATCAATGGGGTGTGCCTGTTCAGTGAACCAAGTGACCATGTATCTTAGCAGATGCTTAGGCTCGTTTATCGCAGGAATGTTGTATACGGTTCTCTCTTGCATACTCCATGACTTTGGCGAGCCTATGTATGCTGGACAAGGGTGCTGTCATGCTTTAAGCTGTATATGGTCTGGAGATGCAAAATAATTGGCTAGTGAGTTCTCAGACATATCCTGATGAATTGAATGAAGGTGTTGATGATAGATTAGCTGGGATAGAGGTCGTAGAGAAAGGAATGAGGTCGAAAACAATAATTCAATGTAAGCAATAAAAGACAACTATGTAAACCATTCACTGATACCAGTACAGTGATAGTAATCTAACTTGATGTAACAGATACAAATATAATGCACAAACGAGCCACTCCACTGTACAATGTAAACCAACATATACGCATAGTAACTAAGGAACAAGGCACTCATCCTCACCCTCACCGGGTCTCCTTCCATCATACCAAAACTCATAACTCATAACCGTATGATCGGCATACATGAGCAACAAACGATACCTCCTTGATGGATACCAGCCCCGCCAGTTTTCATCCGGTTTATAAACCCGGCTAGCTTTCGCGTGGCATTCGGGTAGTGTAAGCGGGGGTATGTGCTTGTTTCCAGGGTTATCAGAGGATGGTTCTAGATCATAGAACCATTCTGGGGGCTCCGTTCGGTCGTGATGGAATGCGTCACTTGAGGGTTGGTTGTCGGCACCGTCATGCGGGAGGAATTTATAGTGAAAGGTTATTTCATCATTTTCACTGACGTCGCGCGGGATGTAGGGTACGTCTGGAGGCATTTCGAAGCCCTGAATGGGGCTGATGCTCATACCTAGGAGGGGGATGAGTGGTCGGTCGCCGTATTTTTCCTGGTTTTCGAATGGGACAATCCAGTCGACTCGGAAAGCGACTCCGGTTTCTTCGGATTCGGTAAGCTGAATCACGGCTGCGCGGCCTTTTTGGGATGCGGCGACGATGACTCCGTGTTCGGGGATGTATTTGATCATGTTGAAGCGGTCTGACGCGCGTATTGAGACGATTGGGTGGGTGAAGGGCTGGCCTAAGGGAGCGCCGCAAACCACGCTGGGAACCAAGGCTAACGGGTGGCGGATCAAACGGATATCGGTCTGCGAGAAGTGGATGATGGGGAATTCGCGAACGGTGAGAGCTGGTACCGGTGGAAGAGGCATTAGTCCCTCCGTTGGCCCATCATGGTCATAAGGGGAAGAGTCATCTGGGAAGGCATCACGCAACATACGATCGAATACCTCGTATGCGAGGGACGATTCTCGCGACTCGCTACCATGCGAGCGATTGTCGTCCACATCGTCATAGTCTGAGTGATCCACATCCCTATCATCGTAATACCCCTCGGCTACAGGCAACTCTCCACCAATTGCTTCAAAAAGAGCGAATCGTAGAAACTCCGCGGTGTTTAGGGGTCCATTGCCAGTTGGACGAGAAATGTTTGCACGGGGAGTTTGCTCTATCCCGGATTCTCTAGCATCCTGCTCGGGTTCTGCGTCCAGGTCAATATCGGTATCACTATCGCTGTCCTGGTTCGTATCCCCTTCCGGGAGTGAATCATCAACAGCCCGGAAGCTAAAGGAATCAGTGACGCCTATAGGACGAAGATTTTCGACGACAGTAGGATTGTCACTAGATGCGGTGCCATTACTAGCATTCTGTTCTTCGGCATACGTCGAGTTATTCAAAGTGTCATGTTTCACGTAGGTGTCTTTCCCGGTACTAATGCGACAATCTCCATCGAAGAAATCGGGTAGCACTGGTTGCTCAGGCTCCACCTTAACAGCAGGAGGGAAGTAGTTGTACAATTGCGAGGCGTTTGGTACTTTGCTGCTCAATTTTGTCAAGTCAAGAACTCTCAGTCCTTCCTCTGTATGACGCTGGGGCACACCGCCACACGCACCCTCCCTGGTCTTGACGTGATGAAAGCTGCGAGGGTCAAGGGCTATAACGGCCCAACCACGTTCAGCACTGACCCAGTTAGCATACTTGAATGCCGAAACTCCGCAGGCTGACTTACTCATTTTGCAAAGAATGCGCGAACGACTGAAAAGAGAAACTGTTGAAATGGTAAAAGTGAAACGGAGTTAGGCCTTCCCAGATTTTCCATATAAGAAGCTTGTTATCGATATCAGTGCTAACCATACACGCGCCGTTAGGATCAAGATCACAGTTGAGGAAGGAGACAGAGGGGATGTTCGTGAAATGGCCGGTATATGTCAACTTGATATTTCGCGTGCGATGGTTTTCCGGCATGTATTGTCGAAGCTGCGAGAACTGTGCGTCATTCTTGATTTCCAGCCATGTCTGGTCACAATCGGAAACGTCATCATCTTCTTCCAGAGGATCGCCGGAGTTCCTGCTCTTTTCAGAAGTAGGGTTGACAAGTGCGAATGCGAAAACAGTGATAAGTCCCGTGTTTGCAGTCACAGCAATCAAGCGAGCATATTTGTGGATAGCCAACCCCCATGCACTGGCTTCAACGAATTCAGCAAAGAAAGGATCAACCTGAGAATCGTCAAATGGGCGCGTCTGCTTGTTCTTCGCTGCGCGCACTAGGGCTGACCAAATAGCTTCAACGCGATATGCGCAAATATTCCCAGAGTCAGTCCCAAGCAGGAGAACCTCCTCCCGGCCTAAATCGTCCACGAGGAGGTTGTTAACTGCATGGGGGAAACTGGGTGCTATGTAGCCCGGACTCTGCGGATCCTTCATAACCGGGTTAATGATCATTTCAGGCTTGGAACCAAGTACCTGAAATGACCCCCGAGGAATCCAGACATAGATCTGCTGCAGGTACGCCACAAATAGTAAATTGCGGCGTTGGGAGAGCGCAACCTTCCGTCGGTCAGCCGAAGAAGCAAATATGAGCGGAACCCAAACTCACCAGATTGTTCCGCCAGGTTGCAGTCCGAGGAGCAGCTGAATCCCCGGCACTAAGATGTCCATTTCAGTCAGTAAACGGAGCAGTAATCACTGGATAATCACGGTAGAGACATACGGAGAAAACTGGTTCAAAAGTCAGCCTCAGCCATACCATGCATAAATAAACGGCCACTAAAGCAGCCCACCAGCTGCAGATACCGGGGTCCTACATACCCTTTTCGCGCCCTTCTCGACATTCAGCGCCTTCATATGTAGCCCAACCCAAGGCCGGTTCTTCGACATTCCCTCAGCGTCATTATACGACCTCATTTTTGGAAGCGCTAGACTGCTATCACAGTCAACGGGAGAGTTCAGAAATTTCTGCCCTCACAGCTATATCGGAGTAACCTAACGCAAAAAGCGAGTGAAAAAGTGACAACGAACAAGTGAGGTTGCTCATGTCTTGAGCACGAGGGGTATTTATTCCGCTGTTATATGTATCAGAAGTGCCCGAACAAGACAGAAACCATGCGATTCATCATCTGAAAGAGCCACAGTGAGTATCCACAGGCCCTAACAAAGCATAACAAACAGCAACAGGCTCGAACTTCATGAATCCTGAGTATTGCGTTGGTTGATTGCCAAACGAACCGTCGTCCATCGATGAGGTCAACGGGCGGATCGGCGTATGCCTCAGGTGTAAATGCTGTGCGCACGTGCCACTCAACCTATCCGCAAAAGCTGTCAGCTTGTCATCTCGACAACAAACGAACTCAATCGTACAGAGTGCATATTGAGCAAAGCTTGTCAAGATGGACTTGGTTGCGAGTGTGCGCAAAGAAGGCAGCCGGTAAGAAATCTCCAGCATAACAACCTCATGGCACAACTACTAACTCTCACAGCGGCGGCCGCGCCGACTTCAAATGGTCCGACGTCCAACAATCCACACATCGCGAAAACTACCTAGGCCATTCAGTCATGGCTCCGGTCGGCCGATGGCAACAAGGAAAAGATCTACAATGGTACGCCCGTGCCGACGAAACCGACGAGGATAGAGCCAAACGGGAACGCGAGGAGATTAAACGCGTCAAGGAAGCAGAAGAGGAGGCCATGGCACGTGCATTAGGTCTCCCTCTACCACCAAAAAGCGACGAAAACGCGAACATGGTACCGCTTGGTGGGAAGGAGGCCCAGGAAGCTATCCAGGATACGACGGAAGCTGTTGAGCGGGAAAAGAACAGTCGCGAAGACCACAGGAGACGACGCAGTCGGAGTCCGGGGAGGGAGCGGAGGCGGGATCGTACTGGTGACAGGGACAGGGAACGTGAAAAGGAGCGGAGACACCGCAGACATCGTGACGATCGTGATCGCCATCATCGCAGCCATCGACGCAGATCGAGGTCGAGGTCTAAGTCGCGCGAGAGGGAATATCGGAGACGCTCTCGTTCACGGAGTCGAGACAGAAGGCGACATGGTGATGACTACGAGCATAGACGACAACGGCATGAGGATCGTGGTCACCACTCTGAACGACGAGAGAGGGATTTAGACCGTCGTCGGCGTTAAGCGTCAGTTATGGCCGGGCGTGCACTCAACCCCAGAGCCAGTCATTGCCTTTTTTTTTTAATTTTTTTTTTTTTTATTTGGGATAATATTGCGATGGTATGTCTTTTCCTTTCTTATCCGAAAAAAGTCCCAGTGATGTTTGCATATCTACGTATTTGCTACTTCAGAGCCTTTGGCCATGAGACAAAAATCACCACATGCCTGAGGGACTTTTCTCATCAATCTGTTTGCTAAAATAGGAATACCAAACGGAAATGCTAATGGTATCGTATTGACTTAGATACCACACATGGTGCTGGGCGTTTACGGTTAAGAAATTATGTACGGCGTACAAGGACTTCGTCTTTCAATTCTTTCGACTTTATTATACAATGTCCATTTCTGCATTCTATAGTTCATCATGGCCGCTCTCTTTATCGGCAGGAAGGTCAGGCATGGACATCATCTTGACCACCATGCTGGTCCAGCCAGTGAAGTGCTGGATACGCTGACCCTTGCCGTTGTCGGGGTTGTATTGCTCGAAAGCGAAACCCGTGTTCTTCCACTCCTTGAACACGTTCTCGACCAGGTTTTTGCGCAGCTGGGAGTACATCTCACGAGCCTGTTCCTGGTGAGGACCGGATGTGGTTGCAATGTCCTGGATTGACCGGTTAGATACTTTCTCAACAATATTCAAGTGGGTGTATAACTCACGTAAAGACTCTTGACAACCATGTAGTTAATGTTAATCCAAATAGGACTCCTCCAGTAATTCTCATCAGTGCCATAGAATTCGTCCTTCTTGCTCAAGCTGCGGATACCGAAGTCACTCCAGAGCTCCTTCGGGTCGTGGATCAAGTCCAAGGTAGCCTTGAGACGAGGGCTGTTGGGTCCAACCATGCCGGTCAGGAAGGGGATTATGGAGATGTATCCCTTGTGGCAGACGTGGACGCTCTCCTCATACTCGTCAATGGTAGCGTCGCAGAAAGTCTGCGCGTCCTCGTCCCAGTGGAGGTCATCGATGTTGCGTTCAATTGCAGTCTCGTAGCCAGCGAACTCCTCAGCGTCATCAGTCTCACCGAGAGCTTCAGCAATGCGACGCATAGAGCGTGTCATCATTCCCATCCAGCTGATCAGGTCGACGTGCAGCTCACCCGGGTGAGGAGGTTGGGCACGAGGGTAGTCGTCCAGACCAGAAGTCAAGACGTGCTGCAAAGACCGTCCGCGCCAGCGATATGCCTCCTTAGTAGAGAACGCCTCGCGGTCATAGGTCTTGACATCTCCTTTCTGAGTTCTCCTGTACCAGAAATAATGCTTCTTAAGCAATGGGTAGAATGTGCGAATATATTCTTCACCAAGTTCGGGGTGTTGCACATAGGCCGAGCGGATGTCCTCAGCTGCACCTTCATCAGTTTTCTTGGAAGAGAGAGCTTTGTTTGCGTTCACCTTGTCCATGAACGATTCCAGGATGAGGAAAAGTGTAGGCGGGTTAGCGTAGTGAGGATACTGGACGGTGAACTCCGGTGGCACCTTGCTGCGGGCTTCTGCACCGATAATCTGCTCACGAGCAATCCAACCGTCTTCGTCCATGAGGCTAAACCAGCTCTTTACGATTTCGAGACTAATACAAGTTAGTGTTTGACATAGTATGACCAAGGAGGTATAAACCTACACAAGATCAATATCCCAATCAACAATTGGGGTGAGATGGAATCCCTCATCCCAGAGGAAACCCCTAGGGAAGAAAGGACGGGAAGGAATGCAGGTAAAAAGCTCCTTGGGACCCTCAAACACAGGCTTCGCCCGGGACCTCGCCTCTTCTGTCTCCTCCCAGAAACCTTCATTCTCCTCGTCGTACTCTGATTGCGCAGAACGATCGACAACATCCTCGCCATGGAAGTAGCCAATACCGCCGACAAGGTTCGAGAACATGGCCTTGGAGAATTCAGAGTATTCTGAGGAGTCGAACGGGGCCTGGGGAGCAAGGGTCTTCTTGAAACGCTCCGAGAAAGACTGCGAAGAGCTCTTGATCTTTTTGGTAAGGTCATCAGCTAAGTAGTTTGTTAGTATGCTCATTATTACTTTGCAAATATCGGCAAGATACTTACAGATCAAAGGCTCCGGCGCGGATCCGGAAGAAAAGAGGATATCAAACTAGTTCCTGTAAGCATTGGTCAGGTTTGAATGTGATCTGTAAATCATACCTCGAAAGCACCTTTAAAGACCTTCTGCACATAATGAAGGTTGCCCTCGCCCGGCGCATTCCTGATAGTAAACACCTGCGCAGGCGGCGGAGGGTTCTCAGCACCATACTTCTTGATGGCTTCGCCGACTTCGCCCTTCATCAGGTTGAACAGCATCACTAGATGGCATGTTAGCAAGATACCAACAAAGCGCATCTAACTGGAAGACACAAACCTTTCGTCTGCCATACATTCCCCGGTGGCATAGTCACACTAGCTACCAAAGTATGATCCAACGGCTTATCCTCATAAGTTGGGTGGTCATGTTCAGGATGTAGATTGCTCTGCGGACCCGTAGTCACATCAACCGTAAAATCGCCAAGTCCGGGAGTAGACCCCTTCAGGCTCACATCGCCAGTGAAACCAAGATCATCGCCGTTATTCGCAACCTCGATATTCCCCTCCCCTTCCAAACCAGCATAGAACACCAGTGACATTGGTTGGTCATCGTAACCGTCTTCACGAGGAACGCCCTTTACTCGAGCACCCCAGTTTCCGCCATGCTCTCCGCCAGGGGCCTTTATGAAGTCGATTGTCAGGTCGATGGAGTTTCCAGCGTCGTGGATCGTTTGGCGGCCGCCTTCTCGGATATCGTATTCGTCCCAGCCGTAGCCGGCCATGCCTTCATTTTGCTCGCAGGTGTGTCTAAAATCTTCTAAATTTCAGTACCAAGGCACCAAACAACCGATCCAGATGCAAAGTACTTGTTAAAGGGCCACTTACTTTGCTGCGCATTAACGAAATCATCCACTTTCGCCCACATCAAACCCGCAAAAAAGCTATCCGGCAAACGAGGGCGAACCCCGAAATACAGATTCGGCTTGTAAGGACCCCATAGCAGCGACTCGTTGTTGGCTTTGGCGGTCTCCTTGCTCAGGACGGAGACATCTTCGTTGGCGGTGCTCCCGACGGCGTATAGTAGCGGAGCTAAAAGGATTGGAAGCTTGAAGCCATGCATCTTTACGAAGAAGGCATCAAGACAAAGTATAGAAATTAGGAACCGAAGATGGACATAGGACGTGAGTGTCAATGGGAATCTCCTATGTCCGTGGTTGCTGTTGTTGACAGGTGATATTTACCTGGCATCGGCGGAGCTTCCTCTCCGCTCCACAATTACGTGGTCCAAGCTCTTGTTTCACATACCACACACTTTATGCGAGGACTCGTTTTCAATACAAAGAATATGGTATATTGACACACTAACTATTTTACTGCTAACATTTACATATAGTTCCTCGGGTCCAGCGATCCAATCTTCGCACTCTTGGCCTTGCCATCAAAGACGAATTCACTCATGACCTTCCCGGTTCCAGGAGCATTCTGGATACCCCAACAGGTGTGACCGGCAGCAACATACAGTCCTTTGGTATCTGTTAGACCGACAAGAGGACCTCCCTGAAGTGCCGTCACGTTAGGAAGGTAGCAAGCCTGTCGCGCGCTGATCTCTCCATCGCGCAACTCGTCAGAGATGCTGCCCACCTGCTTGACGATATCTTCGATTCGCTCCGGATCCACCTCCACATCTGCCGTCGTCTTGGGGAGTGGGACGGTACGATCACCGTCACCGCAGCAGTAAACGGTTTCGTCAGGACGAGCGTAGATCTCCGGCGCGGCTACAAGAGGGCGTCCCCGCTTTGACTCGTCCGGGATCTCGAGTTCTGTGAAGAGGGTATATCCAGAGACTGGTCTCGTAGGGCGAATGACGACACTGTGTGCACGGGTTGCCGAAATCGGGGCCTTGGGCAGAACCGATCTCGTCCACGGACCTGCAGAAACAATCACATCTGTCACAGGGATGGTCTTGGATTCCCCAGTCTCCTTCTCCGCGTATGTGACTGACTTGGCAGTATTATCCGAGTAGTCAATGTCCGTCACTCCTCCATATGCAATCTTTGCACCCTTCTCTTCCGCAAGTTTCGCAATCGAAGTCGTAAACAAATAAGGATGCACCTGAGCAGTCTCCCCAGGACCACTCATGCTCTCATAAGCTCTTAGCAAATCCGGCACGAACCAATCCAGGTCCTTAGGGACACCAGCAGACTTCAATTTCGACAAAGCGCTTGCGCTGCGCTTCTGTAGATCCACATCTTTCACCCCGCTCGTCTTCTCGCCGAACGGGCGGCCTTTCATCATAAGCTGACCGCAATTGACCTCTCTGTAACCCCAGCGATCTTTCCCATTATGTTCCTTAGCCAGCTCATTATGTAGCTTGTAGCTTAAACCAACGATGTTACTTGGGTACGCCCATTCTGCCAGAAGACCTCCTGCTTTTCCTGATGCCCCTCCTGCGATTTCTGAAGCTTCGAGAACAGTGATGGAGTGGCGCGAGGGATCGTAGGAGGGGTGTCTTGTGAGGTAATATGCAGAGCAGCATCCGATGATACCACCACCTAGGAGAGTGTTGTTAGCTTATCGAAGGTTCTCTGCGTATGTGATGGTTGTTCTTTCCATGCGGGGCGGGGTCGAAGGAGAATCGAAGTCAGTGCGTACCGATAATGACGATTTCGCGACGGTCGTTTGTAGTCACCATTATGCTATAAGGCGCGATTCTGTGTGCTAGAGTCCTAGGTGAAGTCACCGTGGTAGAAATGATCGCAACGAAAAGAGTGCCAGGCTTGTGAAAGAAATGCGACTGGTGCATACGTCACCGGCGAAAAAATACTTTGTAGTAATATCCGGTCATGTGCCTGGCCCATAAAAACGTCAGGATTAATAAGAATCATGTTTATTGCTACATGAAGAGAAATATCTTCTGCTTAACTTGTTTGAGACAGGGTAGACTTCAAAGAATTGCAGGACCATCCCTATGAAAGAGAAAAACGAAAAAGATTGGAAAAGCCGACAAAACCTTGCTCCGATAATGCATGTACTTATTGTAATGTAATAACACAGGATCCAAAAAAATGTTCGAAAGATTAGATGTGGAATAACACAACGCGGAGGCCGAAAAACGTCAAGGACTGAGCGGCCGGTTGAAACCCCCTGAACGGTTCATGTACTGTCTGTACTCTGTCTTCTTTTCCTTCCGCACGCCGTATATGTCGTTTCCAGGAACCTTGGTGTTCTTCGTACTCCTGAACCGGCTGAAGCCCATGTATCTGCGCATAACATGATCGAGATCGTCCCCGTCGGCCACCTCGTCGACGTCCATGTCCATTTCATCCTTCGACGGTTTGTGGGAAGCCGGAGTTCCGTCCCGTTGTGACCGAGGATCTTTTCGATCGTTCCGACGATCTGTTCTGGGTCCTCGAGGCGGCGTCCTGGATCGGTCTCTGGTGTTCTTTCGGGGGGAGCGGGAGCGCTCACGTAGTCTCTCTCCTTTCGATGGGTATCCTATTGAGAGTTAGGCACAAGGCAAAGAAGGTAATGTGTGAACGTGGAAGCAGAATACTGACCTCGCCTCTCGTATCTGTCTCTGCTCACGCTCCTCTCCCTATCTCTCGCAACCCGACCATCTCTAAGATCCCTCCTATCACGATCGCGATCACGACGGTCTTTAGACCTACTCCTGTCTCGTCGTCTTTCTCTTCGATCTCTTGAACGGGAGCGGTATCGCCGGTCGTCGCGCGGGCCGTCGCGTCGCCCATCATCTCTCCTTGGGCTTTTATCTAATTCCATGTTTCCATCGGGTGTCCGGTCATCGTTCAAATCCCACATTGTAGAGCTGTCAATACGACGGGCACGTTTTGTAGGGGGTTCGGCCATTTTGGTGGTTGAGGTCGTCTGGCTGCTTTCGCTTCAATTCGATGCCGTTAAAATTTCTCTCTCCGCAGGTAGGTATCAAAATCAAGAATAAATGATAGCTAAGTATTTAGAAAAAAGATTAATGCATTATCAATCTGCCCCCGGGGTATCATAAAAGAACAATGTCGCTGGAGTTGGACCCGTTGGGAGCTGCTGCTGCGGGAAATTGATAGCGTGGTGTACGGTCGCCGAGTTCTGCCATTTGCGCCGAGGCCTCCGCCTTCTCTACAAGTACGGAGTACCAATGAACACAAAATGGAGGAACTAATTTCTTTTTAGCAGCTATCCGGTCACCTTGTCCTTCACTGTAATTGCTCTGTAGTCCCATAACTCCCCATTTTCCTTTATTTCTTTCTTTATATCTTAGTGTTTCCTTCCCATCGCCGAGGAAATGCCAGGTCAAAGTAGCCATACTACCTTCCATCCCCATTTACCAAAGAAAAGTCCTTTTTTTTTTTTTTTTTTTTTTTTTTTTGGGTATTATCGTTGCTTGTGGTGATGCTCGAATTATTCTCACGAGGGAGAGGCTGCCGGAACTCTATGGATCTTCCGTCTGTTCAAGGAGCCGCTGTCATTATTCCATACTATGCTCTAGGCACGATAAGGTGCTTTTATGAATGGTATTTGCCGATATAGGAAAATGAAATTGACTTCTTGTTTTACGGTGAAGTGCTTAAAAGTTTCTACTCGACCTGTCGTTTGAATCTGAATATAGTATGGATAGTTAGTCAAACAATCCCGGTTGTACTTGGGAGTAAAACTGGACATGTGTTGCAGCATGAATAAACCAGATATATAGGGAATGAATTACATCTAGATGTGAAGCAATCCGCTCTAAAGAGGACATGAAATGTTATGTGTACATGCTTGCTTTGACTGCTGCATGCTGCTGTTGAACTATACAATACTGTGTCACTCGAATTTCATATAAACAGTTATTAGTGATAAGTTAATAACTCATCGCCATCTGTACTATACCCCAGTAAGTAATCTCAGATATAAGACAGGCCGAAACACAGACCGAAATGGAAACCAACCAAAAAGCAACCCCGGCCCGTCCCGCCGAGCCTCAACCTTAATCCCACAAAGGCAAAGATCAGCACCCTGTCAGAAATCTTTGCATTGCCCCTCCGTCACAACCAAACCCCGCAGTTCGTCTGGTTAACGATCCTTGCTACTACATTATACATTTGTTTTTATATCGATTGTTTCTATGAATTATGGCTCCTACAAATCTGTCTCATAGGCAAACGCACAATTTGCTGCTCATTTCGAAGCTTTTGAGCCTGAGAGACACTGCATCACCGTTTACTCTGCTTCTGGATTCTTTGGAGCAGCCGGCTACTCCATTGATTGAGGAGTATATTAGACGTGCGAAGGTTAGCGAATATACATACGGGGGAATAAATATGGTGGGGACTGGCAATTACTGACTGTCCAAAACAGCTCTCAAAGGTTCACGTCACCCTTATCGCATTCGAAACATTGAAACGCCCCGATAGTGTCGATGTCCTCGTCCCAGCTCGCCGAAAAAGCCCGCAACAGATCGCGAAAGAAGTCAGCGCAGCATATCAAGTAGCGTCATCGACCAGTCTTTTACGCCGTAAGTTCCGGCTGTGCACTATTTACGAGCCCACATCGCTAACAGAGACAGGTCGACTCATACTCATCGACTCACTCAACCCACTGATCAATTCCAAAACCGTCGATTCTCAATTCAACTTACCAGCCTTTTTGAGTTCCTTTCTCATTCCTACAAGCCCCTCCTCACCAAAGGTCGAAACCTCGCTCGTCGCTACCTATCATCAAGATGTCTCTATTTCCTCAAATCAACAACTCTACGCGCCATCGCCGCTTTCTTTACTATCGTATCTTGCGACGACTGTGATAAAACTTCATTCGTTCTCGCATATTCTCGCGCAAAAGGCCGCTCGGGATCGCAGTCTTGCGGCTCCAGTTTTTGGGCTCGAAGAAGAACAAGATGGTGTGCTACTTGGGAGATTGGATAAACTCGTTGGTAATGAGAATGCAGAGGGAATCGTCCTGGAGATGGAACACCGGCGTAAGAGTGGACGTGGTGTGTTGGAGTGGTACATTCTGCCACCTGCGTCACGGTATCCGCCGAACCAAACGAAGGAGATCGTGACGTTACTTGATGATCACCCGCTTTATTGTCCGCCTGAGGAGCCGGACACTGGTGCTGGAGATGAGGAGCCGGAGTCGACATTTAACCTGCGGCTCACCGACAGACAGAGGCGCGAAAGAGAGGGAGTCGTGTTGCCATACTTTGATGCGCAGAGTGGTGAGGGGCCTGGTGAAGGAGGGCGAATTCTATATGATATGGGAGAGGAAGATGACTTTGATGAGGAAGAGGACGAGATCTAAGCTCATCAGACTCAGTTTGCATCGCAATTACTGAAAACGAATATCTATCGAAACGCATTTTATGCTAATTTGACTGATTCATGAAGTGGCCATGTCCTGCATCCACCGAGCAAATTAAGTATGTGTACAGTATACATGCGGGTATACGAAGAGAGAACTGTCGTGAACAAACTAGAAGAAGCGCCACAAAAGCAAGATGAATATGATCAATCCGACACCGGCAAACGGCCCGTACTATGACCTGTCAGCATTTGACCCTCGTCATTGAAAAACCACAATAAACTCACCTGTTTCAACAACAACTCCCAGTTAATGCGCACTGCAGCCTTCTTGTACTTTTTGCTGTCCTCCCGCAAGCGCCCAGACAATTCGCCCATCCGCTCCAAGCTGTCTCCACGATACAACAGATCCTCAATGTTCTTGGTCATAACCTTTGTGACATCCTTTAGTTCATCGTTTACCCGGTCGAGGTTTTGCGATGCACGGCTGTCCTGGTACAGCTTCTTGGTACGCTGAATGAAGGTGTCGAACTCGACGAAGGCATAGGGTCGCAGTTTTGGGGAGTGGTACTGGGCCGGAGAATAGGTCGTGGTGAATTCCGAGGCGACGTCAGCGAGATAGGTGAAGGCAAGCTTGCGAGGGTATGACTGGTCGCATATGGAAAGGAAACAGATGTCGTCTTTGACGAGGTAGCTAAACAAAATCAACATGAATCGCTATCCTCTGACCATCCTGCAACAAGAACATACTGTAAATTGTATTGCCCAGATTCGATACTAGCCTGCGGAGCGGAATTGCGATTCAACCGGCGAAAGATCATCTTGGCTTGCGACTTCACTTGAGCCAACTCTGTTTCTGCCTTGATCGATGTCAGCTATGTTTGCTCTGACTCAGAGACCAAGCATGTAGTGAATGAATTGCAACTAACCTGCTCATCGTCCACAGACGCAGCCAGCATTAGGCCTTTCTCCTAACCATCAGCAACGTCCCGACAAACCTACGTCAACAAGTCACCACGCAGTAAGTACCTACCATCAATCCTTGCGATCTGTGTTGACCGGACCATTTTGACTAAGCCGTACTATGTTTTTTTGAAGACTTTGGTCACTACAAAGTATCTTGTGCAGTGGTTGATCGAACGTCTCGCTGCCAGGAACGGTCTTCTTGTCCAGACCATTATCACTACGGGGACAATGGGCCGCAAGCGCAAGGCGGTCGGCGGCGGCATTACGCGGCAGCAGCCAACCAAGTGAGACAAACCCCAAGCCTTATCGCGTCGCTTTTGTCCTTACGATTAAGCTGATGAAAGCTATGGTTAAGGAATTGCATAAATAATTCCACCAATGGCGCGGGATCCACTGAAGCCCGCGACGAACCTGGCGTAACGATGTCAGCCAACACCAGAGCTAAGCGCAACCCGAGACGGGGCGCTACGAAATCGAAATGGGATCCGGAGAGTGTGATGACTAGCTCGAAATCACCACTTGTTAATGTAGATCTTGTGGTATGTTCTGGTCCTGGGTGACGGCGAAGCTGTGGCGTCCTCTGATAGCTGACCAGTATGTATCGGCATAGAAACTACTCGCAAACCGCAAAGCATGGGACGAACTCGAAGAATCAGAGAAAGAGGAGATTCTAGAATTACTCCCCGAGCATATCCGTCCACAACCCGAGCCCTGCGAGGATGGGACGATGAAAATACCCCCTTTGCCGGAGTCCTTCCTACGCTACGATAATCCTTGGCGGGACGCAGTCCGTCAATTCCAAGTTGACCTCGAGAATGGCCGCTACGATCCGGAATGGATACGACAGGCTGATATAGCCGTGCAGGAGAGAGCAAACGGGGAATTTGATGACTTCAAGGAGCGCGAGTTCGAGGAGTTCTGGGGACAGAAGCAGAGAATGGACAAGAGTCTTTCTGCGGGAGAGAGTTCTCAGGTTAAATTGACGACACTCGTTGAGCAGGGTGTTGTCCGTGTCGGTGATGTTTGGAAGATTTCGCGGGGTTTCAATGTTCCCGGTGGCAGGCTGCTCATTGAAAAGGAAGCAAAGGTATGTCCATTATCAATCGATTGTTCTGTTGCCCGGTCTTTGTTTTAATGGTATTACAGATTCTAGGATTCGATGGTTCGTATATGACTTGCGTCGTCCCTACTGGTCGACGTGTATTCCTTCCTCAAGTGTCGGATGCCAAGTATAAAGCGTTGTTGAAGGCTTACAAATCAAATAATGGCGCCAAGGAGGAGGATGGCATTGTCAAAGACGAAGAAAAACCAAGCACTAGGGGCTTAAGAAAAAGAAAGTCCGGAGTCGAAGACGGACCTCGCAAGAAACAACAGCAAAAAGCATCCGAAGACGCACAGTCGGACTTTGAAATTACGATCCCCGTTTCTACTAAGCAGGAAGATCAGGTAGAGAAGGTTGAGGATGACGCCCCTGCCGATCTAGAAAACGATTTCGAGACTGAGACGGACATCGAAATTGTGCAGTCGTCGTCATCCGGGCTCACGCTGAAAGGGGTGGAAGTGATTATACTCCCTAAGGTCAATGGCCCAACTTATCTTGGTAATAAGATGATTGAACTTGATGGCCGGATCAAGCACATTCCAAACGGCAATGCGTGGAAGGAGTTCCGCTGCTATCGGAATAATCAGGACATGGGCAGTCTGTGGGAAGTCAGACAGGCTTGGTATGTGAAAAGGAAGTAGTCTGTTTCAGTTTAAGTGATGTTATGAATGCTCTCATGTTCCTGTGAAGAGGGCGTCATGTTGGGTATGTTATGGGTGATTCTCTCAGGTACATGATTATTATTTTCTTGCTCTGTACGATACCGTGTTTTAAAAGCGAGGAACAGAATCACTCGTGGTCTATTGCGTGCTATTCAATCGATTGTACCAGTTGATTTGAGTATATCATTGCTCTGTTCCTCCCATAGGTGTGTCGTTATCCTTCGGCGGCCGACAAGAAGGACTATCAGCAGCAAAATCAACAGCAAAGCTCGACTGGATAAAGTCCTCCAATTCTTCACTAACAGTCTTCAATTTCTCCTTCACACTAGCAACACCTTCCTGTCCCACAATATGCCGTGACGGCGGATTTTCGTGGCCTCCAATTGCCGTAATCGCATAGACAGTCTCAGCAGTCAAAACTTCCAAATGCGCGGAGCTGAGTGGAGGGTATGTCGAAATGATCTCGGGGACGGAGAATGGGCCATCTTCGCCAGGGTTTTGGTTGTGATTTTGTTGGCCCTGGCTTTCGCTACTTGGCAGACGAGGTATAAGACGATTCAGGAGGACGCGGAAGAGAGGCGCATGGTTGGCGGATGGGGAATATGCGGGAACGATTGGTGGGACGCTTGTTACGAGGTTTGTGAGGATGCCGATTTCAATGCTGCATTCAAAGATGGTGAGTTTAACGTTGAAGGGAGCTATTTCGTAGGCAAGGCTCTGCTCAAGGCAAAAATGGTCAGCAAATATACAGTGAAGAGACAGGTGAGGGGTGGGGGCCCTACGTCGCAGAATCCTTCAAGAGCCCAGCCGGCTGCACAGTACATCCCGAGTCCGGGTGTGCCGATATGCGATGTAATTGACGAGAGGATCATTATATGTCCAGACCTTTGTCTTCTCATGTGGGGCAATGATGCTTTCACGATATTGAGAGGTCCGAAGTAGTTGACCTCGAATTGGTCTCGGATGAAGTTCAAGGTGTGCTGGGAGGCTGCGAGCTCCTCCACGGTTCCGATAAGTGCTGTAAGAGCTTTAGCAAGCTGCAATAGCATGAGTAAACTGTACGGTACAGAATTCATACCCTGACTTGTACAGCATAGTAGGATATCCACCTTGCCAAATGTTGCGATTGCATCAGCGACCACCGCTTGACACTCGCCCATCATCCTGCGCATGAATCATCAGTCCACAACCTTATACCTTATACAGCGATTAAGCGTACCGTATATCCAAGGGAACCGATTTCAATCGTTCTCCCCATCCCTCGTCGCTATGGCTCTCAACCTCCGCCATGAACGCCTCGAACCCATCGCGACGACACTCATCCCGATCCAAATTCGAATGTGCCAGTCCAACAAACGCGTAGTCGCCATGCGCAAGAATTTGCCGCGTCACTGATATCCCAGTGGGCGAGTCACCAGCTGTAATTACCCAAACCCGCGGCTCATTATGAGCTGGAAACTGTGGGCGGGAGTAATCGGGAGAGGGGTGATTGTCCGTCATGAGATCAAAAAGGCCGACATTCACGCGCCTGGCATGCGCATTGCGCAGTAATCAGTATACGTATCGTCCCCTATGAGAGGAATAAAATGCCAATGTTCACAATGGGTGGGTTGTCAGGGTTGGTTTCTTATCGGGAAAACTGTGGAGGAATAGAGATGTCACTTCGCCGGGCGAGGCCCGACCCCGGTCCGCCAAGGATCGCGTCTTCACCACCGGCTCTGGCTCTGGTGGCCTTTCCTCTACTTTGATCCCCGCGACAAGAGACCCTCACGCACGCAGAGCAAGATGCCTGAGCAAGTACAGCAGAGGGGAAATTCGGAGCAGGGTGTAAGTTCCCAGTTGATTGTCGTTGATTGCATCTGTTGAGCTTGCTGACATTCCATGATCTTATCTAGTCTACCTTCCGGACCATCGCCCAGGCCGTGGGTTTTTTCTTCATAGCCCAAGCCCTCGTTGGAAAATTATTGGGTGGAAATCAGCAGGATGCCGCTCCTGGATCTGGCTTGTCGCCTGGTGCAATCCCAGCGTTTACGAACCGTCCAGCGCCCGGCGAAGTCTCGGATTACAGTCCCATCCCCAATGTCATCGCTCCGATGTGGCCTAGTGACAGTGCCCTAGACATGAAGATTTACGTTTCCCCGTCGATTGTCATTCCTACTCATAGTGTGCTTCCGAGTGCATCGCTTGTTCTTGACGAGAGGAACTTTACCGTTGGAAACTACAGTGACTCCCGGGAAATCGATACCATGATCAATATCCCCAAGGAAGCACAGCAAAACGGAACACTCTGGGCCCATTTCTACGTCGGACTTACTGGTACACAATTGGACCCTGCGGCCAAGGATTACAACACCGATAAGGCCTTTCATTTTTTCCGTCCGCTCAATCAGTACCTTCCGAAGAAAAAGGTCAAAAAGCTTAAGAACCTGCTCTCAAGCTCTGAGGAACCTGAGGAAGAAGAGGAGGACAACACTCCGAATGTGCAGATGGTGTCGTACTATCATCCAAATTTCACGGTCTCCGTTATCCCCGATGCTGGAAACCAGAACTACCGCTCAGTTCACCCTGCCGTTCGACAGTATATTCAACTGGAGTCGACTGGTGCTAGAGATGCCAGCGGTCAGAATGGGTGGTACTATCCCATGGTCTTCTTGAACACTTTCTGGCAGCTCAGAAGTCATATGACGGAACTCAACTCTACTGTTGATACCATGCCGCTGCGCATCACGCTGAACAATCTGCAAAACTGGAAGTTTTCCATGATCACCAGCTTTGATGAAGGTTCGAAGCAGAATGTTCGTCAGGCGGCATACGGTGGCCAGACCCCGGGTGGTGGCGATGGCAGTGAGTTTGAGATGGTTAAGGAGGTCCTGTTGAATACGAATATCTGGTTGTTGGGTACGACTGGTGTCGTTACTATTCTCCACATGGTGTTCGAGACACTGGCGTTCAAGAACGACATTGTAAGCAATACTCCATTTTTACCAGAAAGCATAGCTTACTCTTTCGACAGTCTCATTGGCGCAAGAAGAAGGATGTAATTGGAACATCAGTTCGCACCATTCTTGCCAACGTTTTCATGCAAGCGGTTATCTTCCTGTACCTCCTGGATAACAGTGAGAACACTTCCTGGATGATCCTTGCCAGCCAAGGTTTCGGAATCCTCTTGGAAGCGTGGAAGATCACCAAGTCTGTCGATGTCCGCTTGCGCCCACCACCAGCCGGATCTTTCTTTTCTTTCCTCCCTTATGTGATTGTGTTTGAAGATAAGCACAAGCTCACTGAGACCGAGAAGAAGACTCAGGAATATGATGAGATCGCCTTCCGCTGGCTGTACATCCTTGCTGTCCCGCTTCTGGGTGGGTATGCTGTGTATAGTTTGATCTACGATACGCATAAGTCGTGGTATTCCTACATCATCGAGACTCTTGTTGGAAGTGTTTACGCTTATGGCTTCTTGATGATGGTTCCCAGTCTGTACATCAACTACCGTCTCAAGGTTAGCAACTCCCTTTCCTCTGACCATTTTTCCTATGCTAATCATTTCACATTAGTCCGTTGCCCACATGCCTGGAAAGGCGTTGACTTACAAGTTCCTCAACACTTTTATCGACGATCTCTTCGCGTTCACAGTCAAGATGCCCTGGCTCCATAGACTTTCCACATTCCGTGACGATATCATCTTCTTCATCTGGCTTTACCAAGGCTGGAAGTACAAGGTTGACTACAAGCGTGTCAACGAATTCGGGCAGGGAGGCGACAGCGACGAAGAAGAAGAGGTAATGGAAGAAGAGGAGAAGGCCCCCGCTGCACCGGAGCAAACCAAGGCTTCTGGCTCTGGTAAGGATGATTCCAAGTCTGCGCGGAAGCGCAAGTGAGTGCTCTTTACGCTGTTTGTATATGTGACGGCTGCATCCGGTGATTGTGCCGTTAGGCGGGGGTCGTTAGCGGATGTGTTATATGGAGTTGGAAAATTGAATGATGAAAATGCTTGGTGCGAGATTGTTCTAATGTTTTAATAGCCTGGATATTTATCATATTCTACAGATAGCTAATTTTACTTTATATATCTCGTCAGATTGTCCACTTTGAGTATGTTATCCATCATTTATTAGGCTATAACAATAACTGCACTTTTATGTATGCTTCATCCCTCAAGTAAATAGAGCAAACATTCATTTTGAACTGGTTTGTAGCATGCTCTGGATGTAGGGCTGTTAACACGGTTGATACTCGGCGGCCAAATTCGGTAAAAGTCAATCTCCGCGACCAACCCGCGGCGACAGCAATATCTATCAGCATCGAATACAACGATATTGATATGCTAAAATCAACGAACTAAACATTGTTGCTTCGCATTCTTCATCTGGATTAATAATAGGTCTCAGGATTGGGACTGGCTGAGTTGTAACGGCCAGAGAACGCGACACGGCTTGCGCAGCGCGCGAAGAAAAAGGAGCAACTTGTCGACGTAAGTCAAGTCGAACTCAAAAAGCTGCATCGTCGTATATCTGAATTGGAAAATTGAACGGTTTGGAAATGTCGTCTGGCAAGGAAACAGGTGTGCTCTAATACTGTTTGTTTACGTTCGTCACTAACGAGTCTCAGGTCTCGGGGCTACTAGAAGCCTGCTGGATGCGGTTGAACACTTGGAATTGGGTAAGACTCCTAATTTCCGTTCATAAGTCAACGTCTCTTTTCCTAAAAAAAAAAAAAAAATGTACAGTTGCCTTTATTCCGGCCAAGCAGCGCCACACAGACGCCAGCCAGCTTGCCAAAACAATCGCCTCAGACGCGTACGAGAGCGGGATTTCCCATGTCATTCTCGAGCGTCTATTAAAGATCCTCACATCAAGCACAAACCTTGACCAAAGCACCACCACAGCCTTAATCAAAAACCTCTACCCCCTGGAACCCGTTTCATCCAAAGTCATCACGCAAGTGGTATGCTCTCTCGGGCCCAGCAAAAACAAGCCCACGCCAGCGACTCAGGTCTTGCTTCTGCGATGGTTGCTGCTGGTGTATGATTTTTTGGAAGATCGGACGCATTTGTCAAAACTCTACGCGGTGCTTTTTAATTATCTGGATATGATCAGTCTGCGGAAACCGCTGTGTCATTTGCTTTCGATTATTACCCGACGGAAGCATGTGAAACCCTTTCGGATACAAGCGCTCATGGAGCTGCTTAGAAACACGGGTGGGGAGGAGAAGGAGCTTGTCAGCTTGCTTAGGGTGTTTAAAAATTACTACCCTGATATTATTGTGGGGGATTTGGGGATGATGAGAAAGGCCGGGTTGGTCTTTAAGCACCCCGATCCCGAGTGGACCAACCATGCAAAACATCTCCAGGAAACTAACGTGGAGAGGCCGCAGGCATCGCAGCAGTCGAACTTTCAAGTGGTGCACCGTGGTCTAGTGAAGAGGAGCAAAGCGGAAATTGTGGTCCCAGATGTGCAGACTTCGCGAGTGCCCCATGGCCGGACGTCGTTGGAGGAATTACGTGATGTTGACCATTTCGTCGAGAGGATCGATAAGATCGAGCTACCTAACCAGATAATATCCACCATGGGAGACAGATTGGCACAGAAGTACCTGTTTCTAGTTAAGTCGGACGCTGCGAGTGCCCGGTTGAACGATTGGCTGCTCAGTTTCCTAAATGACAAGTTGGAGCAGATCCGTGATGGCGATGAAGATGATCCGGAGACGCTCACTTATATACTTAGCCTGGCAGCTGACTATGTTCAATATGCAAAGGTATGATTGAAATCTCGTTACCGGGAAATTTGCTAATGTACTATAGGAAATCCCGGCTGCCATAGTCCTCTTTGTGAAAGCGTACCTCGCCTTGTGGAATGGCCGTGACAACAGATACCAGATCTTCCATCTCCTCGAGTATCTTGCCGTCGATTCTTTCGACACAATACGAGAGGAGTTCTTAACTCCCCTAGAGGTTGCTGTTCTAGACGATACACTGGCTTCCAGGGTCGCTATTCTCGAGTTCTACTCTTCCCTAGTCCGCCAGTGGGGCATAAAGCTTCGCACAGAACCATCTACATCCACAGAATCAAAACCCCTGAGCCGTCTCGTCATGCACACAGAACTTCTTGCCTTATCAATCCTAGAAATCCCCGCCACAACCCACGCAATTGACAACGACACCCAATCCAAACCAGCCATCCTCTCTGTCCTCGACTTCTATACCACCCTAGGCGAACTCTTCTCCTACGCCTCCCTAAATGGCAACATCCGCCTCACAATTCCCCTCTCCCCAACAGTCTACACTCTAGTATTCACCCCCATGAGCTCCGTTATCTCAATAATCAGTTCCGTCCTCGCAAACTACAAATCTTCCTTCGAAGCGTCCCTCACCTCCGAAGTCCTGCAGTCGCAAATACCGAACGGAACAGAAAATCTCTACCCCACACAACTCGTCGGCCAGTTCAACGGCTATGTCATGGATATCTGCAACTTGCTCTGGCGGAACAGGGGTCTTAACACCGAGGATCCGAATGCATTGGGGTGTCTCATTCCCGCGAGCACTGTTACGCTGCTTACGCAGTACATCCGGGAATCGAATGAGGTTGCTCGTGAGCGGAAGCGTGATTCCGCATTCCATTATACGCTCTCGTCCATATTCTCGCTCAGTCATCACGCTGCTATGTGTAATATCTCCGCTGCTTGCTTTGCGGAGATTGAGGATGAGAATGGGGTTGGGGAGGGTAAGCCAAGGTTGAAGAAGCCTGTTACGCAGAAGGCGCTAAGTGCATTAGAGAAGGGTGGTGGAGTAAAGGTTAGTTGGCAGGAGTATAGACTACAGATGCTGACATGGTTGGACGCTGCGGGAATTCGGGGGATTGGACATTTGATGCGGAGCACTATGAAGGCGTTGCGTGCATAGCTGCAATGTTTGTTTCTCTTGTTGCCGTGAATGTTGCGTACAATTCCAAAGCTGTGAGATTGGTTCATGGACAGCTACCATCTTCAATTTGATGGCATGTATCATTCCATACCTGCTGAAACAATCAGTACAAAACTGGGAACTTCTTCAAGTGAACAAGCAACCGCAATTGAGAATTCATCACATTCTGTTGTAGTAAATAAAATATACTAGGGGCCTGTGGGCACAATGGCAGTGATGTCCCTCTTTTGAGACGAGTAAAGAACTTGAAGAAGATAACGAGGTCAAATTGGGTAATCAAGGGAAGATAGAAGAAGAATTAGTCGTTTTAGTGGTGTAAGGAGAAGGTAAAGGACGATATAGACTCTATAGTTCTTCTCGGGTCAGTTATTCGGTCTTAGTTTGGTTGGGTTATCTGATGGTCCTTCTTAAAATCGGATCATGAGCAGGTACGAAAAGAGAAGAAGCGGCACAAGCATCAGCATACCGAGAAAAGCAAAGAAGAGCATGCCTTGTGTAAGCTAAGCTCAGAATTTCGCACATGAGTCCTCCACTGAACAATCCAATGGAACGTTCGCCTTCTGGCCAACCTGTCTCTGGGCTCGATATACCTGGTTTCAACTGCTATTGCTATGCATATCTGAGATTACAACAGCAGCAACAAAGCACTTGCCCGACCCAATGGTTGTAAGGTTAGTGCATGATACTTGCGAGTTAGGGTATTTCCCCACAGTTTGAATTTGGTGAACCCCGTTCATAGGGCAATGTAGGGGTCTTTAGTCTCAAAAATCAACATTTGAAATGAGATATAGTGGCCCTTGTCGACCAAGCAATATGTCCGAAAACCGTGAATACTATTCGCGTCAGTGTCAGTGAATCTGTTGGCTCAAGGGAACTGGGGATAGATATCTGACTCCGTAATGAATAGCGTGATCAGGAGGACAGCCAGAAAGAGCAGTGAGCCCAGCACTGCGATGTACTAGTTTCCTATGAAGGACGTTAGCGCAAAGTGGTTGCAATGCCATTCCTACGAAGGCGTACGCCAGACCAAATGAAATGAGCCTGGCGCTTCGCAAGCCACATCGTAATGTGGCTGAGGACCCCGGACTGGGGGTACAGGAGTAGATATTACTTCGTTCGACGGAAGTCTCAAATTAAGCAATGAGTGGAAGTGGGTGACAGATCTCTATCGCAGAAGTAAACTGTATAGTTTACTGAATAGGCAACTTGGTCATGGCAAGGGTATGAAGGTAGCAAGTGAAAAAATGGAGAAGAGAGGAAGCCATTATTTCTTGTGAACTACCTATCCACGAGATACAACTCACCCGTCTTAGCAACTCATTTTATATATTCATCGTAGTGCATCCAAATCTACATATATTCTATGACTTCATCCCATAACTGTATAATACGCAGCTCTCATGATCTTTAGAATTCCCTTGACGTGTTTAAATAGATATCTCGTACGCTAGCGTCCTCCCGGATGGTACTCAACATATCTTCAATGCTCTTAATCTGTTCTTTATCCCTCACTTCCACCAACGTCTCCTTATTCGGATCCCAGATAATTTCTAGCTCTTCAATATTGAGCCCGGTTAGTTTAGAGAAAGTCTCTCCAACCTCTTTCGTTTCAGTAGGCTCGGTGAAGATAGCAAGACGACCATCCTCGCCTGCGACGATGTCAGCTGCACCAGCTTCAATGGCCTGGTCTAAGTAGTCGTCCGGACTCGCGCCATCCTTTTTCTCGAAGATTATTCTACCCTTCTTCTCAAAGAGGTATGTAGTAGGCGTTACGACCCCCTCAACTTCCTTGATAGCATGGCGCACATCTTGCAAAGTACGCGCTTTCTGATCCGTCTGGCATTCAATCACAACAGCAACGGAAAAGGGTAGCATAGCCTCAATTGTTACTTGTTCGAGAGCTTGGCCCGTAACGCTTATCCCCCGACCTCGTGCGATAGCTGCTTCAATGACTGCTTTCGGGATTTCAGCTCGTTTGGCGTTCGACAGTAGAAGAGTCAAACGGGGATTGAATTTAGGATCAGGTCCCCACACTAGAAGCAATTAGCCCGATTTGCAGCGGACTTAATGAAAAGCTAAAGTACTAACTCACTCTGAGTAGCACTGCTAATATCCTTGACTACAGCTTGCCGTTCCTTGCTCTTTGCCTTGTCATTCTTTGCCTTGTCGTGTCTGATAGTTGACCACCGATTGTGCCCTGAGAATAGAGTGGCACTGCTATTAAACTCACGGCAAGCCTTGCTCCCCTGGCGTCCAATGCGACTATACTGTTGCCATAGCCCCTTGTTCAGTATCGTAGCCATTGTGTGAAATAAATGTTGAATTTGAGAATCTCCATGTTCCGGAGATTATGCGGAGCCGGCCCGATAATTTTTCCGACCCCGGCCAAGAGGACAAGTGCCCCCCGTTCGGAGACATGTATCTATACCGCTGGTCGCTACTATATCTCCTTCATTGCCATTGCTTCGTTACTTTTGTTTCTACTCCCTATTGAAGGGCTAGATGCTCTGATTGGGATTATCAAATCCAATGTCTTCTTCCGAACCTACGGCCGCCGCTGCTGCCGCTGCTCCTGCCCCCGATGATGCGGCCCCGCGAGCGGAGCTCGATATCACCAAGCTCCATGCGCTGCCCTCCGAACAGCAGGACCTCTACCTCCTCACGTTCACCTCCGAATTAGTCCAACATGTTTCTGTACTGGACAAAGCGCAGATATCATCCCAGCAGAAATTCCTGAAGAAGGAACTGTTCAAAATCCTTACCCTATCTTCGCCGACAATTACTCGTGTTATCCGCAACAACTTGGGACGGTGCTTCGGAGCTATACTGGGCAAGGGGGACCGTGGGATACTGTTCGAAACTGTTACCGATCTGCTGGGAGTCTTGAACGCAGGGAAGAGCGAGGAATTGAAGACGAAATTCGCCGCGGGGCATTGTCTAGGAGAGGTCTTTGCGGCTGCTGGAGAGAGCGCCTTTGCGCAGTCGGGCCTTGTAATCTCGAGCTTGCTCAAGTTGCTTAAACCTTCTGCGAATCATACTGGTCTCCGTGGCTCAATATTCTCTGTAATACGGAAGGTGGTTGTTGGGGCGGGAATTCCGGTGGACGAAACAACGGCCCGTGATGTCTGGAAACAGGCTCGCAATGCAGCAACCAGTGATAAGTCGACGTTCGTCCAGCTTCATGCTTGTCGCTGCATTGAGCATTTAGTGAAGGTGACGCCACACTTTGACAATTCGAATGATTTCGACAATCTGAAATCTGTAATCTGGAAAGTCATCGACAGCCCTGTTGCTCCCGTTCGGCATGCCGCTGCCTCTTGTCTGGCTCGAGTCTTAGTTAAACTCCATTTACCAGATACCCGGATCCAGCCTGCTCCTAAGCCCAAGAAATCGAAGCGAATGTCCAGGAAGCCGACACCCAAGCCGGGAGAGGATGAGGATGAGGCGGAAGTTTCAGAACCGTCAACCCCCAAGAAGCCAGAGTCGCGCCTGTTCTTCCTTCTGCCTGACCTTTTCCATCAATTGTCAACACAGTACATGCGCAGCACCACCTCTAATCGTGCCCGGGCAGCTATTGCCGTCTGCTACAAGCAGGTCCTGCGCAACCTGGGTAATAAGTTTATTGAAGAACGCTATGGCCAAATCGCAAACCACCTCCTGTTTGAGCTTCTCAATCATCCTACCGTGACATATAACCGCTTCCGACTTCTCATGACGAGAAAGTTTGTCAAGAGTATCTTGGAAGACACGATTGGCCGTGAATCGCTCCGGGAGAACAGCCAGCTCAATGCAGCGAAATGGTTGATCAATGAAATTCTTAAGGATTACCCCCAGGTCATCCAGGAACGCCGCGAACCCAGCAAGTATACATTAACAAGCACGCTCAGTGCATTGTCATCTCTGATCAGTTCCTTGGGCTCCGCTTTTGGCACATTGGCTGAGAGTTGTCGTGAGGCTCTGATTCAAGTTCTTCCCCATCCAAGCTATACTGTTCAGATCCACTCTGCGCATTGCTTGCGGACATTTGTTTTAGCTTGCCCGCATCAGCTTCTATCATGCGTGACAATTTGCTTGAACAGCCTGAGCAGGGAAATCGGTCAGCTATCCACACCTCGACAGTCACCACGCCGCTGTGTTGCCTATGCAAACGGGCTTTCTGCCATGTTGAGCACGTCTCGCCTGCAGCCCCTTTACGGTTCGGTTGATATTTTCGCTCGCGTTTTTACCCAGGCTACCGATTTATTAAAGACAAGCACCAGCTCTGAACTACGTGCTGCAGGTACACAGGTCCAAGTTGCCTGGATCCTGATTGGAGGACTGATGTCCCTTGGACCCAGTTTTGTGAAGATACATCTCTCACAGTTGATGCTGCTATGGAAGAATGCCCTCCCTAAGCATATGGGCAAGGAAAGCTTCGCCCAGCGCGGAAACCTGGAGATTAGCTTCCTTACCCACGTCAGGGAGTGTGCCCTGAGTTCACTGCTAGCATTCATGGAATTTAACGCTAAACTGATTACGTCCGATGGCGCGAAAAGAATAGCTAGCATGTTGCAGAACACAGTCGACTTCCTTCATGACCTTCCCCGGCAGAAGTCTGTTGAAGATCTGTCTCAGCGGCTCCACCCTTCTTTGCAGTTGCATGATCTAGCCACAATGGTTCGTCGACGTGTGCTTCAGTGCTTTACCAAATTGATTCACGTCCACCATCTTAATCCCAGTGAGATCATCTCCCAGTCCAGCTTGCTGGGCCTTGCAATCTCATCGTTCGCGGACCCGGATTCGACACAAGCTAGTCCTTTGGAGAGCTCTATCGCAGCTTCTACTAGTCAGTTCGAGACTCTGTGGGATCTGTCCGACAATTTTGGATTTGGTGTCACAGGGTTGGTTAGGGAGTATATCGGTGCGACATTGTCTGGAAAGCATGATAATGACAACGGACCAGCTTGGTCCGCTGTTGAGTCTGGGGACCAAGCCATTGATGACGCTGTAAGTTAATTGTCTTTTCTGATCCTACTAGCAGTCGAAACTAATGTTTTCCGCAGTTGACCTTCCCAATCTGTCAAGCAAGCGAGCATGATTCCGTTCTTTTGTACTGCTCCAGAGGTGGCGACGCTCTTCATGCTGACCCTCCCGCCACCGGTGTTGTCAACGCTTCCATTGATCTGTTTTCAGTTGCCATCCCATTGCACGCCCCAAAGGTCCAGGAGAGCACCGTGGAACAAATTGCAACATTCCTGTCTTCCCCGACCCTTCAGCGTAATCCCGGGCGCAGAGCTGCGATGGTGGTCAATGTTGCTGTCGCTTTGCTTCAAGCACTGAAAGTTGCTGTTAAAGAGGCAGGTTCGGCCGCGGGCAGATTAAACCCTGCTACCGACAAGATTCTACAGGAGCTTTTGCAGGTGAGTGATGTAGGCCTCCTAGCATCAACATTGTGACTAATGTAAACTAGAAATTCATCATTGATGCTGATCCAATTGTTCGAACAATTGGCTCTGAGGCGCTCGGGCGACTGTGCTACAATTCTGGAAATACCTTTACCAACATGGCAATCAACTGGCTCGTGGACACCATCGTCGAGATCCGGGAACCCAATGCTCGTGCTGGCTGTGCTGCTGCTTTGGGTTGTATCCATTCCCAGATCGGTGGTATGGCGGCTGGTTTGCATTTGAAGACTATTGTCGGCATCTTGATGTCCTTGTGTAATGACCCACACCCTGTTGTACATTTCTGGGCGCTTGGAGGGTTGGAAAGAGTCTCCAATTCCGCAGGCCTCACCTTTTCGCCCTTCGTTTCCAGCACGCTTGGAATGCTTGCTCGACTTTACAACACCGATACCCACAATGAAGAGTCTGCAACGTTGGCGACCTCTAACATTGAATTATCCTTCCTCACACCTGTCGTTGTTAGCCGCTGTGTTGATTCCTTGATTAATGTTTTGGGACCCGACCTTCAAGACATCGCTAAAACGCGCAACCTCATTCTTACGCTCCTCCGTCAGTTTCAGCTAGAGGACAACCCAGCTCTGGTTACCGAAAGTTCGAAGTGTTTGGATCACTTGTCGTTGTATGCATCTGGATACGTGGACTTTGCTGGATATGTGAAGCGACTTCAAAACGAACTCACTGCCAGTAATCCATTGATGAGAGATGTGGCAACCGGAGGGTTAAGCAACCTTATGAAGAGAGGCGCTGCGTCTGTCATCCAGACTGCCGCGCCTGGTCTCGAAGAGCAAATCTGGATCGCATTTGACGACAACCCAGACAATACAGTACTCAAGAGCATGATTCAGGACTGGCTGCAACAGACGGCGCTTGCGGAAACCGAACTGTGGATCCAACGGTGCCATACCATTCTGACCAAGACACGTACCAAATCAGATGAGCCCCCACCACCATCTGCTGCTCCCAAGACTGCCGGCGGTGATATACAAGACGATGAAGTGGCTGGGTTTGCGTCCGCTGTTGGCGAAGGACAAGCTGAGGCACCAGGTGACACTGTTGCGGGCCAGGAGTTGCTGAAATGGCAGACCCGCAACTTCGTTATGGAGTGTCTTAGTGAACTATTGGCGACAGTGCAAGAGGCTATCTTGCCTGATCAGACGATTCCTGCTGAACTTGCCCTGCAGCATAAGGTAGGGGATATTGTCCGGATGGCGTTCTCGGCGTCTACTGCGAATGTTGTGGAATTGAGAGTATGGGGATTAAAGATTATTGATCAAGTTCTTAAGGTATGCCACCTTGCTAACCTATTGAAATTCCTTTGACTTAAGCGATTTCAGATGTTCGGCAAAACTCCAGATCCAGACTTTACAGAGGCGTCCCTGCTCGAACAATACCAGGCTCAAATTGGTTCGGCTCTTACACCGGCTTTTGCGGCTGATTCGTCACCCGAGTTGGCTTCTGAGGCTATAAATGTGTCTGCCACGTTCATTGCCACAGGTATCGTGACCAATGTTGAGCGGATGGGAAGAATCCTCAAGCTGCTGGTCCTTGGTCTTGAGAACTTTTCTAGTGAGTTCATTTTCACCATTAGTTTGCAGTTGACACTTGCTGACACGAGCAGAAAATCCGGATACTACTGAGATTGGCGATCTCAAGGGACTGAACTCGAACGCGAAAGTCATGGTCAAGTTGGCCCTCTTCTCGGCCTGGGCCCGGTTGCAGATTGCGAGCATTGAACAGGAATACTTGACACAAGTAGTCCAGCCTCACCTTGCAACGCTTACTCCACTGTGGCTTTCGTCTCTTCAGGAGTATGCGCGTCTGAGATTTGAGCCAGATATCTCAGGAAGTCTGGGAACAGG